AGTAGGGGCCTTTAAAGGAATTTGCATTTTATGAGAGAAGAGACCATACATCTTGAAAAGATTTGGTCTTCTCCGACTTGAATGCGTGTAGAAATTGCGACTTAATGGGTGTAATAAGGTGAAGGGTTCACTACTTTATAATCTCCCTTTCAAAGACGGCTTTTGAAATAGATTTGTGAAGAGTGACTTTCTTTGCAGTGATTATTAAGGTAGAGATCTACTTCAGAAATGGTACAAAATAAGGTAGCAGTGTCTGACAGTACATTATGGGTATAGACGATATTATTCTATATTCGGGAGCTTTTTTTGTATAAAGCCTTAAGATCAAATTATTCTGGAAACATTGAATGCAACAGGTGTCTGTATATTGTGATGTGGGATGTTTCATACTCATGAGAATATCATTTCAAATATTATATTTCCAAAGATTGAAAGGTATGCAATAACCTCGTCATTTAGGGAAATACAACGAAAATAAAGACTTGTTAATGCAAATCAATCAACTTGAATCAGGTAATGATAATTGTCAAAGCATTTAGAGAAATTCAATAACAAACCCAAAGGGAATATCAACTACACCAAAAATAACAATCATTCAGTGGTAAACAAATAATTGATAAAAGTGTAAGCCGACTGAAAAGAAAAGAAAAAAAAAATAGATATGATAATGATAATACACCCGAGGCAATGGATCGCGGTAAGGGAACAACTCATGCAAAAATCTTCTTCCATTCTGTAAAAAATATGTTGCTTATGCGGAACAGAGTAAAGAGAATCGATGTTATCATCCAGATATTTCAAGGCTTCATTGATCTTTCAAAAGAGCATTCTTAATGGCGAATAAAGTATTTTGCTCATGGCCTCCTTACATGTTACCTCTGACCGTTTTTGTGACACATTCTCTTCCGAGGTCACAGCTACAGGATGAGATTAATGTCTATGAATGGTTCAATGTACCCATAGAGTGGCACGCTGTAAAGGACTGGATTTAGGGTAAAGTGAGGTAATGGATGAGGGGGTGGGTTCACAATGGCGTTGATTTTTAAAGTTGAAAAGTGCAACCGTATGAACTATATGTAAGTGGGTGGACCGGAGTCAACAGGTTTGTGGAGTAGTAATACCCCTTTGGTGTATATAGGGAAGGGTGAAAACGATATGTGGGATGGGCGTGGCTCAGACGCAAGGTAAATGCTGCTGACGCCGTTCCTGTAATATTAATGTAGTACCTCGAAAAGCGGCGGGCTAACCCGGCGCCAGGGCAAGCTCGGCATCAGGGGTTGATTTAGGTTTAAAGAGGTCGAGTGCTAGCTACACAACGGACCACTAGTAAACCCGATATCTCATACTTTGTAGATGTGCGCATCTGCAAAGTTTCAACGTTAACTCCATAATATACAAGCCTGGTAGTCTAATAGTTTACACATTTCTATCAAATAATCTTTAAAATTGATGTTCGTACTCATTGCAAAACTTCATGCACATGTTTGTGAACGATTCGGTTCTCTTGGCTAACCCTGCCTCGATTTTCGGCAGAGTCCTAGTTGTTCCAATGGTGCCGGGTTAGTCAGGATCAGTAATAACATTTAAGGATTGCGTCCTTAACGACTCGGAAAGTCCTCCGAATGTATTCAATGTCCTGACTAGATTTAGATCTCTAAATAAGTATATCCTTGATTGGGATAACCACTGCATGCAGTTTTCAATGGCATTGTATGCTAGTTGAGCTAAATATCATGCCCCATTTCGCTATTGTCGATCATCCTTGGCTGCTAGCCACTGTACGTGCAGTTTTCCATGCAATTATACTGCTATAGTTGAGCTAAAATGACCCCCATTTTGCTATTGATTTCGATTACCTGTGTCTTTGATAAGGATTCCTTCAATAAGATCCCAAATAGCTCGTTTGTAAAGTGTGAGTTCACATCTCTGTGTCAATTTTTTTATATTTTTTTTTATAGTCTTTATCCTGTATTTTTAAAATTGGGGGGGGGGGGGCTTTTAAGTTAACGGGTTCTGTCTAGTCTTGTCATGCGTAATTCACCGTTGACTAACCATAGTTTCTCTAGGACTAAATAATTGCAATCTAGGTCGTTCCAACCTAAAACATAACTCGATTTGTTTTAAAAATAGACCAAGAACCTTTTCTTGGTGTCTATCCCTTTAGTGCACTCACAATATCAAACTACAATATAAGGAGTTTCATTCTTCACTGCACAATTTTTCGGCTCTATATAAGTCCAACTCTCTGAAGTCTTTAAATGTGACTCTCTGACAAAAAGAATAGACAATTCGATTGAATTCGAGAATTAAATCCTGTTTAATCCTCAAGCAAGCAGTAATCTTAATCGAATAGGTTCAACGAGGACTTGCAACCATTTTCTATATTTCTGCCTCAGTGAAGTCACTTTGGAATGTGGATACCCATATAAAATAAGGAGTTTGAGGTCTATGAGTGAGATTGCTCCCTCATTTTTGCAATATCATTGGAAATATTATATCATAAATCTCATAAAATATTTGTTAGAGGGTTCATTCTTCATTCTTCGCTTTTGTAGTACCGATCATCTCTTTACGTGTTAGATTCTTTAACAAGAATACGTCTTTACTTGTTTTAGTGAAGGTACAGGCCTAAATCGTACAGCTAACTAAAATGGTGTTAAATTGAATAAAAGTTCCGTGATAAATCCTTCCGTGACGATACAATGTGTACACACATGGCTTGCTATTGTTAAGCCTTATGCATCATAATTCATTATCAGCGTGCATATTCACAGGAATGCCATTCGATGATTCTTTAGCGAACCACACATTGTAGCCAGTCGACCGTAACACAGAAATGGACTTGCCCACCGCAATTGGAAATTGAATAAATACCAAAATAATGATTTGTTATTTCGTTGTTGCTGTTGTATAAGAATGCAATCAGCTATTCCGGAATAGGATAGTGATTAAACGGAGGCAGTTACTATTTACACATTGGAAATTGATTCCTTGAAACTTGTTATACAAAACTTATAATGGCATACACATACAACCAAATACACATCCAGATATCTTTTGAATGTCACTTTCGACTTTAATTCGTTGATAACATTTTGCTATATATATAACAAGAAGAGTTTGATGAATGTGCCGATATATTGCGTTATGAGAGTACATGATTCATAATTCTATACCATTGTAATAAATAAATATCAAAGCTATAGTGCTGACGTTCTTGCAAATGTTTTGAATGATTGTGGACGTTCACGGTTCGCTCTTATCTACAATCATTCATCACGGTCACTGGACCAGTTATACCTCGCATTGTTTGGTACTACAGGTATTACTATATGTATTTCATCCGTGTTCAGATCAGAGAGAGGGAGAGAGATGTGGGTTTTTTTATATTTCATGGCTCGGGGAGCGATAGAGGAGGACCACATACCGAACCGGCCCAGGGCCTATCCCACGCTCCCGTCTCATCCCCCGTCCATTGTTCTCCACACACCCCAGGAGAGCAGACACAACAATACAGAGCCCCATAAACGAGGAGAGAGAATTTGAGGAAAGAATGGGGGTAAACAGGGTGATTACGGAGGAAGAGAGAGAGAGAGAGAGATGGAGAAACGGAGGCATGATATGTTTCGATTTCAAGGAAATGGAGAAAGAGAATGAGAAAACGATAATTAGTGAGAAAATGGCGACGAGGCAGCCAGAGTTAGGGATAGAAACCGAGAGAAAGAGATGAGAGCGACCGTGTTAATCATTATGTACCAATAACTCTAAACATGAACTCACATACACGCACACACGCATTTACCATGGGAAAACAAGATCAGAAGAAAAAGAGGGAGAAGAGAAAGAGGGAGCTGAGAAGGAATTGAATACAAAATCACTGAATACCTATTGAAATCATTCTTAACATGCATTTAAATGGCATTAAACTTCCACGTTTAAGCCCAGCGTGTTTGTGGCATCGTCAGCAATACATAAAATGGTCGATCCGAATGACTTGGCGCAGATTTGCGCAGCAGCGCATGAAAAACATATTAGGAATGAAAAATGCAAACAATTCGGAATAATGTATTTTGATTTGTATCTCTCTCTCTCTCTCTCCCTCTCTCTTTCTCTCTCTTTCTCTAGGTCTCTCTCTATCTCTCTCTCCCTCCCTCTCTGTCGATTTCTGTTTGTTCCCACCTCATCCATACCGTATGGTTACAAAGATGATTAATTATCATGGTGCGAATTGAATCAATCATGGGGATCGCTTGATATGCAGTTGTTTGTCATTATTTGCACTATTTTCTCTCTTCCCTCTTATAAATTGCTTTAGGCCGTATCAGCGCTTTGTGAGAAATTGAAAGAGAGGACAGGCGAAGCTAGAAGTTAATATTTTGTGGCTCAAAGTGGACTGAAATGCAGTTCATAAGTTCCCACCGGGGATGTGACAATATGCAACTTGTTTGCTTCACATGCTTATACCTCTTAGAACATGCAGAATAAGAGAGAGAGAGAGGAGAAAGAAATGTAAGACATAACACACATGGACTCATAGAAAAGGCAACAAAACAACATACAGTTAAGTACCAAAATAAATTTCTTCTCACAAAAGAGACGATTAATTTATCCGTCCTATGAGGTTTGATGGTGTAGGACGTGGGTGTGCACGAGAAACGGCGTTGTGTTTGGTTCTTGGGAGGTGTAATTATGTTACGGTATGATTAGACGTTTGGAAAATAGGAAGAAAAATTCGTTTGATGTGATGAGAAAACGAGCATTTAAAAAAAAAATAGAGACCGAGATTCTATTCCAGATGATACAAGATAGAAACACACGCACACCTACGCACACAAATACATTATACACATCTAAACTGAGAATGAGAGAAAGAGATTTAAAGAGATTAAAGTTTGATACCTCTAAGGCTGTTCTAAATTGTTTGATGAAACCTTGACAGAATCTGATTGAAATTGTTTTGATGAATATGATTTCCTTGACCAAGTATCCCCCTCTTTCAGATTTGAAAATAGATGTGGGTAACTTCAACTACACCGAGACGGGACTAGACGAATGTCGAACAATGGCCAGTATAGTCACAAAGATGATCTCAGATAGTAAGTATATTATATCCCTCTTAGGTCAAATGGCCACCTTCCAATAAGAAGTTTAATCAGATATCATTCATACCGAATCGGTATAGATCACATCAACTATCATATCTCCCAAAATAGGCCTACCATAATGTCACAAATCAATACAACACAAAGACAGCACTAAGGTTGATTATCTTTTGACAACGTAATATTGGGTTGTCAACATTAACACCATCATCATCACCACTAAAACTAGTGACGCATTTACAGTGGGCATAACCCGCTGAAACCCAATTGATATACCTTGAGTACACTACACAAAACTTTGCCTTACCAATTATGTAATTATGTCAAAGTTACTAGCCTAGACATTTTTAGCATCTTGAATGTGTTTCTTTTTTCCAGCTTAGTACCACACCAAAGAGGTTTACTTTCCCCCTAAATGACAAATTGATTAATCCACATAGTCCTCATCTTCCATTTAATCATTCAAACCACTGCCAACCACTTCTTCCTGACCCGTGCTGAGGCACTGTCGTCATTTATCTGCGCAATGATACCACATTTCAACGTTGCATAAACTTACGTATCCTATTTTTAAATGATTAACAAAGGAATAGACGGGAATAATGACCCCATGCAGGGTGCCCTTTTGTTTCTTTCGCACTTTACCCAAAACAAGCTGGTATAATTCGAAACCCCCCGCAACTCATAAGTGCGTACTTTAGTTCATAACGCACGTGCGCCTTCGAAATACTTGTAGTACCAACTCAAAGTTCGGAAGATATCACACCCGACTAAAAGAAATCCAATAAACATCGCAATGGTGGACAGGAGAAGGTCGTGAGAAGAGGAACACGTGCCTCGAGAATTTCCAGCCATATTGATCGTGTGTCATGTTCTTTTATTCCATGGTGCTAGAAATAGCTAACCCATTATGATTTGAGTGAAAAATTGAAGAAAAAAATCCGTGCGCCAAATTGATACTGCATGGATTCCCAGGCCATGTTATCGATCAGTACGGTGATTTTGTAATTGTTTTCTCAACGGACAATCTCAGTATTGTGTATCCAAAATGGTTATATTCTACTTTACATTGAATTTAATTTGAAAACCATGTTAAAAATGAACAAAGGTAGATTAACTCTGCACTCATCAATCATTCTGTACGTATTAATTGACTTAAGCTTTTAATTCCTGAAATAAACAAGAAAAACACGATTTTAGCAATTGCTAACATTGATTTCTTGTTGTCGCAGGCAGCGTTGCTAGCGAGGTTCAAAATTGCTAAAATTCAGAAGAAAAAAATAAGAGAAATAGCCATGAGAGATATGCTGAGCAACGCTTACGTTAGTAAAAAAAATAAAGATGACAAGTTCAGAATGGAATCTAACGACAAAATAAAAAGCCAACGTTCAGAAACAGTACGCGTAGATTATGCCTATACGCTGGTATTGGGCTAAACACCATATACTCGTTAAAGATGAACGGTGGACAAATAAGTACTCTTTCTTACACGAAAATAGAAAGAGAAAGAAAGTGATAATGATACTCCAAAGATGGGCGTGGCAAGGCGTGGTCAGACGTACGCCACACTCGCGCCACTGGTAGTAGCGCTTCGTCACGTGCACACAGCTGGGGGTTTCCCAGCGCAACGCGGCGCCACCCCAACACATGTGGCCAGTATAGCACGGTCACACAGAATCCACGAGAGTCCATGCTTGCCCCGTGTACTGTAAACAGTCTCGTCTCGAGTTATTATCTATCCAGCATCGCTGATATTGTTTTAACGATGAGATGAATGCGCGGTTTTTCGAAATCAGGAGAGGGGAAGAAGAAAAAAATCCAAATTTTCACACGAGCGTCAGATTACCAGGGGTAAAGAGATAACGTTAATCTAAATATCAAGTTTGATGATGGGAAAGAGCAAGATGGTGAGGGTTATGAAGGCACAGCTTGTTTCATGATAGAATTATGCATTGCTTTCCCAATAAAGCAAACTACAAACACAAAGCCCTATTGCCATATACGCTGGGCGCAAGGCAGACATAATTTAGATTTATAACAAATATAAAAACACTTTTTTTTAATATGATGCAGTTCCTGAGTAAAGTAAACTCATAATACACAATTGTCAAAAAGAGCTGAATTAACTTGTTTACATATATTTTTTTTTATTACAAAGGAAGACGAAAATTCTTATGCATGCAATCTAAACTGTTCGACTATCAGAATCTCAATTTCTATCAGATTTTATTATGCACATTTGATTGATTCGTTCGTTTTCTCACAAGTTCTTTTCTTTCCCCACTTTTATTGCAGATCATCTGTTCATGAAACCGGATTACGTGACGAAGAAATACGAACCAGGAACATAGTAAGTATTCAAAAATCTCATCAATTCATGATTCACAGTAAAAAGAAGAAAAATGAAAATAACTAGGCAAACACTCTTCTCGATTTCACGCATGTCCGATTTAGTAATAAATCATTCTAGACATTGAATTGATTTGAAAAGGGTATGTTACAAAGATTCAGAGAATCAATATGTATTGGATTAGGTCTTAGTTTAAGCTTGCAATTTATAAGTATTGTTGTCGTGATATTTTCTATATGTAGTCTTGGGTTGTAACTAGTCGAATATTTTTGTTAAGTCACGGTAAATTGTGATAATAACGTAAAAACTGACCTAATTCAAAACAAGAAAGACACTCAATTACCAGCAACTCAATCTTTACGACTATGGACTTAACGAATATGCTTAATGTAAAAATATCCCTTCACACAATTTGCAGACTACATCTTTCTCTCTTATAACAAGTGCCCGCATATTTATTTTTTTTCTTCAAAATCTTTATAGGACATGTAAAGTAGTATGCATGTTCTCTATTTCAGTTGTATTGGTATACAAACGTTTTAGCTGGCAGACATTTTATCGACGGCGCCAGTGTTGATACTGAGTAAAATTTCTAACGTGATGTTTAGCTAACGACATAAGTAAATACAATCCAAAGACTGTATGCATATCTGTAGCAAAAGGCTGACTTTGTTTTGAAAGTCTTTGACAGTGTTATAATGACTCATATTGGTGAATCTCTTCAAGATAAATGTTTACTTATGATTTTCGGAGAAAGTCATTCATGGTTTCTTTTGCTCTCTTCCTTTCGCTGTTTAAATCGCTTGGTTTCTTGTTCCTAGTATTTTTCTTGTTGACATATAAACTCACCCTTGAAAGTGTGTAGTATTCCTCATGTTTTTCCACTTTCTATGGAGTCAATTGTTTTTATAGTGCATAACAAGTAATACAAAAATATATATAGAAGTTAAGTTGAGATAAATGCCGCGTCTGCAATACTCTGCAATAATATATCTAGGCTGCAACCACTGCTTTACGCACATGTATTTGAACGAGTCGAGTTTAAATAAATTCATATAATCAATTTTATATAGTTCATGGACAAATCCTGACTATACTTGCTTCTCATTTTGGGAGTCCATGAACTATGACATTTACAAAACAAATATAACAACCATAGATAAATGTAACAGTATACAATATCGATATTTGTGGGAATACTATGACTATAGTTAATAGTTTTACACCTATCGAATCTGGAATAATGAGGTGTTAGAATTTTAACGATAGGTAACAGCTGCAAATTTTCTGGCCCAACAGTTTTGGTTTAATCATTTATTTTTTCCTAATTCAACGGAAAAATAAAAACCTGTCGCTTAGGTTCCTGATTACTATATTTTAGCAATTATTCCATTGGATATCAAATGGATGTTTGTTTTTACTACCGCCATCCATAGCTACAGAGGAGATGACATTAAAAACAATTTAAACAAAAAACACTTTTCGTGGTTTCCCAAGTGGAAAAGTAAGTCTGAAAACGTCTACCGTATTACATCCAGAGGAAAGATGACGGGATAAAAAGAAACAAGTAACTTCATCCTGCATGTCCTAAGCAATATGAGCACACTTACAACACAAAGCACCATCCTTCGAGCTCGCTACTTATGTATCTAATACGTATTTAATTTCTACTTAAGCATTCACTTAAACGGTGTCAAGCTCTCATCTTAGAGTGAGTTTAGGTAAATAGTGGAGTGTACTTCAACCCGGCTTTCCCATGGCAAATATTGGTTCATCCAGCTATATTTACATCGGGATTTGTTTCCCTTTATGCCAACACATGTTCGCTCGGCTCTCTTTCAGATTCGTTCAATATATCGTATCCCCCTTCTCTGTTTCTATTTCATTCGCATTATAAATCCTTCTCTCTCTTTGTCTCTCTATCTCTGTTTATGTCTTTCTACCCGTCTGTATTTCCTTTTCTCCCCCGATCCCTCTCTCACAATCTACTCCTCCCCCCCCCTCTCTCTCTCTCTCTCTCTCTCTCTCTCTCTCTCTTATTATCTTAGTATCCTGAGCATATAATGTGATAACAAGCAATGTGCTTTTAGAATGATAGCAAACAAAGCTGCCACCAAGTTCTTTTGAAGCATGGAAAATGTGCATAACTACATTTCATAAATGAAAGTAAACATAAACAAAAACGAAAACAAAAAGTTCTCCCTATTGCTCCTGAAACCTAACGTGAACAAATATGTTGCATGGGAGGTGGAATGGGATCTCGTTCTATCATCAGAGCGCCTTAATGACATGAAATGTAAGTTTTGTAGGATCGAATTCTACAAAATAAGGCATTAAAAATCGAAGTGCTACATGTAGATTGTTGAATGGAACTGCAAATACCAGAAATTGTCTTATCAACACCTTGAAATGAAGGAATTGTGAATTTTACTTTACCGTTTTTATGATTTTGTTTCTTTGCAGCGACAAGACAGATTCTATACCAGACGATACGGCAGTGAAAGCCCGTGGTCTCCCGTGGCAAGCATCGGATAGAGACGTCTTTCGTTTCTTCAAGGGACTCAACATTGCTAGGTTAGCCTCTCCCCGTCTCATATCTCTAGGGAATTTCCTACTTTTGATGAAACGTCATTAGTTACTATAGATGTTTTGTCAAGTTACATACACATACTTTCAGAACTTTTTCATTTATTTTCATTGATGATCCTTCGCTATTTCAGTTTACTAAGCCTATGCCTTGTATATTATAAACTAAATTGGATTGAAATGTATCTCAACATATTTCATATTAAACTGCATATCTCAGCATGTGTCCTTTTTGTAAAAAGTTAATGTTTTATAATGATTAAACGACATATTAACATCATTATTATGAAAAATCATGGTCGCAATGTGGAAAATTTCAGTGCAACTAAGCTTAAGCATGCATTCTACACTTCGTTCAGTCAGCACATACGAGGGCCAAAATTCTGTCCTGTAAGAAACAGAGAAGCTACTGAATCTAGTATTTATTTGAAATGATTGATATTTTGTTGTTTGGACAATAACCCATCAATAAGGAAATAATTAGGTCTGGATACTTTGGAAAACTTTGCGTTTTTATATCAAAACAAAATCATATCCGACGGGTTAATGTAGCGTGATTTAGTATTATAAATCATTAAAGTGAAACAATTATGGCGGACACACTGTTGTTTAATATAAGTTGATTTCTCTTTCTCTGGAAACAACTTCACACAGCTCTTCCGGATACATACACTGATCACTCCTAAATAATTCTTGGTAAAATGTTATGTTATTGCTTCATCTCTCAGGGGTGGCGTTGCTCTGTGTCTGAACACACACGGTCGTAGGAACGGTGAGGTTATGGTCCACTTTGAAAGCTCAGAACAGAGAGACATGGCACTACAGAGGCATAAACACAACCTCGGCAAGAGATACGTAGAGGTAATTATCATTGTTTTAATTTTCAATTAGTATGAAGGCGAAGAAATCAAGTAAACAATTGTTAGTGAGCTATAGGGGACCTACGGCTTTAAGTCCTATTCGAAGGAATGACTATACGTAATTTAGAAAAAAATGACAAATAGTGAGGGCCATTGCCAAATCCACTGTCACAATGTCTCCTAAAAGCATCGGATAATATGTTAGAATTTGGCCCTAAAAGTGTTTGAAGGGATAAGGAAAGGGAATTTGTAACTTACAATATTATAATTCAATTGTTTTAAATTTAACTGACTTGTTTTGCTAAAGCCAGGGTAATAGTAATAGAGCACCAGGAGTGGCAATGTGCCAGACATGAGCGCTATACAAGACTCCACTATTTAGTAGAAGTATCTTTGTTTAGAGAGGGGGTTCAGACCTTGCCCCGTTTAATTACGAGGCCTTTTCAAGTAATAGCTCATATTTGGATTATTTTTTTGCAGGTATTCAAAGCAACTGGAGATGAGTTTATCCGGGTAGCTGCTGGTATGTTTCCATTTCTTCTTCTTCTTTTTCCTTTCTCCTTAACTGATGACCTCCGACCACCTTTATTGTTCCGCCCTCATTTTGTTCAGTTCATGTTCCTCAAAGGACTTCTATATTGAAATCTGTTTTCCAGTTAGGGATTTCACCCCATGCATGGGTAAAGATAATCTAGTAAATTAATGTATTAAAAAGTAGACCCACACGATACGTTCTATTTTTACAAATTATTTCTGACAGATATATAAATTATCGAAAATATATACTAGTAGTGTTATTACTGTACAGGATGATGCTACTTTAATACACTCTGGTAAGAACGTTTTACGAAATAAAGAAAAAACGTGTAAATTTTGATAAATCTGTAGCCTACGCATATTGCAGACGAACGAAGTTAATTTCATGGCGATGTTTCGGTGTTTATTAAAATTAAGTGGAGCACTAACGGATTCATTCATATATTTCACAGGAACATCGAAAGAGGCTACACTGTTTTTAGCTAGGGATGAAGGCCATATCATCGTGCGCATGCGGGGTCTCCCGTTCACAGCCTCAGAGAAAGATGTGGTATGTACACCCCTCAAATATATATTTTTGTTTAATAGGAAGCGATCACAGTAATAAAGATATATCAGTAATTTAAACTTATAATGTACAATATCCAAAGTGTTAGGAAAGGGAATACGATTTTGCCCTAATGTTATTTATTATCTCAGCTTACTGAAGGAGGATGAAGGAAAGGAAAGAGAGAAAGAGAGAGAGAGAGAGGGAGATATAGATAGAGAAAGATAGAGATTACATAACCGATGTGCACGTGTAAAGCTCTGCTTCTTTTGGAGTATCAATTCACACAGCCATTCCAGAATGTTTAAACTAAGGAAGTGACAGCGACACAACGATATCTTGTGCCTGGTTCCGGAGTCAGCTCCTCTGACCAAACGCTGACCGAAATAGCGATAAATTATATTTAGTGACGTATTATGCAATAGCCGTGTGTACACTAATTTAAACAAAAGAAGACTAGCCAGTTGGAATAATCATGTGAAACGTGCACTGTTTCTCTAGCCACTTTGTAACCATCTTCTCAGGTAGCAAATTGTGTTAAGTGACGGCTAACCATGGCTTGAAGTTGAGGATAAAAGTTTTTGGAGGACTTGTTAAAAAAAGACCCACCTGTAACAAATTCTGGTCCTTTGCTGTTGTAGGTGGATTTCTTTGGGCCGGAGATTCCCGTCGCAGGAGGAGAAGAAGGGATCCTCTTCGTCAAGCAGAAGAACGGCAAGATGACTGGAGATGCCTTCGTGCTATTCGCCTCTGAGGATGCTGTGTCCAAGGCACTGTCCAAACATCGGGAGTACCTAGGAAACAGGTACATTGAGATTTTCAGAAGCACGACTGCTGAAGTACAACAGGTGAGTGTTCGAAGTCATTTACTGTTTGTATCTTACGTCTTAACTGCATCTCCGTGACTTATGAATCGTTTGTTGGTTAAGAGAGTAGGGACAGAGGTTTTTTAAAGAAGTATTTATGAGAGAAAACAATGCAAAAAAGGCGAAAATTGTCAAGGCAAATTGATTTTACTTTTGCTGGAACTAGTAAGCAAGTGAAAATCTATGCCAGTGAGGCATGAGTCCATACCTGACACAGTGATTCTGCGACTTATACCTTAAAAACTACATTGATTGCTATACCCGCATTTGTTTGGGAGTGATTTATGTTTGATTCCAAAAGGAAATATATTTATATCTACGATTGCGGTAATAGAGGTATTAGGATTATAGGACAATGAAAGTGAATTGCAAAAATGAATCCTTTTTGTAATTCTTCCTGCTCGTTCCTTCCAGGTCTTGTCTCACAAATTTGCCTCTCTCATTCATTTTAGTTATGGAAGGGATAAGGGATATTTTGGTCAATATTTGGACGATGCGAATTGCGAATTCAACCCTTTTTGCAACTCTTCCTTAATTCTTGTTCGTCGTTCCAGGTCCTGTCTCGTGTCCAGTCCGAGCCCATCATGGCGGACATCCCCCAGCAGCAGGTCATGCCCCCGATGATCCCCATCCCCATCCACGCCATGCCCCCTCACCATCCACACCAGCCCCCTCCTCCTCCTCACCCGCACTTCATTACAGCAGGGGTAGTCCGTGACTGCATCCGAATGCGCGGTCTCCCGTACAACGCGTCCATCGAAGATATCATGCTCTTCCTCGGGGAGGCAGCCCAGTTCATTCGGCCTCATGGTGTCCACATGGTCCTCAACCTCCAGGTAGGGTTGTAACTTAACTCCTGCCAAGTGTCGTATGCGTTGGTAAATTGTAGGAATGATTTGTTGATATTTATGAAGTGTTAAGCATTGTTACAATCATGGTTAGATCTAAATAATTATACTGTCGGTATGATATTGTTAGTTTGTCATAGTGGACAATAAAACATTTACAAACTATTATTGCTTTATAATCTGACCGGAAATAAAATGTTGGTAAGTGCATACACATGGTCAAGAGCTGCAGCTCGGTGATTAAAGTTACAGATTATATTTAGTAGATGAAACTTTTCTTTTTGTATCCTCAAAATTACAGAATGCTTAATCAAATTAAACAAAGATATAAAGATAATTATAACGGAATAGTACTGATATGAAAATCCTTTTGATATTAAACATAGATGCATATCACATTCTTCGTAGTAAATTCAATTTCTACTTTCTTTCTCACCCACCATCTTTTACACCATCAGGGTAAGCCAAACGGCGAGGCGTTCATCCAGATGACCTCTGCAGAGCGCGCCTGCTTGGCGGCACAGACTTGCCACATGAAGTACATGAGAGAGCGTTATGTAGAAGTCTTCCAGTGCTCCGGCGAGGAGATGCAGATGGTTCTGACCAGTGGCATGCGCAACGAGAAGGCACAACAGCCACAAAGTAAGTAGTAGTTGTAGTAGAAGTGCTAGAAGTTGTAGTAGTAACAGGAGGAACAGCAGCAGCTTGTAAATCACCATCATATATCACCATAATATCTGAACAAAATATTCAGCAGGATGATAGCGACAACAGTTGTAGTATGTACAGTAGTGGCAGCAATATCATATTTTTATAGCGGTTACCATGGAAGTAGAAGTAGTAGTAGTAGTAGTAGTAGTACAGTAGTAGTAGTCAGGGGCGGTGGCGCGTATTTCAAAGTGAGAAATTCTTAAGAAATGATCAAGAAACCTTGCAATTAAATCTCCTTATATTCTTGCTTTGTCTCTTTCACAGTAAACGCAATATCTCCAACAACTCCGTTGCATTATCCTCCACCCAATCATCCTCACGCCCAACTCACCCACCCTGGTCACATGCCTCCGGTCAGTGCAGGCGGTATTATGTCCACCATGCAACATATGCCCGGTCACGCCAACCCACACGCCGCAGCCGTAGCCGCCGCCGCCGCAGCAGGCCTCGGTCACCATCAGCTCCCTCCAGGCGCCACGTTCTTGCACCACCAGCAGCAATTGATGTATGTACATCCAGGTTTCCCCAGTCCACCCGTGTCGCCAACGGGGCACCAGTTGTACTACCCTGGAGCCGCCACCGGAAACAACGCAGCAGCCGCAGCATTGGCGGCCGCGCAGAGTAACGCTATGATTCGTCTACGAGGGCTTCACACAGGCGCCACTGCCCAAGATGTCGCAAAATTCTTCCAGGGCTATGGGGTAAGTTTGTTAAACCTCTAACTGTTTATGTGGCTGTCTTTCCTTCAATGTTCTATGTTTATCAATTAAATATGGTCGTGAGGTTATTAACTTATGAAGGCTAATGAATAATTATTGATGTCTGCAAAAAGCTTACTTTGAATAATTACATAACCTATGATAAAGTAATTCAAAAGCTTTTGCCAACTGATTGTAACTGTCGTATTTAGAATCAATGAAAAACCTACGAGGAATAGTGCTTAGGAATCAATTAAAAATACAGAAACGACATCTGTTGATACTATGTGAACAGAAGTTCATGAGTGGCAAGATACTTTCCGACATGGGTGCACTCACTCTTTATAACTAAAGATATAGTTATCTTGTCATGCTTATGAGTGTAAAACAAATAACTCTGAAATGTCACTTTAATTATGCTTGGATCTCGATCAGTTCTACGAGTGCATGCCTTCTAAGCTGTACACCTCTCTGCACAATTATAATCGTTGGATATCCACTAGGTTGAAGAAAACAGATCTTCTGTTTACACTTTTTATTTCTTCAAGTGGTGTAAAAAAGAAAAAAAAAAGCAAATCAGCTAGCTTGTGGAAATATTCTGACATTATATTTTGATATAGAAACAAATCACAACTGCATGATGTTATAATCACTTTATTTTCTTGATAAATATTGAATTCGTAGTGATTGGGGCTTTATATGTGTGGGTAATGTCACCAACAGTATGCTCATGGAGAAGAGAAAACAAATAATGTTTAACATTTCAACCAATTGTTTCCTAACCACCCCCAACAAAGGGATTAACATCGGCCCGTGGAACAGAGTCGTGGCAATGACCTGGCGATCAGGGGGCCTAGAGGGGGTCAACCTATTACCCCTCTCTGGCTCCTAACTTACATACAGGGTGATGAACTCTAACTATGCAATAGGTACAAAAGACAGTTAACACTAACTGTGCTTTCGTTTTGGGGGTGCCTGGTGTTGGGGTGCATTTGTCATGGGCGCGAAGGTGTATTTATACCACTGGGAGCAATGAGGAGCTACCATTTGGTGTTTTTTTTTTGGTGAAAGGAATGAGGGGCAAGAGGGTGCATAATGTTCCGTTTGGTGTTGGTAATCATCAGGTGTTGGTGGAGGAAAAATCTTTAGTGGCGATATGCTGCATGGTGGCTAGAGCTATTATACAAGGACTCATTCATCTCACGGGGTTTGGTTCATCATATAACACAACTTTTTATTTCTGAAACGAAAGGTGTTGATATTTTCTCATCCATATATTTCTTGCATCATGATATTTCCTTACATTTCTTTTCGAGTGTGTGGTTTTCTCAAACATTTCACCCGTTTCTTTTTGAGAAAAAAAAGTTTATTGGATATTTACTAGTTTAAAATTCATTGATTTCTAAACACACACATACACACGACTTTGTACAATTTAATAGCCAATACTGGGTGCATGTTTTAGTTCGATTGTAGTTGGGATATTTCTTAGTGTCACTTTTTTGATAATGTTTATTCGGTGGATGCTTATATAATGAAGTTTAGTCATCTTCTTTAAAATTTCCAAGGTAATATTTCAGATTCAGATTATTACAAAAAACTGTAGTTGCGTATCACAAATCAATGAACACAAATCTGTGCATCTTTTTCAGAGTATACGTCCTGAAATTATTATGCAAATTCCATTATGGAAAGGGCAATTATTCGAGCAAGCAATGTCATCAAACTTCTATTTCATCTCCTATCTCATTCCCATATTAGCTGTTAGAAAGTCATCGACACATGGTAGATAACGGTGCCATTTTGCCATTTGCCATGATACAATATAGGTTACAGATATCGCTTATTGTAACTTGCAGATGAAACTGATATTTTGATAGCTATAGAGCTGTTTTATAGTTTATTTAAATAAAACGTTTGTAAATTCGCACCGAACCACCAAGTTTTGTGCGAATCTCTATATCAACAAAGACAATGGAATAGACGATTGGAAAGGGATTACAGTTTCATGTGTGATACGTAAAAGTCTAGTGCAATTTTGTGACAAACGAAATTTGCCAGATTTTAAATTTCGTTTTTTGTTGTTGTACCTTCTTAGTAAAAGAATCCAACAAAATGTCTTTAATATGTTTTTGAAATATAAATATTACACTAGCAATTTTATTAAAACACGATTATTATTTTTCAATTTAACTTCACCGTGTTTTTTGTGTGTGTTACGGGGCTAAAAAAGATGTTGATAAAAGTTTAATTCATAATATTTTTAATAAATTCTCCTTTTACCTTTTCACACATTTAGGTACCTCCAGAAAGCGTTCAAGTGAGTCAGAACGGCGAGGCCGTGGTCCCATTTTCTTCCCAAGACATTGCAGTTCGTGCACTGCAAGATCGACAACGTCAATTCTCCGGCAAAATGGAACTATTCGTTGCTTAAGGGCGAGTAAGAAGAAGATAAGAATAAATAGACGGATCGTCTGCTGCTGTGTGGGATCAAAATATTTGACTTGCTTGATCGCTTTGCTTAAACTCAAAACTCTTTTTGTATATCTATACACAAAGAGTTTGTGACGTAATTGCTAAAATCTTCCAACCTTTCTGACCCAGGCGTATAGAATGCTTCATTTTGCTCCTGTACGTATAATAACACGAACACATTGGCGAGTTTTGATTGGTTCGCTTTGGAGCATCACGTGCTTTGCTTTTGCACCAAGCCTATCCGATCGAACGCAAGTGTAAATATATGGTGACGCCAATAGGTTAAGTATGAGTTTTCAAAACTGTCATGAAAGATTGGAAGATTTCAGCATTGAGTGCGTCCATGCAAAAGAAAAAAATGAGTCTGGGTACCCACGACAACGGCTGATATATTATTTAATAAAATGAGCTTGCCAGGTTTGCTCGGTTGGTTTACAATTCCAGTAAAAACACTGTTCTTTAAAAAAATGTTTTTTCACCATTTTTGCCACAGTAATGATGTGTTTCTTTATGCTAACATGTGTGCAGAGGTATTGTCTTGAGTGTGTTAGAATTCCAGTATAGTCTATGTACATCTCCTTCATTCCAACTCCTTTGAAATGTCAAATATTAATGATTTTCCGCTAGGAATTTGTTTGAAATCTCATTTTTGTTAGACTAGTGTAAGATTAATCATCTTGGTTTTAACAGAAACAGTCTCACTTTCCAGCTCAATTTTTTTTAACTGAAATTTTCTTTGATCACGCATTGATTGTCATCCTTAGATGGAAATAACGAACAAAATTGTTCAAGCACAACTCAATTTGGAAAATAAGAGTTTGTTTCTAAATGTGATATTTTACTTATACGATTTTAGGATTTCGTCATTTACCTTGACTGTAAATGTATTTGTCCATCATCAGTACGAATTGGAATAGAAGTATTTCATTTTATTCTTCAAAAGAATAAAAAAGAAAAGAAGGGCTGTAGAAACGAAAAACATATGAGAAAATGAAGACTTGCCAGCCATTAAAATAACTACGGTTTAATGGTGAGCTTATTTTGATTAACCCTCAAATAAGGAATGATGCTGGCTTGCCGATAAAAGATAAAGAAATAATATTATTAATTTAGGATGATATTAATCGTATTAATGAACTCTTGTGTATAAATTCAAAGTAAGAAAATATATGAATTAATAACTGTATCAGTATGTATTGGTACGGTTGTAGATTAGTACTATTTCCAAGTTCTATATTTTGTAAATATTATATTTGACGCCTTGTTCAATGCGAGTTGGCAACACCAAAATGTGCCTTATATTATCATTAGACGGATGCCTTCCTGCAAAAGCTGCTATCTTTGCTTTCAAAGACTTCCAGTACATTTGTAAAATAGTTGTAACTTCCATATTTGAATGTATACACATAAATATGTAAATTTGCATTTTGTGATGTCTACTTGTACGACAAAATCCCTACGTCTTCCAAATATATTATGTGCTAAGTTTGTGACCAATATGAGTATCATTTTGATACTCGGTTAAATGAATTTGCCTTATTATGTGTTTATAAAATAATGTAAGATTAGCAATAATCATCGTTGTAATAATTCATGAATTCTAGTTTAATTATCAAGTGCCTACAGAATGTAAGCCAATGTTTAAGCTCGCACCAGGCTTCCAAATCATCAGTAAAACCTCATGTGTTTTTTAATGTTTTCAGTACCTTGATAACTATCCAATACATGTAAGATGAAACTCTGGAAATTTGATATATAGAATCTTTGTTGATGAAATGTCTAAGCACTGAATATATTATATAATCTCTTATTGATTGAAAGCATTTGAATCCGGGCAGTATTTTACCGAATAATGATATTTTTTTTAAAATCAGAGTTTGAATGAAAGCATTAAATACGTAGCCATAGCTCAGACATAGGAGGGGATTTAATCGGGGAACAAACGTTTAAACCTATGTTCATTCCAGGGTTAGCTATGCAAGAATGCTAGAACTATAAGTAAACTCTCAGAGTAAAGTACAGAAAAGAGATGTAATTTTATGATAATTATCAATTTGGCGGCGGAACCGGGAAAGTTAGTGGCATGGGTGGTTGCTCATAATTATTAGTGAGCTCCAACTTATCCCCGTCCCTTTCTGATTATGACAAGACTTTTCACATTCCGATAGAAATATGAAGACTTTGTGTTTCATTGATATTCCCCGGGCCAATATTCATTTTCTGAATGTGTATGATTCCATCATGTTTTGAACCACTTACCCTCGTTAGGTTCCGTCGCCCCTTAATAATCTTCTAGCTAGAAAAATTGTATTATATTAGAAATTATGAATATATTAAATAGATTAGTATAGTTTGAATTACAATTTTTAATCTAAAAATTTAGTATGATGTACAGAATTATGATCGAATTTATATTATGTATGAATATTAGATAATAATCTAGAAAATTAGACCTTTTTTTTTATTTGAGCGAACATATTATGTAACAAATGCCTTATTATGTATGAACAAAAATATTACAGTAGAGCTTTGCACTATACACGATGCAGTGATTTGTGTAATGTGTAATGTGGTAAGCAACATAATCTAGAGATTTCAAATGTATATTTTGTTTTGTTTTTAAAAATTGCACTTGCCACGCATGTACGTTATACATTCACTCTCGTTTGTCCTGTAATACCGTCGTATTGTCTAGCATTTTAGGTTGTCGTATTATAATGTAATTGTAATATCAAGATTATTTTGCTCTGTGTTGTTTAGTCGTAGAAAGATAAGAGGTTGAAACTATATCTCCATTGTAAATATATTTCATCGTTTGGCACAATGACTGTGTGTTGTATCAGAATTGCACTTCAGCTTACTAAACATACGGCCTATATGCTCCAAGATCTTACAAGTTTAGTCCGGTGACAAAAATGCCGATTCATATGAACAATAACAAGAACAACAAAACATAAATAGTTCTTTCAATATCTTGTTATCAAAATGCTGTTTGCCCTCAAAATAGGAAACCTCTTGCTCAGATATTTGGTACGTTTGATCCAATTATATTAGTAATGACAATAGCTTAATATTTAAAACAGAGGAATATTATTTGTCTATGCAAATTAGGCCGTTCTTGCTGTATTACATACAATTTCGCCACATTTACAAACGCACAAAGGTTATTATTTAAGAAGATAATGAAAGGTAAATTGATAGGGCTTTGATTTTCGGACATACTCCCTTCATACCTCGTTGTAGATCTCCGTTTATGTACAAGAAAGGGATATTGGAATATGTCAGTGTTTGTTAGTGACGCGATATTTCACTTCACGCTAAACTGTCTTTCTCTTTTAATCTACTTTAACAGATCAGAATCGTACATTTATTTCTTATAATTTGTATCGTTATTGCAATGACGTACTTCGTCATTGTATTGTCTTCGTTCACGCGTTCTTCTCTATTATTAATATTCTTCTTCGGACTTGTCTTCGTCAAGAAATCCCATTCATTTTGCACGTAGTGCTTCTTATTCCTATCTAGGTCCTTTCCTAATTTTATTATGTTTTATCTTTTAATACTTCAGCGCCTCTACGTTCCAATGCAGTTGACTTCTGTTGTCAACTCGGTCGGATTTCTTTAATGAGAAGTGTTTTATGTCATTTTTCCTCCATATGAATATTAGATTTAATATCAACGTTAGTCTGTAGATAGGGTTATATCATTTAGACAACATTTCGAAGGTTCTACAACAGGTCTATGTTTAAATGTTAGTTTGCCTCTGTGGTTGAGTATAATAGTTTTCCGTTTTTGATCATCACTGCAAAAACTTTCTCACACTGCGCTTGAATACGGTCATCTTTGTATAATCAAGATGTCTTTCTATTCTATCATGATTTAAGAAGTCCAGACAAAAGTTCGAAATTCGATATATATATATATATATATATATATATATATCAGAATAATCGACAAGTATCGAATTCTTTTCATCTTGATCAGGCCTAAAGTGGAGTTTTTCTTCATTTTCTGTGTTGTTTTTGGGGTATATTTTAAGAGTGGGGTGACGAAAGAGCACTTATATAAGTGAGGTATGTTTTCGGTTCACAAGGACATGACTTTAAAAAACCACGTTTTTTAAATGTTTTACAGCAGTGGCTGTTGCAAAGGGAGAATCGGGGAAATTACTTTTTGATGTGAATAGGTGTCATGGGAAAAAACATGCGGAGCCTTAATTCATTATTCGGGATTGTCTTGCATTCTGTATGGAATAATTCTAGTTTGGGCTCCCTGTTTCTATACTAACTCTTTGAGTAGTAGTTTATTTACTGAAGTGTGTATTTTCCCAGGTAGTAGGGATGAGTTGGTTCTTTGGAGGGTCCTTTTTTAATTGAAACGCCAGGGCTACAGGGTATTCTAAAAAAAATGTGTTGGGTCACGCAGTGACGCTATTCACATGTGCTACGCATGATACGTGCAATATTATGGTGTAGAAAAAAATGAGGAAACTACGAAAAATAGTATCTGTGGCTCAAATAATGAAAGAGAAAGAGTTTAGCAACTCGAAATTGCCAGGGATAGCTTTTGAATATGTATCAGATTTTTTAGATTTTGAATGAGAAGATGTTTAAATTTAGTGTCCAATAAAGATAATGAATTATATAGATTATACACAATTTGTCAACTAATAAATGTCTAAAAGATTAATTCACATGTCGATTGTGATATATACCGACAGGGTATTATTGTATATTTGGCAAGATATGTAGAGTAAAGAAAAATTATTGTATTTGAATTGTTCAGCAGTCTGTAGTTATAGGCGTAACAACAATTAACTGCAAACAATATTGATACAACTTACTGCAAGAAAATGATTTTTGCAGAATTGTTACAAAGTGAACATTTCTATCTTGTCACAGTCATTCTCAGTGTGATTAATTCTAATTAATGTTTCGAAAATTTCTTGTATTATTCATTTTTAGCAAGCTTCAAATAAATTTTCACAAATTATGTATAGATAAAAATGATGGGTATCCTCGTCTTTGTTTTGTATCGATGTAAACGTCTTTATGTTTCATTTTCATTTTGTGGATGAGGAAACAATTAGACATTTGATATGGAACATGTGCGGAGCGGAGCTTTGTGCATGTGTGTGTGTGTAGGTGTGTGAGAGAGAGAGAGAGGGGGGGGGGTAGAGAAAGAATGTGGAAGCATAATGAGAGAGAGAGAGAGGAGGGTAAAGAGAGAGAGAGGGGGGGGGGGGAAGAAAAAATGTGGAAGACAAATAACAGAGATACAGAGAGATAAAGGAGGGGATAGGGTAAAAAGAGACAGAAACTGAGGTAGAGGTATATGATCAGAGTGAGATGGAGGGGAGATACATTGGCAGAAATGGACGATGTTCTTGAATTAAAAATAGAAAAATAGGTCAACTTTTCTGAAATAATGCTATGGACGTTTTAGTGCAATAATAATATACAGTGCGTCCCAGAAAAAACGAAACCGAGAATTATCGTTGTTTTGTCATAACTTTATCACAATTATAAAATTTTACAATAAACAAAATGTTACCCCGGTTTCATTCACACACAATGAATACCATCTTCACTATGACTGGCGAGTATTCCTACCATATTATGGTCACTGTGAGGGCACAGGCAATTGCTAACACAAATGCTTTCATCATCCAACTGGGTCCCTGTTTCTCTATTGGGTATTAAAGGTTATACAAAGTTTTGGTATGGGGTCATGAATTTGGTTCAAATGAACATATTGGAAGCATATGCGATTCTACAATATTCAATGAACGCTTGCCGCGGTTGAAGTCGCAGTTACAATTGTATGGCCGTAAGCACTATTTGATATTCAATTATGTTCCAAAGCAAAAGTGTTTTGGGGGGCTAAATTTTCTAGTGCTTATTATACATCCACAGGGGCATCCAAGTATATCAAAATTGTAAAGAATCACTATCCAGCCAATTTTCAGAATTTCCCAAAGCATATTACCTTTAAAAATGTAGATTAATACCTTGCCAAAAGGACATTAGTGCTATGTCAGGAATCAAACCCCGAATTTGAATTTCATGTCAATTGTTTAAACCACTCGACTATGAAACTTCCATAACAATCAGCATCATCATCATGATGACCATTATCATCATCATCATAATATAATCACCAGCATCATCATTATCATCTTCATTATATCATTTTCACAATGGTCAAAACCAACCCCTCCCCAAAAAGTGTGTGAGTATGCAGGAGGGGGGGGGGGAGTTGTTATATATACACTCCCACCTCCCCCCCCCCCCCACCCAATCCCAAGCTACAGATTTGTGTAAGAACTTTGACCGTGTGTAAATTACAAAAACAATAATCAATTACTGACATCCTAACATCTACATCAACAGACATCCATTCAAACTACATGTACTTTCAAGTCATCACACAGTAACTTACACACATAATACTTGAACAAAACAAAAAGAATACAAGAGAACATTTTAAAAGCATAGCTTACAAAGCTTTCAATTTGATTGATAATGAAAGTACACACAAAGCAAAAAGTTAATACAAAATATAGCTAAATTCTGTCAATTTCATCTCCTAAATCAAAACTATCCTTAACCGAAGTTGCAGACATTTTCAAAAGACAAATTCAGAGGTGGATAAATCCATCGCTGTTGTGACCTCTTTTGCTGCCAGTCTCTCTTTTGATAATAATGCAGTTTGTCTTCAAAACACATTTTCCTAATTAAAAAAATCAGTTTTTTAAGGCCATTACTTGAGCCTGCACACACTTTATTCATCGTTATTGAATACTTTGCAAAGATGCACTTATTATACATTTTATTTGACACTTTATTTAAGTGTTGGAAGCCATTCTACAATACAGGACAAGCAAAGCTCTTTACGCAGTATTCATAAATACCAAACTACATCTATAATGACATTTTACAAGTCTGCCATTTAAAGGACCTGCCCACATCTAGCCATGGAGATGGTGATGTTTGATGTGGGGCAACCAACTTATGTACTTGCCCCAAAGATTATGTCTAAATGAGTGAAATTATATTCGTATGTAATTTTGATCATTGAAAAAGAGGACATCATCTTTTGGGGCAAGTACTTGTGTATTTGCCATTTATCCTTTGAATAGCAGGTACAAATCAACAGTGAGACACTGATATTATTCTTTGTAAACTGACTTTTTCTATTAAACTACGATGCTGTCTAGTTTCTATCATATTGCACATGCATAAATAAAAATCTTAGCTTTCCTTTAGAAGAACACACACACACACGCTTCAAAATATCAACATACTTGTAATTTGTCTGAACTTCAATTTCCCCCCAAACACCTTACCAACTGCATGTGGAATTACATAACATTCTCATACAGATTTACATGTCAATAACATGTTGTTTAATGAAAGAAATACTGACTTGTTGCTATCAATCTTCTTTCACAACTTCTTTGTTACATCATCGCTTGGGTCGAGAATTGGAATGACGATTATACAAAACATGATATAAAAGTACCCTTTTGTTTAGCTCATCATTCTGGCAGTTATCTCACACCTAAATTCTGACATGTCATACATATTCAACAATTGAAATATGTTCAGGAAGCACAATTGTTCAACTAAATAAACTAATTGGTAAATTTAAATTTGAGCATGCACATTTTTTGTATAAAAATTCAACTTTTGTTCCCCCCCCCCCCCCTCACACGTTTAGACCAATCGTATCAACAAGATTCGAGATTCGAGTTTGGAATTGGGAGAGATACATGTTCAACACAGAAAATGCATTGAGATTTTCTGTGCTATGTCATTGCAAGAGAAACCTGTTTCTTGAAGGATTTCAAAGGTCTTTCCCTTTTTTCAAAGATAATATCAAAATCAATCACTTTAGCTGGCTGCCCTATGACAGCCCTTGCATCCAATTTGGCTTGGATATTATCTCCAATACCTCATTTATTCTGAATGAAAAGAAGAAAAAAACTGATTCCATGGGTGGCACCCATGTATAGTTTGAGAAGTTATCTAAGGTATAGTATTTGACTCTGAAGAGTCTAAACCTAGTAACGCCTGTTTTGTATGACAGTAATACTTTCTTCATCAATGCTTAATTAACTATTTCTTATATGGCGCTTTTCAGGAAGGCCCTATCAAAGCGCTTTATAATAATAAATCAAATTAATACCTTAAAGGTACTATATCCCATTTGCAGCCAATATCTAATTCTGTAGAATTCTGTAGACTTCATTGTCATACACTCTTGAGTGACTGATGACTTTTTTTCTTTGGTAATAACATACATAAAATGAGCTGTAAAAGGTACTTGAGTATTTGTCTACATCAATAACCCACTTCTTGTAATAGCCAGAAAATCAGACTAAAAGGATTGCAATCACTTAAGTCAATTTGACAACTACTGCTCTCTATTTTCTCACTAAAAGACATTTTCAAGCCCTTTTGTTTGGAGGGAAGTTCTAAAGTAGTATTATCTTTCAAATGCCTTTGGAATTTAATCTTTTCATTTTTTGGGCCTGCACATGGGACATAGTACCTTTAATTAATTTACCTTTTACCTAAGAAAATTTAGAACCAAACGCATTGGTAATGCACGTTAAACTATACTGAAACCAGATAAAATTGATTAATATATCTTGAGAGCTGTACATTACATGAAGATATTGAGGGTTTAGTGACACAAAGATGTAACTCCATATTTTGCCAAAATGAGTACCGGTATTTGATATCAAAATATTCAGAAAAATGTGGGCTTTCCGGGAAACACAAAGACTTAACTCCACCCAACACCCCATTGAAGTCAATGGCTAGTGAAACATAGACTTAACTCCTTAAGGCCCAAATGCTCAGTGACACATAAACCACTTTTTCTCAAAATGGCCAAAATGGAGTTACGTCTTCTGTGTCACTGACCCCTCGATGTATGTCAAGAATTTGACCCTATGTTCCTTGCATGAGAAGGTTACTTAGGAGATTGACCACTTCCGGTGGGAGGGTGGAAACGCTGGAACTGAACTCATCGGGTTGCTTGCCCTTTGCTATTTGTAGGGTGTGGACCATCGTCAGCTTGACTTCTGGACAAAGAATAGAATAAAACAAAAAATAGACAATGACAATGAGTACTCTAAAAATATCTGTACATTTGTAAAATTAATTCAGTAAAAATGACACTATAATGACAACTTGTTCAGAAACACTAAATGTCTATAAAGACTGTAATTTTTTCTTTTTCTTTAAAATCTTTTCAATGAAATCTATCTTGACGTAACTTGTAGAGAAACACCACCTGTCTATGAAGACTGCATTTTGTTTCTTTTTCTCGAACAATTTTTGTTATTACAATGAAACCTGTACTAAAGTAACCTATACTTAAAGGGAGATAGTTGTCTGTTTACATGTGCAGAAGATCGTAATTTCTGACACAAGACTTGGTGAAAATGCCAGTATTGGGTGTACAAATCTTGCACACAGCAAACCCATGGTCCCATCAAAATATAAAATGCAGAGCATTACATAAGGCTTGTTGGTCATTAAACTAAAGGCTAAACCTGTTGATTGACAGCACCTAAATGTAAACACCTAAATGGTGTTGAATTCTCCATGAGAGCCCACTACTATAAGCGGGACTGCACTACTTGTAGCTACTTGCGCCCTCTATATAGCCAACAATGCCCGTTGATCCCCCATGGTCCCCTTTTTCTTGGGTTTAATTGGGAGCTAATTGATGAGATAACCACCTGCCAGTGACCACGCAGGGAGGTCTAATCCCTCCTGACCAAACTAGTGCAGACAGGCTTTAACGAAAGCCCTGTGACTAGCTTACCATCATTAAGTTCTTGTGTAGTAAGTGCCTGTGCATAGATGTTGATGAGTTGTGGGAGGGATTGGGTAAGAGTGACCTGGCCGGCTTCGTAGAGTTTGCCAAGGCAGGAGTAGACTGTAGAGTTCTCTTCCATATCCTCCCGGAGTGGAAGGTACTTCAGAAGAGTCGTCACCAACTGCAAGAGAAAGTCAGGAGATATTTACTATTAATGCTGGTTTTCTTTGAGTTAGAGTCTGTTGATGTACGACTAAACTTGATTGAATGATGGAAAATGACATGTTGGGTGTATTTTCTGTTTTTGGTGTTTCTTCATAGAGCTTTTCCAAGACAGGAGTCTTGCTGGGTCACACAAGTAGCTGTAAGCTTTGAATGTATTCCTTGTCATTTTGTTTTAAAGAATAAATCCTTCCTAAGACACAGATGATGGCATTATGACAGTCCTAAAACTACAATAAGAAATACCCACACATGTAGTGCATGCTAACTCTAAAGCATGTTCATTAACCCTTTAGGAACTGCTTGTCCGTTTTCGTCCATTTTCAACGCGCTGTAGTATCCTTCTATGGGGTCTACTGTGATAATGTTATACCTGCGTAATCCTTTCGATGTCTACAGTAGGATTTTGCATACAAAAATAGCGCATTTTTCATATTGTTTAGAACAATGTCAAAATTAGAGCATTATTGCAACATCTTCCAGTGAGTAATAGGTAATTTTTACAAAATCTCTAGTCGCTAATGGGTTAAGAAGACAACTCTTACCTGGTCTACAGGAACTAGGGTAGGGTTGCCAGTGATGAGACGACACACACTGGCACAGACATTATCAATGACACGCCCATTGGATTCTCTACCCATCACTCCTGATAAGATCTGAAGAATGCTCGGGAAATGTCTGAGAGGAGGTTCAGGCATGCGTTAAGGTTTAAATAACAGTGTTTGTGATATAAACAAAATATAACAAATAACAATAACAGAAACGGAAATAGCAAAAATAAACAAGGGGAAGGGGAAGGGGGAATAGAAGAAGAAGAAGAAGAAGAAGGAGAAGGTGAAGGAAAGGAGAAGGAGATGAGGAGAGAGATGGGGGAGGGGAGGGGAAGGGGAAGGAGGAGGGGAAGGAGGGGAGAAGTGGAAGGGAAGTGGGAGGAGAAGGGGGAGGGAAGAAAAGGGGAAGGGAAGAAGAAGGGGAGGGGAAAAGAAGGAAGGAAAAGGAAAAAGAGAAGAGCAAGGACAAGGGGAATGGGAATGGGAAGGGGGAATGGGAAGGGAAGGGGAAGGAGGAGAAGGGAAGGGAAGGAGGAGAAGGGAAGGGAAGGAAGAGAAGGGAAGGGAAGGAGGAGAAGGGAAGGGAAGGAAGAGAAGGGAAGGGAAGGAGAAAAAGGGAAGGGAAGGAGGAGAAGGGAAGGGAAGTAGGAGAAGGGAAGGGAAGGAGGAGAAGGGAAGGGAAGGAAGAGAAGGGAAGGGAAGGAGAAAAAGGGAAGGGAAGGAGGAGAAGGGAAGGGAAGTAGGAGAAGGGAAGGGAAGGAGGAGAAGGGAGGGGAAGGAGAAGGGAAGGGAAGGAGGAGAAGGGAAGGGAAGGAGAAAAAGGGAAGGGAAGGAGGAGAAGGGAAGGGAAGTAGGAGAAGGGAAGGGAAGGAGGAGAAGGGAAGGGAAGGAAGAGAAGGGAAGGGAAGGAGAAAAAGGGAAGGGAAGGAGGAGAAGGGAAGGGAAGTAGGAGAAGGGAAGGGAAGGAAGAGAAGGGAAGGGAAGGAGGAGAAGGGAAGGGAAGGAGGAGAAGGGAAGGGAAGGAAGAGAAGGGAAGGGAAGGAGAAAAAGGGAAGGGAAGGAGGAGAAGGGAAGGTAAGGAGGAGAAGGGAAGGGAAGGAAGAAAAGGGAAGGGAAGGAGAAAAAGGGAAGGGAAGGAGGAGAAGGGAAGGGAAGTAGGAGAAGGGAAGGGAAGGAAGAGAAGGGAAGGGAAGGAGGAGAAGGGAAGGGAAGTAGGAGAAGGGAAGGGAAGGAAGAGAAGGGAAGGGAAGGAGGAGAAGGGAAGGGAAGGAGGAGAAGGGAAGGGAAGGAGGAGAAGGGAAGGGAAGGAGGAGAAGGGAAGGGAAGGAGGAGAAGGGAAGGGAAGGAGGAGAAGGGTAGGGAAGGAGGAGAAGGGAAGGGAAGGAGGAGAAGGGAAGGGAAGGAGGAGAAGGGAAGGGAAGGAGGAGAAGGAAAGGGGAGGGGGAAAAGGGAAGGGAAGGAGGAGAAGGGAAGGGAAGGAAGAGAAGGGAAGGGAAGGAGGAGAAGGGAAGGGAAGGAGAAAAAGGAAAGGGAAGGAGGAGAAGGGAAGGGAAGGAGGAGAAGGAAAGGGGAGGGGGAAAAGGGAAGGGAAGGAGGAGAAGGGAAGGGAAGGAAGAGAAGGGAAGGGAAGGAGGAGAAGGGAAGGGAAGGAGAAAAAGGAAAGGGAAGGAGGAGAAGGGAAGGGAAGGAGAAAAAGGGAAGGGGAGGAAGAGAAAGGAAGGGAAGGAGGAGAAGGGAAGGGAAGGAAGAGAAGGGAAGGGAAGGAGGAGAAGGGAAGGGAAGGAGGAGAAGGGAAGGGGAGGGGGAGAAGGAGATGGAGAAAGAAATGGAGAAGAAGGAGAAGGGGCAGGTGGTATGCCTGTAAATTCTCGCTACCCCAAATAGCGATTCTGCTGAGATCCGGGGAAAATCCTGAAAACGCGCATTGCATTATGGGATAGCTTTTCGACATTACAGCTTCCTGTGCAGGCGTTCGTGATCACAACCCTCTCTTTCACGGTAGAGTTTAACGGCCTTTTGTGCTAAAGTCACTAATTCTGCCCGAAGCTTTCCATTGCATATTATAATCTGTACAAATTACACTGATTGGCATCGATTTTAGCGTGCGTGAAAACTCTGCACAGCGAACACAGGCGCTAGCGCCAGCGGGATGGGACTCTATACCGGAAGTTGTAGTGACGACCCGAGAGAGTGAAAATTACCTCGTCTCGCGAATTTCGAGATTTTCGTACCTATTTAGGGTAGCGAGAATTACATGTATGTGTACAAATGGACTGTCAATTGCAAGGATACTGGTAAATAGTGTCACTGCCATGCTCCGCCAGGACACCTAGACCAAAGACAGCATTACTTCTGACCTCCTCATCACCATCCTGGGTCAAGAGAGTGAAGATGGTCAAGAAGGTTTCAGCAAAGGGAACAATTCCACCCTTCAGAGCACAGACCGTCTCAGCAAGGATGCCAGAGGCAAAGGACTTGTCCGACGCAGGACAGTTCTTTTTCTGATAAAAAGGGGAAAGAATCAAGATTTTGACGCAATTACTAGATGTATGTCAAAAAAAATTAAAAATTGCGCTTCAAAATGATCATGAAGTGCCTCAAAAAAGTACAAATCTTGGAGTGACCGGTTTTACCATACTCATTTTCCCCAATAGACTGTAATGTTACCTTGAATACAAATGACTTTTTTTTTTCTTATAATTTTAACGTAAAGAAATGTGCAAGACTAATAGAAGAAAGAGATTGTGAAAATGTTTATTGCATACGGCAAGGACTGCTAAGCAGTACAAATTTGTGTCTGATGGCGAGTGGAGTAAAGGCCTATAACACAACCCATGGTATCTCATTGCAATGACTTCATACAAGAAAGGCATTCTCAATAGCTATGTACATCACTACTAGTTTAGTGCTAGGCAAAAACTCCACGGAAAACAGTATTTAACTACTGATGGAGCCACCCTACTAAAAAAAAGACTAATAAATAAAATAATTGCATCCTCAGATCTCTTTCTTACCGTTCTGGAAACCAGTAGAGGAAGCATCTCTGTAACCAGGGAAACCGCCACGTCCTGCTTGCCGTCCAGTGCCTTGATGATGGTTGGGATGAGATCACCTGCGCATTCCACCAGGATGGCATCCTTCTCTGCCTGCTCACCCTCATCATCCTCCTCCTCTTCCTCATCTTCATCCTGGCAGGCAGTCTGGATGATGATTAAAAAAGACATGCAGGTTGGAAAATGCATTTCCCCTTGAAATCACCATCTTGGGCTCTCATGGGTTTTTAACCTAACCTAGCCATCCTATCGCTGCATTTGATTGGCTCAACAGGAACTTATACGTCATGCAATAGTCATTAATATTCATGATACGCACGCACACAGAATCTGATGTGATAATTTATCAAATAATGAGATTTCATCTAAAAATTACAAGTGCAAAGCTATATTTACTTATAATAAATGACATTGCGAGAAAATCGGGAGGCTTATCGTAAATGAATGACTACCCAGGTCGTAACTTGTCCATAATTATTGCGACATACTGGTTAGTCCAGAATCTGGCTGATTTATTTTGTGATCTCCATCACACCGTACCAGCGTAAATATTCATATATTCAAATATTAATATGCAGCGCTAGGATGGCTAGGTTAGGTTTAAAAATGACGCAAACTGGACACCATTCAGGTGTTCATGTGATAACAGATGCTACACACCGCAGAGAGTGGACTTCACTATTACGATCGATGAGTCTTAGGTCCATTAACTTCACAAGAAATGTCAAACTACAAGGTACATTTATCATTAATTTTTAACCCAAACCAATCTTACCACTGTCTGATATCTACAACTAGGTCATGCTCTAAATAATTCTGAATGGGACGTCATGTCTCTTTTTTTCCCCGCTGCATGTGAGATTTGTAAACAATAATTAAAGCAGCTCAGTAACAAGGAAAGGATGTTGAGGATATAGGGCCCAGCTGACAAACACTTTTCGCAACTTATTTGCGATTGATATCGATTGCAAGATTCACAACTACATACATAGAAGATAGGAGACTGCAAAATCGCAAATGATAAGAGGAATCGCGATTGGATCAATTGCAACTCTTTACACGACGGGCCAGGGTCTGTCACAGTTACAGAAGTTTTGTATTGTGCATACACGACAACATAAGTTTTTGTAAAATGTACCAATGAGAAAACTAGATGGAATTTTGACTGCGCGCAGTCGAAAATGATGCCTCCGCCATAGAGCAATTTAAACAAGTTTGGAGTTTAAAATCTCCAGTGGTTCTTGAGATATCATGATAACAATCTCAATGTATGGCATTTCGTAAGTTGACCTCTGTGACCCTTGACCTTTGACCTACGTGCTCCAAAATCTAATCAGATTGTCTTCCTATGGTGATACACACTATCATTAAGTTTGAAGTTTAAATCTCCAGTGGTTCTTGAGATATTATGATATGGTGATACATACTATCATTAAGTTTGAAGTGAAAAATCTCCAGTGGTTCTTGAGATATCATGATAACAATCTCAATGTATGGCATTTCGTAAGTTGACCTCTGTGACCCTTGACCTTTGACCTACGTGCTCCAAAATCTAATCAGATTGTCTTCCTATAGTGATACACACTATCACTAAGTTTGAAGTTTAAATCTCCTGTGGTTCTTGAGATATCATGATAACAATCTCAATGTATGGAATTTCATAAGTTGACCTCTGTGACCCTTGACCTTTGACATACGTGCTCCAAAATCTAATCAGATCGTCTTCCTATGGTGATACATACTATCCTTAAGTTTGAAGTTTAAATCTCAAATGGTTCTTGAGATATCGCGCTAACAAACTCAATACAAGGAATTTCATAAGTTGACCTCTGTGACCTGTGACCTTTGACCTACGTACTCCAAAATCTAATCAGATCGTCTTCCTATGGTGATAAATACTATTCCCGAGTCTTAAGTTTAAATCTTAAATGGTTCTTGAGATATTGTGATAACGGTCAAACGGGACGGACGTACGGACGGACGTACGGACGGACAACCCGAAAACATGATGCCTCCGGCACCACCTTCGGTGGCGGAGGCATAAAAATATTCTTCCACGTTACCTCTATCTATAAAATGTGCTATCATACTATTGGTTCAACAATTTGTGAAAGAACAAAATAACATAGGAAGAATTTAATTCCAAAAGGAGCTATATCCACTTGAAAATTAGAGTTATTGATATCAGAACATTGTTAACTTAAGTACCCGTCTTTTAACAAAAGCATTTACCTAAACTTTTGGGAGCAATTAAGAAAAATGCACCTTCTAATATCACCTTACCATAGATGCCTGTACAAAATCTGGTACACAAACCTGGTACACAAATCTGGTAAACAATTTTGTAACTTCTTTTTCTCAGAAGTTACAAAATGGATTTAGCTCCTTTCGGAATTAAATTCTTCATATATCTCGCACTAAAATTAGCGTTGAACCCACCTTCTGTTGTAGAACATTCTTGATAGTCCCTGTGATTGCATTGAAGAACTCTGCGTGTTTGACGACCTCTGGACCGATGGCTTCCAAAAGCTCCTTCATCCCTTCCAGCGTTGTTATGACAACAGACCTCTCGCTGTCAGAGTCAATGTTCTCCACAAAGTGAGGTACCACCTGCTCCAACATCTCGGATAACACTGAAGAGATTCAGAAGAAAATGGAAAACAGAGAGTGTAATTTTCGCTACAGAAATATGTGTAGTAGCACTGACCTAGATTCACATTGGAGAGGTAAAGGCTATGACAAGAAATATAAGATAGGGTCTTGGGCATAAAAAGATTAAGAAGCAGTGTCAGTAGAGGGTTGTCGGGGAGAGGGGAGTTGTCCTAGTACTTTAATAGGTAGATGTATCAGGGGTGATAATTCGGATGGCAAGATGGTAGAGGTGTCGTGGTCGAGTGGATACATTTCGTCGCCGGACTGTCAATCACAAGGTCCGAGGTTCGAGTCCCGCCGCAGCACTAATGTCCTTTGGCAAGACATTGATCTACACTTCCCACACTCCACCCAGGTGGAGTAAATGGGGACCTGGTAGGAATTTATTCCTTGAAACGCAGCGCGCGTAACAGCTGCATTGCAAAAGCCAAAGTATTTATTGTAGCGCTTAAAGACTTCTGATAAACTAATTATTTAATACTCCTAAATTACCATCCGATTGTGATGACACCGTCATGTTTCCACACTGGCCTAGCGTACAGCATAGCTGCCCTGAACACACCGTAGCTGCCTTGCGTATGCCAGGGGCTGGGTAGTCCATCAGACGATACACCTCATTGTAGCATTCCTCAATGTATGGGAGAAAGGCTGCCCTGTGCACAACAGGACAGGATGATAGAATCAATATGTAAAAATGGAGATTTCAAGTTTTTTTAAATTTTTAAATATATCGAACAACATGTGATGGCACTGCTTGTCTTGAGAAAAGCTAATCTAGATACTAAGTACAAAGACATACCGGTACACATATTGTTGAATTGGTACATTAAAATGTAATTGAAAAAGAAGAAAAATCTGTATTGTAAAAGAAGACATTTTTTGGACATTTGTGTTATTGTGTAAACATCAGAGGAACATGTTGCCCTCATATGACATAATCTTGCTGCTGAGTAAAGGATACAATTCCTCTTTATCAACTACTCTAGGAGGAATGAGATATAATTGATGTCATGTTTCAACATATCAAAGTTCTAACTGTAGACTTCTGACAAAACAGGCGGTATGAGATCCCATTATATTTACAGAATGTCCACATGCTCCTTAACATGTAATGCAAGGAGCTTGGATGAAGAGTATGTAGGTCTTACTCTCCTTTCTGTTTTCCAACTTACTGATATGAGAAAATGACCAGCAAGTCTTGACCGCAAGAAAGGGACATTGTATTAAGTGCTTTATAAATGTAATTTATTATTATTATTATTATTATTATTATTTATTATCTCTTACAAGGGAATGAATTAGGAAATGTATTTCATATGACTATGGAGTTGTGATTTTTAGAGTCCCATACAAGCTTTGAACTTTCTGACAAACATAAACTTTATGATTAAAAAAAAACCTTTGTCAACACTGGTCAATCTTTAAAATACCGGTCAATCTAGTGTATCAATATCTTTCCTTTTTTCAGACCAATGTTCTTACATTTGATTCATCTTGGCAAAGCAAACAAGATGGAGGAGTTGCCGCATGAAAGGGGTAGGGTTATAGACGTTAATCTACATTAACCACACTCCACCCAGGTGAGGTAAATGGGTACCTGGTAGGATTATTCCTTGAGATGTACTGTGCACTAATAAAGGCTGCGGAAGCTAAAGCTAGGGTAATGTTGTCCATAAGCTCTTTGGAAGGGTGGAGGGGCATTATATCATAATGTGTTATATGGTATACAAGAACGGATTATTATTATTATTATAGAGAAAAATAAATATAAGGAGGAGGGGGGGGGTGGATGAGACAGGAAGGGCAGACGATGTGAAGAGGTAGTATGGGAGAACATAAGAAACACACTTGTTTGCCAAAAAAATCCAACTTACTTTGTGTGCAGGGCTACCTCTGCCATAGCGTTACAGGTATCTTCCTTCTCTTCCAAGTAAGAATTTTCTACGTTGTACCTGAACAAAATCACACAAGATAAATGTAAAACCCATTAACATTTATCATTCTGTCACGCACACACCATTTATAAAATACTAGAGTAGAAACACTGTTTTGAAAGAAAAAGGTGAGGTATGATGGCTCTGTGAGAGAGCAGTGTTTCTGTGAAGAGGTCCAGGTTTGAAACTAAGCCTGTGAGGTAAGGCCCGTAGGTTATTAAGCATTAATCTTTTAACCCTTTCCCTAGTGAAACCGGGTTGTTCCTGTATTTAACCTATAGGCAATGTGAGTCAACGAGTTAATATGTCACTCAGATAGGGCATAAAGCTGGAGGTGCAATCATATACTTGCTTTATTTAATAGCAGCCAGGTGAAATATATCATCAACCAAAAATTAACATGGTTTTATTCTGCAGTCAGGCCTTTGTTTTATCTGTCAATCACAAATTATAGCCATGCATACTGCCAGCTCCTATTCATAAAAAAAAAGAAATATCTGGTTTTGAGTCATGATGGATTTCAGTTTGTGATTTAAGGAACTTACCCTTGAATCTCATCATCATCCTCATCTTCATCCTCTGTATCGGAGACATCTTCACCACCATCTGTACCGTTACCGTTGACATCATCAAACAGACTCTGCACTCGACTCTCTTCCTCATCAAAGTGAGGCTGAGGGGAAGAAAATATATTGAACTATGATTGACAGGGCGGTTCACTACTACCGTTCCTCACATGCTCCAAGATCTTCGTCAAACAACAGCTTCAAATGTATGGTACAATAAGCCAGTTCATGGCTGCAGTCTGAGCATGAGCAAATAAAGGTCATTGCAGACCAAATTGTGAAATACATGGAGACAAAATACTGGATACGTGCTCATGAAAGTTGTGTGATCATTATTCATTTATGCACAAGCAGTGTACTCTATAATACACAGGTGGAAGTATTCTTTGAAATGGGGAAACAAAGGCTATTTATGTAGCACCTCCATCGCTGTAGGAGTGATTAGTTCAAAATGTACAAAGTGGGATCTCTTCATGTTTTGAAGATCTGTAGATATTCGGGGTCATTTGGGACATGTGCTAACCGTGAACTGGTCTATTACAGTTGCTCCAACTTCAATTGCTGCTACAACTCCTACTTATATCAATACACTGTTCACAACGACTACCACAGCTACAAATGCTTCTGCTTCTGCTTCTACTCCTAGAGCTACATACAAACTACAATTGCTGCTAAGGATACTGCTTCAGAAGCCATAGTCATTACAGTTAGAACTAATACATGTGATACAACAGTACTTTAAAACACTCCTATAAGTGCTAAAAACATGACAACTTCTACAATATTATAACTGAGAGGAAGAGGAATTATCATTATACTAAATCCACTTTACAGAATGTCCACATACTCTTCCTGCTCCTTAACATGTGATGCAAGGAGCTTGAATGAAGAGTATGTAGGTCTTACTCTCCTTTCTGTTTTCCAACTTACTGATATGACAAAATGACCAGCAAGTCTTGACCACAAGAAAGGGACAGGTCATCTCTTACAAGGGAATGAATTATTTCATACAACTATGGAGTTGTGATTTTAGAGTCCCATACAATCTTTGAACTTTCTGACAAACATAAACTTTATGATTACAGAAAGACATTTATCAGTACTGGCCAATCTTTGAAGTTCGTTCGTTCGTGTCTCCTTAGATCAAGATAGTTATGTAAAGATAGTTGTCTTTGAAGTACCAGCCATTGAAGAGTTTCCATATTTTTTCACAAGAGGAATTATCATGATAAGTGCCACTTCAAAATCATTAGAGTATTGGTGTCACTACCACGATCATTCTCTCCCCTCTTCCGCTCCACGACTCTGCAACCTTCTACTCTTATTTTTTTACTACCGGTAAACATAAAATTGCAACATTGTATTCAATTAAAGCCCCACTGTACCACTTGTAGCTACTTGCTCCCTCTATATAGAAAACAATGCCTAATCGGTGCCTGTTGGTCCCCCATGATTCCCTGTTGCTTATATTAATTGAGAGCTGAGTTCATGAGATAGACACCTGTCAGTGACCTCCCAAGGTGGTCTAATCCCTCCTATCCACACTAGTACAGACAGCCTTTAATACGAGCAACACTCTTGAGCAAATGGTCTATGCAAGAGAAAGTGATACCCACTTACCACGACACCATCTGTAGATCTTAACGAGTCTAACATGAGTTGGGTGATAGCAGGGAGATGGTTGGACATGCTCTCTTCTAGGACCGATGCGATGGACGCAAACAGATTATACCTGCAGAAGTACACGGACGACAAGAAACAAATTTCCAAAGAGTGATCTAGACCAGTAGAATAGTTTACTGTGTGACATTACTGCATCACTCCAAAGATGATTTTGCCACTGCTAGACGGTGACAGGCAAGTTCTCAAAATCTGCATATACTTCCTAATCCTTTATGAGTTGATTTAATTTTTCACATAAATCTTACACGCCGGTAAATTATTAGCACACTAAACTATACATCTGTAATAGCTGAGACTTCCATGTGTCAGCAAGGTAATAACAAGAATATGGAAACCTTCAGAAAAGCACAGCTTACTCAAAGATTACTGCAAGTTTCATAATACACTATCTCGCAAACTGGTTACCCTTTATTATGTATGAATAAGTATGTGCCTTTAATCCATGGCAACATAAATCTGATCAAAATTCAATCATAAAAAAACATTAATATAAATTTATGATTTTTATCTCTATCAGGGCTGAGGTTCAGTGAATTGCTGGTACTGTACATTCTACAAACAACTCCTGCACACAAATCTATTCTCAAGTGGCCCGTCTATGAGTATACCTACGTGCATCTTCTAAGATCAGGGTCGTTGACCTCATCGATGAGTTTTAGACCAAGTAGAATACACTCCTCTGTTAAGGGCATGAAGTTCTCTTTACCAATCTTCCTTGCTAGAACACCCAAGGTGTCTGAAAAATGTCAAATAACATGGGATGGGATGAAAGACAGTGTTACTCATCTGATACTGTACAATCTGTAATCTGTAATCAGGGGGGTGTTTCACAAAGATACTATGTCGAACTTAACTCTAAGTTGGACTTAAACAAAGTATTTTAGACTTTTCATAAATTCCACATAAAGAACATGAAATCTCATTAATATTAGAAAAGAAGAAAGATTTGAATCAACATTTTATGCCTTTTAAAATAACTTTAACAAAATATTTTTTCAAAGATGCTAACAGCTTTCCATAATTTTTAAGTCCAACTTAGAGATAAGTTCAACTTAGGATCTTTGTGAAGCACCCCCCTGAGCTGTAAGTGTGACTGTACTGAGCTCTGAAAGTTACTATAGTTCAACATTGAAGGAAACCTTACCCCAGACATAACTTCAGTTATTCTGAGAGATCTACAGTGGTTTTGCCCATTAATCTACATGTTTCCCCACCAAAGTGAATGAAGAAAGATATTCTTGGCATAATGTACAGTTTCTAAATTATGATCAAATATCAACTGTTTATTAGATGGGGCCCAGGGGTAGTCTTGAAGTCATCAAAGCAAAGAGTAGAAAACCCACCTATTGATTGTATCTGTAGGATGAGTGAGTCTCCAGAGTGGACATTGGTTAGGTAATGCTTCAGCTGCTCCATGATGGGATGGAAGAAGGGCAGCATGTGTTCAGACGCAGCATTCCCAGCAGCACCTACATGTACGTACCACACAAGAAAAACTTGCAATCAGGATAATGTGAATGATCCATTGACAATATTATTTTCTCTACAGCACCTATATGTATATACCACAGCAGGAAAAATGTGCAATCGGGCAATGTGAATGATCCATTGACATTATTAATTTCCCTGCAGCACCTACACGTTTATACCACAGCAGAAATAAAACGTGCAAGCAGGACAAAATTGACCCGGGTTCGAAACCAAGTCGATGCGCTAGTGCCCTTTGGTAAGGCATTAATCCTCATTACCAGGTCCCTCGGAGAGGACCTAAAGCCGTTGGCCGTCTGGTTGTTTACTTTTTACATTTTTACATTTTTTGCATTTATGCTTTCTTAGCAGTCATGTAAAATAACCACCAATAACCAACCAATAACCAAATAGTAGAATGCAAGTTATGCTTATGAATACTTTATATAACACATGGATGAATAGCTTACCAATAGCACTGATGGCTAATTCAGTGATGTGGACATCTTGTGCGTTCTGCAGCATTGTTAGTAGGTGCCCCATTAGGGTAGGTAAATAGGGAACAAGTTCTGTGCCTGAATGGTGAAGAGAAAAAAAAAATTAAACTAACCAATAAAGGCTTAAAACTACCGGTAATTCAATTAACGTAATCAAGGGACAGGCTACATATCTTGCTATGACGGCAAGAAAGAATGGGTGTAGACACTCATGTATGATGATACAAATAATACACAGCAGTGAGGGCATTAGTAAGAATCACCCGCACGGGGTACCTTTGGAACAGTCTAACACGCCCGAGGCAATAGCAGAGGGTGTTTGGACTGTTTTGGAGGTACCGAGTGGGGGTAATTTTACTGATGCCTGAACAAAATGATGTGTATTATTTGTTTTATGAGATTATTTTTTGTTGTTATATAAAATGATGTTTTATAACATGATTTTGATAATGGCCGGTCATTATCTAAATTACGCGTTAGACAAAATAAAACCTAGTTACGTGTACGCTTTCAACCAATCATTTAATAAGGAACCACGTCATCATCTTATAAAAGCCATTGGCCGTCACCATCCTCAGTTAACAATAGACCGGTACACGTATGAATTTTTTATAACTGTGTAGTGCGATTTGAGCAAACTTTCGGATATTAAAGAATAAAGCTGGGCAAAAAGATGCATCATATAATGTGACAATATTAAAGAATTATCAGTTCTTTTTCTCTTCTTTTCATGTCAGACATCTGCAATAGCTAGAGGGTTACAATTAAGCAATAACCATGAGAAACAAGAGTGGCAAAACGGCACAGAAAACCACATTCTTACCTAGATTCTCACAGAACATCTCTAGTGCGTAGTATATCCTGGTGATGCCCTTGGGCCTCTGCTCGGCATTCTGGGAAGTCGTCAGAGCGAGATAACCGAAGAGAAGAGGGAGGAGCTGGTTGTGGTAGCGCGATATCTCCGGCTGGAGATGCTCTGAGAATTGACCTAGTGCAAACAGGCCTGCGTTGTAGACGACAGGTCGGGGGTCACGGATGCCATTACAGATGCTTTCTAGGAACTGTTCAAGGTGCCTAAACAGGGGGTTACAGATAGAACAGAGATGTCAAATGATAGTTTCATATTATATACCTCACTTAAGAAATCTAGCCATCTGATTGGTCGAATTTGGAGTCATGATTTTAGCCATTCCCGTAAAGAAACAAAAAATGCCAATACTAGTTAGTAGTCCAAGAGTGAGATCCCTCAAAATTCTGTTTAGCATGAAAATAGTAAAATTTTGCTGCGATACCCATTGGTTTGTGAGAGCGCGGACACCATACAGTGCTTTTTGTCTGCGATTCCCAAATGATTGGAACTTTCAGTCATTTTTCAATCAAAGACTACAGACAGTGTCTCAGATTTTCTGTGATGTTTTAACCAGTCTTTACTCAGTAAAAGGATAAGGTAAGAATTCTTGATAGATATTTGTTTCAATTCGGCATACAAAAGACATATCGACTGCTTTAATATTCGAGGTCTGGCTGCTTTAAATGCCCTCAGGAACTAGCACGTCCTGCCATGACCCCTCGGCCCGCTGCCCACCCAGGCGCGCCTCAGGGTCATGGCCAGGAGGTGCGTGCATTCCCTTGAGCATATAAAACAGCCAGGCCTCTCAAAGCAGTCGATATCTCTATACCATTACAGATGTTTCAGATGTCTACATACAACCATTAGACTGCAACCTCGTCACATTTTTCACAATAACACCCCCTTAAAAACATCTAGCTATGGAGTAATTGTTTGAGGTTGTGTGAGGGAAAGGGGGGGGGGGGGCGTCACAAGTAGATTGTCTGCCTAGAAATCACTTCCACAACATCAACCAAACAGCAGCCTGAAGTTTAACTTCATTCCTTCAAACAAGAAGAATTCACTTCTTCTGATAACAAGCACATTATTCGCCTAAAACAGGTGAATTAGATTATAATTGAAGATTTGCAGACACTTACTTTTTACAAACATAATCTGCACATCCCTCTGCCAGGACAGCTAGACTCACCAGTCCAGCCTTTTTCTGATACGGGTCTTCACTCTCCAGGGCGGGCTGTACCAGCTGCAGCAGGTGGGGGACTAGCTTATCTGGCGGGAGGTGCAATGCCATGGTGTCTAAGACCTACAAAATTGACAGGCAAGGTACATAGAGTGATGAGGAGGCGCGATAGCTCAGTCGGTAGAGCAGTGGTCTCGTAATCCGGTGACCCAGGTTTCAAAACCAAGGCGATGTGCTAGAGCCCTTTAGTAAGGCATTAATCCTCATTACCAGGTCACTCGGAGAGGACCTGAAGCCGATGGGCCTCTGGTTGCTTACTAACAAGCATATACAGGTATGCTTTCTTAGCAGTCCGGTAAAATAACCACCACTAAACAAACATCATGTTAGGACAGAGTAAAACATTATGTCATGGTCTAGTGGATACGTATTTGGACTGTGGATCACAAGGTTCACAGTTCGAGTCTTGCCGCGGCACTACTGTCCTTCGGCAATAAATTCATTTACATTTTCCACTCTCCACCCAGGTGTTAAATGGGTACCAGTAGGAAGAAATTCCTTGAATACTGTGAACACCGATATCGGTAGCCTAGCAGGGCTGCTGTAGTATTGGAGCGCCCTGAGCACCTTGTATGGTGAATATGTGCACTAATTATATCAACTATCAATATTATTATTGTGTGGGTGTCATGGCCTAGTGGATAAGGTACCGGAAATAAACTGCATCAAGTCCCAGCGGCAGTAATAAAGCCACTCGCAACCTACATGTAGGTGAGGTTAGTGGGTACCTTGTAGGAAGAAATACATTGAACGGTTCCAGCACCTTAGAGCAGCTGGGCCAAAGCAAGGGTAATATATGAAGGAGTACTTTAGGCATTCCCGAATACATGCATATATAACAAATGAGCTGTAACTATTATCATTAAAATTATAAACGTCATCCTCATCCTCATCATCATCATCATCACCATCATCTTCATCATCATCATTATCACCATCATCATCTTCTTCATGACATCATCATCATCAATATCATCATCATCATAATTATGTTAATTATCATCATCATCATAATCATCATCATAATCATCATCGTCATCATCGTCGTCATCTTCATCAACGTCGTCATCATCATCATCATCATCATCATCATCATCATAATCATCATCATCGTCATCATCGTCGTCATCGTCATCAACGTCATCATCTTCATCACCACCATAATCATCATCATCATCATCATCATCATCATCATCATCATCATCTTCATCACCACCATAATCATCATCATCATCATCATCATCATCATCATCATCATCATCATCATCGTCATCATCATCATTATCATCATCATAAGATTTTACCTGTGCAGCATATGATGATGGTGAAGAAGACTCTACCTCCTCCCCATTGTCATCCTCTTCTTCCTCTTCCTCTTCCCGCGAAGAGGGCGCACACATGATCGGGAAAAGAATGTTCAAAATAGGCATCACCAGTTTGTTCTTCAAGATAGTCTGAAAACAGATATTAAAAAGAAGGAAATTACCCTCTGGCTCAAGATCGCAGTGAAAATGCACTCGGATATGGGCATGTAAACAGTTCCTTCCATACACTGCCCAGGGGAACTCTCAGACATACAGTCACTGCATTTACGCTTCAACTTTACTTGATGACATTAGCCTTTTCCGATTTGAATTTCATAAATTCTGCTACGTGAATAACAAAATAAATGAATTGGAGGTTGAGATATTGATATTTCTAATTGAGATGACGTATACATAGCGACAGATGGCATTTCAATATATTTTAATTCCAACGTTGTCAAAGATTTGTTGCCAAATTATTACTCTAACTAATTTCAATCTTTCTTTGTGTTTCGTACTAATATGACCAAGAAATTCTGTATTTTCAGCAAATAATCAATTTTTTTTCTTGGGATTACAAACGTGGCGGTTATCAAACAATTATCTGCAAGGTGTCACTTTTGCTTCTTGGTCACAAGTTCCCATACATAATTCTGTGTCGGTTAAAAAATTGCACCCTCTCGATTGTTCATTAAAATAATGGCAAAGAGCCATTGTGGAAAAAGAAGTTGTTGTTTTTTTTACCCGAGAGAGATAATTTGCTGCTTTTTCTGAAAGACCATACTGTTCCTCTAAAGTATCATTATTTGTTTCTTGTATGTGCTCTTTATTCAAATCTTATCAATCATCCATCAATTTGGAATTTAGAAAAGAAAAACGTCTCTTGAGTTCAAGGCACGTTTTTTTGTTGTTGCCATGAATAACAAAACATTCAACAAGTATGAAGGTTCATGTTTCAACTTTCATAAGAATGTGATAATAATGTTTTTCCAAACTGTCATGGCATGATTCATCCTTTGTGGTGATACATGCACATTCAAGTGACCCAAGGGGGCTAACTTTCCTCTCATCCCCAAACCACACTTTCAAACATGACAAAGGATGAAAGTGGGTTATCATGCCAGGGAAACAATGGCACTGGCAAATGAGCTTGGTGGGAGAGGGGCGCTAACAAGAGCGATGGGGGGTGACACATACCTTCTTTTTTAACTTTGTTAACCAGCTGATGAAAGACAGGGCCTTGACGCGGGCGTTGTTGCCAAGGCTTCCGTTACTGGCTACCTAACAAAAGGAGGGGGTTTTTGGTGGGTGAAATGGGGTGGGGTTGGGTAGGGCTGGGGCGGGGGGGGGGGGGGGGGGGGGGGCGGAGGAGAGGAAGACGGGGGGGGGGATAATCGATTGTGAGTTGTATAGATCACAATAACAGGATAGAGGAGGAAAAGGAGAGAGAGAAGTGGGAGAGGGAAGAGATACATGAATTATGTGGATCTTAAAACAAGGGTGGGTGGGGAGAGGTGGGAAAGGGGGAAAGGGGGAGAGGGGGGAGAGGGGGAGAGGGGGAGAGGGGGGAAAGGGAGGAGAAGGGTTAAGAGGGAAGAGGGGAATAGACGAGAGTTGTGTATATCACAAAAACAAGTTTGGATAGGGTGAAGGAGAAGGGGGAAAGAAGAGTGTTGTGAGTTGTGTGGATTACAATAACAGAGTAGGGGTGAGAAGAAGGTGGGGCGGGATAAGAGGGGGAAGGATGAGAGTCATGAGTGAGTTATGTAAATTGCAATAACAAGGTGGAGGAAGGAGGAGAGGGAAAGGGGGAGGAGAGAGGGAGAGAGAAGGGAGAGACATGAGTGAGTTATGTAAATTGCAATAACAGTGGAGGAAGAAGGAGGGGAAGGGGAGGAGAGAGGGAGAGAGAAGAGAGACATGAGTGAGTTGTATGGATCACAATAACAGGAAGGCAGAATTATTACGAGCATAATGAGTTCCAGCTGTAGTGTCATTTCTGCCATTTCCGCACTCACGTTACGCTCATGCGTATGTTGGGGAGACAAAGGAACCAGGGAAATATGATCACATTGTTTTTCACATTGAAGATTTAGTAATGCATTAAAGAGACTACAACCAATTGTTCCTAATACGTATTCCATTCTATAATAAATTATACTACTAAAATCGTTAAAAGAGAAAAAATTAATACACAATAGTATCATGAATGGCACAAATTCTATTGCAATGGACTGACTTCTATCGATATATTTGTTTGGCCTTCCTGTGGTTCATAAATTTCTAGTAAGTTTCTGGGAAATCTTGAGGTACTGTAAGTCAATTCAAATTTAGGTATAATGAAGAAAGAAGTTTGCATTATTTCATTAGGGTGTATATTCAGTCAAAATAAATCTGTCTTTTTGAGAATACCATCCAGATTTGCAAAACATAGCTTGTTAATGATTGAAATGTGTTCTCAAGCATTTTACAGGCAGGCTTCAACGTAAAACAGTCATAGAGATATTTGAAGGAATGTACACACAAAATTAAAGATAAAGTTGAGTTCTGGTCATGCGATTGCATTGTGAAAGAAACGGTGTGAAATCGATCAGAAAAGGCTGATCATCTAGCATATACGTATTGGTGTGTACTGCAAGGTTATAGAATAATCAAAATGATAAGAAATTTGGCCCAGTCTTGGTAAAGTTACAAGCGCTGTACACATAAATATGTATATGGGACTACAAGAACATGTGGTATAGAAATCTGTCCCGATTTGTATGCTGCTACATGCCATATTTAGAATATTAAGGCATTTGAAGAGCCATGCTTTTCAGAGAACATTTTTTATCTGATGTTCTTCCACACTTTCACAATAATGATATTCACATCTTCCCAGAACTCAACCTTCTCTTTAATTTATTCTACGAATGGCTTATATTGGTAGTTCAAGGACTCACTTGACAGCAAAACTCGAGGACACTTTTGAGATGGGGTACGATGATGGAGACCTCGCACTCGACCAGCTCATCAAAGACCTCCATGGCCTCGCATCCCTGGTCTTCATCTCTGACCAGCAGCTGACCGATGACTGCTAACACCTTGGGGATGAGTGGTCTGAACAGGGGCTGCAGGGGAAGTGATAAAAGCAGTGAGATTTGCAGGTCCTGTTCACATTTAAAAGATAATTCCTTCATAGCTAAATCATTGGTTCCAAACAAACAATCATTCAGCATCAATGAAGTTTACTAGCAAAAGCTTTTGTGAACAGGGGCTGCAGGGGAAATGATAAATGCAGTGCGATTAGCAGGTCCGTTCACATTCAAAAGATAAACCCTTCATAGCTAAATCATTGATTCCAAACAATCGTTCAGCATCAAAGAAGTTTAATAGCAAAAACTTTTGTGAAAGAGTAATATAATGGGCAATGGCATTGCTCATGAACTGCTTGCTAGTCTCTAACATTCGCTGACCTTGACTATGACAATGTGAACAGATGAATATATTAATTAAAAACATTGTAAAACAAGCATTTGAAGAAATGTCATAAACATTACTCAATCCTTGAATGTGCAAGTTTCTATTTAATAAGATCAAGTACAAAATAATGAGTTATTTAATACCATTTGGCATTTATGTTGTGTTCTTTTTACACCTTATGGATAATTGACATAAGCAAAGTAAACATTAAGAACTTACTATTTCATCTGTGCCTGTATAGTGAACCAGAGCTGTCATTGTTCTGTGATGGATAGTAAACAATTTAAAAAAGAAGATGATACCCAACTACAATTAATAAAGTAAAACCTAGAAGAAGAAAAAAAAAATGTATACACATATGAGGTCATCCTTCTAAAAGTCATTGGACGAAGAGCACATTAAAGTCAAATGAGTCACCTTCAAGCATATCACAACAGAACACATAGATAAAGAGTTTTTTTAATTTTTAATGTTCATTTTTTTTCAAATTCCCTAAATACTCAATATCACTTGCATGTAGAAGACCTTTGCAATCATCATTATTTCTCCCATGTTTAAAAATAAAAATAAATTAACGTTGTTTTTAACGTTACCCTGCAAATGCTGGGAGCTATACAGTTTACACATATCTAGAGGAACAACATAAAAAGTGAAAATCTGTATTAAAGGGATAAGTTATAAATCAATTAAACAAAATGAAGGATTACTTACTTGACTGCATAGAATGGCACATTCTTACTCTGTGTGTCTTGGAGCATGGTATCAAACATGTGGAAGAGTCCCTTGTAGAAAGGTCGTAAGTGGTTGGCAGATGTACTCACAATACAGCTCAGAAGAAGGACAGAAAGCTAGAATTGAAGGAAAATATTAACTCAACAATTAGACCTTGATGGTGATTCCAATAATAATAATAGTAACATTTGTATAGCGCTTACTGGTAACACTTTTATTTCTAAGCACTTTACTTCCATTACCCAACACTAGCCGAGCTACCCTCTAATAGGGCGCTCTGGCATGGAGGAATTTCTCCCTGCCGGGTTCCCAATTACATCACCTGGGTGGAGAGAGGCAAATATAGATCAATGTCTTGCCAAAAGACAGTAGTGCCGCAGTGGGATTTGAACCGCGAACCATGTGATGTATGGTGATGTCTGGTGATGTATCCACTATACCATGAAAACTGTATCAATCAATCCTAAAATGAATAACCCTTTCAGTCAAGTACACCTTCCTTGAAGTTTGTTAACTCGTTGACTACTGAATTTTCTAATTCCCATAGCCTCCATACAGGGACCACCTGGATCTGTACGTGTTTTAAAGAAGAATAGCCATTTATATGCAGACTACGATGCTGATCTTTCATACCAGAACAGCAAAAAAATGTTTCAAATTCTCCACAATCAAGCTTCCTCACATTCTTAAGTACACAATGTTAGACCTTGTTTCCTTCTTGCAAACATACAAACAAAGATGATACAAGAGAACATTTTCATCTGGGTCGATGACAGGATAAGTGCTTTGTAATTGTTAAATCTTTGTTTCTGTTTTTACTTTAAATCTTTGACATGCAATGGCTCTTTTTCTAACAACTACCTGTCTGAATTAGAGGCTAGATGGTTCTTGCTCTTAAAATATCAGTAATCTATTTATAATATATATATGCGTACCTCTCTCTGTTGTGGATTGGGGTTGGCGGCACCCTCCTGTATATACTGTAGGATCTCCGGCCATTTCTGATCAGCAAGCTCATAGCGAGCAATGGCCGCTGCTAGCTGAGCCACGCTGTTACGAACAACTCTCCTAAAATAAAAAAAAAAGCCCATGTTCATTAAAAATGAACTTACTGGTGCACCTTTATGAACTTGTGTTAAGGTGGCCCCAACGGCTCTAGGACACTTACCCCCTGGACATCCATCCCCCGGATAACCACCCCCAGTCAACTACCACCTAGGGCAACCACCCTCCAGGATGACTACCCCCTGGGACAACTACCCCCCCCCCCCCCAGAACAACTACCCCCTACAACAACCATCCTCTAGGACAACTACCCCTTAGTTCTAGGGGGTAGTTGTCCGGGGGGTGTAGTTGTCCCGGGGGTAGTCGTCCTAGAGGGTGGTTGCCCTCGGGGGTAATTGTTCTAGGGGGTAGTTGTCCTAGGGGGTAGTTGACTGGGGGTGGTTATCCGGGGGGTGGATGTCGAGGGGGTAGGTGTCCGTATACGGGCCCAACATAACATTTCAAGTTTCGCCCATTCACTGCACCCCTCTGTTCAGTCAACTCATTTTCAAACAATAAAAGAAATAATAAACAAAAGCAGGCAAGAATAGGGACTTTCAGATTCGCACGAAGACAACGTGGATTGCTACGATCGACGTCCTTTAAATGCACTGCCTGGAATGGGCGTCATACGTATCAGCCCACGCAAATTTAAAAGTCCCTAATACCAGTGAGTGAAGTCACTCTGGTTTAAAATTATTTCTCATAAAAGTGAAGCATCCTGGTACACTGACAATGCAATACTTAGTAGGCCATTTTCGAAATGTAATCAAATTTAATGCACAATCTTTGTTAAGTGCCTCGTTACAAATCAAATCATTCACCTGTTTTCAATAGTCAGAATGCAAATTGCATACATAACGAGTAGTTACATGCTATAATGTTTGTCCTACCTGGCAACAATGAATGCATGAAATGCGCATAATTATTCATAAAAGGTGAATGAAATAATCTGTAACATGGCACTTAATAAAGCTTTATGCATTGAATCTGATTACATAACGAAATGGTCTATTTTGAACGATTGAGTCATAGCGGCCATGCTTAATTAAATGAGCATGGTACAGTAAGCAGCTGTACATTACACTGTCAAAAGAAAGACAACATAAGGATCTCAATTTTAATCTGAAACACGTCAGAAAGGCTTCTGATTCTGTTAACAAACTTTAGGCTGGAGATACAGTCTATCCATGTATGGTTTGCAAAGGATTAGCACTTAGTCTCACCCCCCCCCCCCCTTCATACATTTCTTCTTCTACGACATACATGAAAGACAATCTTCCCTACCCTTCACTTCCTCCTACTTCATCTCAATACCTATCGCAACAATTCTTCATTTTAATCTTTGAACAAATGTAATTTAAACTATGAGGAAATACAGACACTTGTACAATGTACGTATGACAACTACTCTCAAAGTTTAAACCAAACCCCACCCCAATAATCTTGTGAATCATTTTGTATCGTTGTTCACTAGGTTTCTAGAGGCGTCACATCTTGGACCACATTTTATGTTTCCGCCTCAAAGTTGGGTTCCAAGAATCATACGTGGGACCTTTACTTAAAGTTCAAGTATGAAACTGTGCATCGAGAGAAAATGTTAAAGGCATTCTGAAACATTTACAATATTCATTTTAAAAATCCGTTTATATCTGCATTGTGCGGCCTTTCAAAATTACATTCAGAAATTAAATTTTTCATACAGCTTTTGGACATCTTTGAGTCACATTAATTCACTGAAAATCCTCAGATCTCTAGTTATATGTTAATTCTTTATTCTATATCATTTTATAGAATATTTTATACTTACTCAGTTTCATGTTGCAAAACTTGCAATGAAATTAGTTTCAGGCTGAAAAGCAAACAAAAACAACCTATGTGAATCAAAGAAAGGTGTTTCATTACTGAACATAAAGATTAAAGAATGTCAATTTTTCCAGCAATAATATATAACAAATCTTTTCATATTCCACTTTAATCACATTAAAAGACATTGCATACAGACATTTTCTTGAAATACTACATCTTCAATATACCTTTTTTAATTTTCTACTACTAAAGCCATCTTTCTTCCTTAATACTGAATTCATAATCATTTTTCTTCCCAATTTTCATTTGTGAAAAAATACTATCTCAAGGAAAAAGAGGGTAGCTGCCAAATACACTGTATATGCATACCAGTAGTTATTCATACATTGAATTTGAATTAATCAAATCATGTTTCCTTTAAAAAAAGCAATTTTGAAATTCATCTAGGTGTAGTTTTCAGTAAATGGAACTAAGGAATGAAAGATTGATTATTAAACCTTTCAAGGAAACTCTCCATATTCTATTTCTGCACTGACATCATAATACGTGATGTCATTGATCAAGTGTTAAAAGAAGAAACAAAAAACAGAACTGTAACAAAGTTTTATCTGAATGATAGATGACAGACATATCTCTGGAATGCATTTTGACTCCACAATCAGGATATCCTACCTATTGTGGAAATCTGGAGAGAATTTCTTCCATCTTCGGACCAGCCGTCTGAGTAGCACAGCTGCAAACTGTCGAACCTAGAGCCCCCATCAAAATTAAAATAAGAGGGGAGAAGGGGTAGGAGAGGATAGTCTGCATAATCAGACTCTAGTTTGACACTTAAATACAATTCCAGAATGCCTTGAACCTTGCCTAAACTTTGATCGTCTCTGGTTGTGTTAACAGCAGCTATGTAGTCTGCAAGCACAGAACCTAATTTGACACTTTATCAAAAAATCATTGTGCCTTGAGAGAAGTCTATGGTAGTCTTGTAGTGCAGACTCTCTTTTACGACTGACCAGGGTTTGTGCCTGCAAACTAGCAGCTATGCTACATGGCCTATGGAGTGCAGAAGACTATGCAGTCGACATAGTCTTACAATTCAGACACTGTTATTTCTTACGACTGACCAGGGTCTGTGCCTGCAACTAAGGGGAGGGGGAGGGGGAAACAATGTCTGTCTGATGAGTAATAGACCCACATGCATCCCATTAAACAGGCTAATTCTTTGCACTTGGCTTCTCCTGCGTTTGTAAAGGGTGATTAATGTCACTTTGATTGGTTGTCAGAAAACATTTCCATTACGGTTATGACTCAAAAACAGTACCTCTTACTTAACCAAATTTCCCCCTTTTATGTATGCTGGCACCAGACACTGTTAGTGTTAGCCATGAATAATTACAGTGGTTTCCACTTTGAATATTTTCATTCGATTGTTCCCACTTATCAAAGAAGAATTTTGCAAAATTCTCGTTATTGATGACAAAAAAACAGAACAGTCTGCAAAGACTAAAACTTTACTGACTAAAATATTGATCAAGAAAGGACATTCTGACTTTTTCAAACTATATAAAAATCATGAAATATGGAAGCTCACAAGAATAATCACATTACATAATGGATAAATAGCCCTGAATTATATACAAGTACACAAAACAACAATGTTGATACAATAATTACATCCGCATATCCATGTAGTTGTACTGTAGGTTTACAAATTAAGAAACAATCAAATTTCATTCCTCCAATACTTACAAGGTGATAATTTAGAATGTGTTTTTGGTTGGATTGCATTTTCAAATTTAACTATTGAGAAAGAGGGAAACCATGCCTGAACATCACGGTCATCATAAAAATACACAGGAAAGAGAAAAGTCTTGCAGCCTTTTCACACACAGCTAAAATTCATCGTATCTAGAGATGATTAGAATCACTCAACAGTTTTAAACATGTTTATAGACAAAATTTCCCAGTGTGAACATCGTTTATACGATGTTGGGATAGATACGAAGTCGCGATCCATACGCCCCTAAAAGCAGGCTGCAGATACGAAGTTCGTATCTAGAGAGCTTGACATTTTGTGTGTGAAAGGAAATTCGTGTTTAAACGTGTTTAAACTGGATGGAGCGTGCGCTTTGATTGACATGACATGACCTTTAATGCGCAATGGCACTACTGCGCATTTTACGAGCAGTAGTTAATCACGAAACTATTAACGATCGCAACGAAATTTCTGTGTGTGAAAGGCTCGTGATTAGTTTAAACACGTTCGAAACACGTTTATACTAGTCATGTTTATAGAATTTTAGCTGTGTGTGAAAAGGCTGTTGGAATGATCATAAAAATGGCTAAAAAACCAACATGGGTAGAGCAGTAATAAAAACTGCATACCATGAATCAAACTAATTCATCTGAACAGTTTACGACCCGCAAAATCATGTAAGCATGTCCTTTTACGACAAAAGTCCTGACGATTAGTTCAAGACAAACATCTAAGTGCAAGCCCCTGGGAGAGGACATGGCAAATGGGTCAATGTGAGGGAGAGGAAAACACTCGTTAATCAGATTCATGCGGCTGCAGTGCTCACAAACTATATGAAGTCATCAGAAATAAAGGTTTCGCATCCTGCCTGACTCGCTGGGCTCAGACGGCTTAAAGGCAGAATCAGGGATGTGTAGAGATTTCAAATCAATACTACACATTGAAGTGCGTAAAAGGGGATTTGCCCCTGAATACTGCCTAGTATATTCATTTTTTGGTAATGTACTTCAACATGATCTTCCAGAAATTGTTGAACAACCCCAAATCTTCATTTTGTGAAATATTGAGAGAAATATGGGTAAACTTGTCTATCCACCATGAGGCAAGGGGAGGGAATGAGGTGTATCTAGGCTTGCACCCCAAAGTATTCTGCCAACTAAAGTCCAAGCTTGAGCATGCCCTCCCCATATTGTACATATGAATTAACATTTTGGTCCACATGTACTAAGAGTAATCATCATAAAATTTCTTAGCAAAGTAAAGGTCTTCACTACAAACCACTGATTCAGGTTTCGTGGATCAGTCTTTTGACTTTTATAATCACATTGATCGGTTTTGATCGAGAAATAGCAGCTACAAATCAAAAGAATCAATATCATTGTTAATAGAGGACCTACAAATGTATGTGGAGGAAAGTTGGTATATTCAGGACAGTTGTAGGACTACTAGTTTTAGGAATCACGTTTCCCTTGTTCTGCTACATGTATGGATCAGTGCTACAGTGTACCTTTAAATGACTGGCAGGCATGGCAGCCGAATGTAACATGAAAGATTAATGTTTTCCCTTTAAATCGAGGCGAGTATCTCCCGTCTATTAGTCTTGCGGGCAAGACAGGAAGAATGGCGGAAGGAAAGGAGAAGGTTAGTGGAGGGCTAACTGATACCTGTGGGTTTGGGGAAGTTGTAAGAACAGAACATAGCTCTGGCACAACTCCAGGGTTCTTCAGGGCTTGCTTCAGTTCATCAGTGCCCTGCAGTGAAGGAAGGAATATGAGGAGGGGGGAGGAAGAGAACGAGGAGAAGGAGGAGGAGGAGGAGGAGGAGGAGGAGGAGGAGGAGGAGGAGGAAGAGGAGGAGGGGAACAGGAGGAAAAGAGGAGGAAAAGGAGGAGAAAATAAGAAGAGGGGGAGAAGATGATAGGAAAATGTTACATGTAGGAGAAGAGAAGGGAGGAGAGAAGGGGGAGGGGGATGGGGAGGAGAGGAGGGGAGAGGAGGAGAGGAGGGGAGAGGAGGAGAGGAGGGGAGAGAAGGAGAGGAGGAGAGGAGGGGAGAGGAGGAGAGGAGAGGAGTAGAGGAGGGGAGGAGAGGAGGGGAGGAGAGGAGGGGAGGAGGAGAGCATGAGATGATGGGGAGGAGAGGAGGGGAGGAGAGGAGGGGGAGGTGAAGAGGGGGAGGAGAAGAGGGGGAGGGGAGGAGAAGAAGGGGAGGGAGGAGAAGAGGGGGGGAGAAGAGGGGGAGGAGAAGAGGGGGAGGAAAAGAGGGGGAGGGGAGGAGAAGAAGGGGAGGGAGGAGAAGAGGGGAGGAGGAGGAGAAGGACAAGGAAGAGGAAAAAGAGAATAGGAAAGGAACACCAAAAGGACAGGAGAGGGGGAGAAGAGAAGAGAGGAGAGTCGGGGAAAATGAGGATGAAAAGAGGAAGAGTAGAAGACAAAAGAGGGTGGGGGGAGAAAAAAAAGGAATTGAAATAGGGTTACAGAAAGAAAGGGAAAAGAGAATGAAAAATAGAAGAGCAGAGAAAGAAGTGAGAGGGATACAATGTAAGGTGAGAATACAAAAGGGTGAGAATAAAAGAGGGAAGAGTAGGAGGGAGGACAGGGAGAAGAAAACATGATAGAAAATTAAGATGAAGGAAGATGTAGGATGAGGGACAGAAATGATAAAGAAAGATAAAAGGAGAAAGAGATAGATGGAGAGAAAGAAGAATGGAGCAAGAGCAAGAGAAAAGGAAAATAGCAAGAAAGAAGAGGAAGTGAGGAAGGATGAAATAGAGAAAAGGGCAGAAGAGAAAGAAAATGAGAGGAAGAGCAGAGGGATTGATAAAGAAAGTGAAAAACATGGAAAATTAAAGAGAGAGGTTGAAAGGGGAAATGTAAAGGGAGAAATTGAACAAATAATGAAAATGAGCAATTGATGGAAAGAAGAAAAAAAGTAAATTATTAAGGTAAGAAAAGGGAGGTGAAGGAACAAAAGTGGGGTAAAAAAAATTGAACAAAATGTGATGGAGAAGCAAAATCAATATTGTAACTAGAAAGATGAAACTACCAAAACAATGGGGAAAAAACATTAGATGATAAGAATTACTCCAGAACACAAACTAGGTTGCTTATTCGGGAACACCAAATGGGATTCTTATGAATAATGAAACTATTTACACACTTCAGCAATTACCTATTTGGAAAATGTTTTCAGCACATTACAAATCAAAAACCTTTAACAGAGGACTCAACATTCCTGATGTAATATTGTCCTTGTTTCCCCGAAAATCCAGATTAGTAAAATGAAGGAAAAACAAAGGCAAAAATAAATAAGTCAAAAGCTCAAAATATTTTCACATACCCTTACACCGTGTTTTTCAACATAAAATCTATACAGCAGTTAACAAGTGTAAACACAATTAAATAGATAAATAGAACCCACTCCCAAAGCAAAAGGCATATTCTAACCCTTAATGCATGATAATGTATGTCTAGCTTTTCAGAACCAATTCTTTTGTATTCGACATGCAAGATGTGCTACGGCCATAAAGTGCATGTACTTTAATGATTAAACACAAGACTTATCTGAAAAGTATTCAATTTCATGAAAGCAAATGAGAAAATATGATAATAAAAAATTAAAAAATGTACACAACATATTGAACATAATGGTGAAATCATATGAGATATTGATGAAAGGTTTGGAGATAAGAGGATAAAGAAACAAATTTAAAAGAAAGGATGAATTAAATCTCTAGTCCGAGTTTGAGAGACGATATGACTGATTTTTTTGTCACTTTCTTTTGTAAAGCATTTTACGACAGGACCTAAATGAAAGATCTTTCTTTCCATGGCATTATGATAAAAACTAATAATAACTGGTTTATATAGTGTCTTTTCTAGAAGATACAAGATACTCTCAACAATGTACACCATACTACACTTACACCTGTATACATCTCCTGTATTTGGCAATTCCAGTCATCATCATCATCATCATTATAATTATGAACATCTTATTTCTCATAATCCTCCTCCTCCTCCTTATCAGTTTCTTATCATCATCATCATTACAATCACCATCACCATCAACATTTTCATCATCATCTTCATCATCATCATCATCATCATCATCATCATCATCATCATCATCATCATCATCATCATCATCATCATCATCAGTTTCATCATCATCATCAACTCAACTCCTCTTCCTCCTTCTCATCATCAGTTTCATCATCATCATCAACTCAACTCCTCTTCCTCCTTCTCATCATGATTTCATCATCACCAGTGTCATTCCCATGATTATCATCATCAGACAGAATTCTTCAATAAAACTGACAATCATCAACTTTCGTTTGTAGATTAGAGGTGGTCATTTTTGTCAGACGTAGTTTCGGCAGAACAACTTGCCATATCAGACACTTTACCAAGGTAAGTCAAATTTTTTTTATTTCGCTAGTCAGACTAATAATATAGATAACTAGATGGAACTTCGACTGCGTGCAGTCGAAAATGATGCCTCCGTCATAGAGCAATTACAAACCAAAACAGAAGAAATTTTCAAATTCAAGTTTCATTGCAATCCATTAAAGGGAAAGTCCACCCCCAAAATAAGTTTGTTTCGATAGAGGCAGAATAATAAGAAAATCAGGTGAGTGAAAGTTTGAGCAAATTCTGAATGAAAATAAGAAAGTTATGAATTATTGAAGTTGTGATCAATCAAATACAAATTGGCAACTCTGTGACTTATTATACGAGCTCTCCTTCATTTGCTTTGTGCATAATATTCCATAAAATCATGTTTTCTTCGTTATTGATGACAGAATATATATTTGTTCCTTGCAGGGGGAGTATAGAAACATATTTGCAATTATTATATTTAGGGTGCATGTATGGTTGAAATTTTTCTTGAGGGAAAATGAAAATTTTAGATTTTTTTAGTACTGAGCGAATGGAAGTTGAGCTCGCATGATACGTCATAGAGTTGCCAATTTGTGTTTGATTGATCACAACTTAAAAAATCCTAACTTCCTTATTTTTAATCGGAATTTGCTCAAACTTTCACTGACTTGTTTCTCTCATTTTTCTACTCCTATTAAAACTAACTTAATTTCAGGGTGGACTTCCCCTTTAACAGGTTCTCAGAATATCGTGAATACAAGTAATTTCTCATATACATATACGACCCTTTGATCTTTGACCTCATGACCCTAAAATGTACTCAGTTCATTGGCTCTGCAAGATGTCCTGAGTTAAATAGTAATCCATCTGTCAGTTCTAATAAGAATGTATTCACAAGCTATTTTTGCATACATAATGAGCCCATGACATTTGACCTTTGACCTCATGACCCAAGAATCTACTCAATTCATTGGCTCTGCAAGATACATACATGATCTAAGTTTGGCAGGAATCCATCAATCTGTTCTGATAATGCGATCACAAGATATTTTTGCATACATAATGAGCCACATGACCTTTGACCTTGACCTCATGACCCCAAAATCTAATCAGTTCATCGGCTCTGCAAGTAACATACATGACCTAAGTTTGGCAGGAATCCATCAATCAGTTCTTGAGATAACTCGATCACGAGCTGTTTTTGCATACATAATGAGCCCTGTGACCTTTGACCTCGTGACCCCAAAATCTAATCAGTTCATCGGCTCTGCAAGATACCTACATGACCAAAGTTTTGCAGGAATCCATCAATTGGTTCTTGAGATAATGCGATCACGAGCTGTTTTTGCATACATAATGAGCCCTGTGACCTTTGACCTGATGACCCCATAATCTAATCAGTTCATCGGCTCTGCAAGATACATACATGACCAAAGTTTGGTAGGTAATCCATCCATCAATTCTTCAGATAACGCGATCACGAGAACGGGATGTACGGACGGACGTACGTACATGTACGGACGGACGGACGGCAACCCGAAAACATAATGCCTCCGGCTACTTCGTAACGGAGGCATAAAAATAATAATATTATATGGATGGCTTTGTTTTTGTGTGATACAAGAATATATTGCTGTCGCTAAGACAATTTTGGACTTGTCTTTAACTCGTCCAATATTGTCATAGCTCAAGCAATATATTCTTGTATCACACTCAAAACCATCTAATATTATATAAGGATCTAGATCTAAACTCTAAAGTAATAATATGATTGAAAATTCAAGCAAGCAAGATTGTAAATATAAATAGGTCTATGGTCTAGATCTATGTCAGATCCTCAATTAAGAAAGCATATTTGTTCAGTTTTGTTGCGGCCTTGCCTTCTTTGCCATTGGTACCGGTAAGTGAAATACAGACACAGACTTCATCAAATATCAATTAGAAATGTAGACTAGACCATTTTCATTTTACTCTAATCTCTATAAACATTTTGTTTACATTATTTATAATTTATCCCCCCAAAATTGGGCAAAAAAGACAACAATACAAAAATTCATATTTCATGCAAATTGTTCAAAACCATCACCATCAATGATCAAACATTACAGAAAACAATCATAGTATTCATCAACCATCATTATTTTCACAACAGTAACAACAGGCAAAAAAAAAAAACTTTCTCACCAAGTCAGTCAGCCACCATTCACCATCACACATTCACAACATTCGGCCAGGCCAGGCAGAGCAGTCCACGATCTTCATGGCAAATTTTGTTGAAGTTTAGAAATGTGAACCTTACCTGTTGTATTACCACATTGTCAGGCACCAGGAGTTTCAGCAGAATTTGCTCAAGCGCTGAAGACATGTTTCCAGGTATATAAAATCTCCCTCCTGATCCCTGAACTTGAAACACCGCGAACAGACACAATAATGACAGAAATTACCTCCTTCTTCTTCACCCTCCCACCGGAGACTGCTAAGATTCACAAAATGATATAAACGTGGAGTATCGTGTAGACTCTTTCTATGTAAATCGGGGAAAAAATCGGTACGCAATGCTGCATGCAGATATACGGATACGAGGGCAAATACCATGATCAATAAAACAGCTGGAATTACAACTAATCATCGGCGGATCAAAGGTCATTTTGTCCACATGGTTGATGTTATTTTGACACGAACGGCAAGGATTGAAGACGATAAATATCGTGTTATTTGAAGTGTGTATGCTGTATCAAATATGGGGAAATCAAAGAATAAAAGATTTCGATCAAAGAAAGCTCGACCGACTGGTTTGCAGAGTATGAAGGAGATAGAGGATGAAGAAGAGGAGTTAGGGACTTCGAATCCCACGGCCACGGAAGCCGTGCAGCTGAAAGCAGTCGGAGTGTTGGAGAAGGTATATGCGGGCCCCGCCCCGGGAGTTTGATGAGTGTTCGATGCGAGAGGTCATGTACGTGGGACGTGGGTGGAGTTCGCGTTCGGGAATAAAACTGCAAACTATGATACACAATTTTCCCGTCAACTTTACATATATTTTACATTTACAAACAACAAATTGTATTTCAAAAATGATAGTGGCCTTGATTAAACTTGGTTATCCTGACTCAATCCTTGAATGGTTCGAGTCCTAAGTAAAATAAAATGCTAAATAATTCAGTTATTATTGTCATGACATACCTACATGCATGTCATGCCCATGGCTCGTGCTGTGTTTTATTTTGTCTTTTCATTTATGTGATGACAATTTTGACTTTTTGTCTTTTAATAGGTTGTCTCTTTTTTGTTGTTTTTCTTATTCCTGATGAGCGACCGCTAGTAACGAGCTGATTTAATCATTTATTTTAAGTGATTATTCTGCAGTTCTGTCAGTTTTAAAGGGGGTCGGCATTGCTAATTTGCAGTAATTTGTTTTCTTGTTGAATTAATTGACCTATCTTGTTGAGCGTAAATAAAACAGATTAACAAAAAATGAATAAAGAAATATGTTGCTGGTGCCGGTTGGGCTATTATTATTCCAATCTCGAGACCCTTGACACAAAGTCAAAGATGTAATTGGTATTAGCCTTGATTATGTCCTGGGCCGGGAGAGTCTATTCCAATGCTTGATGATGGGCGTGGCTTGTAGAAGTAGTTTTGGTAATATTGGGTTTGTGTGGAAGCTTAGGCAAAGGTTGTAACCCCTTCTATGACACGAGGAGAGTGGCTGAAGCTGCATCTTGATGCTCTACACAGGCAAGGTCACGGTGTATATTATAGACCATTGCTATTTGTGCAGTGCTACAATGATTTTCTCGTGATGACAACTGCATTTCTTCAGTCATAGCTGACACGCTTGATGTGTTGTGGTATCATAGCCTATTAAAGATAAGGGCTAGGTGATGATAGGAAACATGATATTGCAGAGACGCCAAGTTCAAAGATCAGCAATGCGTGACATGTTCATGATTCGGCGAGCGAGCGCGCGTGCGAGGGTATAACACACGTATGAGGTATAGCGTTTTTTCGCAATCTAGCGTTTTCAGACCCTCGAAATGCGTGACGTCACACCTAATGCGTGACACTTGGTAGCTCTGATATTGATGTCACCTACATGTAGCCTCATAAATTGGCACCCATACCCCTGGGTGAAGAGTGATGGAAACGAGACCTAAAATAAAATGAAATGAAAATGAAAATTCCAATAACAAGGCTCATCACCATCCTTGGTTTTATTTTCATATGTGGTTGGGATTCAATTATCTAGTCCCATTCTGAATTTCGACATTTTGGGAATCCAATTGAGATTTTAGATGCCTGATGTGTTTTAGGCTTTAAGCCATTAAATCCCATAGAAAACAAAAAAAACTGTTTTCAATTATATCACTTTAGATTTTACCTTTTTGAGAATATTGAGATATTGTTCATCAATCCCGCCCCCCCCCCTTCCTCTATAATGTTTTCTTAATTTGACATTCTTTACAACTTTTGCTCTCTTTCACTAGCTTCAAAGTAGCTCGGCTGAGGAGAGAGAATGTGCCTGCACATCCCTGGCCAACCTGGTCCAGGACCCAAAGGCCCTGCAGACCCTGGTCCAACAGAAAGCAGTGCGTAGTCTTGGACCTCTTCTAGTAGACCCGTCATCAGGAATTCGAGAAGCTGCAGCCGGAGCCTTGAGGTAGATATAGTAGCCTGGAGTTAATTCCTATGGGATATCACATTCTTTTCCAATGACTCCTTATCTCTCCCCTCTCGCAAAAAACTGTAACAAAATGAAAAAATGAAGAAAAAAAAGCACAGAGGTGTGAGGTGTCTGTTTTCAAAAATAATTCTTTCTTCTGAATCAATCAGAAAATCAAATCTACTTGTCACTTTTATTAATATCAGGAGCAATGGTAATATATTAGATTTTCATGTAAGTCTATAGGAGCAACTTTGCATTTTACTTCTAATGTTCATCACTGCAATGTAGAAAAGAATATCTCAAGTATTTTGTTCTTTCTTCCCAAAGTGAAATATATATTTATTAAAATTTGCTGATTCAAAGATGATCTTAATTGATTCTCTTGATATTCTAGGAATCTGACTGTAGCAGGTGGCCATGATATCTGTGACCATATGGTAGAGGAAGACGTCATGACACCTCTAGTAACGTTCCTGCTTCAGGTATGTATGGGTCAAAGGTCACTGGATCTCGGGTTAACCATGGATAAGCCCTCTTATATGATCTTGGTCCCATAACAATTCTGAACAAATATCCACTACCAGTATGCATTTTGCTACCAATTGATGATTAATTTTTTTATAGTGAAATTAGAATGTATATATTCATATCTTAAACTTCCCTTTTCACTAGCAACAATAGCCTACTTTATGAAGTTAAGCCCTTTTGATTTTGATTAATGAAAAGACTTTAAAGGTATAGACCAGTTCTGGTCATGCAATTGCACTGAAAGAAACGTTGGGGAATCGATCAGAAAAGGTTAATCATCTAGCATATAAGTATTGGTGTGTACTGCAAGGTTCTGGTATCTTCAAAATGATATAAAATTTTGCCCAGTCTTGGTAAAGTTACAAGCACTGTACACAGAAAGATGTATATGGGACAACGTGGTATCTATCCAGGTTGGATAGATATGATAATTTACCAAATATATCGATTAGTAGGCGGTTTCCCGGCAAAATTTGTATCATCTCGTATTAGTCAAAACATATTCTTTCACATGCTTGGTAATAAGTACTTCCATTTTATTTTTTGAGGGGGGGGGGGGGTTCCAAAACTGCTCTATACCTTTAAATGTTGTAATTATTTAGTCAGTGTGTAGCTTTCTTTGTCATTCTTTCAGAATTATGTAATTCATGAGGATTTTAGCTTCTGTAATATTGCATGGTTCTGTCTCTTTATACCGAACGTTGTAGAATGATATATTTTCTTGGAATAGTTCACATAACAACCATGCTGTTACATTACAACAATGATTTTGTTGGTGCTTAGTACAAGTACTGTCTTTTGTTTCTGGAGATATGGGCCCTGTTTCATAAAACTTGTTATCAATAATAAGTTGCAATGAGTGTTATAAGCTACTGAAATCATTATATTTGATTGGCTGAGAGCAAATTTGTTATTGACAACAAATTTCATCAAACAGGGCCCTGGAGGACCTGCATTAAATTCATTAAAATTTTTAAAGGTATAGACCAGTTTTGGAAATGCAGTTTTGGAAATGCCCCCTCTCAAAAAATGAAGTGAAAGCTCTCATTACCAATCAAGTGAAAGAATATGTTTTGACTAATATGTGGTGATACACATTTTGCTGGGAAACCGCCTACTAATTGACATATTTGGTAAATTATTATATCGATCCGGTCTGGATAGATATCGCGTAGTCCCATTTACATCTTTCTGTGTACAGTGCTTGTAACTTTACCAAGACTGGGCAAAATTTCTTATCATTTTGATGATTCCAGAACCTTGCAGTACACACCATTACTTATATGCTAAATGATCAGCCTTTTCTGATTGATTCCACAACGTTTCTTTCTAAATGCAATCGCATGACCAGGACTGGTCTATACCTTTAATACAAGTACTGTCTTTTGGTTCTGGAGATATGGGCCCTGTTTTATAAAAACTTGTTATCAATAATAAGTTGCAATGAGCATTATAAGCTACTGAAATCATTATATTTGATTGGCTGAGAGCAAATTTGTTATTGATAACAAATTTTATGAAACGGGCTCTGGAGGACCTGCATGAAATTCATTAAAAACTTTAAATTATGTATTTTCTCTTCTAGTATTCAGAGGGAATTCCCCAGTCACCCGCCAAGCATAAAGAGAACAAGATGCCCCAACATGACTCTGGTTTAGAAGCATTGGTACAAGCTGTACATCTTGTCTGGAATTTATGGTAAGCAATATCTATCATGCCCTCTTTATGTGACATAATCCCTTTGTCTCTTTCAACTTTGTTGCATCAAAGTTTTGTATCGGCATTTTCTCCTCAATTTGGCAACTGTTATTTATAATTTTCATTCTTGCTCAGTTTTTAGAACAAATGTGTATATAATAGGGAACAGTGTGAATGAAAAATCACAACAATTTATGAACAAGAAATCACCAATTTATACATGAAAATATTGATTACAAATTGCATTCTGCATTGCCAATTTAGAGACTTCAGTGATTATTTTTGAGTAAATCACTCTTATTCATGAATGGCACAATGTGCTGCAGTAGAAAGGGACTAAAAATATTCCCGTGATATTTGCACATTCTGCTCATGTTCACTTTGTAATTCAGAGCATTCCAGAACAAAAGATGAACAATAAATCATTACTTAAAGGTGACACTTAACTGCTTGAGACAAAGTTGGCAATGTTATGGTTTCTCACCATTTCTTCTGCCATGTTCTTTCAAATTTTTACAGAAATCAAATAAATATTATCAAGTATATTAACCCAGTACGAGAACCTCTGGAAATGCTGCCAAAAAATAGAAGACTTACAGAATTTCGGAAGAAAGCATTCCCACCCCGTTTCTCTTTATCTAATAAGATGCCTGCAAAATGTTTGTTTAGTCATCAATGAATGTAGTGTTTCCTTAACATAATGTAAAATTGATTCAACTTTACCAATCTTTCCCCCTTTTTCAGTGAGAGTAACAGCACAGCAGTAACCATAGCTAATCAGCAAGGTTTGGTAACAGTCTTCCTCCACTGCCTTCAAGCATACTCAACTATGGTGGATCTTGCGATCTCTGCAGGTAGGTCAGGTCACTGTGATTCCATCACACTCTTACTGTGTTTTTCTTATATGGTTTGAATACAGTTTATCAGAGTACAGGTTTAGGCTGGAGAATAGATTTAAGTTTTAAATTATGTGTTAAAGAGCAACCCAACCTTTGTGATAATTTCATTTATATGAAAGCATACAAATAACATTAACAGAATGGTGACATTTTAAAATATATCGAACCAGCAATTAGAGAAATATGAATTATTGAAATTGGAGATCACTGAATAACTGCAAATCACAAACTGGCAATTTGGTCTGTGGATTGTGAAGTAGACACGGACAACTCTCCTGTTAGTTATGTACAAAATATCATTATTTTCTGTTTTTCTCCTAAGACCCTTCTCCCTTTGGGCACCCTTCAAAATGTATTATGAATAGCATGTTATTATACTTTGTCTGAAGAGAATACCGGTAGACCAATTTGAGTCATACATTTTTGAAAGATTGAAATTTAGTAATTTTGTGTTTTGGAACAAGTGGGAAAGTTGTCGGCCACTACTTCACAGAGACATTACTGCAGACCTCCCAGCCTTTTCGCTTTATTTTACTGTTATGTGAGTGATGTGATTTTGCCATAACTGAATAATGTTATCTAGCGAGTGCAGTTACACTTGCAGAGCTTCCTTCCAGCGGTGACTGGAGTGAAGCCCCGCTTACCCGGCAGGGCCGGGCCATCCCGATCGCGTGCCTGGCGTGTTCAACTTCTTGAAACAATCCCTTAATCACATGTAAATGTGCCCAACATCAAGATGTGTGTTGGGTAGCTGCATGATGCATATTTTTCGATAAGCCAGATATGGAGCGAGGTACCACAAATTTTGCTGCGTAAAATTGTAGGAATTTTGAAATTCAAATGTTGGGAGGTCTGTTACTGATTCACTCAATATGAAGAGCCCAACTTTCAAACTTTCTCTTGCAGAATATCAGAGAAATTTAGAAAATACTAGGAAAGCAATACTGTGCTGTCATAATTATTGACTTTCCCTTTTGTTTGTATGTCTGTGTTGGAGGAAAGCAAATGCAACAGCTGTATACAAAGTATGTTTAATGAGCAGTATTTCAAGCTGTACTTAGCTTGCTGTTCATAGTGCTGTGAATCAATTGTGTGCCGAAGCTTAACATCAGTTTAAAACTGACTAGTACAATTTAGGTGGTACAATCTGTAATAGCATGCAATAATTTTCCCATCAAGCAATGAAATTACATTATTACATTTCCTTATAAATTCTAAGGTTTCTAGAAGTTGGTGATAGATATTTTTTTATTTGTATTTTACTATTTAACTTGATGACACATTTGAGATGTATTAATAGATATAATATATGAATAAACTAATAAGACTTACAGAGTATTGAAAGACAGGATTAGTAGTCTAAGTAGCCATATTTTATGCCCCATATGAAATTGATAAAATCTTTCATATCATGCACTGTTTGGAATAGGGCTGCGACGTGTAGTCGAATGCTCGAGTACCCGCACGGTTGACAACTACTCGGGTACAATTTTTGGTACCCAAATATTCGGCCGCAAAAAAAAAAAAAAAAAAAAAAAAAATCTGTCCAGAACGACGCTTACCCGTGCCTGGGTGAGCGGCGGCTGCTGGCATGGTGCCGTCGGTAAAAATGCTTCCCAACTCAAGCACTGTCAAACTCACCACTCAGAAACTGGGACCAAATGTCTGGATTTCTGTTTGGACTTGGAGGAAAATGGATTATTCTGCCATCATTGGTTTTTAAAACAGCATTGTTTACTGTTATTATTATTATTAAATCGGCGCCTTCAACTGCAACTCAAATTATAATTGCATGCGTTTTCGGCGACGTGAGATACTGCCCCAGTGGTATGGTGGTGGCAAAAAAAAAAATCCAAAAAAAATCCAAAAAAAATCCAAAAATTTTTTAAAAAAATTAAAAAAAAACATGGCGTCCGAATACTCGAGTATTCGCTTGTAAGCCTGGGAGTGTACTCAGGTACCTCATTACACTGTTGTGCACAGCCTTAGTTTGGAATCTATTATTTTAGCTGAGTAAATGTTCATGATAGAGGGTGCTGTTTGAAAACTCAAAAGATTAACAATGGAACCTCTCAAAAGAAAGAGCATGAAGTTTGCATTGTCCATAATACAATTATTAGTATAAAACAACTGGATGTTGTAACATATTCTCCCTGACTAGTGATTATATATTAAAAGAATAGCTCAAAGATCCTTCTTCAAAAGACTCAGAAATAGAGCCATTGCCTGTACCAATGTTCTATTAAAGGGATCCGGTAACTTTGTCTCAGATTCTGAAACAAAATTCTGGATTTAGCTCATGATGCAATGATGATTATAAACCTTTAGGTCAGTCAGGAACCCCATGACTTTTGCAAGCCGATCGCCTGTCTGATTATCAAGATATTTATGATTGGAATTACAAATTTTGAAACCGTTCGCCTGACGGTTTTCATAACACTACAGTCTATTGGGGAAAACGAGTATGGTAAAACCGGTCACTCAAAGATTTTTACTTTTTTGAGGCACTGCTTGATCATTTTGAAGCGCAATTTTTTTTAGGGCAATTTTTTTTAGGGCTTCAATATTACACCATATCGCAGACACTGATAACACGTAGGGCCGTGTATCTCAGATTTAACATTGTTAAACGATCCCTTTAAAATACATGCTATGTTAAAATGAAAAATGAAGATGTTTGTTTAAGGTAGAAAGAGTAGTCAACAATTGGTAAAAAATATAATGCTAAGCACCTTTCTTTATTATCACCTGTCCATTAAATATTCAACACACGCCCATATATGTGTACGATACAGCTGGTCGCAAACATGTGCGTTCTGCTGTTTCTTAGTGTTGATGCACCCTTCAAACATAAACCAATTTGCAAAGCCTTTAAAAGTCATCTGTACTCACCTAAATCGTCAAAGTGTATCTCGATAAATGAAGATTTTATAAGATCTTTTCAGAGAGGCAGTGATTATTGGAAATAAGGTCGCTTGGAGACATCCCCTTTCCTTATTTTTATCGCTTTCCAAATTTTCTGTCAATTTGCATGCGCGTTTTGCCTAGTCTGAATTCTTCAGGCCTGCATACCAATATTGGTCAACTTTTCTCTGCTCAAAAACATATAAAGTTGTAAGAAACAGGAATTTGGGTTAATTTTCAATTTCCTTTTAGTTTGATATGTTTTGATTTGTTTGATAAGTTTGAAATAAATATATCACCATTGTCTTATGGAATATATCAATATTATCCATATATATTTTTTCAACAAAGTGAGACTAGGGTCTGATTCTCCAAACTAGTCATATAGAAATCATCAGTGAAACATTCAAATGCATGATACTGAAATCTTGGATAAAACTCGACTCTCCATTCATACAGTGTATATCGCGACAAGTCCAGACATGTTCTGGTTACGACCTTTGTGTGGTGCGATCGTGCCCACGATCACCCATTGAGAGAACGTTGGATTAATCGTTAAAAGATTACTCCGTGATTGAGAACACACGTGGAGAGGGTATTTGCATTGCTGGTCAGTGGTGTTTTGTGTGAATGTCCAAGCTATTCTTTTTTGCTGGAGGAATGTGTTACAAGGAATTTGGAAGCTTTTTATTTCAGCGTTCTTTTATGTCCAGTGAATTTTTACATCTGTAGATCTAATGTAAGTGTGGCAGTAATGACATGCCTTGCTCTGTTCTTGTTAAATGCACTTAGAATTATTTGATAATTCTTAGCATTTTCAAGTTACAAAGTTATTTGTTAGTCTGGTTCCAGTAGTTAGGAATATAATTTTGAACAGTATATTTTGGAAATTAAAGGTGTTAAAGACGTTTATAAGTCATCAAAGAAGAGAAAAACAACAGTACATTTCAGCTTGGTAACAACTGAAATCGAACAAACCCAAATGAAAATCATGAAAAATATGAAGTTTATGTATATTGGTATTTAAATGCCTATTTGTCTTGTTAAAAAAATGATATAAAATGTCATTTCCCCATCAGGTGATTATTTCTACTTGTCCAAAATATCATATTTACATTTGTTTTTTTTTTCTTTTTCTTTGTCTGCCCTACAGCACAATGTCTTCACACTTTTACAGAGGACAACCTCCTGGCAGCTCAAGAACTCTGCAAGCCAGATCGTCTCGCTGTCTTGGAAAGCACCCTCATGTGTGAGAACACCACCATGAAGCTGACCCAACTGCAAACTCTGACTGCTGGTAAATAGACACCAAAACTTAATTACTAAGGAAATTAATTGTTATCAAACAGGCATTGAATAGTAGAAACGATTGTGTTGCAGTAAAGGAAAATATGAGAAATAACCTTTTAGACCAACCATATAGTGATAACGACTGTTTCATACATGTGGTATAAGTACTATTATTCATGGTAGTTCATAAAAAGAAAAGGTTTGCAAATTGCATTAATTGTGAATAAAAAGAAAATTGTGTATGAAAAGAAAAAGTTTGCTAATTGCAAGAATTGTGATTAGTAATGATTATAAACTAGAATATTGCATTCAAATATGAATTGCAAACTCACCACAGTATCCACCAGATGTCAAAATTGTAATCTGACAATATAAAACTCTCATAACCACAGAAGGGGGACACCCTCTCCCATCCTCTTCCCTTCATAGTTGCATTTTTAAAATTTTATTATGCCCTCTCAACTGTCACCCACTGTTAGCATTAAAATAAAATTTATCTGGGTTTATATAACGCTTAATACGAAGTACCATCTCTAAGCGCTTTACAGATATTATTACATTTGTCAATGGATTCGTTCACGCACAATGTGCACCATCTCCACTCCCTGGGGAGTATTCCTACCTTATGGTCACCGTGAGGTCATATGGCAATTGCCAACACAAAGACTTTCGTCATCCTACCAAGACCCCATCTCTCTCCTGGGTATGGCGTGGCAAATGTAGATTAATGCCTTGCCAAAGGATATTGGCATTCTCTATGTTCCTTTCCCAATAGTGGCTGTATTTATCTATTTTACTTCAAAAAGCATAATTAAGTGACTTCATCTGAATTTCAATGATTTTCAGGAATCCTGTTCAACATCCGTGGTTGTCTGCCTGCCACCAGCAGAGGGCAGAGTTTTCAAGCCCTAGTGAAAGTGCTTGCTGCCACACTCCAAACAGATAACTGTTCAGCCATCTCTTCTCTCGTCCCAGGCATTCAAACCAATGGAAATGTAAGTCTTAAAGGGCAAGTCCACCCTGATGTAAACTTTGTCAAGTTAGTTTAAACAGAAGTAAAATAATAAGAGGAACGGGTCAGTGAACATTTGAACAAAATCTGATTAAAAATAAGAAAGGTATGAATTTTTAAAGTTTTCATCAGTTAAACACAAATTGATAACACCTTGTCATATCTCTTTCTGGGTGAATGAATGATGTTCTTAAAGGGAAAATGGAAATTTTTGTTTAGTACAGAGCATATTGGAACCCACTGGTGGTGAGCTACTGGATGTATAGGAGGGTAGGAGAGAGAGGGAGAGAGAAGAACGGAGGAGCGCACGCTAGCAAATCTGGAGTACGGGGGTGTATTGTGTAAACAAAGTCGGTTTGTGGTGCTCGGTGTGACATTGAATGATTACACATTGCGGACTCGTTCTACTTTTGCAATGTGAATTCAGCAATTTTTCTTTGGAACCGTTCTGGGAATTTGATTGACTTTGATTGAGGATTAACAAGTGTATGCCTATGAGGGACTTATCATTGAGGTTTAATTCGACATATGCTACATCAAATTCTGCGAGGTTGACTGTACTCTGACCTTGTTACAGTGTATACATTTGATAAAAGTTAATCAAAACGAATAATGTTTCTATTTTTGTTATTTCAGGTTCAGAATGGAGAGGTTGAGAAGAAAGAAGAGGAAGAAACAGATAAAACAGTAAGAAATGCACCTATTATCTACTGGTTTTATTCATGTTATCTGATCAATCTTTGAAATAGTATCGGATATCATATGATTTTTCAAGCCAGCAATTAACGTTATCTGAGATAAATTGTAATCTTTGCCCAATACATGATTTTGTATTATTATTTTTCTTTAATCCTCATTTCTCCTACTTGTGGTACTCCTTTGAAGGCAGTTCAATCTCAAGTTCATTCTGTAGGTTACTGTCTTGACCCAGTATTTATGCCTTTATTCCTGGCTTTTATTGTTTTTCTCCCAATCCTTCAGTTTTAAATATGCGTATGGATATCTAAGTTGGAACAAATTTATCTTGAGCCAAGAAGATATATCAAAGCGCTTGGGATACGTCTAGGTCTATGACAGTCTGATATTTATTTTTCTACAAAAATGTGCTACGATATCTCTGTAGCGGTAGATTTTGTAGGCATTGATACTCAATAGGTATTGAACTGTCATGTTTATTTATGTCTATCTTCCAAGTTGCCATGGAAACTAGAGAGTGACTTGTCAGAAGCAGAGGCTCTTCTTCAAGCCCAGCAAGTAGCATTAGAAATCATCTCAAACATGTGCTGTCCAGAAGGTAGGTAGCTGTTTGCATTATACAGTCATGTATGAATTTAAAGTGTAACAAATCTTGCACAGATGTTTCCACAAACAATTTTCAATCATTTCCATCATCTTCATAACAAAAACAACCACAACAATAATGGTCATTTATTCTGTGCTTTAAAAAACATGTACCATAGCACTTACGAATTAAGTATAATAAAAAGAAGAAAATGTAAGAAAATTATGATGTATGTAACAAATGTGGTATGGTTGCACATACAGCATGCATTCTGATCAATATTTCTTATAATTTTTTTAGAATGTGTATGTAATTTGAAGTATGTACCTGCTCAGTCTTCCATATTTTGATGTCAGTTTGATTGTAGATATTGCGTTAAAAGCCCTTTGACCTCGGAATACTGCCTTTTGTATTTTATTCTAATAAACTAAAATTGATTTGATTTTTCCAGGACTTGAAAATAAATGATTTTTTTTATATTTTTATTTTTATAATCAAGGACATGCACAATTACAATTTGTGCGGTTAACTGAGCTTATGCAGATGTTTTACATAAACTGTAAATAACTTATCATTGAAAGTAAAAAAAACCGTAATTTTGGTATAAAAAGATTCATTTTGCACATTTTTATTTCTGAATTTGTAGATGATGATGATGACTGGGAGGATATGGAGTCTTGTAGCACAAGCAGTAGTAGCAGTGATGACAATCAAGACAAAGCACAAGATTTAGTGCAACCACCCGTCATGGTACATTGATTTTGTTTCATGAAGTCTAGAATGTGGGCATTGCCAGTTGGAAATAGATCAAAATGTTTGTGTGATTATGTGAGGATTGAACTTTTATTTGTATTCAAGCTGCCGTGGCTGCCGTGTGTTCACATCTGCACATTATATATGGAATAGACACATTGAGAGTCATTCATTACAATGTAAAGTGCTTGGAAATGCTGCATTAAGAATGGCCTGCCTCAGATGTTTTGAAAAGGCTCAAATGTCATAATATGTGAACTGAATTTCATCTGTTTCCTGCACCTTTTTATTTCTTATGTCAAACTTAATTTTGTTGTTTGTTGCTATATTGTAGTATAAAATGATTAATGATGTTTTTCGATTAGATCACACCTTGCAAATACTTTTCAAATAGAAATATGAAAAAAGGGGAGGTAAAAAGGTGTGGAAATTGCCAGCATACTAGAGACATTTGCTTCATCGTAGTTTGACTTGTTTCTAAATGTTGAATTGTTTCTAAATCTACAATCATCTTTTATTCTTGATTTATTCTTGCTTAGTATTGACACGTAAAAAAAGTAGCAAATATTTTAAAATATTTTTTCTTCTTTGCAGTCTCCTTTATGCCTATCTGCAGAAATTCACAGTGCATTAGCGGACCAGTCTATACCAGATAAGGTATGTAACTCATAATCATGTCATAAGTTTGTGAAGAGCGATGGCTCAGTGGTAGAGAAGTGTTCTGGGTTCAAAACTAAATTGATGTATTAGTGCCCTTTGGTAAGGCATTAACCCCCTTACCAAGTCCCTCGGAGAGGACTTTGAGCCGTCAGTCCATCAATTGCTTTAATACTTACAAGCACACCCATGCTTTCTTAGCAGCCAGGTAAGCAAGGTTTTGAGTACAAACAGGTGTATAGTAGACACTGCTTCAATCGCATTCATGAGAGTATAAGAGAAAGATGCGTCTTAGAGATTCAAATTTTGAAATCCATCCTAAATATCTACATCCATCATACTTTTTTGACTTGTTTCTGAATCTACAATCATCTTTATAAACATTATTCAGAATAACTTTTCATTGGGGATATCTTTTTGACCATTGTCCTTTGGTCAGTTATTTAAAAAAAGGAACATTTCAAAGTTTTGCAAGATGTCATGCTGATATCTCTTGAGTTTTGTTTCGGAGCTGACTAATGCTCAACATACATTACTTCATTCTAAACTATGAATAATATTTGACTTTTCCCTCTTTAATCATCATGATTATGGGAAAGAGTGATTTATTCAACTTTTTTGTTTTTATTTTAGATTCTAGAGAAGATCAGTTTTCCTGACAGAACACTGCTTCAAAAACTGATCTCTCATAAGGAGGGCAAACCATTATTCAAAGGGTGAGTATCTTACAAAATATGTAGTGGTTATGTAGAGAAATAAAGGGTTTTATATACATGCTACACTGCAGTGTTTTTGTTGCTGTTGTTTTTGCAGAAATTGTATGAATTTATAGCACAAACTATTCTTCAGTAATTCTCTAGTGCACAGATTTATCACAGAATGACTGAATGTCTGTTAAATTTTTTTTAGAGTGATATGAGGAAGCAAAATAAATGTACAATTATCCACTTATTATTATTACTATTTATCATTTGTCTGATTTGAATGACAAATTATAATGCCACAATAATTCATATCATGATCGCAAATTTATGAAATAGCTGTCAGCTTGGAAAACAGCAGTCTTCCAATGGATTATTATTTACTCCACACACAATGTTTGAAATACTTTCAAATCAGTATGGTGATCTACAGGAGATAACTGGTAACCATTGAGCAATTTTAAATGTTATGAGTAGGCCTATTTTGTATTTTTATGCCTCCGCCACCGAAGGTGGTGCCGGAGGCATCATGTTTTCGGGTTGTCCGTCCGTACGTCCGTCCCGTTTGACCGTTATCACAATATCTCAAGAATCATTTAAGATTTAAACTTAAGACTCGGGAATAGTATTTATCACCATAGGAAGACGATCTGATTAGATTTTGGAGTACATAGGTCAAAGGTCACAGGTCACAGAGGTCAACTTATGAAATTCCTTGTATTGAGTTTGTTAGCGCGATATCTCAAGAACCATTTGAGATTTAAACTTCAAACTTAAGGATAGTATGTATCACCATAGGAAGACGATCTGATTAGATTTTGGAGCACGTATGTCAAAGGTCAAGGGTCACAGAGGTCAACTTATGAAATTCCATACATTGAGATTGTTATCATGATATCTCAAGAACCACTGGAGATTTAAACTTCAAACTTAGTGATAGTGTGTATCACTATAGGAAAACAATCTGATTACATTTTGGAGCCTGTAGGTCAAAGGTCAAGGGTCACAGAGGTCAACTTATGAAATTCCATACATTGAGATTGTTATCATAATATCTCAAGAACCACTGGAGATTTAAACTTCAAACTTAATGATAGTGTGTATCACCATAGGAAGACAATCTGATTAGATTTTGGAGCACGTATGTCAAAGGTCAAGGGTCACAGAGGTCAACTTATGAAATTCCATACATTGAGATTGTTATCATGATATCTCAAGAACCACTGGAGATTTAAACTTCAAACTTAGTGATAGTGTGTATCACTATAGGAAAACAATCTGATTACATTTTGGAGCACGTAGGTCAAAGGTCAAGGGTCACAGAGGTCAACTTATGAAATTCCATACATTGAGATTGTTATCATAATATCTCAAGAACCACTGGAGATTTAAACTTCAAACTTAATGATAGTGTGTATCACCATAGGAAGACAATCTGATTAGATTTTGGAGCACGTAGGTCAAAGGTCAAGGGTCACAGAGGTCAACTTATGAAATTCCATACATTGAGATCGTTATCGCGATATCTCAAGAACCACTGGAGAATTTTCACTTCAAACTTAATGATAGTATGTATCACCATATCATAATATCTCAAGAACCACTGGAGATTTAAACTTCAAACTTAATGATAGTGTGTATCACCATAGGAAGACAATCTGATTAGATTTTGGAGCACGTAGGTCAAAGGTCAAGGGTCACAGAGGTCAACTTATGAAATTCCATACATTGAGATTGTTATCATGATATCTCAAGAACCACTGGAGATTTAAACTCCAAACTTGTTTAAATTGCTCTATGGCGGAGGCATCATTTTCGACTGCGCGCAGTCAAAATTCCATCTAGTTTCGTAATGTAATCAAATTTATTGCACAAGTCTTTTTGTTAAGTGCCTCGTTACATATAATTTCATTCATCTTTAAAAAAGTATTTCAACAGTCAGAATAAGAATTGCATACATTCTGTGTTGTTAGGTAAGACAAGGTATAATGTTTATCATACCTAGCAATGATTAATGTTTGCAATTAGCATTCTAACTATAGAATTACAATTATTTGTAAATGGTGAATAAAAATCATTTGTAATGTGGTACTTGAGAGAGATTTATGGATTAAATTTGATTACATGATGAAAATTGTCCATCTAAAAGGCTTATTTCAATCCCAATCTCTCTTGTTTGCAACTTGTAGCCTTCTGAGAGTCCAGAGCCGAGCACTCCTGTGTCTTCACAACATGGTTGCAGTGATGGAGCTGGAGTCCTTAGGAGGACCAGGAGCCCTGGCCCTGCTTCTTGACAAGCTCCTGGTCCTAGCTATGAGCGATCCAGGTACAAATCATTTTGGTGTTGTTTGGGAATGGGCTTCCAAGCCCAGGATATTGTGTGTGATTCAGCTGGAGACTTGGATAGAATTCCTTCTGTTGCTTCCATCACTTGTGGATGAAAGAAAAATGTAAAAAGAATGTAGAATTGAGAATTACAGAACATATTGTTAATGTCTGTTTTGTTTGAGCTTGAATATAGTGTGCAATCGATATGGCCATGTTTCTATTGACTTGAAAATTGTCGATCAATATGGAGCATAAACAAGAAAGGTAATTCATTTGACATTGAGTACTTTAAGAGGTCAATTTTTCAAATGTAAAATTCTAAAATTAAATTGTATTAAAACGACAGTCATATCATTATTTCATCGGTACATGAGCGCCACTGGGATTCCCAAACGTTATATGATGAAAAGGTTGTATTGAAAGATAACAAATGTAGATGGCATGATACAAAATCAAGCATCTTAATTAACTCTTAGAAGGTCATGTCAAAGACATTTGCTGTGTAATCTACAACTACCCCTCCCCTCCCCATGTAATATACAAGCAGAGAATTTTACAGCTATAAAATTAACAAGAAATCAACAAGCAGATGTCCATTCCACAATCCACCTGTCACTCAAACAGTGAAACTTACATTCAAGCATAATGAAATTTACAAGCAAACAATTTCTTATGTTGGTGAAATGTACTCTAAATTGGTAAACAAGGAGGAATCCAGGTCAGCATTTGACTTGTGGTGTAGGAAGGGGTGGAAGAGGGAGGAATGAGGCTGACTGCTTGCTTTCACATTTGATAATAAAATGTTAGGGACATCAATTTCGTTGTGCCCTCATTATTATTCCAGAATTTAACATTTTGCTTCTTTGATTTGTGTCTGTCCAATAAAATAGCAAGGTACATGTACCCATATTTTAGATGACAACAGAATTTATATTTATCCATCAAAAATTTCTATAAAGGAAGGTCAAAAATAATATGTTGTATATATTTCCAACCACCACCATAAATGGAATTTGGTTTTCTTCATTGTATCAAATTCCTGTTATATCTTTCATTTGATTTTAAGAATTTTTTTTTGACCCTTCCTAGAAAGTGATATCTTTATCCTGACGCCCATTCATTTTTATCATTTTATACAAGTTGACAGCACTTTTCTTTGTGATTCTTTTTCTTCTTTATCTTAGTTCCAGTAGGGGGCGAGTTGATCGAGGCATTGACTAGTGCGCTGAGAGCTGTCCTTCAGAAAATGGCCCAGAATAATTATGTCCCAGAGGTGTGTATTGGACCCATTTGAAATTCAGGACTTTGTTTTTCACAGGCCCAATGTTTTTCAATTTTGTATGTACAGATGGAGCAGTGTTTACTAGTTGGAATGGTTTTATGTTTGAGAATCATCAATAGTGACACTTTATGCATTGCTTGTAGCATTGCAGAGTCCATTTTTTTCTTCTTCAAACAATTATACCATACCACATTTACGTAGGAACTTTATATTATGAGCGAGTCTTTTTAATGGTATTGCTCTGACTATACACCAATTGAAGTTTAGGAATTAAATTTTGATTTTTCTTTTTTCTTTTTTTCATCGCTGTTTTTTTATTCAACTTGAAATGTCATGTAGAGATGTAAATGCATGCAAGTCCTAAATAGAGATATGAGTTCTCGTTTTGAGCAAATTAGGTAATTTACTGTATTATTGGTTATGCAAACCATTGGATAGAGTTAAAACATAACATGTCTTTTATGTTTTATCACTGTATTGAACATTTCTTTCTCTTCATGTCCGTAGGCATTGACAGAGGTACACCTGAAAAGGCTATGTTCGTTTAGTGAGGCCAATGCTTCAAATAGAATCAAAGTGAACCTGGTGGGTGTCCTAGGTAGCATTGGAAGTGTCTTGGCTAAGAGAGATGGAACGGAAGAACTACTCACAGTAAGTCATTCATTTCAGTCTCTAGATTTATCTTTAGAATATGTGATCAAACCCTGGGGCGGTATTATAAAATTTGTATATCAAATATTCCTGTATCTTCATTACTGAAACAAAATTAATTTTCTGAAAATTCTTGTAACTTTTCTTTCTCATTTCAGTTAACAATCTTTTATATAGTCTTTTTGCATATGCCCCTATTAATAGTATTAAAAAATAGGGATCTTCAGTCAGAATTTAGGAACACATACGGTATGTACCAGTCATTGGTTATTGTCATATAGAGCCATGCTTTAGCCCAAAATTAAGTGGTTTGCCCCATACATTTCATTTATAGGCTGTTGGAAACCAACTCCTAGAAGTAGCCACCAAGGACCCATCTCTGTGGGTAGCTGCAGAGGCCCTGGATGCCATCTTTGATACCTTTGGTGATGGAGTGATGGCCGATCGGGTCGCCATTGAGCTGGGTCTGACTGCTCGTCTAAAAGCACTGGTGCCTCAGCTCAAAGCCAAGGTGAGTCACAGAAGAATTCGCAGGGATATGATGATACATCAAATAGCATCAACATGTTTGTAGGCATATATTGCATGATTGTCACTGCCATTATGCACAGAGTGAGGGAGAGAGAGGGGGGGGGGGCGGGGGATATATCGAGGGGTCAGTGACACAAAGACATAACTCCATTTTTGGCCATTTTTAGAAAAAGTGGTTTATGTGTCAATGAGCACTTGGGCCTTAAGGAGTTAAGTCTATGTTTCACTATGATAGAAACTTGTAGGATACTTTTATGGGCTGCAATGTAAAGAATGTTTAAACAACATTTATACAAGATAGATTAATTATTTGAAAGAATATTATGGTAGAAGTTGATAATGGATACAATTTTGGAAGGAAAGAGATTGGGATAGCGAATCTCCTCTCCAAAGAGATAAAGACAAAAGAAAAGTACCAAAGCGAAGGTAGAGAGACAGACACAGGCAGAAGTTAAGAGAAGGAGGAGGAGAGGGCGAGAAAAAAAAGATGGGGTAAGATCAGACAAGTTAAATCACAAACTCTAGTCAATTTCTTTTTCTTCAATCTTCTAATCCCCTTTTTATCTCATTTTGATATGCTTTCAGTTACGGCAGAGTCAAGGAACTCTCGGGGAACACTTGCCGATCATCATGAACGCAAGGACAAACCTGGGAAGATTCATCAAGTATAAAGAGAATCAAGAGCTCCTCCTGGGCACCTATCCTTCTACTTAAATTTGTTGCCCCTCCATCTTTTAAAATCCTTCTCTCTATCCATCTTTTTAAATCCTTCTCCCCATCCACCTCTATCCAATCTCTCCCCTCTCATCTTTTTTTTTGTTGTTTTTTTTTGTTCATAATTTTCTTCTCCTGGGCACCTATTTTTCTACTTAAATTTGTTGTCCCTCCATCTTTTTAAGTCCTTCTCTCTATCCATCTTTTTAAATCCTTCTCTCGATCCACTTTTTAAATCCTTCTGTTCATCCACTTTTGAAAATCCTTCTCTCTATCCACCTCTATAAATTTCTTCTTCAATCTCTCCCCTCTCATTCTTTTCTTTTTTGTTCATCATTTTCCTTCCCTATGTCTTCCATCTTTGTAAATCAATCTCTCTATCCACCTCTGTAAGTTCCTTCTTTTATCTCTCCACTCTCATTCTTTTTTGTTTGTTTATCATTTTCCTGCCCTATGTCTTCCATCTCCTTCCTCCATACATCTGTGTATTCTCCATCTCTTCTTCTTCTTTACCCTTATTATACCGCACCTCTTCATTTTACTGTTTTGATTTTTGTGTGTGTAAATAAGCAATATTTATTGTAAATATGAATAAAGATGTATTTTAACTTGTCTCATTGCCAATCAGTAGCTTTCTGAGCCAGCTGAGGACTTAATACTAAAGTTTGTTTCTTTTTAAAGGTGTTATTTCAAGTAATGATCATTGTCAACAATTTTTTTTATGCAACAAAATGCAAACGGTAATCAGAAAGATGATCACGTTTTTATAATTATGATGAAATCATGTTTTACGATACTCTATTTACATTGGTTGCCAAGATACCAAATCTGATTTGGTAGGGTGAATTTTTATCTGTTCTTTTCCATTATTGGTTCCCAATCGAATGGATTGTTTTCCTTGGCAGTGATAAATTTGCAACTTAATTCGATTATAGTTACTTAATGAGTAATCATTTTCTCAACTAATGTAAAAACTATAAAGAGTTCATGTAAGACATACTCAAATAACTTCATATGTGAAAAAACCTGTGGGCATAATTTGTCCAAATACATGTATGGTTGTGGGGTTTTATCGCCAGTTTTTGTTGATGACGAGTATGAGAATGTTTTTGTTCTCAAAGTGGATTCAATTTAATTTGATGAACTGTATTGATGTTGATAGTGCTCCGTGAATTCAAATGTTTCGAAAGAGCAGTGATGTAATACTGGGAGGAAAAGCGACTTTTAATCTCTAAATGTCATGGAAAAACAAGTCGTCTCACTATCATGTGTATATTTTCCCTTCTTGGATCATATACATTTCAAGCTTTTATAATGTATCTTACTCTTCAATTGTGCCAACATCTAATTTGCATTTTCATACTACACACAGTTATTTTGAACAAATCATGAAAAAGTGAATTTCAAGATGAATTTCTTCATATGTAGTGTATTAAATCATAATGATAATTAAATTTGATTGATGGTTACAAGAGTTAAGGGCCTAGGCAAACATGTGGCATATGCCTTGGCCCTAATGAACTTATCTGAATGTTCAATTAACAACTGAGTTATTCATACCCATTGTAAATGTGATGTTTCTTTTTTCTTCTTCTAAACTCGAGGATGAAAAGTGGTCTGGTTGAACGAGGAGCTTTGTTGAAAGCTTCAATATGTCAAATTCTCAAGGAACATAAATTTGGACAAATCAAATCAAATTTTCACATACTTACTTTTTATAATACAATACTTGGAAAGGGTGTGAACAATTTAATTTTATTTGTATATGAGGAGCTACATATGAAATGAAACGTATTCTAATATTTTTGTATATGGACATAAGTGTTGTTCATGCCATCAATTTCGGAATACATTAAAAAAAGGTTTTATTTTTATGGGACGTGCGAGAATGCACCCCCTAATTTACAATCCCATAATTATGCAAAGAAAGGGTATGTTGATGTGAAACTTCAGACATAGTGAGATTAAACTATGATGATATGCATCATTCGAAAAAGAAAGTCAAATTTTGGTTTTAAAGATGTCTAATGACAAGAAATAATAAGGGAGAAATTTCTGTTACTGGTGTTGTGGTCGTTCGATGATTCAATGACGAAATTAGTTCATCATCTTCATCAACTCCTTTGCTTTCCAAGAATATCTAACATATATTATGTCAAGTTCAGTACCAGTCCGGAGCCAGCAAAATACAAGTGTACCAAAAAGGCCATTCAAGAAATCTATGCCTCGGACAGCCGATGGTTTTCATTGGCTGTTGTATATTGTACATGGTATCATTATTTTTTGGACTACAACCGTGCGTCATATTTTAAAAAATTATTATTATTATTAATAATAAAACCCAAATGAACTCAATTGAATTGGATCAAATGTTTCTCTTTGTCTCTTCTTTTTATAACTTGACTCTTGTGTACCTGCCCTCTCTTCTAAGTATTCATTGCAAATATATTCCAACTGTGTGAATCGATATGCCCTTGGGCTCTGTCTCTCTCTTTTTCTCTCTCCCTATGTCACTCTTGTCTCAATCTGCCCAAGAACCTCATTCCTTCCCAAATAATGTTCATAAATTTTAATGGAATATATGTATAATATGTCTTCAAGCTTAAAACATACAATTTACACATTTAATTCAGAAAAATATAGTTTTACATGGCAAGAAAACTACCCCCCCCCCCCCCGCAAGGACAACCACCCCAAGGAAAATTACCCCCCCCCCCCCCCCCACTAGGATTTTTTTTTTTGGTGGGGGGTGATTTGTGGAGGGGGTTAATTTTCTGGGAGGTAATTGTCCTCGGGAGGGTGGTTGTCACCGGTTTTCCATGGGGGTTGGTAATTTCTGGGGGGTTATAGTCCTTGGGAGGTAGTTTTCGGCGCGGGTGATTGCCCAGGGGTAATTTACCTAGAACCCCCCCTTGAAATAAATGCAAAATACATGCCAAGATAATAACATTTTAATCTTTTTTACATATATGTTATGCAATTGTTATGCAATCAGCAAAAACTGTGTATCTGCATTAACAGCTTCTATTACAATAGCATGAGTTATGTCTGTCTGCAAATGTTACTTGCAAATATGTTTTGAAACTTTGACCACACCTGATACATAAAGATTACTGCTTCAACCAGAGTGAAGGGGAAAAAGTATTGAAGTATTTTCAGTAAAAGGGGCACCTATCAGATTTGATTAGGGGCATTTATTAGAGATGAAAAGGGGCACTCCTTAAAAGGGAAAATACATGATTATAGTACAAAGGAATCATGGACACTTGTTGAAGGATGCTACCCCTCCTTTATTTGGCAAGTGCCCATGTTTCCAGTTGGCGTTTCCTTTGTACTCTGAGGAGGCGGATATATGAGGGATTTTTCCCCTTTCTTTTTAATTCTTATGTTTAAACTCTATTGAAGTTCTTGTTTTTGTCATATGTATCATATCTTGTCCGTATTATACTGTATATCTTGAAAATGGAAACAATACAAAGAATTAAAAAGTATATGTACATGTATATAGGTAGATTGGAGGAGATATAGTAATCATTTCAATAATTTAGAAATCTCTCCCTACATTGAGGAGGCCTACATAATTGGGGGGGGGGGGGGCAGGAGAAGGTGTTTTTTTACATTTAAAAAAAAATGTATTGGCCTAATAAATTTCCATTTATGTTCACATATATGGGTATAATAATTTCATGTTATCATATCTCTTCTTGTCATGTTATGTTATCTGTTCATGTTATGTTATTTTTTTTTAAACGCAAGAAATAAAAAAAATCTTTAGAAAATGAAAAAAAATTAGACGTGCGTACGTGTAAATGATACACTTATCGTATCCTTTTGAGATACCATACATGCTACTGTGCAGAAATTCGCGTGGATCATTTAGACAACACTCTTCTTTTAAAAAAAAACATCATCTCATCCATTGTAGCCTTCCATACGCTGTTTCCAAGTAGTTGACGGTAAGTCTTATTATATTGGTCTAAAATTATCAGTCATGTGTGTTAATTTCCCGTTTTCCCCCTTCAAACTGGTAAACCACGTTTGATGTTGTTTTTCTAATCTGGTCCCACACGTTGAATTCTGCGTGTGCTCTTAGTCAAGACAAGACGAATTGCACAACCAATGGCAATTCAATAGAAATAATTGCAATATGCACTGCAATGCCACTATCATATGTGAGAGGGATCATTGACAGTCAGACAGTGACATGCAATTTTATTAGTAGGCCTATATCAATTAGTTTATTGTGATCCTTTTATTTCAGGGGTGCTAATGATATTTTTCTTGATTAGGACAGTTTAGGTCTATTATTTATCTTAAATTTAAAGTCAAAATGTTTTAACTCTAAATTCTGATATTTTTAATATCTTCACCTCTGTCTCTCCCCCCCCCCTCTCTCTCTCTCTCTCCCTATCACTCCCTCTCTCTTTCTTTCTCTCTCTTTTTCCTTATTTCCTCTCCTTTGATATATGATGACAGTCTAGGTCTACCCTGGGGTACCAAAAAAAATTCGGCCATTTTGTTGAATTTTTTTTTTTTTTTTTAAGGCTGTACCCTGGGTTACCAAAAAGTGGGAAATTATTTTTGTGTGATTTTTTCAACCTTCAATTGTGTCCAATGTTCTTGTAAAAAATCCTTTAAGTCCTGTATTTCTAAAATTCATTGTTGTTATGAGTAATTATTCTATTATTGATATCATTTCATGCTGTTATGATACACCCTGTATTATTATTGTGGTATAATTAAAATTATTAATTATAAATGAAAGTTCTATTTTGTGTTATGATGCTATCTGTGTACAGCAGTCATGATAATCTCATGTGTTGTAAATAAACAAATTTTCCAATTGAATAATAAAAATGAAAATCACATTATGAAGTGGTATTATCTTTTATTTTCTGTCTTGGCAAGAATGAGGAGAATTTCTCTACAGCACGAGATCGAGCTCTTTCAACTTTCTCGGCCCTTGTAATCTTCCGTCTTTTACGTCCTTTCCCTTTCAGTAAATCCCCGTATCCACCATCACCTTCCACCCATGGCATTTTCAAAGTTTGAAAGTTTGACAGTAACGCGCACGTTAACTATGTCGATGATGCGATGTTTGTTTGTTGTTGTTTTTTCGAAAGAGTATACAGGTACGGTACGTACGTGCAATAACATCAAGTTCTAAAATAGCCGCGTGTCGGGACCGGACGCCGGAGCTAGCTAGCACTATAGTGTGCGATAGCCACCGTAGTGCGCTTGTGATCGTGAGCGAGCGCTATAGCGCGAGCAGTGCATGCATGCACACCATGCATAGTAAACACCATAGAGATACCACGGAACTATGTACACGCACTTCATACATTGTACTCGAGTGGACGCGAGATGGCGCTACACAACGCGGTACCCCGGGGTAACGCGTGGTGCATCATATTATGGGATTTATAGAATCCACCACATGTGGACATTCAGTGTGTATTTTTAACAATATTTTTACAATGTGTGACAGATCTTTGTACCTGAAGCGGAGAGCAAGACGGATGGCAGCCAAGTCAAGAAGCACAGATGATGTCTTTAGAAGTTTTGGAGAAAATCTGCAACTTGTTGTTGATAAGTTGAGAGGTAAGGAAAGTGTATCATTCAGAATCATCAGAATTAATCTCTTCTAAAATCCATTTTAAAGTGTAATTTTTAATTAATACATTACAGGATAAACAAGGAAAGGAGACAAAATGCTGCAATTTATGTTAGAAAACTTAGATATGTTCAATGTTGGTATATATATTGAAAATTACATGTAACATCTTTGAAACATTTTTCTAAATCTGTTATAATTGCTGTGTGATGTTACCATTGTTATTTTGTTATATTGCTTTTGTATTTTGATGATGGTAATATTATATTCCGCCACATCGCTTCCTCTCAGTCTCCCATATTTTGCATACATGCATGTTCTCTGCTGTAGTAGCAACTTTTTGTTTCCACTTTCCTTTATTTCTCATTATTTGCATTTAATTCAGAAAATGTGCCTCCAAGGGATGCTACAGATTTTAACTTGGCTGAATATTGGACCAAGATGGGTAAGTTATCCAACTCAAGAGCTTAGCTGACATATGAAGATATTTATCTTTGTGATTCACGTAGAAGTATCTCTATATATCACAATAGAAAAGTTTGAAGCTTTTACTTGATTTTGCCTTGGAATGCACAAGTATTTGATTACAGGCATTTTAAGACCATGCCAATAATGCTGTACTAAACATATCCCCTATAATGTTGTTGAGTAGAATGCTAAAATGTGCCCTTTTATGCTTCCTGTTACTTGTACTATGTAGTAAACTGTAGACTACCATAAGCTTAAATACTTACCATTAACAAATTTGATCATGAAAAATTGTGTGATGAATCCAAAGTTCATAATAAATCCTTTAAAATAGTAGCTTTCACTGCAAGGTTTCTTGCATGGTATCTTTTCATGTTAATGATTTGTGATGTGTGATATCAGATAATATTTGTAATTGTTTACAATCAAATCAGCCTCAACCCAGTGTTTCTAAAACACCATTAATAAGTCATTCTAATCTGATTGCTCAAAAATACAGTACAAAGCAAGTTTTTAGGAGTCATGATCTAACTTGAAGACCTTGCCACATCCAGAGACTACCATCAAAGCTATATCCAAACTCCAAAAAACTCCAAAAGTTTGGCCCTGTGCTTTTTAATCTCACTCTGGTCTTTCCTTGTTTAACCTTTTCCAGAGATGGTCTTCAAAGCAATGTCCTTTGAAGCAACCAAGCTAGCCATGTGTTTCGCTAGTCCACCGGTTCCCAGCCCAGAGGAATGCCAGTCTCTCATGAGCTCAGTGGAGATGAAGACGGTCGCATTGGTGTCCCTCTACTATGGGCTGCCCAAAGAACAAGGTAAGCCATAAGGATGCTCTCTTTAAGACAGTTACACACTTGAAAAAGCGAACTAGGGTGGTATTCTGAGCACAATTATATCTCTGAAATAAAATCAGTATTGTGACACCAGGTTTTATGTTTCATTTTATCTCAATTTCTAACTTCTTGCTTTGTAATTCAGTCATACTCTTCATTATATATCTCACTAAAATAATTCTCAGAATACCGATTTATGAAAGATTTTAAGGGTATTTTACCTCCCTCTCTTTCTCTCTCTCTCTCTCTCTCCCTGTAACTGACCTCAAAAAGAATTAGTGCGGTAACTCACCTGTCATGTTCGGGTTTGGTTTTGGTTCAGCAAGGTCCTGTATTTTTCGGCTAAACTTAGCAAATTTACATATGAACAAAAAATTAGGGGTCCTAGGTTCTTGGAATGCCATCGCTGAAGATTTAGAATGTTGCTATTTTATTAGTTCCTTTTACCAAATATTTCAATGTATATTGTTTATCTATTTGTTTAATCTTTTTGACATGAATTTTAATAAATAATAGATCATACTTTCTCTCATGCTCTCTCTCTCTCTCTCTCTCCTATGTTCACTCTGTTATTTATACTTTATTTTCTTTCTTTATCTCAGGGGTGACATTACGAAAGCGTACAAGGAACCTGGTGATTGGTGTAGTAGAGAGCATCAAGGAACTTGCAGAGAATATCAAGAGGGCAGGTTACAAGAGGTAATTAATTTACAAAAGCAAGTGTGGGGTTTCCACCATTTTGTTTTTCTTCAGAGTATTTTCAAGCTGTCCATAGCTCAATCACTGTGTGCCTCCATTTATTTTTCACAGTCTGTGACTTTCAAAGTGTATACCAGCATTACGTTTATACTTTGCTTACTATCACTCTTGAAAATCATTTCTTTTCGTAATTTGATCTGTAAAATTTTACGAGCGAAAATGAATTTCTGAATGGATAATAAATGCTTAATTTTACTCAACTAACAAAAAAATAAATTATAAATTGGAAAAAGCAATAAAACATTTGAAAATGACATAGTGTTGACCATATATTCATTCTTTCATTCATTCATTCATTTACTCAGTAGTGAGGATCAGTTGAAGTCAACAGGAGCAGTATGGGCGTCATGTGACATCTTCCACTCCTCCGCCAAAAACAACAAGGAAGCCGTCTTGAAGGAACTCAAGTCTACGTCGGGGCTTGTCAAAGATGCTTTTGAAGAATTGAATGAGGTAAAGAGGAAAGGATTTCATGAGTTTTTATAGAATAGCATGCAACATACCCTAGGTTTAAACTAACAGAATTCATTATATAGCTATAGGATTAGGAATTAATTTATACACAGTGTGAACGTTGTGTAGGGAACAATTGTTTAACGAAAAGTATAATATATTTGAGGACTATTTCCAATAAAAATTTTAGAAAAAGAATCATGGTCCTGCTCCAGGCTGAACAGCATATCATACAAAAATTGTGCAGCTGTCAGGTCAATAGACTTCATGAATCTTTTAAGTAAATAGCATTTTAGCCATAATTTATAAAAAATATGGAGGAATTTTAATTGACAAATCCCTAACCTTGATTATGTTTCGACATTTCCAGGCTAAGGATACAAATGGTAGCAGCGTTGATGGCATGGGATTCATGATGACCGATGATGAGCCTGAGCTTGACCAAGAAGAAGAGGCAGTATGGTCAGACCAGGACAAGGCGGTCATTCATCCGGCCCTTGGGCTGGCCAATGCCTGTAAGGCTTGTGTGAAGGTAAGTTTTGAGGCGTGTCTGTCTCTCTCATATGTTCTGTGATAATATTCCTATAAGTCTCATTATCTCTGAATGTCATTCACCCAACAACTATTATTATTATTATTTTTTTTTAATACTTATTAGGAGGGAGCCTTTATATTCCTTCGAGAGGTTAAGTTGAAGGGGAGGGGGGCTTGTCCCTGCAGTTTTGTTAGCCTTTACCTAACAATTTGACAAACATGAACTTTAAAAAGAAAAAAACAGCAGTTCATCAGATTGTGGTATACATTTGATGCGGTAACACTTACACTAATTAATACCACATTTCATCTTGGATCATGATGTAGCTAATACTCTTTTTTTTGGTGATGTTTATCATACAGAAAGTCACAGAAGCCATCAATAGGAGTGGAAAGTCTGTGGAGATGGTGCACATAAATGAGCTTGACGAGGTGGTAGAGATAGCAGACGAGATCAGTCCGGACCTGGATGAGTTGGTGTCCTGCCTGTATGCTCCTATGAACTATACTGTGATACGAGCCAATGTGAGTAGGACCTGGACTAGATCCCTCTCTCCCTCCCCCTCTCTCTCTCTCTCTCTCTCTCTCCTGTATGTATGCTCATATAACCTATACTGTAGTACAAGCCAATTTGAGTAGGACCAAGGGTTACAAAAGAATATGTAAATGAATTACAAAGATATGAGACTTAAACAGAAGATTAAACACAATTCAATGCTTAATGTAGATCCTTAGCTATTTCTTGAGCTTGGATATCTCTTCTGGAGTATCCTGACAAAGACTTGTCTGTTTGATGTCTGCCCCTTTTTTGCTGGATAGACCTTGACCAATGGTTCCATCCGGTCCCTCAGTTCTAGTTACAGTACAACTACTTAAATCCTAAAATTCCTGATAACTTTGTACGATAGATACATAATTTACTTGAGTGTGTGTGTGTGTGTCTTGGGTTTTTACAGACGTGTATCAATCAGATATGATTATTTACGTCTGGGGACGGACCTTTAAACATCACCATCCGAAAGACGTGACTCAGTTTCGAACCTGCGTCCTCGGCTGAATCAGTTTGTAACTTCCACTTTTAGCTGGATTACAGGCGCACACCACAACGCCTAGTGGATAGATTGTATAATGAACTCATTCACATGCCTTGTTTGTATTTTATTCAACAACATAAAATAATCTTCTTCTTTTTAATTCACTCTTTCCCCCACAGGCTTCACTGATGGCTGACGTCTTACACAAGCTTCTGAACATGGTCAGAGCCTCCCACATAGTGACAACAGATGACCCTAAGATAGACAACTCTAAGTGGTTGGACTTCTTGGCCAAGGCCATTGACCACAACGTTGACCAGATCAAGAACATTACCAAGGAAGAAATTCCAAGATGATGATTGAGATGAAGAGCAAACTTCAAATAGAAACAAAGACTTTTTTTTCTACAAAAGTGATTCCATTTCATGGAATGCAGAGCTCTACTGGTGGATCATGTGTACCTTTAAAAGTTGCAGCTCAAAATATGGAAGAAAGCTAGGTTTTTAACCCAAGGTATATGTGTCAACGGGAGGAGATACAATGATAATATTCATTCTGTTCAAATATAGCGCATAATATATCTATGTACTTCCAATGGACTTTAGATGGAACTGGGTTTTTAACCCACAGTATATGTTTCAACTGGAGGAGATACATGTGTATAATGATAGTATTCTGTTCAAATATTGCACATATCACATTAAAAAATATCTTTAAAGATGAAGTGAAGTTTTGGGGTAATAATGTCAAAGGTCATGGAGGTCAACTAACGAGATAACAGGTTTTAGCCTTGTTATCGCAATATCTCAAGAATCATGTACGTGGTGATGGTATGTAGCACCATAGGAAGACAATTTGATAATATATTTGGGTAAATGGCTGACAGGACATAAAGGACAAATTCCATGAAATATCTGGGTTTTAGCCCTTTTATTGCTATATATATAATTTGAGCCATGAACTTCAAACTTGGTAGCGTGCATCGCCATAGTGAGACAAATTGATCAGATTTTGGGTAAAAGAAGGTCAAACGTCAAAGGTCAGCAAGTCAATTTACAATCTTAACCTTGTTATGACCCCGGGTTATGACCAAATGAATTACTATTTGAAAATATTTTAGTTGTGAACTTAAAACCTGTAACTAGTATGCATCACTATGGGGGGGGGGGGGGGGGGGGGGGGGGAACAAGTTATCAGATTTTTGGGATTGTCATGTCAAAGATGAAAGGTCATGAAGATCAATTGACACATTTAAGTATAGGCTTTTTGTTGTCGTTGTGATATTCCAAGAATAATTCAAGCCAGGATCCTAACTAAATTTAGGCGGTGGTATATTTGAGAGGCAGCCAAATTTTTCTTGTTAGGTATTGCTCATTGGATTAGTAATAACTCTCTTGATCATAAACCTTGGTTCATTCGCTTTGAATCAAGGCTTATGATGAAGATAATAAGTTTTGATTGTACTATCCAGAAATAAACCTGTCTACAGAAGATGTTATACTCTCTGTCTGCCTAAAGTTGTCTTGAGAAGGCAAGAGCTCCTCATGCAATATGCATTAATAAACAGTATTTTTATGAATAATAATGTGCTAAATTTGCTTAATTTGTTCGGAAATCAAATTAATTTCAAGTGATATGGAATTTATTATAACGCTGCTTCAACATACAACTACAATTTTTACATTGCTCCAGCCAATATACCACACAGTTTTCCATTTTTATTATAGATGCACCTGATAATACATATTAGATATTTGAAATATCAAATAATATCTGAGAAACTGCAATATCTTACACACTAGATTACTCTATATGGACATTACTTCTCCTGTGATGTTTATTTTGATATGGAGTTTACCTTCTCAATATTAATTTTGTAGGGTACTCTTTGAATTGTTCTTGCTGCAAATTGTATGCCATACTCTCAGTATATGCGATGTGATTGTATCAAATACAGTACTATCATCATCATTCTCTGTAATACATTAGTGTGGACTGTGGAATCATGATCTATTGTGATTTGGGGGGAATTATTATGTATCTATGACAATATTACAGCATGGATGCATTGACATAAAAGCATGTGATGACGATGATGATGATGATGTTGATGTTTGTTATGATGATGATGATGATGTTGATGTTTATGATGATGATGATGATGATGTTTTTGATGATGTTGTTGATGATGATGATGTTGATGTTTGTGATGATGATGATGATGATGATGATGAAGTTGATGATGATGATGTTGATGATGATGATGATGTTTTTGATGATGTTTTTGATGATGTTGATGTTTGTGATGATGATGATGTTTGTGATGATGTTGATGTTTGTGATGATGATGATGATGATGATGATGATGATGATGATGATGTTGATGTTCATGATGATGATGATGTTGATGTTTGTGATGATGATGATGATGATGATGTTGATGATGTTGATGTTTTTGATGATGTTGATGTTTGTGATGATGATGATGATGATGATGTTGATGATGTTGATGTTTTTGATGATGTTGATGTTTGTGATGATGATGATGATGATGATGTTGATGTTTCTGATGATGATGTTGATGATGGTAAAGAAACTGCTGATACTAACGATGTTTGTTACATTGGGTATGCTGATAATGATGGAGATGATGATGATGAAGAAATTGATGATGATGATGTTGATGATGATGTTGATGTTTGTGATGATGATGATGATGATGATGATGATGTTGATGTTTGTTGTGATGATGTTGATGTTTGTGATGATGATGATGATGATGATGAAGTTGATGATGATGATGTTGATGATGATGATGATGTTTTTGATGATGTTGATGATGATGATGTTGATGTTTGTTATGATGATGTTGATGTTTGTGATGATGTTGATGATGATGATGTTTTTGATGATGTTTTTGATGATGTTGATGTTTGTGATGATGTTGATGTTTGTGATGATGTTGATGTTTGTGATGATGTTGATGTTTGTGATGAGGATGATGATGATGATGATGATGATGTTGATGTTCATGATGATGATGATGTTGATGTTTGTGATGATGATGATGATGATGATGATGTTGATGATGTTGATGTTGTTGATGATATTGATGTTTGTGATGAACTGATGATGATGATGATGATGTTGATGTTTGTGATGATGATGTTGATGATGGTAAAGAAACTGCTGATACTAACGATGTTTGTTACATTGGGTATGCTGATAATGATGGAGATGATGATGATGAAGAAATTGATGATGCTATTGAATAAATCACATAATATCCCCCTCCCCCTCCCGCCCAGAGTGAATTGAGTTTTAAAATCTCTCATGTGTGTTATGGCTCTATATTGTTCTTAGTTTTATAAGAAAATCAAGGGCGAGGTGTGTCCACCCTGAGAAAATTTGTTATTTCTAAATCCCTCAGGCAATAGCCTATTATTATCCACAAATGAAAGGAAAACTTGGCACACATGCCACCTTCAAGGAGGGTGTTTTCGGATGGGAGAATCCCCCCCCCCCCACCATCCGCAAATATTTGATACAAATATTATTTTGATGATGCTGTTTTCTATGATATTGATAGGTTATTCCCAAGACGTCATGCTAGAATGAGAGTTAATGCGGCCTTTAATTAAAGGTCATACAAAGTTTTGGGAAATTTTGAAAATTTACAATTTTAAAATATTTGGATGCCCTGTGGATGTATTTAAAGCACTAAAAAAAATTATCCCCCTAAAACACTTCTGTTTTCGAGAAAAATTGAATAAAAAAATTTACCGGTGCTCCCTGTAAATTTTTATAAATTTCAAATAGCGCCTATGGCCGTGCAATGTTAGCTGCGACCATGAAAATCTCAGAATATGTAGTTGTGATATATAATTTCGAAACGAGAATAGCTAATCGGTCGATTTTAGTCAAGGAAAATTGTTTCATAACTAAATTAATATCTTGATCTTGAGAGGGAACTATACAACATAAAGAGTTTATTATTTATAATTTCATAACTTTAGACTCGATTCCAACCGCGACAACGATCAATGAATATTGTAGGAACGCATATGCCTTCAATATGTTAATTTGAACCAAATTCATGACCCCATACCAAAACTTTGTAATACATTTAAGATTCCGCTCTGAAATTCGCGTGTCGCTGGCCCCCTCTACTTGAAACTGGCTCTTAATTAAACCAAATACATTCTGGACAGACTACCAATTCTTCCGCATTCATACCATTTTGCCCCTTTTTGTAGCGGACCTGGGCAAATTAGAGCACCCTGAAGGAAAAAAGAACCTCTGGTACCATCCCCGTCTCTTTCACTCTTTCTTGTTCTCCTCCTCTTTCTTTTGCTCCTTATACTATAAAAGAATAATCGAAATTGATCACATAGTTTCTATAAGATTTTGATTGTCGGGAGCGTATCCGGACACTTATACCCCCTGGACATCCACCCCCGGAAAATCACCCCAAGTCAACTACCCCCTAGGACAACTACCCCCTAGGTCAACTATCCTCTAGGGAGACTACCCCCGGGACAATTCCCCCGGACAACTACCCCTAGGATAGTTGTCCGGGGGGAAGTTGTCCTAGAGGATGGTTGTCCTAGGGGGCAGTTGTCTGAGGGGTAGTTGTCCGGGGGTAGTTGTCCCAGGGGGTAGTCGTCCTAGAGGGTGGTTGCCCTAGGGGTAAGTTGTCCTAGGGGGTAGTTGACTGGGATGGTTATCCGGGGGTGGATGTCCAGGGGGTAGGTGTCCCAGAACCGTCAGGACAATTACCCCCCGGAAAATTACCCCCAAGGACAATATCCACCCTCTAGGAAGACTACCCCCGGGACAATTCCCCGGACAACTACCACTAGGATAGTTGTCCGGGGGAAGTTGTCCTAGAGGATGGTTGTCCTAGGGGGCAGTTGTCTGAGGGGTAGTTGTCCGGGGGTAGTTGTCCCAGGGGGTAGTTGTCCCAGGGGGTAGTTGTCCTAGAGGGTGGTTGCCCTAAGGGTAAGTTGTCCTAGGGGGTAGTTGACTGGGATGGGTATCCGGGGTGGATGTCCAGGGGGTAGGTGTCCCAGAACCGTCAGGACAATAACCCCCTAGATAATCACCCACAGAAAATTACCTCCTATAGGACAATTACACCCCCACCCAAGGACAACCAAGGACAAATAGCCCTCCCCCAAAAAATTACCCCCCCCCCCCCGGCCCCTGTTCATGAAAGGGGAATAGAAGACTACCCTGTTAATAAATTGGTTTCAATACAAAAATCGGGGGTAATTGTCCTCGGGGGGGGGGGGGTTGGTTGTCCAAGGGGGTAATTGTATTCAGGGGTAGTTGTCCTCAGGGGTAGTTGTCCTCAGGGGTAGTTGTCCTCAGGGGTAGTTGTCCTCAGGGGTAGTTGTCCTAGGGGTTATTTTCTGGGGGGTCGTGATTATTATCATCATTTCCACCACCACCACCATCATCACTAACATATTACGTAACTTTCGCCATTATCATCATTGAACCTATGCACAATCATCATCATCACCTAATTATTTCATCACTACAACCCACTGGCGTACTGATGGGGGAGCCCGGGGAGGGGAGGGGGAGTTGCCCCCCTCACCCCAAAAAATCAAACGTGGTTTATTGTTAATTCGATACCAGTGGTTTACAAAATGTTGCTGAAATGTCTCACTTTTTTGTAAATTATACTTTTGTTTCTTTCTGCCCCCAACAAAATGTTTTCGCTCATTACGCCACTGCCCGGCCCCCCCCCCCCCCCCACTCAGATGTTGGAATGACCGCATGCGTGTTGCCAAAATGTACGATAAAGGGGTATTTTTCGTGCGACAAAGTCCGGCCCGAGAATTGTAAAAAAAAAAGGGGTGTATTTGACTTTTTACCCGGAGATTTCTTTAAAAAGGGGGTGTTTTTCTTTTTTTCTCTCATCTCTTTGGACTCCTGAGAAATTATTCCGAATTTAGGGGGGTACATTGAGCATTTTTCCTGATTTAGGGGGGTCTCCAAGGCAGGAAAAGCCCGCGAAAAGCCCGCGAAAGGGGGGTTCGGAAATGTTGGCAGTCCTCAGATAGGGGGTGCTTTCAAAAAGAGGGTACGAGCATATGCGTACCCTAAATAACACTGAGTGGGGGGCCGGGCGCCACTGCTACCATAACCACTGCTACCACCACGACACTACCGCCAACAACAACAACATCATCATTATTCATCATTATCATTAAACCCTCATCTCAATCGTCACTACCAGACGTGTAATTTGGTCTGTATAATTCTCATGAACAAAAAAGAAACATATTCACGTCAATTAGTTTTATTGTATAAAAAAGATTTGGTTTTATTTACAATTTTAGCGCTTGATTTGAAATATAATGCTATATAAAATTATATAAACACTAAAACTTGTTTGTTCATTGTAAAATTTAAGTCTCATTATTTGACGAATCATTCCTCATATTTCTACAAACATGATCGCAAAGACGTTCTAAAATCAATTCTCGAGAAATTTCAATACCTGACTATATTCCCTATCGAAAATATTTTTGGATTAGCACACATAATTTTGTTCTCACATTTCAAAATGTGATAGAAAGGTTACTGAAATTTTCCTAGGGTTGACTTCTCGAAAGTCTCTGTGATCGTGTTATATTTATCAAAGGTCACGAGTATAAAATGTTTGTTTTTTTGTGTATCTACTATAAACATAGTTATATACACATAAAGAAACATTGTTGTTTCGTTGTACAAATCTAGTCTCGTTGTCAGCCCAACTAATTTCTCATTTTCGTTGGCAGTTTTTTGTGGTATGAGTCTGAAATGAGCTTTAATATATACAAGAGAGGTCAATTTGTTGTCTTTGACGAACTTGGCTTCAATGCATTAGAGTGCAGGCCCCTGGTTTGACGGGTGGTTTTTCTTGAAATCAAGTTCTCCTGAATTTGAACTCACCTTTAAAAAAAAAAAACACTTGTAATTGGTAAAGAGCAAGAGAATAATGTTTTTAAAGCAAAATAATTGCTTCAAAATCGCTTTCGGAAACACAGAAAAAGATACACTAGGTGTTCTTTACTGCACGATAAATCAGAAATCAGAAAGAGTACGGTTTCTTGTTGTTATGATTGAAACTTAGTATCGAGCGTGGGTTTCAAGGAAAAAAAACGTGACGCAGCTAACTTTCAACTAATCAGCGATTGAGAATGCGATCACGTGCCAATTACGAAACAATGCCATCGTGTATACTGATGTTCAAAAAGCCGCCATTTGTATACGTTCAAATGTGGATTGAAACCATTTTCTTTATTAGAGCGTATTATTCAATGTACAGAGTCCCCCCCCCCCCCCCCCCCCCACCCAGGTGCGGATCAGAGATTTTCCAAAAAGGGGTGGGGGCGTGAACTGAACTCAATTGCGGACGCGAAGCCTTAACGGCGTGGGGTCCGGGGCCCGCCTATTTTAAACCTTGAGTTCTATACTATGGTGCTCTTTTGCTTACCTAAATTATTTCAATTTGCATACTAGTGGGGCCACGTCCTCCTAAAGAAATATACGGTAAAACTGCTGGGAATATGTCTCGCGACATACATTCGATATTTTTTAAAGTATATTTCAGTTAGTATACATGTACCTATTTATATTTCGTTGTTTTGTCACATTACTATTGGGACATCCTAGCCTATAATAAAGAAAAGCTGTAATGATAAGAACCCTATCATGTACAGAGCCCCACCCCGCTCTGTACCGTGATGGTCTACCTTCGGTTAATACCGATTATTCCATCTCCGAATGCTTAGAAGTTTTCCAAAACCAGCTAATATTTGTAAGGAAAAATGTGAGCAATTGATTTTAAATCCTGTGAATTGTTTTCTTGTTCTATTCTTAGGTCTAAGACAAATGTGTTTTTTTGGTTTCTTTAATGATTTTGATTCCATTCGATTTCATTTCATTTGAATTAATTTTGTATTAATGATTTAGGTATATACAAAGTATGTCCGTTTATCCCATTCATGGGACTGTCTTGCAATCGCTTGTATTGCACAAGATTTATTCTCTTCTTTTCAAATCAGACGATAATGTGTTTAGATTTCACATTGGGGCAGCCTGCTTTTTGTTAAATGGAAAAGAAAAACAAACACAAGTATTTCCAAGTTTGGCATAACTCTTTGTGTCATTTGAAATTGTTTCGTTTTGTTTTGTGCTATATCGTAACATTATTGCAAATTCAATAACCTTTTACCAAATCTTGCTTAAGCTCGACAGTGTATTTTGTTCGGTTCATATGATTTGAATTTCATCCTGAAAAGTTTTTCATGAATTGATTCTTTTTAACTAACGTTCATCGGTCAAGACATAGTAATGCCAGAATTCCTGTTTAGAGCTATCATCAAATATACATATACAAAAGATGAAGAATAGAATGGATATTTACAATACTTACCTAACACTGTATTTCGAAAAAAATATCAAATATCGTTATGACCCCCCCCCCCCAAAAGATTGACTATACCAATTTACTACCTTTAATTATGATATTGCATATATTATTTGCGATTTCCATATTAGATGTGCTTTTCTTAATTGCAGAAATTAACAAATCGCAAAATGTCCATTGCTGTAAAGTCTTGACAAATTATTGCTTTATCTTTGTCGTTCTTTTTGGTGATACTTACCTAACTACAAAAAAGAGAGTTATCCAATACAAGTCATTTGGATTTCATTTATATTCACTTCAAAGTGCTTGCAATAATATGTTGTGGGATTAATTCGACTTTTAGTACACAACGGCTTTCGAATGCAAGAAAAACGCATGGCGATTTGTAAATTTCTGAAATTGAGAAATGTAACAAAGAAAGAGAAATTGAAATTGAATTGAAATTGAATTGAATTAAAAAATAAATATAATTTGATATTTTATCGAATACAGTGTCTGTCTACATCATTCTCTCCAGCTCGGCTACGACTTCGTCGATGCTAGGTCGGCAGAGTTGAGAGCTCTGTCGACAGATGTTGCCGATGGCGGTGAGATCGGCGTTGGTCGTAGCACCTCCCATCAAGGTGAGAAGTCTTCCGAGCTGGAACACGTCACTCGAGACCGAGGTCAGCACGTCATCGAGGGCGCATTCAGGGGCGATGTGGACATACACCTCCTGTAAAAATAAGAGGGACAAAATGACGATTGAAATTCTTTTAAATAAAAGGGGATCTGTTCATATCTTTAATTACCATCAACTTGATTGCACACTGAGAACATCACAAGCTACTGAAGTATAAATGATATCAACTTGAATAGCATAATATGACATAATTATGTGGGTAGATAGCCAAGAAAGAGAAGCGTGCCGGGCCCCATTCTGAATATTTTTGAGATCCTGTGGGTACATTGTCTATGATGTCAACAAAAATATGAAAAACAATAATTAGCCAAATAATCCTGTTTGTAATGTCGATCTATTCGCTTGTTCTGCCCCTTCCTCTTTTTCTCACACACACACACAATGATTTACCAAATTTCATAGAAATCACATTACACGAAAAGAAAAAACACAATAATCAATATACCTTTCTACGGTACTTCTCCTTGTCTTCAGCGGAAAAGCGGTAGAAGTAAGGTCTATCGCAAGGACACGCGAGCCCAAAGTCAACGATAACTGCTTGCCATCGGCCAGTTGGTGTCTTCCGGAGCAAGCAGTTATCTTCTTTAAGGTCGTTCATGAGAAAGCCTTTCTCATGGATGCGACCGAGGGACTTGGCGATGTCGAGAGCCAGAGCAAACCTGTTTGAAAGAAAGAAGGACAGTAATTGCTTGTTTTTTAATGCTGGTTGATGCATTTAATCAGCATTATTTTACACAAACTGTCTACTGCGCTAAAGTACAACGACATCAATCATCTTCATTGTTTACTTTACCTGGGTCGAAAGTGGCAAATGGAGATCAATGTATTTCCACAGACTGCTGTCATATCCACTAGGCCTCTATCAAAATAATGTTGCATTCACATAAAGATTTTTGATCGTTCAAAGCCTAAAAGATTTAAAGAGAAACTCATCTGTACTCACCAGTCATGCTGACTTAGCGCTAGCTTTCGCATGCCACGGCTCAGTGTCCAGGACTCTCCCGTCATCGTATCGCCGACGAAATCCATCGCAAGACCTATCTTACCTGTGCTGATCTCCAAGCATCCAAGGAAAGTGGGAAAGCAATCCTCCCTGCCGAGGACGTCAAGGATGAAAGCTTCCGACTGGATGGCGTTCACCTGTCAGGTTGTACGAGAAGAAAGAAACTTGAGTATAGATACAAGTTCATGACCATTATCAGTTTTTTTTATTTTTTTATGTTTTCATCATCATTATCATTTTTCCCTCTCTTTAGTCATCGTCTGTCGCTACAATGCTCAGTCATAAAGGGGCGGCAACCAAATTATTTTGTTAATTTAGTTAGTTTAAACCAACCTTCCTTGTCATTGCTTTGATGTCGTTAGGTAGTTCGAAGGTTTTCAGCGCGATCGGATGGTCGGTTGCACGATGACGGTAGAGATGTACCGTCCCGTTGGCCCCGCTGCCCAAGAAGACGTCGCCACCGCCCTGGTGAAACGACGTCAGATCAGACATCCCCCAAACGTAGGAGGAGGCTGATGGGCCTTGGGCTGGGACAGCTGCTCTGCTCAAAGGCAAAGTGGTTCCACTATCAGCAGCACTCACTTTTAGAGATCTTGTTAGAGAAGAAAGATATCAAAGTAGTAAAAACAAACAAATAAACAAACAAACAAACAAAACACAAAAACCTTCTCGATTTTTGCATTTGCCCACTTAAATGAAAAGTTAATTAAATGTTATCATTTGTTTAAGAAATTTCCAAACAAATTTGTTTTCTTTCAATGTTGTTAAAGAAAAAAATAATACTGACTCACCGTGAAGCTGTGTATGGAGTAAGTTGGAGAACCACCGTAGAGGCCTGAGCGGGCAGAGGAACTGTTGGAGGGGTACCAGATGGAGGGGTACCAGGGCCACTAGCCCAGGGGCCGGGGCTAGGTGGTCTAATGAATAAATCGAAAAACAGAAGAATTTGTTCATGTTTATCCTATTTTTTTTTACAAGATCGTACTTTCTGACCAGACTACAACTTGTTTGTTTGTATTTAATGTATTTGCTCGTTATTTTGTTTTTTTGTTTATTGAAATTATTTAATGATTTATTTTTTTCAATTCATTCAATCGTTGATTTTCTATTTATCCGAATTTGTATACCATCATTTATTTGTTTGTTTGTTTGTTTGTATATTGGTTTATCACTTATTTGTTTTGACGGGGTAGCCCTTTCAGCTGAAATTACTGTATAACTGTATAACAGTCATATTCCAATGTAGATTTGTTTGTTATTCTTACATGAGGGGTAATGGGATGGTGTCGATGGGGGCTGTGCTAGGAGTAGATGGGTGGGTGGGTGCTACTGCATTGTCTAATGGTGCTGTAGATGGTGTTTGGGAATTATCTCCAGAACACCTAAAAGACAACATAAACACTTACATAAAAAAATTGCCCACCATGATATTGGCCTTTTGTGAGAGTGTTTGTATATTTCGATATTGACTACATGGCATATTGCTCTCGTAAACAAGAAGTTGGAAATGTATATCAATTACACCATTTTAAATTAACAGGAGCATTACTTTTTCATTGTTATTGTGCTTAAGTTATTTAAGTTATTTTTTGTTCTTGATATTTACCAAGAGACACAAGTAGTCGGGCCGCTGTCGGCAGGAGAGAGAACCGTTGGCTGCCATGTCAGATCCTGAAGGGAAAAAAAGAAAAGAAAATCAAACAGTATTTCTCGTGGAAATTCTATAGTTATACAACTATGAATATATTTGTTTGTATCATATTAGCATGCCTTCTTTTTCTCGATTTTAAAATAAGAGCGCCCTATCAGAGTAGACAAACAATTTGAAAACCAATGATACTAATAGAAAGTAACTTATATACCGTCTAACCGATAGGAAAAACAAAAATAGAAGTAAAAAAATAAATGGTTTACTTGGAGATTCTTCAAAGCAGCATCTTTCTGCTTCCTGGTCTCAGCCAGCTCTAGCTCCAAGACCTGGTCCTTCATGGCCTGGTCCAGGTACCTCTCCTCAAATGCCTTAGCCCTTCTTTCTGCTGACACTCTCCTCCTCTCTGATTCTGTCACCAGAGAGCTGATCTTAGTGAGGAGGGCTGCGCTGTCTCCATCAGCCTTAACTCCAAGCTGAGTTGCCAGGCTCTGTCATCCAAAACAAAGCAAGAAGATACAAAAATATGATTTCATTTTGAATTTTGGGTTTCTTATTTCAATCTCTGATATTTGTTATAAATAATATATGATACTTGTTTTTGGTATTAAAGCATACATTTTTAGTTGGACCTTAAAAGGGCCAAAACTTTAAAATCTTAACTTCTCATCTTAACTTGTTAAAATGTAATCATTTTTTTGTGTATTTATACCGCCCTAAAGTGGTAACAATTTGGCCCTATGACACATTACTTTACAAAATATTATCATCATTATAATTTATTTGAATTATGTATAAGGTTATTGTTACTACAGGTATTACCAACATAATCGTTATCATTATCATCCTTGCCATCATAATTACCAGAATAAGTTTGTTGATTTCATATTATTATCGTTGATATTTATATCAAGTGCAAAATTGAGAATTATTATATTAAGGTAGATCTACATTGATTTCAAACATTATTACTGTTTGAGTATTCGATCAAGACTCACAGCAATGCCTTGCTGAAGTTGTTCTTTCTCCAAGTTGTTCTGGAGGTACTTCAGAAGGAGCTTGCCCGACATAGCTGGTATGGGTGAGATGGTAGACGGCAGAGAAAAGCTGGGGTCTTTGAAGGAACTACATAGCTCCTGTTTATATTAAGTTTGAGGCAAAAATGGTAACTTTTTTTTGTATATCGGTGAACTAATGTCCATGTATACCGTATACGGCTAACAGTGACTAGTGACTAACAGTGACACCAGGGAGACATCTCCCTGGTGAACGCAAATTATACTTTCTAAATAGACCTATGTTGTTGTTTTTTTTTCTCTCCATATTTTCTTCCAAATAACTGTGTTTTGTTTTCTTCTTGGATATTGGATTCTTTTCCTCCTAAATACTCCGAAGAAGAGCTTTGTAAACATCTCTCCCTATATTAATTCATATAGATCTAGATCTAGACTCTATCTGTCATATATTTTACGTTGGTTATACTTTTATTTTGGTCGTTTAAAGTATTTGTGTCTGTATCTATCGTTTTCCTTATTTGCTCATTTATTTCATGCATTTAATGTGTTTATTTTTGCTTACATCCAGGGAGTTTGCCATCGGTGGTTTGATGGCATGAGGAGAAACTGACCCGATACAGGGTAAAGGCCTTCCAAGGGTATAGGGGTGTGGGGAACGAATTCGTCCAATACAATACATCGCCTAAATCTCTGTTTCCGTTGATATTATTTAGAAATTGTGATCTAAACGAGGGGGGGGGGGGGGCGAAGGAAAAAAGGAGATGAAGTTGAAATGCATAAGTAGCATATGAAAAGAAAAGGGGGATAATGTCATCACATAAGCGGGTTTGGCAGACATCATGAACAAGATCGTCGTTAACATGCGTGTTTAAGATACGGGAATGGATGTTTGGAACACAAACAAAAGTCAACAAAGAGTTCTTTTTCTTTCGATAAAATATGAAATATTGTTCCGTCTTTCTTCAAATTTGCTCTAAATAATCATTAATGTGTAAAGAATTACGTACTTACCTGGCGGATGAAAATAAGATCTTTAGAAAGAGTGAAAAATAGGCAAAAACTGTCAAAAATTTGGCAGAAAGTTCTCAAGATAGCAAAATTGCAAGAGAATGAGATTTGTTTACATTTTTGTTACCAGGGCGTTAGCTAAGGCGTAAATACTTGCAACGCGCAGCGCATACATGAAGCGCATCATTATGCTTCCAGTTTAGTGGCCCGTATTGGCGTTAAACGCTTTAACCACGCCCTGCCACGCCCTGTGGTAAGCGTAATGCGCAGAAGCCAGCGCCTTGTGATGATACTGTCATTCAAGTTGTCAATGTCAATGTAATGACGTCATCAGAGTTTCACATTTAACTGACCAATCGTGGAGCATGAACATTGCTTACTTTCGAAAATTATTATTTGGTTACCAATACAAAAAAAAAAACACATTTCGTTCCACTTTTAAATGAAATTTAATGATAACATTTTTTTTTTAAAATACAAATTAAAGGGGATCGAAACTGAACGAAAAAGCATTGCTGATTCATCAATTTTTTGTTAAAAAAATAAAGAAAAATATCTCTTAACTGACTAATCACGAAAGGCCTACTATTCATGACGAGCGGTAAAGCAAACTTTTTAACCAATCAGAAGTGATTACTTTCTCAGTTGGAGGGGGAGGGGCCGGAACAGACCTACTCGGATTAGATTGATTTTGAATTATAGGAAATGGAAGTAACTTTGCCGTCAGATTAACACTTACAAACTATACGTGACCTGACCCTATATCGTCGGAGTTATCTTCATACTCAGGATAGGTAATTATTTTGCAGATTGTGCTTCGGCATAAAACTTATCTATTCCCCCCCCCCCCCCCCCCCCCACCCCCTTCACACATACACCCCCCCCCCCCATTCCCGACCTCCCTTCATTATTTCACTCAGCCTCCCCCTCTCTCTCTCTCTCTCTCTCTCTCTCTCTCTCTCTCGCTCTCCGTCTCTCTCTCTCTCTCTCTCTCCCCTTTCCGCCGTCATATACCCATCCCCCGTATCAGGACAATACACACCGGAAACCTACACTCTAAAAACTGAAATGTTAAATCACCATTTAAAAGGGCCGAGGAGTGACCACTCTTTCAAAATGTCAGATTGATACTTTTAACACGCCGGATTCAACCTTTATAGTGTTGGATCCAGCATGTTTAAAGTGTTAATCTACCAGTTTGAAAGAGTGGTCACTCCTCGGCCCTTTTAAATGGTGATTTAACATTTTAGTTTTTAGAGTGTACCCCCTCCCCCAGGATAACCATCCCGGCGAGGACAACTACCCCCAGAAAATTACTCCCTAGGACAATTAACCCTACCCCTGAATATTACCCCTATAGGAAAATACCCCCAAGGATAATCATGCAGGGACAACCACCCCAGGACAATTACTCCCCCTTTCCCCGAAGTTTACCCCTTTGTTCATTAAAGAGGAAGTCCACCCTGATAACATAAGTTGGATTTAATAATTAAAAAAACAAACAGAATTTGGGGTTTTTAATTGTCCCCGGGGTAATTGTCCTAGTGGGTAATATTCCGAGGGCATTTTGTGTGTGTGTGTGTGTGTGTCCAGTGGGGGAGGGAGGGGGGGGGGGGGTTAAGAGCACTTTTTGCCCCGGAACTTATTGGAAAATTACGTCGTCAGATATTTCATTTAGTGGCTTTGGGGGGGGGGGAGGAACACTCTTTTTTTTTTGCCTTCTTTAGCAACAACACAAAAAATGAGGGAGGGGGTTAAGAAATTATCAAATTAGAAGAATATTTAGAAAACAATCTTTGTCAAGAAAGTTACTTTACCGCCGGGTTTGAATAAAAAAGGACCATAAATTCAGTCGTTGTGAAAGTCAATTGTTAAAAAAAAAATCGATCTAACCCTGTAGAAAATTATGAGTCGGTTTTTAAACCCTTTTTTTCCGCATACAAAGCACTTTATTTTCAACCAATTATATAATTAGTAAAGTATCTTTGCACTAAAAGCAAACTGTGCTGACACCTTTGTTTACCATCTTTTGAATATAATATATTTTTTATTTTATTAATGCAGTTAATTAATTTTATGATCATGATTTACTTATACTCATCTAAAAAAATATATTTTATTCATTTTAGATTCTTTATTATTATGAATCAGGCATTCAATCCTTTATTAATTGCCACTTGCATATTAGTAAAGGTCCTCTCCAGGGAATAGACCCTCTACTCCCGATTCATACATTTTTTTTGAAAACAAAATTATACTTAGTCATTTTGTGCCTGACATTACCGACTCAGCTAATTTGAACACTTATAGTGATTACAAGTTGTATACATTTATAAATTTCTCACTTTTTGTCCGATTTCATTCAAACTTTCACCAGTATATACTTTTCGGATTTTTCTGCTTTCCTCTAGACTCAAGAGCTCTAGAGCTAGTGCTTCGAGTTTTCTATCAAGATCGAATTTTCCATAGCTATCCAAGGAGGTATATGAGCTAGTCTTTATTTGCAGTCTCGTATTTAACATAGGTGAGCATTAAATGCAATTCTTCATTTTGAAGTAACAGTTTTTATGTAAAAGTTATAAGCATGTTAATAAATAATCAAATCAGTGAAAAATTTGTTATAAACATTCTGGATTTTCGAGACAGAAATAACCGTCTGGTATAGGGAATTCTATAATAAAACTGATTTGTCAACCTATATTTTGAAATGTGCATGCGAAATGCGAGATGAGACTAAACTGTACGTGTTTTCTGAGTGAGACAAAATGGCTCCCGAAGCAGACGACGATTATTTGAAGCAGATCAAAAGTTTGAACTATTATTACTGTTTAGGTAGGTATTCTATTTTAATGTTTTATGTAAAATCGTAGACCATATGCATACTTATAATGTGTGACTGTGAATATGAGATTATTTTACGCCAAATGATTGAGGATATAAACTTTTTTCTAAGAACAGTTTGGGGCAAATTTATCCATCTGATTTTTCAACGTGTGGGACTGAACTGATAAATCTGGAAATTTGATGTTTACATTACGTGCGCAGGCTAGGCATAGACGATCAGTTTCTAAGAGAGAAGTTCCATCAATAAGGCTTGGTGATATTATGTAAAATATGATATTGATATTTGACATTATCACCAAGCTACTATCAATGGCCTTTCCGATCGAATGTGAAAAAATTCGGGAAAATAAGAAACGGGGCACTGCACTGCACTGGGCAATGAGTGATTTCAAGTATGGTGTTCAGTGTTGAGAGCTTGGAAAGGCTGCTGAACCGAGCTTCAATACCGACTGTCAGTTTAGAAGGACGATACCGATCACATGTGCGCGCGTGAGTGCGCAATATCGATAGCTCAACACCAGCCTCAACGCCGAGTGACGTCCTACTCTAGTACAGGCGAAAAGTCTTGCGATAAATGCATAATCCATTCAGAAATTCCAATAAATAACACCATGTCGAATATCAAATGTAAAGTCATATTAAAAAATCAATAGATAAAATATCATTTCTCTTGAAATACATATGTAGCTCCCAGGATTTACAGCTGTTTTGAATGTACAATTGAATTTTACCTTGGCATGATTGTGAGATTCGTGCCAGATGTCCGCATAGTTACCTGCGGTAATACTGCAACACCAACACCAACACCGAACTTGAAATCGTGAATTTCCCAATCCCTAGGGGCTGGTGTTGGTGAATGGGAAAATAACACGTAAATCGTCAACACCAACCGCGATACTCGGTTCAGCAGACGACATTCAACACCAGCCCTCAACACAGACTAGCGGAAATTCCGCTAGTCTGTGTTGAGGGCTGGTGTTGAGGTCAATCCCAACACCAGCCTGATTTCAAGTTTGGTGTTGTGGCTGGTGTTGGTGTTCTCACAACACCAACACCAGCTTTCAACACCGAACTTGAAATCACTCAATGTATTGCAATGCAGTGCAGTGGTACAGTTGCTGGTTGCACTACCACAAAATGGTTGCACGTCAATCTCCATTGGCATTGCAGGTGCACTGTCTATTAATCGAAGGTTAACTTAAGTTCTTTTGCCATATCATATATAATAGTTAAAGGCATCGTTTAATAATTTTTCCAGTTTTAAAAATTAGAGATGCATGGCCTTTCTATCTTTTTGGCCCCTCTCCCTTTGTTTATTACTAGGTCTAGATCTAGACTCAAGTTATTATTTAGGAAAAAAAAGCAACACAAAAAGAAGAAAAGAAAACTAAAAAATTCAAGTGACCTAAAGCTCAGAATTATTTAGAAAAGCTGAAGAAACCACTAATTTTCCTCCATCAGGTCCAGTGTCACGTTTGTGAATCGTTTTCAGCTAATGATAAACAAAATTGACTGCCAAAAACTCACAGTGTTAAAAATGCAGTCTATATTTTCGTTATTTCATCCTTTCTAATTCTAGTGAAAGAACAGATTTTGATTCATCAGAGTCCTGCCTTGGGTGTGTTTCCTGTCAATACTGATGTCAAGGTCAAGGAGGCAGGGGTCAGAGAGAGTGTCTACTCTGCCGTCGCGGTCTGGGCTCTAGCTCTAGCATACAGGTACGTTGATATTTCAACAGCAACAACAACAACAAACCAGGGGAATGATCATATCATAAATCACGGGTGGCCAACCCGCGGCCCGCGAGCTTTTCTGGTGCGGCCCGCGGAGCATTGAAGAAGTGATAATAAAAATAGTTCATAAATGAAATGGGGCCCCCATGACATAGGGTTAAACATTTACAAACAGCTATCTCTCTTTCACAACATATTGAATCGCTACGTGGTTGATACAAAACTCCTAAAATTTCCTCTCATTACATTACATTAACGACATTAACACCCGGAGGGGGGGGGGGTATTCACATATGGGTGACTTTGTCACACAAGAAATCCATAAACATGGGTCCCACTTCTAACAAGAATTCCATTAAAAATTGGTCCGTTTCTTCGAGAAAAAAATTGGAAATTTTCGGGCGTTTGCCATGCAAACACCCCCAAAAGACCCGAAAATTCTGGAAATGGGTCCTTTCTTTGAGAAAAATGACCCCTAATAATGGGTAGGGGTTTCGAGGCTTGAGCGGCACACACCCGTCCAAGCCAACTCTGAGTATCCCCCTGGGCATGAACATCACTCGCCGAGTTAATTTCAGTTTGTACATATACAAATTAATGTTGTGAATCGAGAAATATGTTTGAAATGCCATACTTGTCTTGAAACTTGCAGCCCTTTTCTCCCGCCGTTTTTTTTTTTCTTCACTGATTTTGATTTTGTTGTTTCCTTGTTTGTTTTTTGCAAAATTGCAGGTGTGTACACGTATTACATGAGTGTTTTTTTTTTTTTTTTTTTGGGGGGGGGGGGGGGGAGAAGACTACCTATGGCCCGCCAAGTTATCCCAATCGTTAGCTGTGGCCCGCGAGCTCTAAAAGGTTGGCCACCCGTGTCATAAATCTTTTCTCTTCTTGTAATTGTTGCTAGGATGAAGTTGTGTTTAACAAATAGTAATTAAAATTTTAGCAATGACGTTAGTTTAGTTATGAAATAGCTTTGATATGTATTAAGGTGATGATGAGATGGTTGGAATCTTATAAAAGGTTAAAAAATTGTAGTAGTCAAAGTCATAAATTTTGCTGGACAAAGCTGTTCTGCCTCTTGATTGTGATGTTCTTTAGGAATTCCAATTCAGCCTAATTTTTTTGTTTTATTTTCATTCTATTCTAATTAGATTAATTGATGTGAAGAAAAAAAACCTTAATGATAAAGACCAGATAAAAGTTCATATTAGATTATAAATCCTTTCGGAGTCGTAGAACATTTTTTCATTATTGTTATTTGTTATCCTCTTTCAGGAAAGTTGATGATGATGATGGGAGGACTTACGAACTGGAACAAAGTGCAGTAAAATGTATGAGAGGCTTGCTATACTGCTTCATGAGACAGGCTGACCGAGTAAGTCACAAGTACAAGTAACTTTTGCAATTCACATAATCATGCCCCATGTTTTGTTTTTATTTATTGATTTTGTTTTGTTTGTTATGTTTTTGTTTTTATTTGTGTATCTGCTAGGATTATTTCTTGAAATGCACTGTGTGATGCTAATGGCCGCCGGAGCTTAAGCTAGGGAAATAATTTCCAAAGCTCATTGTATTAAAGCACAAGGGATGTTATAATGTGTTATACACTTTACAAGAATACAATACAATTATTATTATTACTATTATTTATGTTTGTGTGTTTGATTTTTGTTAAGACATTTCCCAGTATCCTGAAGATGGAGAGATTTCAATGTGGCATAACTTAATCCACAGATCAATCAAGTGCCCCAAATCATTAATATCTCAAGAAATTGCTTGAAGCATAAACTTCACTCCTTATTCTTGGATATGTATGCTTCTTTCATTTTGGTTTGAAGTTGTGTGCAGAGCAAATGATGAATGTCTTTAGGAACTGTTGCTGTTGTGATATTTCTGGAACCATGTGTAACATGAACATCAGGCCATGTCACTTGACATCAAGTGAGCTTAAATTGAATAAGAATAAGAGTTGAATACAACAAAGAGGATCATTGTTAGTTTTAACAGGCTGCTTATCTGCAGTCATACATGTACATGTACTTGCATTTGTAAGCATCCTATATATAACATTTCTTTGTGCTGTGTGGCATTTTCAAGTCATAAATTTTGCATGTTCTGCCTCTTGATTGTGATGTTCTTTAGGAATTCCAATTCATTCTAATTTTCAGTTTTCATCTTATTCAACTGAGATTAATGAATATGAAAAAAAAACCTGAATGAAAAAGACCTGACAATTGTTCATAGCAGATGATAAATCCTTACAATGTCTTCGTACATTTACTCATTATTATTTGTTTTCATCTTCTTTTAGAAAAGTTGATGATGGCGATAGGACTTACAAACTGGAACAAAGTGCAGTAAAATGTATGAGAGGCCTACTATACTGCTTCATGAGACATCTGCAGTCATACATATACTTGCATTTGTAAGCATCCTCAGTATAACATTATTTTGTGCTCTGTGGCATTTTCCTCTCTGCAGGTGGACAAATTCAAGAATGTCCAGAGCGAGGAGTTTGCGCTGCATTCTCGCTATGATCTCAACACGGGAAACACCCAGCCGGACAACTACCACCATCTCCAGATTGATTCTATCTCACTCTACCTTCTCTATCTGGTTCAGATGATCTCGTCTGGTCTCCAGGTAAGAGAATGTTGTTTGGTGTATTCAATCACCCAAGAGGTTCATCTGGTTGGATATGTACTTTGTGAAGTAATTCTTTTCTTCACAATCTGTAGAAAACAAATCATCCCTGTTTCGTTAAAAGTTTTCACTTGTGTGCGGCAAGCTTCTTCAAACCAATGGCTTAGCTGGGACTGTTGATGATGCAGTACAACTATACAGAACGATGCTATTCTACAATATCGTTGTATACTACAACAGCAACAGTGCCAGCTAAGATCAAATGAAGCTTGCAGCATGCAAGTGAAAGCTTAATAAAACCGGTAATTTTTCCTACTGATTGTGAAAAAAATAACTAGTATTCATTGTTTGGTGAGAGCACTCTAATACAGATAATGGTGATTGGTTATAGGGTATGGAGTACCGAAGCTGTGACGTCATACAAATCTATTTTTAGAATTTCTCAATTTTTTCTTCATTTTCCGAAAGAACATCAAAAATAATGTCCAAATGTCGCAAACCAATTGAATATGTTAAATATTGGCTGAGATATGATCATCTGAATAAAGATACTCCCCATAGGAACTCAGTGTTATATGCTCTGGCTCCTAATGGTTAGGAGCCAGAGCATATAACACTGAGTTCCCATAGGACATATATTCATTCGGATGGTCATAACTCAGCCAATATTTAACATATTCAATTGGTTTTCTACATTTGGACATTATTTTTGGTGTTCTTTCGGAATATGAAGAAAGAATTGAGAAATTCTAAAAATAGATTTTTTGATGACGTCACACTTCACCACTCTATAGGATACTGCTGCAGATTAGGTGGATGTGTTGAAGGGGAGGAGGAGGAGGAGGAGCAAGAGAGGGAGGAGGGGGAGGAGGAGGAGGAAGAGGAAGATGATTATGGAGAAGAAAAGAGAGGAGGGGAAGAGGAGGAGGGGAAGAGGAGGAGGGGAAGGAAGAGTGAAATGAAATAGAAGAGAGTGAGGAGGAGGAGAAAATAGAGAATGGAACATGATTTTGTAGTAAATGAGTGGATGGTGAAATGATGGGCACTGCTTTTAATATGTGATTTAAAAATAGAAAATAAATTGAACTGATACAACTGCATCCTAAAGACATTTTTAAAGTTATCAATACACCATTATTCACAGTGCCTAATGATATTTACTTTATTTCTTCAATAAATTTATACTTTCCCTTTCCTTTTCAGATAATTTATACCCTAGATGAAGTGAGTTTTGTCCAGAATCTTGTATACTATGTGGAGAGAGCATATAGAACTCCAGACTTTGGGGTATGGGAGAGAGGAAGCAAGTACAATACAGGCAAGAAGGAGCTCCATGCAAGGTACCAATCAGACTTGTGTAAAAACAGCTCCCGCAGGGTTAATTTAAAGTGTGTTAATTTCAATGTATATATGTTTTGATGAGATGTCACCAAACTTTTACAGCAGTCATCTATGGGATAAATTGACAATTGGATGTCTGAATAGTTGGTATTCGTACATGTATCAGGATAATTAAATGGATTTCCTGGGTGTTTTTTTAGATAGGATTTAGGGCCTGCCTTTCAATTTGTGTTAGTTATTTTGTTAAATCAAGGACATGATTTTAGATTTGCCACCTAGAGAAGCATAGAGCTTTCAAATTTTAATCCACAGAACAAGGTTTGTGTGTGACTCTTCAATACCACGTCCATGAAGATGATTTGACCTCAGTATGATACACATTTTCCTTAGATTCAAGCCAAAGTTATCCCAAGCTCGGTAATCATTGGACTCAAGAGCTCTGGTGCACTAATAAGGCTGTAAAACGAGGATCCTTAATTACTTTAATTGTTTGTCACCTTTGATTCAATGATTTAATTACACGATAATGAAATAATACAGTCAGTAATTATAGAGTAAAAGTAAATTTCTCCTAGACGGGGAGGCCTGTAGAAAGGCATTAGAGGAAATGAAATATCCACCGCCAAAGCATGGGGAAAACGAGTTGTTAAACGATGGTGATTGAAGATCGTCTTCTAATTTTTCAATCTTGCAGCTCTATTGGCATGGCTAAGGCAGCCTTGGAGGCATCCAATGGCTTCAATCTCTTTGGCAAGGAGGGCACCTCGTGGTCCATCCTGTATGTTGATCCCGATGCGCATGCCAGGAACAGGACTACTCTGGAGAGTCTACTGCCCAGAGAGAGCAGTTCAAAGGTAACATAAGTCCAGGGGGGTGTTTCACAAAGATCCCAAGTCAAACTTAACTCTAAGTTAGACTTAAACTTATGGAGAGCCATTTGTAGCCTTAAAATAAAATACATTAAAAAGCAAAAATTCAAGTATTTTAGATTTATCTTAAATTCCACATCAAGAACATGAAATCTCTTCGCTAATAGAAAATATGAATGATTTGAATCAACTTTTTATGCCTTTTAAAATAACTTATACAAATATTTTTTCAAAGATGCCAACGGCTTTCCATAATTGTAAAGTCCAACTTAGAGATAAGTTCGACTTAGGATCTTTGTGAAACACCCCCAGGTGTAGTCACACCATGTTAGGTATAATTGTGATGAGCTTGCTAGGGATAGGTCAATTCCTGCCCAGATAGAGCAGTTCTATAGAAGGGTAGCCCTGACATAATTAACACTGTGTATTTGTGAGGGTTATGGGAGTGATGCATTTGCAAGAAAGGGAACTTCTCCGGTGGGTCTCCTGCCTAGAGAGAGAGAGAGAGCAGTTGTGTAGTCTGGTCACAGTCAACACTTATGTCATGTTAAAGATTCACTCAGCCCTATGTTAAGAGAGAAAAGTTTTTTCATGAAGTGGACATTTCTTGAAAATTTCCTGCACAGAGAGAGAAGTTTCAAGGTTAGGTTGTCCAGGTAATTTATGACAGTGTAGTATACAGTAACATCATAGGATAGTTCTGAAGAGTTGCCAACATAATTTTATCCATTGTTATTTGTATAGGGGATTAAATATTCAATTCAATTCAATTCAAAGTTTATTCAACACTCTTCATGAAAACAAATACAGAATGGAATGATAAAAAAACCAGATAGTGACAACAAATAACAATGGCAATTTATGAGAGCATTTGGGATAGGCAGAAAGGAGGGATTCCTTATATGAAAGCCTACCTCTAAAACACAAACAGACAGGAGAAAGAGAAACAAGAACAAAGGAACAGAAACATAAAAAACATACTTATTCTATTTTGATTGGCTTCTCTAGAACACAGATGCCGCTCTCATCGCAACCGTCAGCTTTCCAGCGTTTGCTCTGGATGATGAATGCCTTGCTGAAGTCACCCTTGATAAGATCAAGCGCAAGCTGCGAGGGAAGCACGGCTTCAAGAGGTTCCTCAGGGATGGGTACGGCACGGTGCTGGAAGACAAGAATAGGAAATACTACAAACCCACCGAAGTAAAGGTACAGTCAAACCTGCTATAGTGACCACCTGTATAGAAAAAACACCTGTCTATAAAGACTACATATTTCATACAGTAGGCTTGCGGTTGCACCATGTGAGAGAGAGGGGGACGATTGGGAAGTCCTGAAAAGGACTCTCGATCATCTTTCTTTCTTGAGTGTGTGTAGTCCTGAAAAGGACTGTTGGTGAAGTCTTGAAAAAGACTGTTGGTTATCTTTCTTAGCTTATAGTTCTAAGGAGAACTATAGCACCGGTTGGAGAGGATAGGTGGCGGGAGTGGCTCGTCTCCTTTGAATAGTGATTTCAATTGATGCATGTATTAAAGGAACCTGTACATAAAGAATGCCGGCCTATAAAGACCTCTTTTCTGATCTCCCTTGTTGGTCTTTATAGACAGGTTTCACTGTACATCTACCGGTATTTCACAGAACGATCTGATTAGGGCTTTTCAGACATCTTGTAGATATCATTGAGTTTCAAGCTTCGTATTTTAGAGAATGTATGGTGCTCCAACCGTTATTGGGACTCTCTTTTTTCTTCTTAACTCATTGAGTACCCCCAACTGGTATTCCTTAGCTATGTTTGACTGAGCACTTTACAAGTAAGCAGATCAAAACAGCCCTTCTTGGTACTCCCTGAACTGACCTAAAACACCCATATTTGTTTATATCTGCCAAAATTCTGAGATAAGACAAAATGTTTAAAGTATGCCATATACAGGACAGCATTCCCATAATTGCCTTTTGGTCATTCATATTTTTATTGTTGTTCATGGAACTTTTCTGTGTTTTCACTCCAGTTGTATGACATGATAGAGTCGGAATGGCCCTTGTTCTTCATCTTCATGATGTTGGATGGCTTAGCCAAGAACAAGACCGACCAAGTCGATGAATATTACAACCTTCTCAAACCACTTCTCAAGCAAACGAAATATGGTGAGTGATGAACTTTAATTTGTTCTTCTCCTTCATATTCTGTTGCATATCTGCTTTGTTCTAAAGAAATTGTTTAATGCGTCTTCAGGCTGGTCCATAAACAAAAAAAAGGTGGCAGTTGAAAGTGGTATGAATGGATTCTTCGACCCCAAAAACCCAGGTGTAGACACAAAAATCACACCTCTAAGATGGATATATCATAATTTATGGCTATAAGGTATTGGCTACCATCTTTGATGTCATTTTTAAAATAAACACTTTTCAGGGGTCCGATTTTCTTAGATTTTTAGTATGTTGTTCCTAACAGTCAAACACTATACAGGAAACAGTTGAAAAACCTGTTGGTCCAATTTTTTTTTTTTTTTTTTTTTTGGGGGGGGGGGATCAAACCCTATATTGAACTGACTACATTTGATATTTTTCTTTTAAAGGAATGATTGTGCCAAAGTACTATTACATACCCAAAGGATCGATAGAGGGAGAGAAACACCAACCTGGAAGTCAACTTAGGATAGCTAGTACAGAGGGAGAAGGGAACAACGTCTTCCTATGGGGACAGTCTATGTACATCCTGTCCTGTCTACTGAGTAAGTGCACAAATTAAGAAGGAGAGGGAGAGGTGAAGATGGAGGGGACTAGAGGAGAGGGAGAGAAATAGAGAGGGGATAGGGCAAGAGTCTTTGTGTTGGGAGGGGGGAGGAGGATTTCCTTGTTGGTACCCTCATCATCCCCATGACTGAATGAGGGTTGGGGAGGGACCCACAATGTGAGACCTCACCATGCTTTTGTTTTTCTTGACAAATATCACAAACTTGATTGAATATGACAGTTATGTAGACCTACATAATTTAAGTCTTTACTGTAATCATTTATTTATTTTTATTTTTTCGAGGGGGGGGGGCGAGGTGTTGGATATTTTATTGACATTCAATACATCAATTTACCTGTAATCCATCACAATTCTGTCACACTTTAAGAGATGTTTCACCTATTTATTTTCAACTTCCTTTTTTTATTTTATTGTTGCTTTCAGAGGACGGGTTGGTCAAGATGAGTGAGTTAGACCCAGAGGGACGCTATCTCGGTTCGTCTCTCTGCAAACGATACAGACACAACACCAGGCACTCAGCCTTTGAGGTATGATCAGAAGAAATTACATTCGAAAAGTTACAGAAAAATTGAAATTTAAATTGAACTTTATTTGATTCCAATCACAGTAAAAATGACATTATACATTGTTGTAATACATAGGCAAAGAAAAATACATTGAAATACAAAAAAATTATTAAAAAAAGGAAAAAAAGAAAAGAAAAAGAAGACATGATTAAATCTACTAAGAGTATAGGATGGAAAAAGGTGCATCCGTAAAAGCCACATGGGCTTGATGAATGGGCGCACCCTGAGCGCGTCATAATATAATTAACTATAAAAAGCTCAGTCAGCTGGAGAAGAGTAAAGGGATAAACAACGTATACAATATATCATTTGAGAAGAACTATACAATGACAAGAAGCCGTAGGTTTTGTGAAAACTTTTCACCTTACATGCTATTTTTCACGTCTGTTTTGCACCCCCATCCACCCTCCTCCTTGGTACTGGTACTTGAAAAGTATATTATTACAACAAACTATATCACGATCATGCTATTTATCAAAACAAAACAAGCAAAAGAAAGAAGAAATAGTAAAGAACATCTGGATATGGACTATGGGGTCGATTTCTTTCCTAAAATATTCTTGTATGGTTTATTTTGGGACTGACCATTCTTCTTCGCTAATTAATACTGTTTGGTGTACGTGTCATTTCAAATTCAAACCTTAATTGCACATAGTTGGGTGATGGTGTCACATGTTATTGAAGAGAGTCACCCTGGTATAGCTGTCTGTTGTACAAGGTTACTAGAGATAACCAGCTTCATTTGTTCATGAGTTCAGGTAGTCCAAACTACCTATCTACTGCATTATGAACATTTCAGAATTCAATTAGTTTCTCTAAAGATGTAATTCTATTGCAAGAACCTAGGATGACAAAGATCTCTCTGTGCTATTATTTCTTTCCAGATGATTACAAAGGACATGACTGTTCAGATGGTGTTCATAGCAGAGAGTACTCGTCTTCAGACTACGCTGGCAACGTACGGTATCCAGTCTCAGACTCCAACTCAGATTGAGCCGATCGAGATCTGGTCACCTTCTGAACTCATCAAGGTATTATGAAAGTAAAAGACAATTGAAGTGGATCAATCACCACATAGGCCCAAATTCCAAAAGGAGGTTTAACTTAACCCATGGTTTAAACCCTAATTTACATAACCCATGGTCTAAAATTAAGCGTACCTTGCCTTGCGTGTGTCTAATATTGGACCTCTGACTGTGACGCGCTTATTTGGCGCTAATTTTAGACCATGGGTTATGTAAAAGAAGATTTAAACCGTGGGTTGAATTTAAACCTCCTTTTGTGGATTCGGGCCATCTTGTGTTGTGTTGTGTTTTGTTTTGTTTGTTGTTGTTTCAATGTATTCATCATTTATCATAATTTATTCAGAATATGAACTGGCTTAATGATAAACTTGAGTACTGGTAATACGATTGCATTGTGAAAGAAAAGGTGTGGAATGGATCAGAAACAGTTGATCATATAGCATGTAGGTATTGGTGTGCACTGCAAGGTTCTGGAGTCATCAAAATCATAATAAATTTGGCCGAGTCTTGGTAAAGTAACTAGCACTGTACACAGAAAACTATATATGGGACAACACACATGGTGTCGGGGCTAGTACTACCTTGATTTCCTTGTCTTTCTATGCTCATTACTCAGCCAGTATACATTTTCTTCCAAAATTGTTTGGCACATGTCATTTATTTGTAATCTTGAACATTCAGTGTAATTTTTGTTTGATTCTGTGAGAATTAATTTTTTTTTTTTTTTACCAGAGCTGGAGTTTATCTTTAATAATACTAGTAATAATTAAACGTTTTTGTATAGCGCATAATTGCATGTCTCTTTGCGCTGATAATAATTGAGTAATAGAAAAAAAGGAGTAGATGGGAAACAAACCCATTATCTCTACATTGAAAAGCGATCTATTATCCACAAGACCACTCTGCCTGGCTTATTCATGTAAGTCTTTAGATGTCAATTTTTGGCTTCCAAAACTCTCTCTTAAAAATTGTTCTCTTTCTTTGCAGGCTCTTGCCTTCCTCGGTCAAAACAAGAAGCTAGGACTGACAGGGAGGCCCAACAGACCAATCGGAATCATTGGCACATCCAAGATCTATCGTCTTCTCGGCAGGACGGTTATCTGCTACCCTCTACAGTTTGACCTGATGGATTTCTATATGTATCAGGACATCAACTTTCTTGTGGATGACATCAAGGTATAAAACTATGTTGTATTAGCTAGTTTTATGTTTTAAAGGTAAAGACCAGTATTGGAAATGCCCCAATTTCAAAAAATGAAATGGAAGCTCTTATTACCAATCATGTGAAAGAGTATGTTTTGACTAATACATGATGATAATAATTTTGCCTGGAAACCGCCTACTAATTGATATATTTGGTAAATTAGTTTATCTATTGGTGTGTGAGAGATAAATGCATGTGTCGCGCACGTTTTCGTAGTCCCATATACATCTTTCTGTGTACAGTGCTTGTAACTTTACGAAGACTGGGCCAAATTTCTTATCATTTTGATGATTCCAGAACCTTACAGTACACACCAATACTTATATGCTAGATGATCAACCTTTTCTGATCGATTCCACAACGTTTCTTTCACAATGCAATCACGTGACCATAACTGGTCTTTATCTTTAAACTTGTTAGGGTTCAGGGAATTTACAAAAACTGATTATTATCTAATCAGCCTCTTCAATGAGGTTGAATAATCAAGCAACAATTTGTGTGATTGCACCAGTACTCAAGAGGAAGAAAAACAAAGATGATTTGTATTTTAATACCCAAGTTATTGAAATGTAGTGCTAGCGGAACCCAAGTCCGACTTGGGTTCCGTGTGCTTCATTCCAATATCTCCTTGTAGAAGTAATATGTAAAGCTCATATTTTGAAGTTCGTAAAGAGCATCATGGAACCCCTTATATCAAGAGCAAAATATGTTTTGGTTATTGATTAAGTTATTATAAGGCTTACAATCTTCTCATTGGTATTTGTTTAGAATATCGGACATTGTCAGTTTCAGATTCTTCAGAGTGGGCACATGTACATAATGCTACTGCAATTTAATCAGAATTCCTACAACAAATTAATTCCTGTAGATATTATCAAAGTTCAATTTTGCTACCATTTGACTTTTTGTTTTGTTACCTCAGAGCCTGGTTGCATTCGTGAGGAAGAGCTGGAACTATGCTGGAAGACCTACTCTCTGTCTTGTTATCAGAGAAGAGCATTTTATGTGAGTAAAACAAACCCTTTGAATGGAAAATGTACAATATACTCTGACATATTCATTCATCCTTCCAAGTTAAAATATCTTGATCAGAATTTAAAAAGTACCTCCTGTGTAGTGTGTATTGTCAGCTGTTTACAAGCTGTCCTTTATACATGATCTTATCTACTTTACTTACCTTTTATTTCATAATTGCCATTCTAGGGCCACTTAGAATGGCTCCTGGTGGCTGAAAAAGGGCCTAGAATCTTCATTGCCACAACAATGGCTGGGAAACCTTCACCCAATCCCCTATATATGACCATGCCTGTGCAAATAATTTCTATTTTCCTCTGCCTGACGTGCATTCACGTTTTTCCCCCCGATAAGCTGTACTGTAGTTAACGTTGTATAAACCACCCTCGTGTATTAATCGCACCCCTCTTTTTCGCCCTAAAAAAAAAAAAAACTGTCGGCAGCAAGCCAGGTCCGTGTTAAAAAAAACCCACGCGGGAAGGCCTTTCATTTAACTACGAAGTGCAGCTGAATGTGTAAGATCATTAATGTAAATTAAAAAACAGTAGAGGACCTAGGATAGAACCTTGTGGTACACCGTGTGTAGGAATTATTATTATAAACTACACATTGAGATCTATCAGAAAGATTACTTTCAAACCAAGATGACAGACAAATTTGAGTGTTGTTTCCTAGTGGTGAGTCAACACACCGATTACTGAGCTGGGAGCCATTGCCAGGCATAGCGCCAGGTGGAGGGGCATAAATCAGAAACTTAAAAAAAAAATATATATATATATATATATATATATATAAATAAACCGCACCACCGACTTTGAATTTTTTTCGGCGGCAAAAAGGTGCGGTTTATACACCGTTAATTACAGTAAGAAGCAAATTTACCCCCATCATTTTAAGATTATTTTGCAATTGTGTTTTTTTTACATCCTGATCTTAGGTCAAGCTTTAGTGGATTACTTTTCTGTTTTTTGATCATTGTTATTTGGAATTTTGCCTTTGCTACTTAAATCATGCCTTCTTCTTGTAAATTGCCACAGCAGCAGAAAGCAGCATAAGGCATACTCTTTCAATGTTCTAATTCTTTTCTCCTTCCAGGGGCTCTGAAGGTAACGCCATGCTGGAGATGCTTGCCTCCTTCAAGCGAGGTTCCTGCAACGGAATCCGAGTGAAGGTGGACAGACTACAGACCCTGATAGCCTCCTCATCGTTGGAACATCTCGACTTCCAGATGCCAGAAGGAAGGTAAGAAGTTATGAAGGGTGAATTGGAAAGTTATGTTGGCTACACACCAGGGGGGTGTTTCACAAAGATACTAAGTTGAACTTATCTCTAAGTTAGACTTAACAATTATGGAAAGCTGTTAGCATCTTTAAAGATATTTTGTAAAAGTTATTTAAAAAGGCATAAAATGTTGATTCAAGTCAATCATATTTTCTATTATCAAGGAAATGTCATGTTCTTGATGTGGAATTTATGAAAAGTCTAAAATACCTGAAATTTTGCTGTTGAATATATTTTATTTTAAGGCTACAAATGGCTCTCCATAATGTTTAAGTCCAACTTAGAGTTAAGTTCATCTTAGGATCTTTGTGAAACACCCCCCTGGTGTCAAGCCACTCTGCCAATAGACCGGTTTATTAAAATACTGGTATTCAAATCTATGGATGTTTCTTCCCTGGGGACCTAGTGACAAATTATCCCATTAACCTGTTATTAATGAAAGAACTACAATACTTGAAATTCTGATCAATCAAAGTCATATTTTTTACTCTGTGACCGTTCCTTCAAGGTTCCCTCCCATTTGCTCTGTACTAATTTTTTTTTATAGAAATATCAATTTTCAGATTTCAAAAGAAAATGTTCAGTTATACATGCACTCCAATTATTTCAAATATGTTTCTATATAACCTCTGTAACTGTATGAAACAAAGCTATGCTGCCACCAATAACTAAGAAAGTGTAAGTTTATGAAATTTCTGTAAAGAGCAAATCGGAGAGGACCTTGCAAGATACGTCACGGTGTTGCCAACTTATGTTTCACTGATGACAACTTTAAAAACTAATAACTTTACTACTTTTAATCGGATATTGCCCTAACTTTCACTTTCTGCTTTTATTAATACCGGCTAATTATGAGGGTGGACATTCCCTTTAAATTGATTATTGTTTGGTTTTCATTGTAGTGCTGCCAACATGCTGTTCAAACCCTTAGAGGAACTCAACGTAGACCATCTACCCTTTAAGGCTCTCAAAAAAGCGGCTTCATACACTTCTCTTGTGCAGAAAGAAGAGGTCCCTCTCAATATCAAGGTGAGAGGTCTGAAAATATGAGAATTTCAGAGTGTCGGGGTCTATTTTATAAGGGCTTAGTACCTCATTTTAATTTTGAATCGTGGTAGGACGTGAGGTGGTGGATTCCGTCGCGGACATCGTGGTGTCTTGTGTAGTAGTTGATTCTGAGGAAGAAATATGATATAATCACCTGATGATACAACCGGGGGCAAATGAAATTTAAATTCATATTTACAAAAATCTAACAAATCTTACAGGACATATCATCACAATTGGGATATGCTAACATCTTAGACTTTTACTTCTTATTATTAAATAGAATTCTAACTATACTTCATTTTGTTTGTTTAATTTTAGGAATTTTCTCACGAAGAGGTCGTGGTATCCGGTTCCTGAGAGGAGCTTTTATTTGTGTTACTTTATTAATGCCTGATTTGCAGTTGACCTCAAAATGTTATGCTTGTCATCTGTAAGCTTCCTGGTTTCTAGTGATACATCATTGGCCATATTTATGATTTTCAACAAATGTCTGCTTTAAAGTTATATTGTAAAACAGTATCTGAGGAACTAACACTTCAACAAGCTCTGCTTCTAGTTAGTTCCTCTTTTCTCATGCTATTTCTATGATATTTGTTGTTTCATTGCATATTTTTTTGTAATATACTTATTCATTGTACTATGTTTTGCATGAGAAAAAAAAATCTTTTGAAAATTTGAAAGTCGCCAGGCTTCTTCAGACTGCTCTGAGTGTCAATGTCTGGTTGATTACTTATTCTGCCTGGCACAAGCCTTGTTGTATTGAAGAAACCTCCAGACTTCATGTGGAAAAGCTTACCTCATCAATGGTTATTCATACGGTTGATGTCATGAAAGACATTTAACTTTATGCTAAAAGAAATTATAAAAAGATAATGGGAATTACAAATTGTAGAATTCCTATAGGTTTATTTCGAGGGGTCAGTGACACAAAGACGTAACTCCATTTTGAGAAAAAGTGGTTTATGTGTCACTGAGCACTTGGGCCTTAAGGAGTTAAGTCTATGTTTCACTAGCCATTGACTTCAATGGGGTGCTGGGTGGAGTTAAGTCTTTGTGTTTCCTGAAAAGCCCATATTTTTCTGAACGTTTTGATATCAAATGCTCTTTTTGGCAAAATATGGAGCTACGTCTTTGTGTTACTGAACCTTTGATATGTCATGATGGTGTGTTATGTTTGAGAAACATTTAGGGTTGATGATTGATGATTTTGGTGGTATTTCTTTGTGTAGGAGTTGGAGACCCGATCTACATGGGAGGTGGTACAGGAGCTAGAGAGCAGATCAATGTTACAGAACCAGGCTGAGATACTTGGGGTGTTACTGGAGAGGGAAGGACTGAACTTTGTCTTTGATGGAGGTAGGTATAGTCATGAGTTAAGGAAGATGGAGAAAGAGAGAGAAAGAGAGAGGGAGAGAGAGAGAGAGAGAGAGAGAGAGAGAGAGGGAGAGAGAGAGAGAGAGAGGAAGATTAAGGGGATATGGGAAAGAGATGGCAAGACAAGTTAAGTGAGAGAGGAAGAAACATGTTTTGCATTAGTTTGTTGGAGTTAGAGATAAAATGAACAAGAGCTAGAGAGTAGACCAACACGTTAGAACCAGGATGAGAGAGAGAGAGAGAGGTGGAGAAAGAATGACCTGACTTTGTCTTTGATAGAGGTAGGGGAATGGTGAGAGAAGGGTAGATGAAGACTCGGAGGGGGCTGGAGGGAGTGAGGGAGGGAAGGAGGGAGGGAGGGAGGGAGGGAGGGAGGGAGGGAGGGAGGGGGCGGGTGGAAGTGAGGGAGGGAGGGAGGGAGAGACAGAGAGAGAGTTTGGAGGAAGATACAGCTGGCATGTTTTGTTTTGTGTTTTGTTTGTTTGTTTGTTGTTTGCATGGAGTTGGTGATGAAATTAACATTGGGCAATGCAGCAACACCAGAACAGAAAAATAGTGTATGGAGTTCCTCTCTCTCTCTCTCTCTCTCTTCCTCTTCTTCTAATTCAAATTCAACTTTTTTTCTTTCTCCTGTCCACTACCTCTTTTTTTTTCTTTCCATTTCTGTATCTTACTTGTCTTTTTCCTTCTCTTTCTCCCCCCTGTCTCTTTCTCTGTCATTTCCTTGTTCTCTCTTTACTTTATTCCCCATCATCTCTATATCTCCATCCCTATCTTTCTCTGCATGCTGCAGCGAGTGTTGATGAGAGGATGTCCATCCTATACCAGAAGGCTCGTATCCTGAAGGACTGGTCCACCGTGAGATACTGCGCTAGCATCATGAGGAAAGTGGTGGACAGTCTCGCTCCATCCGTCACCTCCATGCTCGCCAATGGCAAATTCGTGAGTACATGCAGTCAATCATAATGTCTTGTTTGTGGAGTATCGTTGTGCACATTCTATAAAACAGGCCTGATAATTTCCTGATTTTACTCTTTTTTTTTCCCCCTGATTTTATTTATTTTTTCTTCTTTTTTTCCTGATTTTTTTCTTCCTTTTTTTCTCGATTTTTCTTCTTCTTTATTTCTTCCCGATTTTCCTGACTTTTCCCTTATTTTCCCTATTTTCCCTATTTTCCCTATTTTCCCAATTTTCTTACTCAAAAGGGGGGGAATCTTTTTGGATGCCATTTTTTTCTTCCTGAATCCCCCTTTTTTTTTTAAAGGGGTGTGGTTGAGGAAACCCCCCCCCCCTTTTTTTTAGAGCTCACTATCACCCCTGATAAAGACAACAAAATATATGCTTTTTCTCTCGCCTGCATAGCAAAAAAAGTGAGACATAGGCGCCGCTTTTCCGGTACAGCGGCGGCGTCAACATCAAAAACTTAACCTAAGGTTAAGTTTTTGAATTTTTGATATAATTTTGAAAGTATAAGTTCTTAGTCAATGAAACTTGGACTATAGGATTATCAAGTATCCCCAATCATGTGAGTAGAATTTCAGGTCACAGAGTCAAGGTCAAAGGTCATTTCCGGTCAACAGACTTGGACTATGTTGTGGCATCATCATCGAAAACCTAAGGTTAAGTTTTTTAATTTTTTATATAATTTTGAAAGTTTAAGTTCTTAGTCAATGAAACTTGGACTATAGGGTAATCAAGTCTTCCCAATCATGTGAGTAGAATTTCAGGTCACAGAGTCAAGGTCAAAGGTCATTTCCGGTCAACAGACTTGGACTTTGTTGTGGCATCATCATCGAAAACCTAAGGTTAAGTTTTTGAATTTTTGATATAATTTTGAAAGTTTAAGTTCTTAGTCAATGAAACTTGGACTATAGGGTAATCAAGTCTTCCCAATCATGTGAGTAGTATTTCAGGTAACTAAGTTAAGGTCAAAGGTCATTTTAGGTCAAGAAACTTAGACTTTGTTGTGGCATCAACATCAAGATTTTGAATTTTTAGCATATTTTCAAAATTGATTGTTCAAATTCCATGAAACTTGTACCCAAGGGTTATCAAGTATCACAAATCATATGACACAAATTCCAGGGCACAAGGTCAAAGGTCAGTAGACTTGGATTATGTTTTCACAACTTAATATGAGAATTCATATTTTTTTTTTTGTGTTCATATTTCATGAAAGTTACCAATCTTGGTAGAAATAATAGTAAATAATTTTTCGGATGATTCTTTGTAAATATTCACTTCAAAATGCTGATTATGTACAGAGGATTTCAATTTTGGGGCCTGCTAATGGGCCACCCTGCCTATAAATAATGTCCCAACCTCAATTTTTCATCATATCGAATTGCGTAATGCAGGCGAGACCGCCGAGAGCGTTTCCCTTGCTTCTTGTTGGCTCTGCTTCCTCATGCTTGTCCCTTTCACAACCCCATCACATACATGAAATAATGTATATCACTGCATTGTATTTGTACGCAGCTTCGATTCTGCAACCCATACCAATATCATACATATCAGGGGGGTGTTTCATAAAGCCGTTAGTAAAGTTACGCATGACTTTACGAATGACTTATGTATGAAAAGCCAAATGGGATGCTCAATCATTTTTGAACTGCATCAACTAAAGTTGAACTGTGCAGATGTAGATTAACATTCTTATTGTAACAAACATTTTTAATAGTATAGTATATTTTTAAAAGTATATTTTTGACATAATTTAATTGAGGTTATTGGAAGTATAGTCACACTTTGTGAAAACATCAGGAAAAACTTTGGGCATTCTATCTGGCATTTCATATTCAAGACGTTCGTAAAGTCATGCGTAACTTTACGAAAAGCTTTATGAAACAACCCCCTGGTTGTGGAAAAGGGAGAAAAAATTGGGTCATGGAATTCGGTTCTCAACTTTCTTTGAGAACCCTGGGGAGAGTCTCCATTTTAAATGTTAAAAAATAAAAATCAATAAATAAATGCATTCATTGCCACCCTAAGATCACGGTTGGTGTGTTTGGCCATGAGGAGGAGCTGATCAGCCGCCCTATCAACCCGAGCGAGATCAAGACCATCATCTTTGAGCGATGCCAGCGCTACAGCGTCCGAGAGGCCGTCATGCAGCAGGAGATGATCATCGCTCTAGGCAAGCTCATCTCAACCAGGAAGGATCTCTTCCGGAGTGTACTCAAGATAAGAGTAGGGTAAGAGAATGTCACTCTGCCATTCAGTGTTTTGCTTCATTCTTTTGTATTTCCTTTTGTAATACATTTGATGTATTTCATATCTTTCCTGTTACTCTTTGTTTCCAGTTTCTTTTTCTTCTTTTACAAATTTTCATCGTCTTCATATGTTCAAAAATTTTTAAAAAAATTTCTCAAATCAAGATAAAAGAATATCAGTCTGTAATTCACTTTTATGCCTCCGCCACCGAAGGTGGTGCCGGAGGCATCATGTTTTCGGGTTGTCCGTCCGTACGTCGTACCGTCCGTCCGTCCGTACGTCAGTCCCGTTTGACCGTTATTACAATATCTCAAGAACCATTTAAGATTTAAACTTAAGACTCGGGAATAGTATTTATCACCATAGGAAGACGATCTGATTAGATTTTGGAGTATGTAGGTCAAAGGTCACAGGTCACAGAGGTCAACTTATGAAATTCCTTGTATTGAGTTTGTTAGCGCGATATCTCAAGAACCATTTGAGATTTAAACTTCAAACTTAAGGATAGTATGTATCACCATAGGAAGACGATCTAATTAGATTTTGGAGCACGTATGTCAAAGGTCAAGGGTCACAGAGGTCAACTTATGAAATTCCATACATTGAGATTGTTATCATGATATCTCAAGAACCACTGGAGATTTAAACTTCAAACTTAGTGATAGTGTGTATCACCATAGGAAGACAATCTGATTAGATTTTGGAGCACGTATGTCAAAGGTCAAGGGTCACAGAGGTCAACTTATGAAATTCCATACATTGAGATTGTTATCATGATATCTCAAGAACCACTGGAGATTTAAACTTCAAACTTAAGGATAGTATGTATCACCATAGGAAGACGATCTGATTAGATTTTGGAGCACGTAGGTCAAAGGTCAAGGGTCACAGAGGTCAACTTATGAAATTCCATACATTGAGATTGTTATCATGATATCTCAAGAACCACTGGAGATGTAAAAACTTCAAACTTAAGGATAGTATGTATCACCATAGGAAGACGATCTGATTAGATTTTGGAGCACGTAGGTCAAAGGTCAAGGGTCACAGAGGTCAACTTATGAAATTCCATACATTGAGATTGTTATCATAATATCTCAAGAACCACTGGAGATTTAAACTTCAAACTTAATGATAGTGTGTATCACCATAGGAAGACAATCTGATTAGATTTTGGAGCATGTAGGTCAAAGGTCAAGGGTCACAGAGGTCAACTTATGAAATTCCATACATTGAGATTGTTATCATGATATCTCAAGAACCACTGGAGATTTAAACTTCAAACTTGTTTAAATTGCTCTATGGCGGAGGCATCATTTTCGACTGCGCGCAGTCAAAATTCCATCTAGTTGCTTTATTCTTTTGATTTCTTGTTGAATTCTATTTCTCTTTATTCCATTGGTTCAATTTCATATTAATCCTGTTACTCTTCATTTTCATTTTCCTCTTTTTTAATTGAAATTTTCATCCTCTTCATATTTTCAATTTTCTTCCTTTTTTCCCAACTCAAGATAAGACAATGCAGCAGACACAGCAGAGAATATCAGTCTGTCATTCAGTGTCTGCTTCATTCTTTTTATTTCCTGTTTCATTCTATTTCTCTTTATTCCATTGGTTCAATTTCATATTATTCCTGTCACTCTTCATTTCCATTTTCTTTTCTTTGTTATGAATTTTCATCCTCTTCCTATTTTCAATTTTCTTTCTTTTCTTATTTCCCAGCTTATACACATGAAAAGACTAAAAATGTACATGTTCATGATGATGCATTGTCCACAAAATACTTTAGGACTCCAAAAATTAAAGAGCCTTTGTAAGGTTATGTGAAAGTACATCATCTCCAGTTAAACAATCGCTCTATCTTCAGGTTGAAATTTCCTTTCTTTAAGCATTGTAGGGCATTTGTCGTAGAAAATTAAGGAAAAGCTTACAAGAGAAAGAAATACTTGTATACGTGTACATTTTTCTTAAATAATGTTTTATATATATTAGAAATTACCTGTATGTCTTCATTTTACAGGACTAATGTATTTCTCTTGAATGCCATGTTATATAATTTGCTTGAAATTGTTTACGTGTTAGGTAAATCACTGTATCAATCCTTTTATGGTCATCAGCAGTAAAATATTTCATTTCTTTCCATTCATTTTTCAGATGGTTGTTACATGCGATGAAGTCTGAACTAGAGATCACATGGAAAGAGACAGTGGTAAGTCCGAAACTTAGCTGTCTCAAGCAGTTTATCTTTGACTCTATTGTTCCTTGTATTCTTCGACTTGCTGTACCATTGTATACACAAACTTGATTGTTACAGTGCAAGTTGTTGACATTTATCTTGCTCTTCAAAGTCTTAATATCCAAGTTAACAAAAAAATTATTTCAAGCTGTCTTTGTTTAAGACCATAGTTGTATTTTTAAAAAAAACTTATTTGTCCCTGTTTCATTCATTTGTTTGTTGTGAGGCTTAGCGCATGCAGCTTTTTTTAAAGTTAAGAACACATACCAAAGAGGATTATGTGAAATGTAAGATATCCTGGACAATGCTGATAGACTTAATTATTAAGTGATTTTACATCTCCACTTTTGAATTTTGCAGCCGATTCACAGCCTGTGTCCATCGAGACTCAAGGATCTGATGTGCCATGTCCTGGAGATCAAGATGACGACCCTCACAGACCGTACCTGGCTCCAGAGACGTCAGTTCAGTGGTGCCCTCAACAGGACCCCGGTACGCTTCTATGACAAGGGTAAGCTCTTATAGCAGTCTTTTTTATTCACTTAACTCATATCCTGCCTTAAGGCTGCTTGTACGCTAGCGTTATAGTGCTTTGTACACGCGAGCACGCTATCGATTGGTTGCGTCATTCATGCGAGCGAGCTACTGCTTATCTGCTTTGTGCATGCATGCGAGCGAGCTACCACTTCTCTGCTTTGTGCATGCATGCTCGCATTCGTAATACCAGTTATTGTTCATGCTCATTGCACTGTGCCTAGTGTTTCGCACGCGCTATTGATAGTACCATCGTGTTAATCCGATAATCTCAATATTAACTTGGCACAGGGGATTTGAGGCTTGGCACAATGGGGATTAGCCCTGTGGCATTAGGCTGTATTCATTATGGCAGGATAAGAGTTAATATGCCTTATGGGTGTTTTTTTTTAGTAAGTAGATCTAGTTTGGATGGGTAAAATAAAGGTGATACATGAAATTCTTGAGGTTAGAGCATTCAAGTTGGATGGTATAATCTTTTAATAATGATGTCTCTGAATCTTTTCAGTGAGTAGGATTGGCTTTATGGACACCAAGAATAGTCCTGGATCAACATATATATGTGTTGTTTGCTTTTAAAACAGGAATGGGTCATAACTTGGAGCCTGAATAGATGCATGAACCCGGAGATGCAGAAGGAGGGGTATATAATTGAAAGCTCACTAGAGAGTCGATTTGACCAAATTCAAGGAAAATAATACTTTTCATGGTAATCGTGTACATGGGGCACAAATATGAACCAATATGCCTCCTGAATCCTATCTCTAATACCACACTTACCTGAATATTACTTTCTTGAGAACTCCATCCCACATGACCTTCTTTAATTAGTGTCTTGATTTCTTCATCTAGGGGAGAAGCCCTTCAAGTCATTCTTCAAAGATTTCCTACCCAGTTGATTCTTGAATTTCCTCGAGCATTTTAAATGCTTTTATGAGTATGATGTGGAATATGTTCAGGTCTTTCTTTTAGACATTTCTACCAGAGGTTCTTACATTCTTGTAAAAAAATATATTTTTCATGAACTTAGTGTGGAACATCTTGGGTCGAACTCCATCAGGTTTGAGCATCGCTAACTACTACCTGCCCCAGCAGCCCACACTGTCTGACATGACCCAGACTGACCTGAACTTTGCCCTCCGCATAGAGGAGATGTTTGGACGCATCTCTCATCCAGAGTATCGCCAGCTCATGGTGGAGGTAGGATCACTTTACTTGTTTTCAAACATACAGTCAAACCTGTCTATAGCGACCGCCCAAGGGAAACACAAAAAGTGGCTTTTGTAGACAGGTTCCTTTAGTACATGATTCAATGAGAAACCATTTTCAAGGGAAACAACAAATGTGCTTGTTGTAGACAGATGGTCACTAAAGCAGGTTTGACTGTATAAGGTAATTACTCAGAGCATAGATGTCTTAAGTTGTAGTTGCTAAAGGGTAATAATCCGGCAGAGGGGGTAGTTGTGCTCATATGCTATTCTCTGGCTATCTTTGAGCTCTGTGCCGATTATATTACAAGATGATATTGAATTGGATCTAAATGAGTTTAAAGTGTTCTTCGAGTCAGGAACAACTTCCATCAAGGCAATCATCCTCTTGGACAATCACCCACATTTACCTAGGGCAAGAACCATCCAGACAATGTAGGGGGAATTTTTTCTTTTCCTCGTAACTCAAGAATGAAAGGTCGACTGGTTGAAGTAGGGCCTTTGTTGAATGTTTTTAGATGTAAGCTTTTATATGTCACATTCTTAAGAAATATAGATGGGGACAAATCCCTTTTTAAAATACTTAAAAAATTACAAAACTTGGTAAGGGTATGAATAATGTAATTGTTAACTGTATGTAACATGTACAAGACAGCAGCAGTTCTCTCTTCATTGTGAGTTTGCCTTTTATTTACTTCTTCACCAGTACACACGAGCTGTACCATTTTAAATACTGCTACTTTCATGTGAACAAATTCATAACATAATCACACAAGTCCATTTCATTAATCTTCATGGATGTTTCATTTCTCTAGCTCTTGTCGGTGGTTGCGACCATCCTGGAGAGAAATCGAGAGCTGCAGTTTCAACACACAGTCAACATGGATGCTGTAAGTCATTACCTCAAGAAAATAATCTGCTTTAATTAAACAGAAATGACAGTCTCATTACTGTTAGATTAAGTATGCATACTAAGTATTTTGTAGCTCAGATTTTAAAAATTTTGCTCAGGAGTGGCATATGTAAATAATAATGATAAGTTCTTCTGTAGTGCATTTCTGGACCGTAGGCCCTCACAATACGCTTTACAAAGTGTAATTTATAATCAATGGTAACACTTATCAAAAAGACAAGTTTTAAGTTGTTTTTTTAGTGATACTGGGAGAGCGTTCCAAGTATTTCTGTACTTATATTCCCCAAGTAAGATGCTGTACAAGTACTTGAGCTCTGAAAAAGAAGAGAGAGAGAGGAGGGGGGGGAGATGATTTAACCCTATTTTAACTGGGCTATTTCAGGCCGTTTCACCGCCGATCGCCGCAAAAATTTGCATGCATGTCAAGTGAAGTGTATAGAATACTACGGTAATTTCAAATTTTTGAAAAATTCACTCATTTGCATATTTATGGTAACTTATGCAAATAAGGTCATCAAATTCACATTTCTGCCCATAAATCATAGATTATTCATGTTTACGTATTCTTTTTTCACTACATATATTTATTAGACCATTTGGAATAATAATACAACACAAAAAATTGGAAGAGCCAGGTTATTCCTTATGTTATCTCTTGTTTTTATAATATCTTATGTATTTCATTGTTTTTTAACTTATGTATTTAATTGTTTTTGTTGTTTTATTTCATTTATAACTACAATTCAACTATTTTGACCCCAAAACAAACATCTAAACTTCAAACAAGACTGAATAACCAATGTTTTATCTATTTTTAGGAAAAATGACTTTTATATATGTTTTGTACACAAATCACGAAAATGAGCGATTTTCGGGCTGACATGCAAAGACAAAAGATCACTTGACCTTGTAACCGTAGGTCCGATTTTCGAAAAAATTGTTTTAAAAGATGCGTAAGACTCTAAAGTAAAAAGTTATGAAAGGAAAATTTTATATCTGCCGCGGTTTCGGAGTAGTCGCGAAATTTCTACAGGGGGGGGGGGGTCAAATTGACCCCCCCCCCCCCCAGTTAACATAGGGTTAAGAGTGTAATCTCAACTTCTCTATTTTTAAAAAAAAATCTAAAATGTTCAATAAGTTAGATGATCAGTCATGCATGTTGGCTATAGATTTCATACATGTAAGTAGCATCTGGGTCGTCTGATATATGCTCTGGCGATAATTGCTTCAGACTTTGTTTCGTCAAAGATGAAGGGGTTAGGGTTGGGGCTTAATTTTGGTTTTTAGATTAGGTTAAGGTTTAGGTATGAATATTCTGTCAAGGATTTAGATCAAGGATCCATTTATGTTTACATTGTCTATGATTCCAATAATGCTTTTAAATGTGAAGGTCATAATCTCCAACACTGTGTCATGTGCATTTTCACTTTACAGTACATCCATGAAGCATTTGGCATGTACAGAGAAGACAACATGAAAGGATCGAACCACGACCCAGATGACCTGACACCATTCTACAACCTGCCTCTCTCTGGCAAGACGAGCACTTCCAACTACCTGGCCAGGGTAGTCACCAGTCATCTCCTAGACTCTTCACCAGCTGTTGGAGCAGCCTGCGATGAATCCTGTTCCGTGTCATAACATGCACTTTGTTACATCGTATTCTTAAAAAAGACTGGATGTTCAAGTCTGGCTAGATTTTTGAAAGTATCCTTCATCAGGAAAGTCTCTAGTTATTTCCTAGACCAGCCGTTGGAGCAGCCAGCGATGAATCATGTTCTCTGTCATGACATGCACTTTGTGAGATTGTATTCTTGAAAAAGACTGGATGTTCAAGACTTCATTGGTTGTCTAAAAGTATCTTTTGTCATGAAAATCTTTAGCCATCTCCTAGACTCTTCACCAGCCGTTGGAGCAACCAGCTATGAATCCTGTTCCGTGTCATAATATGCACTCAGTGAGATTGTATTCTTAAAAAAGACTGGATGTTCAAGACTTCATTGGTTGTCTAAAAGATACTTTTGCCACAGTGGTCACTGCTTATCTCCTAGACTCTTCACTAGCTCTTGGAGCAGCCAGCTATGAATCCTGTTCTGTGTCATAACATGCACTTTGTGAGATCGTATTCTTAAAAAAGACTGGATGTTCAAGTCTTCATTGGTTGTCTAAAAAGGATTTGGGACACAGTGGTCACTAGTTATCTTGTAGACTCTTCACCAGCTGTTGGAGCAGCCAGCGATGAATCCTGTTCCGTGTCATAAAATGCATGTGAGATCGTGTTCTTCAAAAGACTGGATGTTCAAGTCTGGTTAAATTTCAAAAAAAGTAATTTTTTTGTCAAGAAAGTCTCTAATCATCTCCTTTACTCTTCGCCAGCCATTGGAGCAGCAAGCGATGAATCATGTTCTGTGCCATAGAATGAACTTTTGAGGGGGATTTGTTGGAAGATACTGGATGTACAAGTCTTTATTAGGTGTCCAAAAGATGTTTCAACCATGGTGGTCACTAGTTATCGCCTAGACTCCTCACCAGCCGTTTGAGCAGCCAGTGATGAATCGTGTTCTGCATCATAGAATCAAATGGGGAAGTGCAGATAGTGGAAGAGGTTGGATGCACAAGATTAGGTTGAGATTGTAAGAGTGATTTTTGTCTGCTTTATCTTCATAAACCTAGCTTAGTTGCCAAAGAGTGATTAGACCTAGATATTCTGCCAGGCCGTGGGACAAGAGATGGAGAAAGGTTCTGCTATGATAAGTATAGGTTGGATGGGCATTTGATTTATATTGAGTGTTCTATTAGAAATGTCTTCTTGATACAGTAGTCTTATACCCAGACTTGTATTTGGCAGCTCACCCAGGAAGCTATACTGGGACGGTAGTAAGTAAGTAAGTCCAGTGCTAGTAAAAACCATGCTAGTATACTTCTTCTTCTTCTTCTTCTTCTGATTAATTCTGCCTCCTTCAATTGACTGAAGATTCTTGCAAACTATGTGCGTGTCTGTGTGTTAACCGCAATTTACGTCCATTAGAGTGCTATTTACATTATAATACAGTTTATTTACAAATATTTAGAAGTTCTGGGAAAGAATGAATGCCGATGCAATTCAGTTATCGAGTATGGCATCTAATAGGAATGTGGTTGGGTGGCTCTTGTCGACTGTGACTTGTGTGATATAGTCCTGAGCCGGAAGATGAGCGAGATTGTTGTGTATATTATACATCATGGTTAGTCTGTCATTTTCTCTGCGCTGTTGTAGAGTGGTCCAAATCAAGTTCTTTCAGCATACTGCTGACACTTGAGGTATTATGGTAACGATTCAGAGTGAATCTCGCTGCTCTTTTCTTCACCATTTCAACTCATTGTGAATAAGGTTCTTGGAAGCTGAGTCCCAAACAGAGGAAGCATACTCTACGATCGGTCTAACCAATGTTTTGTAGATAGTGGCTTTGATGTCAAAAGAGGGTGCTGTCATCTGCAAAGAGACGCATTGTGGACTGTATGAATATCGTTGATATACAACAGGAACATAACAGTTCTATTGGATTTAGATCCTGCGACTAGCTATAAAATTATGAAATGTGCATTTCATGCCATACCAATATTTAAAACCAGTAACAAAAATGTGAAGAATAGGCAATAAAAAATAATTTCCCATGAATAAAAGGAAACAAAAGCCATTGTATGTGATCCAATAAAAAATAGCTGTGCTTCTCAATAAGTTCAATCAATCAATAAATTCTGAATATTCGTCAGTATAAACCATGTTCAAATATTTTAGAATGCCAAAAGGGCAAAAATGGTAGGGGGCAGGTTGCCTTTCTTTACGCATGACTGCCTCCTGAGATGCTGTATAATTGTTAAACTGGTGTCAACTTGAATGCTGATGTTTAATCTTCATTTTGCTACAAATCTGATTATAAATAAAATGAGTGTGAAAAATCAGTGGTTCAAAATTAATGAACAGGAGACATATATGTATAGTACTATTTCTATTTATCAAGTATATTTTCACTGTGTACAGAGATTTCTTTATGAAAGGTAACAAAATATGCAATGTTATTTACAGTTAATAACTGAATTATTCATACCCCTTGTAGATTTGATGTTTTTTGCAACTCAAGAATAAAAGATGGACTGGTTGAATTAGGGCCTGTGTTGAATGCTTTTAGATGTAAGATTTAACTGTGTCACATGTCATATTCTCAAGAAACACAAATCAGGACAAATACATTTTTCACTTATGAAGAAAATATGAATTGGTAAGGTATGAATAATTTAGTTAACTGTATATTTAGGAGTTCAATAGGGAATTAAATAACCTTTTTAGAAGCCTGTTATTGCGATAAAACAGTATTATATATCCTTCTGATTTTGAGAGTTGTAATAATGTATAGATTATTAAATTATTGTTTAATAAATTTTTTTGGGCTGCTGTGTGATTATTTTATTAAGGAATATTGAATGAAAATAAATATCACATTACTTATAAGGAACACCAATAGCAATACAATGTTACATTCAAGATCTGCAATTTCTACGACATCGATTACTTGGTGGCATTGGTTTTTGTTTCATTAGGTAGAAAATATCACCAAGATCATCAATTTAAGGTATAAAAGGCATTTTATTCTACAGCTGATTGCATGGAAAGTCATCATGTGCAAATTTCTTGCTGCTTCAAGCACGACTATAGGTGCGAAAAGGTATCAAAGTTTAAAAACAACATTGCCTCACCAAAAAGGCTGTATGATTAAATTGCCTCATGTTGAAATGGACCATTTTCGCAATATAATCAAATTTAATGCATAAGTCCTTGTTCAGTGCCTTGATACAAAGTCTTTCATTCACCTCTTATAAATAAATGTACCTTAACGGTCAAAATCCAAATTGCATACAGTAGTTGTTGTTAGAAAGGACAAGCCATAGTGTTTGTCCTACCTAGCAACAACTAACGTATGCAAGTCGCATTCTGATTAATGAAATACAATTATTCATAACGGGTGAATGAAAGAATTTGTAACATAGCACTAAAGCATTACATTGATTACATTACGAGAATGGTCTATTGCAATACTCGGATGTTGTGTTCTTTTGGGGGTCACCCTGTGTAACACAAACACTTGTATTAACGATAGGTTACATACCATGGCCTTTAACCCCTTCCTTGCCTGGCAAAAATGCTAGCCAACAATTTGAGGGTCAACCAATTTTAGACCGAGACAACAAATGGGTACCTACCCTCCTAGCGAATTTATGTTTTCCTTGAATGCAATTTTAGCCCAATTTAAAAGGAAACCAGTATTTTCAGTAACAATTTGAACAACACTTTAAACATTTTCATGACAATTATTCAAAAACTCTGGCAGAGAAGGGGTTAAGGTCCCATTTCAGAAAATATAAAAACCTGATATCACTTTTTCAGTACACTGTCATAATGAGAACATGAAAAGAATATTTATTTATTTGTTGGTTTATTGTAAAATGCAACAAACATGCAGCTAGAGAACTGAAAGTGTTCAATTTACAAAAAGTACACCAACGTGAAAGTCACAGTAGTACTGATCGAAGTAACATTGAAATAAACATGCATTAGAAATCAAATACAAAATTGAGCAATTACATTTGAAATCGCATTACTTTCATTGATTTAACATCCTTGAAAATAGATGGAGAATATTGTTTAGGCATATTTAGTCTAGAAATGTTCAAAAGAGCCACATGCAATGTAGAGACTTTTATATTGTATTCTGATAATACTCTATATTACACTAGGGCACCATCATATACAATATACCATATTTACAATTGATTCAACTCAATTGTAACTTGATATCAATCGATGCTATACTAAAGAGGTAAAAGTAATAAGTTTGTTAATAATTGTAGGATTTGCGATCAATCACACCTCTCTATAAAACAGGTTCCAGATGTCAATATTTTTACCTACACATCTGGACAAATTTGGCAAGCTCTAGAATCTATAATCTATATAGATATATTTCCAAATCCTGATTGATTTCACTTCCACATGATCATCTAATGAGTAACTAATTTAAAACAGAAAAAGTGTAAACTTGTGCATTCCTTGGTTCACTATTTAGGCCCAAAACAGTACAGCAAAAAGCAGAACATCTCATATACATTACAAAACTAAACACAAAAATGCAGTTGGAATATATGAAAGACTATTATGTAAACTTGAACATTATAAAATTAGAAGATCTTAATTTGAAATAGAAATATAATTTTTTTTTTTTTAAATTCCCTTTGAGGGAGTGATGTGCATAATATGTAAAAGCATCCTGCAAGTTACATTTTACTTTTGACATTAATTGAATAAGATCAATGGGTCAATTCCAAGCATTACAGAATGACATTTCTAGAGAATAATTTTGATAAAAGAATATTAAAGAAATTTTTATAAAACTACAAATTAATGATATACATGTATTACATTCAAACTAATTTGAGGTATTTTCACAATCTCGACCATTCATCAAATTGACAAAATATGGAATTTTCAAAAGCTTTTTTACGGAATGACCACAAAATTACCTTCTATGTCATCCCATAATTAATTTATATAAAATTCAATCTTTTGTCAATTTGATGAATAGTTGATAGGAAACAAAATGTTGCAAAAGGAGCTCATATTCAGTCAGACCTCAGCATGTATACTAACGAGGCTTACAGTGAAGAATTCTTTGGCATCTTGTTCGCAAACTTGACTGATTTGCTAGTGCTGAACTGAGTGTGATTTTCAGGGTCACTGGTGATTTTTCAGTGTCACACTTTCATGACAATAAAGAGTTTTATCTTCAGTTGTCATAGCAGAATGCAATAGTATATCGTTAATTTGTAAATTTCTATCATAATATCTATGATATTTTTCATTCAACAACAAAAATGATCTGAAAAAGTCATTCTGTAACGCTTGGAATTTACATTATCTGACATTACATACATGTGATGCTAGGCATCTAAGATTAATAATGAAAGATGTGAAAAACATCAATATTTGAATCATTGCAATATATTTCTCATTACAGTTCATGAATAATTTTCCTGATTCAAGTCTCTAAATCAGTAATTTCTATGTAAATCATTAGAATCACTGATTCTGTAATAACTTGATTGTTCAATATTTTTTCTGGCATTCCTCTCTTCTCCCTCTCTTTTGTCTCTCCCACCCTATTGTTTTTTCCTCTCTCTGTTCTCCTCTCAACCTACTCTGCTTATCTCAGATTTCCCTCCGGTTTTGTCTCTATGCTTTTGCCTCTCTCTCTCCCTCTTTCTCTCTCTCAATCCACTTTGCCTTCTCACACACCTTCATCCCCCCCACCTCCTCCACCTCCCCTCTCTGTAAAGTTATCATATTACCTCACAAGGAGAGAAAAATCAAATCAAATACTTTGGTCATGTTAAAAGGCACCAAAGCCTCTTAAAGGATGTATTGGAAGGAAGAGTGGAAGGAAGTAGACCGAGAGAGAGACCCAGAATCAACTGGGAAGAAAATGTCAAGAACTGGAGTGGACTAAAACTGCAAGAGTGCACAAGAATGGCAGAAGATGAAATGGAGAGATGTTGCAATCAACCTCCAAACCGGGAGAAGATACTTAGATAGATAGATAGAACAATACAGGCTAAATCGATCTTACAGTGGTTGATTATTCAAGAACTGTGTGATCATATAGTACGCTTGTGCTGGCTTCAACTGGGGGACAAAGTGACCCGACCCCTTCACCGTGGCAACCGTCACATTCAAGAAGTCGTGGACGAATCCAGCGACCTGCGAGCCCACCCTCCAGGGGCGCCGGGGTGTCTTCTCTGCTTGGTGCAGGTCTTTCACAAACCACTGCGCGCTCAAGAAGTTGCAGACAAGGTCCGTGTCACCGTTGTAGAAGAGCCCTCTGTATTTGGTGAGCATGGCTTGGATCTGAGGCTTCACTGTCTGGTACTGCATGGTGTAGTTGGCAGCGACCGTGTCGCTGTTGGTAGAAAGACAGATGACAATGGCAGTGTGCTTTAATATAGTAATCCATTAGAGACATGCAAGATACAGTTGAGTACTGGGACCCGTTTCACAAAGCCTTTTTTCAATGATAAATTACAAAACTAGTCACAAATCGGCTGATATAAAACAGATGACCAATCAAAAGCGAGGATTTTACTGGCTTATAACAAAAACTGTCATTTGTTACTGATGACAAATTTTGTGAAATGGGACCCTGGTCATGCGATTATATTGTGACAGAAACAGTCAGGATGCAATAGACCGGTTTACTATTTAACATATTCAAATTTTATGCACACTTTTTAAACAAAGGTTGTTCTTGACAACCTGAAAGCTTGCCTAACATAGCAACAAGTAATGCATACAGACTGGATTCCAAGTATTGTAGTTCATTCACTAATAACAGGTAAATAAAGTAATCATTACTAGATCCCCAGGAAAGACATCAATGATCTTACTTGTATGGTATATCTTTACAAAAAAAAAATACATCATTTAGTTTGGCTGAAAATTAAAAATTTTCAAACTGGTCTAGTTTCATATGTGTTTGATTAATCCAGGTTAAAAGTGCATTTGAGATGTGGACACACAGTCCTTCTGCACTAAGGCCAAATAAAAAACGAAATATGTTCAGTGTCCTGCTTTTTCGAAAAAATAGGAAGGAGGAGGACCTTTAAAAAAAAAAAAAAACTAGATGGAATTTTGACTGCGCGCAGTCAAAAATGAAGCCCCCGCCATAGAGCAATTTAAACAAGTTTGGAGTTTAAATCTCCAGTGGTTCTTGAGATATCATGATAACAATCTCAATGTATGGAATTTCATAAGTTGACCTCTGTGACCCTTGACCTTTGACCTACGTGCTCCAAAATCTAATCAGATTGTCTTCCTATGGTGATACACACTATCATTAAGTTTGAAGTTTAAATCTCCAGTGGTTCTTGAGATATTATGATATGGTGATACATACTATCATTAAGTTTGAAGTGAAAATTCTCCAGTGGTTCTTGAAATATCGCGATAACGATCTCAATGTATGGAATTTCATAAGTTGACCTCTGTGACCCTTGACCTTTGACCTACGTGCTCCAAAATCTAATCAGATTGTCTTCCTATGGTGATACACACTATCATTAAGTTTGAAGTTTAAATCTCCAGTGGTCCTTGAGATATTATGATATGGTGATACATACTATCATTAAGTTTGAAGTGAAAATTCTCCAGTGGTTCTTGAAATATCGCGATAACGATCTCAATGTATGGAATTTCATAAGTTGACCTCTGTGACCCTTGACCTTTGACCTACGTGCTCCAAAATCTAATCAGATTGTCTTCCTATGGTGATACACACTATCATTAAGTTTGAAGTTTAAATCTCCAGTGGTTCTTGAGACATTATGATAACAATCTCAATGTATGGAATTTCATAAGTTGACCTCTGTGACCCTTGACCTTTGACCTACGTGCTCCAAAATCTATTCAGATCGTCTTCCTATGGTGATACATACTATCCTTAAGTTTGAAGTTTTTACATCTCCAGTGGTTCTTGAGATATCATGATAACATCTCAATGTATGGAATTTCATAAGTTGACCTCTATGACCCTTGACCTTTGACCTACGTGCTCCAAAATGTAATCAGATTGTTTTCCTATAGTGATACACACTATCACAAAGTTTGAAGTTTAAATCTCCAGTGGTTCTTGAGATATCATGATAACAATCTCAATGTATGGAATTTCATAAGTTGACCTCTGTGACCCTTGACCTTTGACATACGTGCTCCAAAATCTAATCAGATCGTCTTCCTATGGTGATACATACTATCCTTAAGTTTGAAGTTTAAATCTCAAATGGTTCTTGAGATATCGCGCTAACAAACTCAATACAAGGAATTTCATAAGTTGACCTCTGTGACCTGTGACCTTTGACCTACGTACTCCAAAATCTAATCAGATCGTCTTCCTATGGTGATAAATACTATTCCTGAGTCTTAAGTTTAAATCTTAAATGGTTCTTGAGATATTGTGATAACGGTCAAACGGGACGGACGTACGGACGGACAACCCGAAAACATGATGCCTCCGGCACCACCTTTGGTGGCGGAGGCATAAAAATCAGAAATAGATCCAATTTAGCAGTGTGTTTTTCCACAACAAAAAAATCAAAAAATTTCAACCAAAAAAAAAAAAAAAAAAATAGAAGGCGGCCCCCAAAGGAAGCGGCGGGGACGCTAAACATGTATATTTATTTGAATGACCTTACCTGCAGACCTGCCAGGGTTGTACAGTCACAGGGATATGGAGAGCAAGCCTAACATCGTCCCGACTAAGATAAGTTGTCACAGCGGTGGAATTAGAGCATCCAGCGTTCACTTCTTTAGGAGTCATAAAACCATGGGAAGCATAGTGCGTTGAACTCAAAGAAACATTAGCTCCACCCTGCAAACAATATGAATAATAATATGTACAATACTTAATACCTCTTATTACTAAAAATAAATAAGTGATATTTATGACCCATATGCGATTTTTCATGAAAATGGGTATGGCCTATTCAATGCTGGTTTCCATGGCCATCACTATGGAAACCAGCCTTGAATACAAGATGCGACAATATTTATGCCCAGTTCAAAAAAATATTTAGAAAATTTCCTTTAAAGGTAAAGACCAGTTCTGGTTGCATTGTGAAAGAAATGTTGTGGAATGGATCAGAAAAGGTTGATCATCTAGTATATAAGTATTGGTGTGTACTGCAAGGTTCTGGAATCATCAAAATGATAAAAAATTTGGCCCAGTCTTGGTAAAGTTACAAGCACTGTACACAGAAAGATGTATATCCCAGGTCGAAATTCCAGTTGATACCAGTTGAAACCAGTAAGGATTTCCAACTGGTATCTACTGGTTTGAACTGGTCTCAACTGGTCTTAACTGGTACCAGTTGATACCAGTTGATACAATTTGGAAACCAGTAGAAATACCAGTTGACATCTGAGACCAGTTGATATTACCAGTTGATTTACCAGTTGAAACCAGTAGATGATTACCAGTTGATTTACCATTTGAAAACCAGTATGGTTACCAGTTGATTTACCAGTTGAAAACCAGTAGATGATCACCAGTTGATTTACCAGTTGAAAACCAGTAGATGATTACCAGTTGATTCCAGTTGAAAACCAGTAGATGATTACCAGTTGATCTACCAGTTGAAAACCAGTAAGATTACCAGTTGATTTACCAGTTGAAAACCAGTAGATAATTACCAGTTGATTTACCAGTTGAAAACCAGTACGAATACCAGTTGATTTACCAGTTGAAAAACCAGTTCAATGTATCTTATGAATATTCATGATTTGCATGTTTTCACAGAAAATATAATTATCATGATCTTTCAAGCAAATGTGACAATGCACATACATTTTGTGATTTAGATTTTCTTAGTTAATTATTGACAAATATATTACACATGTCTGATCATGTTTTTCATCTGATTTAAGACGTAAAATGAGATATATTGATATATATGTAATTACTAACCAGAAATAAAGTGTATAAATTTGTTTATATGTATGCACGAACATTACATGTCAAATCACACAATACACATCTGTAATCTACTTCAAATGATCATTGTGATGGGGTAATTGCAAGAGTTAGTATATGTGGTCAAGTTGGTGGCCAGATGCTAATAATGATTATTGATTATCAGTTGATTGATTACTGGACAATCATCTGAAAAATCAACTGGTAATTCAACTGGAAATTCAACAGGTAAATCAACTGGTAAATCAACTGGTAATTGAACTGGTAAATCAACTGGTAATTCAACTGGAAATTCAACTGGTAAATCAACTGGTAAATCAACTGGTAATTGAACTGGTAAATCAACTGGTAATTCAACTGGTAAATCAACTGGTCTCAGTTAGCGTTGTTTCAATTTCCATATTAAAAACCAGTTGAATCTACTGGTTTCAACTGGTACCAGTTGACTTACTGGTTTTAACTGGTACCAGTTGCCTACTGGTTTCAACTGGAATTCCGACCTGGGATGGGACTATGCGACACATGCGCGATATCTATCCGGTCTGGATAGATATAATAATCTACCAAATATATCAATTAGTAGGCGGTTTCCCGGCAAAATTTGTATCACCATATCATCATCGTATTAGTCAAAACATACTCTTTCACATGATTGGTAATAAGAGACTCCATTCCATTTTTTGAGAGGGGGGGGGGGTGTTTCCTAAACTGATATATCCCTTTAAAATTAGATATCTTGTTACTTTAATCCAGGTGGGGTTTTAAAGGCGAGAAATAATCCACTTTTTGGCCTCTCGCCGTTCACCTTGGAAAAATATGTACATTGTACCTATACTCGGGTAAACTTTTTCAAACCAGTGTGTAATTTAAAAGTGTACTGGTATCTGCGGTAGATATACATGTAGTTATTTTTCCAAGGACAGATGACACTCTAATGCTACAGAAACAAAATTGAAATCCGTGGAAGAAAACTGACTTTTGCCACTGATCCCCTATCTGGAATCTTGTAATGGATTCCCAGCGCAGACCGAAGGTCGAATTGGTATCTCTTGAGCTGGGTCGGGATGCCTCCTGCACAGTCCTGATATATAGAGTACGTATTGATGCCACTGCTCGATATAAAGGAATTGGCTACATCACTCTGTGAAAGAGAAAGAGGAATTTAAAATGACTTTGTATTCAAGTAATGTAATAAAGCTGCCAAACAACTGACCTAAAATGTTATTTTGATCACAAAGTCAATAGAAAACTAAGGTTAAAACATACTTGAAGAGAAAAATATTCTCAAAAAGAATGAAATGCTGATACTACCAAAATGACAACAACAAAATACCTACTTGTAAATAAATTATAGGTCCTAATATGGAAGAAAAAAAACTGCATGAAAAATGGAATTTCTGCATTGGAAGTGTGTCGCGCATGGTTGTAAGTTTCGTTTTAATGAATTCCTTTTTTTTGCCATCATGGTTTCTTTTTGGGGTCCCACAAGGTTGGCAGCTCTGTGTAATGAAAACAAAGAGTATTTTGGAATTTATCATAATTAAAGAATTTCAAGTGCTTGTAGAATTTACAGGCCTGTCATTGTGATTGCGTTAAATCAAGGGCAACCAGAGCTGCTATTATTTTTCACTTCTTGGAAGGGATGGATCACGTCATAACAAAAATGTTTCATAATCGTGACGGGCATATAGTGCTGGGAGTTAGCGTGTAATTTCCTATCCGTGTACACAAGTCGCTTATCTCTTTGTTACGTGTAACGAACAGATAAACGGCCCGTGGAAACAGTTATGAAATTTACAAAAAGCAACAGCAGTATTTCAGCTATGTAAGACCAGCATACAAGGCTGCCGAACTTCATAAAATAAGACTTCATAAAATTGTGTTCCTTGCGACAAACAAGAGTGGTGCAATGACAATCCACAATCCAAAGAATTTCCCGGTTGCCAGCTCAAAATCCCATGGCAGACTTTACTTAACTTGGAAGGATATACTACAAAAGAAACTAGGCACTAGCCTATCTAGCCTCGCCCAGAAGATCAGAAGGCTTAGACAAAGGCCATAGAGGAAATGAAAACTCTGAACCCACAACATAGGAAAAACGGATGCTAAACAATGGGAAATGAAGATGATAATGTTGATGTTGATGATGATGATGATGATGATGATGATGATGATGATGATGATGATGATGATGATGATGATGATGGTGATGATGATGATGATGATGATAATGATGGTGATAATGATGATAATGATGATGATGATGGTGATGATGATGGTGGTGATGATGTTGATGATGATGATGATGATGATGATGATGATGATGATGATGATGATGATGGTGATGATGATGATGATGATGATGATGATGATGATGATGATGATGATGGTGTTGATGATGATGATGATGATGATGATGATGATGGTGGTGTTGATGATAGTGATGATGATGGTTGTGATAATGATGAGGATGAGATGATGATGTTGATGAGATGATGATGATGTTGATGAGATGATGATGATGTTGATGTTGCTGATTAATATGATGATGATGATGATGATGATGATGATGATGTTTATTAATATGATGATGATGATGATGTTGATTAATATGATGATGATGATGATGATGATGATGATAATGATGAGTAGAAAATCATATAAGAAGTGAGTAAATGACTGTTTGTATACTCACAGCATCTTTGCATTGCTGGTCTGTGGGCTGGAAGAAATTACAAACTCCATCTTGACAACAATATGTCTGAAGATCGTTCCAAACGCTGGAACAAAGAACATACCAACAATAATTGTAAAATTTTCATTAAAATATGTCATCAACACCTATTATGAATCACAAACTAAAACTTGACAAATTTACAAAAAGTAGTTTTAAAATTTCACACCTATAACATTTATGGGAACTTTCTGAGAAAGTTACAGAAATAAAATATAGATCTTCCAAAATAGAATATAGATTTTCCTTTTAATAACATAGATAATACAAAGACTATTGCTTATGTACACGTCACAAATTCAATTATCCACCAAACCACTGTCCAATGTACGTGGAGCACTAAAACTCAACAGAAACCATTACACAGACATGGTCACGTTAAGCCATGTGGCTTCCATCCTTTTTTTTTTATTCTCCTACAAGAGAATTACTAGCAGAACAAAAAGAACTCTTCTGCAAGCATAACAGACCAGTTCACAAATCTATCCACATTAATGGCTACTTCTTCACATCAAGTATTGCATCATGACGAGTTGCTTGCACCTGATTAAAGTTATTGAAATAGATCATTTTCGTAATGTAACCAAATTCATCCATATGCCTTTGTGAAGCCCCTCATATGAATTGTGCATGAATCCTAATTCAACAAGCTCAAAAAAAGAAAATCATAAGGGGAAGACCCAACCAATAACATCATCAGTACATTTTGTACATGTATATGGGGTACAAATATCTACTTTAACAAAAAATGCACTTCTTAGAGAAAAAAGTATATCACAATTTATATTGATATATCAATTTCCCAACCAGTTTGGACAGATATTTCATTATGAACCAAAATCTGTATAGGGTGCGTGGAACGGGGGTTATGGACTTACTCCTGATCGAATATTGAATGGTAGTAGGCATAGTAGACAGCAGAATTGACGTTGCTTGTTATGTTCAGAAGACCATTTCCAATGGCAAAACCCTGGAAATACAAAACAGACAAAGGTTGTTGTTACGTAGATTCGTTTCATCTAAAAAAAAAATATGTGATTATATGTGATTAAATGCACTTCCGAAAAACAAACCCAAATCTTAGATACATGATTCTGATTCAAAGAAAAAGCAAGTTGCATTTAACTTATTTTGCAATGCATATAAAAGCAAACCTTTCTGCAGGACTCTGACAATGTACTTCTAGCGGTTAACCTCAAACCTGTAAGAGACAAAGCTGTCAAATGAAAGTTATTCCATTATCCAATCGATTCTTATCAATCTACCATAACCATTCCTAAATAAACCTAAATCACTTGAAGGTGATAACAAAATCATATTTTTGTTAATTTTAAATTGTAATAATGTGCAAGTGAATGCATTCTGGTCTTCTGGTCTTCATTTTGCAATATAAACCTAAATTTCACCAAAGAAAGGAACTCTACAGAACCAATGAAGACAGAAAATGGGGGGTACTTTTCCGCCCCATGTAATTTTTTTTCCCCTGTATTTAACTAACCTCCATCTTAATTGATGTATTTCCATTCAAGATCTTCACAGCTAGAGTTGGGATGTAGATGCCTCCATAGCTCTCTCCGGTAAGGTAAAATGTGTTGTTCAGGTACTCAGGGAACTTGACGAAAAAATTCTTAAGAGCCTGGAAGTTGTCCTCTGCCACCTAAGCAGATAGATGAAGGACAAAAGGAGAATTCAGTGTAATTTAAAAAAAAAAAGGAAAGTTTCAAATGGGTTCTGTTTGGTTTGTTTGCGTAGAATAAACATAATATTTATGAGGATATACAGATATGCAAACAACAGTACTTGTATATCAAATCTTAAATAAATTTGAGGTAACAAGGATCAAAATATACAGCAGGTACATCATAAATATGTACCAGTATATGTAGTTTCAATTGGCATGGGATATCATTGGGAGAGTTTTGTTTACCGGTAACTATATCATCATTACTATTACTATCATTACTATTTCATCATTCATTACACGTTTCTTAATGTAAAAAATAATCAATGACCAACTGTATAATTATCTGCCAGCTCTTAACTTTTTTCATGTAAACAGTCTGCATGAAAACTCTTTTATCTTGTAGACTTTCGAGCTATTTTCTTCTACTTGTTGTTGTTGTTGTTGTTACGTATATTTTTAATTCCTTTGGGTTGCACATTAGATACATGTACCTCCTGGTTGTAACATTGTTTCTCCCTACTTGCACCCTCATAGTACCGTTCCCCCTGGATGGACCATATAGTTCCATCCTGACTGCTCCATAGCAATACATAGATTCTCATTAGTTGCACCCTTGTTGCACCCTCATTGTACCCTTCACCATGGATAGACCATAGTTCCATTCTTACTGCACCATAGCAATACCTGGTTGCACCCTCAAAGTACCCTTCACCCTAGATGGAACATGCTTCCATCCCGACTGCACCATAGCAATACCAGGACTCACATTAGTTGCATCTTGGTTGCACTCATATTGTACCCTGCCCAGATGCACCCTGGTTGCACACTGGCTATACCTTGGTGAAACCTAGTTGCGTTCTACCCTATTACATACCTTGTCATCATTTGTCTTGATGTCTCCTGAAGGTGAATAAGAGAAACCAACACCGGCTGGACTCTCCAAGAAGATGACATTGGCCTGTTTGTTCCAGCTGTACTCGTTGAGGTACAGAGTGGCACCATCGTTGTTCACCTGCAAGGAATGCAATGAAAGTCCAGACTTGATAATAAATATACCTCAGACTCCCAAACTTGGCCAGTTGTTGCTGTTGTTATTGTTGGGGGTCCAGTTTGTAGTTGATATGGGGTCGGTTTCGTTGGTGTGACTAAGATATTCTATATATACCATCAATGTGTGCAACAATTAAGATACCAAAATCATAAAATTATAATCCCATATAGGCATATACCCATGGTCATATGTTGCAATTCTGTTGCAGTAATCACAACAACAACCAACAGCAATTGTTCACAGAATGAATAATAGGTTACTCTGAATGTTCAAAACTATAACTAATTATTCTACCAAACAGATTTCATAAAACATGTATGATAGCTGGGTAAACAAAGATGTATAAATCTGGGTGAATTTTGAGTTTTTTTAAAAACAAAATTCTACATTTGTGTACAGTCAGAGATTTGGTGCTTTTTCATATTATGTTAATCCAGCAAATTTTCCTAAGTTTGACCTTATACAACTCCAAGAAATAAAGGTACATGAAAAATAACTACAAAGCAATTTTACTGTAACATTATATTCTTACATGAAATGGACCCAACTCTTCGAGATATCCATCCAATGAGCTACACCCTGGTCCACCGTTTAACCACAGGACGACAGGGTCTTGAGCTGGGTTACTCTGGGACTCAACAAACCTGTGGAAAAAATGGTTTATTTGAATAGAGGGTGGGATGATAATATAGTAGAATCTATATCTTATGACTAGGCCTATTATACTGTGCAAACAGGTATTTGAATAGTTAGAATTATAATTCAATTATTTATAATACCAGGTTTTAAAGTCAATCATGCCATGAGCACGTAAACATGCATGCCAATGCGGCGATGTTCAATGCAGCTGGTGGTGGCACAGCCATGACTGTTATGCATCCTGCAGTTTGACATTTGGATGTATACCAGTACAGAATCGTTGTTTTCTATACCTATGAAAATACCTTAAAATGCAATATTTCTGATGCAGAATTATTTAAAGATCATTTAGAATGACAGTGGTGTGCATTTTCATTGGAAAATGTAAAAAGGAATGCCGAAAAATTAAAGTTAACTCAAATTCTAGGTAAATAGAGTCTATCAATCTTAAAGTCACTCAAAGTTAGTCAAAAATTCTTGACAATATGACATCTAAATGATTCCCAAAACAATAAGAATGTCAAAATTATGAGATTACTGTTGTGTTATTGTAAGGTGATGTAATTATTTAGTTGAGCAATTAGTTTTGCAAGGTAAAATATGCAGTCTGGTCAGTTATCGAGCAAATTTGCTACTGATGTGGTTCAGATTTGTTTTCTGATGACAAGTCAATGTCAATGACAGTGATTTGCTAGTATTATAAAACAGAGGCACATTGCACACACATCACAGCATATGTCATCCAAAAATTGCTTCTTGTAGCTGCTGAAAGGGTAGACCGAATTTTCTGTCTCTTTCGTTCGTTAGCCTCTTATTGGGGTAGGGTCGGCCGGCTCTCTCTTTAGAGACGGAAACCGTCTATACACATTCCCTTGATAACGCCACGGCCATTTCAGGTCGTAGCGTTTTGCCCCCAAAATCCCCCAAAATGTCATTTTACCTCGTATATATCCAAATGTAAATTAGGCCTAGGCTATAATACATCGGTTCCACTTACTAACTTGATTGAAATAATCCGTTTAATGGTCCCTTTTAAGGAAATTATGGGTCAAAATCGATATCCATGTTGAAAATCTTGCAAGCCGTGTTAAACTCTCGCTGCCGGAGTCATCTAAATCAATCTCATCCCTTCTAGTCTACGCCGAAGGCAAAATGATTATGAAGGAAAAACTGTGCGCCATCTACACGTTCGTAATGGCGTTATTACAGTTTTTCCTTCATAATCATTTTGCCTTCGGCGTAGACTAGAAGGGATGAGATTGATTTAGATGACTCCGGCAGCGAGAGTTTAACACGGCTTGCAAGATTTTCAACATGGATGTCGATTTTGACCCATAATTTCCTTAAAAGGGACCATTAAACGGATTATTTCAATCAAGTTAGTAAGTGGAACCGATGTATTATAGCCTAGGCCTAATTTACATTTAGATATAGATCTATAGACTACGAGGTAAAATGACATTTTTGGGGATTTTGGGGGCAAAACGCTACGACCTGAAATGGCCGTGGCGTTATCAAGGGAATGTGTATAGACGGTTTCCGTCTCTAAAGAGAGAGCCGGCCGACCCTACCCCAATAAGAGGCTAACAAACGAAAGAGACGGAAAATTCGGTCTACTGAAAGGGATAACCATTCATCACCAACAAACGTGCCGCTGGCTGCCGACGCCCTAGCTTCGCTGGCATGGCCTTGCTTGCACTGCACTGGCCACTGACTGTAGCGTTATAATTTATACTTGCCAATAATGGAACTGTTTGTCACCGGTCGCATTCAGATATCCCGAATATTGCTTGAAAGGTGGAGCTCCAGCAGGAATACCAGGTAATGTGAGTACTTCATCTGGAGTATAGGCAGCAAAACATGATGCTACCAGGACGAAAATGGGTAAAATTCGACAAAACATTTTGCTTTTGTTGATGTGTAGCGTCTAACGTGAAGAAGTCACCTGACTTTTATTTTGTCCGCGAGTAGTCTTTGATTAATACAGAACGAAATAAACATTACATCTAAGTCAAATCATTTCGCGAGAAAAGAATATACATGATAGATTGACCGAAATATTGTGGAAATACTTAAATGTTGTAAATAATTATTTTTAGTCTATATGTATACCTGCATATATTTTGTGTAATCAGTTGAGCAAAAAATGACATATGAATTAAAACATATTCAATATTTAGACATATTTAAGGCTAATGCACTTTTCTTGAAACTAAGGCGCAATATTCATAATGAATGACATCAACAAATTTAGGAAGTTGCAGGAATTTTTGGGTTTTGTCAAGGAAATTTAAGGACATGAGATAATTCCAGGAAATAGAAGACACATCAATTAGAAATTCAAAACAATTTATGGAATACGGTACTCTAAAAAGTGAAAAATTTCTCTCCCTAATTAGTAATTTGTTCAGCTTTATACCAAGATATAATCACCCATCTCCTCAATCTATTCTTTAATATTTTTGGATAAATTATTTTCTCCATTTCTTCCCCATCACTCTCTCTCTCTCTCTCTTTCTCTACCTAATTCTGTTTCCCTCAAATCAGCACATTTCCAAGACTTTTTCCCTAGTTCTCTATCTCGTTTTCTCCGACAATTTTTATTGTGCTCTTAATCTCTCAATACCACTTTCTTTAACTAATTTGTCTCCCATGTCCCTTCTCATTCGTTTTATTACACAATTGTCTTTTCTTTTTTGGGTTCATTTCTTATCATATGCCTCTCCTATCACTCCTAATCCCGATTTTCTCTTTTCTTTCCGAATATTCACAACTTATGTTCATGCCTCTCTTACTCCTCCTTTCATTCTCCACTAGGACTTCAGTATATACATGTACCTCAACCACAACGGCCATCACAAGATTGTCAACAGACCAAATTGAAAAGTCACACTGACCCTCAAATGGCCAAGAAATAGGCCCCGTTTCACAATTATTATAAGCTACTTAAATCCTTGCATTTAATTGGCTGTGAGCAGATTTGGCATAGATCTGTGGCAGTTATTATTGATATCAAGTTTTGTGAAACGGGCCCTGGTCAGTGAGGAGTCACTTTGACAGTGTGACCGAGTATCTCTCTTTCATCTCTACTCTCTCCTTCTCCTGTTCTGTCATTTTTCTATCAACTGTATTTCATCCACACCTTCTCACTTCTTATTTCTCATTCATTTTTTACAATTCTCATTCAAATCAAAAGAGGTATAATCATGAGAATTCTCCATGCCATCACATACACATGAAAATGTTTAAAATGTTAAAACACTGCTAAGTTTCACGAAACCATAAAAAGTACAAGTTCCCCAAAATCCCATTGAATAATGTTTTTAATTTAAAACACGCATTTCAATGGGTTGTTGGTAAACTTGTACTTGTGACAGTTTCATGGAACGCTGCCTCGATTCCTAATCATACTCGTACTTATCCAAACACAAATGACACTAATAAAGAAAACATGAGTTTGAGTCAGTTAAGGAGAGCACTGCCTGAGCGGTCTTTATCATAATAATCCATCTAACGGGGGGAAATAAAATGAAAAACATGACAATCCCGCAGAAGAACTCGACACAGAGTTAATGTACATAAAATATAGTCAACATTGCATAAAATATCCTTCACAAAGTACACTCCCATAGCAACCTCTTTCTGATCAATCACATTCCATTATTAATACAGACATTCCAAAAGATTTTATTACTCTAAATTTATATCAAATTCAATGGAAAAATCCAACAAAACCTGGGATACAAGGCGTCAAAAAATTAGATTATTACTACCATGAGGGGTATTAATATTATTATTGAAACAAACAAAAAATCTCCATTGTTTTTCTTACAAAAATTGAAGACACATGCGAATTTCATACATACCGTACATGAAGTATATTAGTGTTTTTGTTATCTTACAAAGTCTTGGCAAGGGGCTACATCACATCTCTGCCACATCTAACACAAAACTAAACTAATCGTTGTCACCTCACTGCAAAAATGAATAAAAAGGCCCATTTACAATCTGGTTCAAATATCTAATATTATTTTGTAAAATAAGAAAGATAGTGTAAATGGACCTAAAGTCGAGCCTTAAGCAGAGTTTATCAAAGACATTTTATTAACGCGAAAATTTGCATGTTTGTAGATATTTATGTAAGGAACAAGATGGTATAATTAGTTTTTCCCTAATATGCAAATTTTTGTCGTTATAGCCTAATTAATTATGCAAAATGCTAATTTTATGCATTTTACAGAAAACTCTACATATTTGTCCATAGACTTGTGAAGAATCTTGAAAATGTATTGAATAAATGTTTCCTTCATCTCAAATTCATGAGGTTTCATTATTTTTATGATATTTGAAAATGCATAGGTTAATTTGCATAAATTATGAATACGCAAATTACGCATTCATGAATATCTAATCTGGAAATATACAGGGAACTAGAATCATCACAAAAATTGTCAGACTCCACTTTTGTAATGTTGAAACTCATTATCCATATGAAACTTCTTTTCTAACATAAAATAGTTATTTGATGTAATTAATAATGATAATTTATGCAAATTTGATGCGATTTTCAACTTTTTATTTTCTTATGTATTTCATTGTTTTTTTTTTGTAATTATATCTATTGTTTTATTTCTAATGTATTCTTTTGTTCTGAAATACATCAAGTTACTTTGAGAAACATATAAAAGCAATTTGATATCAATTCATATCTTCACATTTCTGCTTGTACATGAATATATGCAATTATAGCCACTTTTTTGATGACATGCGCATACTAATTGTTATGTAACACCTTACAGGTATATCCGATTTCGACGAAAATGGTATCAAAATGTACGTAAGACTTGAGGGAAAAAAGTCTTGAAACCACGATTCGAAATTCCGAGCGGTTGCGGCGCAATCTCCGAAAATGTCGAGGGGGGGGGGGGGGCCTCCCAGGCCCCCCCCCCCCAGTACAGTAAGTAAGGGTTAAAGGAATAAAAAGGCAAGTAGGTTTAGTCCTGATCTGGGGAATTGATTCAATTTTACACCTTTATATTGTATTAACAGTGACTTGGCTACAAATATACATACTGGTAAGGCCACACATCACTTGTGCGGTGTACATTAGCAGATTGAAAGGGGAATGGAAAAAAGATAATTTTATTATAGAAAGACTAGCTGATCACAGCAGGACTTTCTACAAAGACTGGCCTACATAACAAAATGATCTCTTTACAATGAGGGTATGTACTATGTACTAACGATGTTCTTTACAATGAGGTTCCAATTAATGTCTACACGAATGCCCATGTCACGCAATACCACACAATATACACATACAATACAGGGGGGCTCCTAACTGGTACATTTTGCAGTGAGGCAAGAAGTAGAAATCAGTTCAGTCATATTTGACCCTTGACAGTAAACTGCCCATACAAAATGAAATCTAACAACACACACACAACCCTGACATAAAATAAAATAAAATTGCATTCTGTCTATCGATTCTGTTTTATCTCTGACTAATAATCAAGCGGTGATGATTTCACACATTCAACATACAAACTCACGAAGCACTATTCACTGGAGAAGACTTACTACACATTCAATACTACTGTAAATCACCACATCAAAAAACCAATTGCGCGAGCCCCTCGTGCCCATCTTTTAAAATGACAAAATCGAGCACAGGGGGCATCGGAACAACCTGACAGACTTTCCATGCTGTCTATGATAAAATGACTACTTTTCTGTATAAAAATATGATTAACAATTTTATTAAACAATGGCAGTCAGTCAGTACGTCATTCTCGAGCTCTCGGGGTTAAAAAGAGAGAGCGAGTTGAACCATATTGGCTGCTACTTTTCCCGCACTTCTAAGCTTTTCACGGATCTTTACAGATTTCAGGTTCCTACACACATTACAACTTTCTTTCATATCACTTGACAATTTTTTCTCCATTTTGCATTTCATTATTCTGTACTGGTCGATTAGGTGGGTGAGAATCACAAACAGAATGTATGCACCTAACGCGGATTCCCTGAAACATTTGGTCTTACTCCTACGCTCACAACCTGATTGCCGACACACAAAACATACAGATAAAATGCCCATGGCTTAGTTACTAAAATCATAAATTTCTAATGAATTAAAATCAAATTAAATCAAATTCATGCAATAGCAACAAAGACAAGTCAGAATTTTAGACATGCCTGAAAAATTATTCATAAAATCAAACATATCATGTGGAGAAAAAAAAAGTGAAGACTAGGCAACATAAAAATATACTTCAGCAACAAAATGCAAAATAGTAATATCTGTAAATAATAATGCATATTAAATCAATACGAACCGTTCGATTCTTACGTCAGTAAAATGAACTTTTCGTAGAGCCTCACCGATTGTAAACGCATAAATACTTCAAAATGCATGAAAATAAAAATCATAAAATCATCTCTTAATAAGGCAGGATATTTGTCATTGAATACTCTTCTCTGCCATACATAGCTTCACCAGCCCTTTGGTTTGCAGATCTATCATAACCTTCATCATTCAATTATTCTTTCAGACTGGAGTTCATGGAATCTTCCTCTTAGCAATTTTAACAATTCATTACCAGTGTTGATGGAAATGCAGATTAGAAAGGAACAGACCTCTGCGACGATGAAAGACTCGAGAGGGGCATCTCTTACGCTGGGGGGGGGGGGGGCTTACCGATAATGACTTGCTGAGCAGCTCTTAGGTTGAACTTCATTCAGTTATACATTTTCAAAAATGCATCTTGCAAAAATCGCTATTTACATCCTGGTTTGTCTAAATATTTCCAAAAAATTCATTAATTTCTCCTAAAGTCAACTTCTTATAAAGGCTGCATGTTACAAACATATGAACCTTTGCCCCTTAAAATTTATTAGTAAATTTAAAATTTGTCAGTAAGATGTCGACGTCATCAATTCATAATGCACCCACCCCTGGCTGTATCAGGCAAGTGTTTCATCAAAAAATGTTATTACCCCCATGGACTTTTCTGGAGATGTGGAACTCTCGAGTCAACTTTCATCTTGTAAGCTATCCTAATTCAAAAACACTTGGTGAAACTCTTGGCTTTGCAAGTTTGCATATCGCTTTCTCAATACTTTCGTGGAATGCTAACCTTTCCTTCTCACACACATTTCAATAGCCATCACAACCTACAACGATGTTCAACCAGTTGGAATTTGTTTACATGTAGTACCAGCAGACCGGCATGTCCAAATTATTGAGTTCATTTGCATCATGGAATAATTTGTTTACACCCATGGAGTAGAGTTGAGATTTTAAATGCAACTTCCGTTTCCTTTCTCAGACAGTGATGCATGTCGATAGGCCCGTACCCACAGCTGGATAAAACTCTAACTTGCTGCATGATTTTTGTTGATGTATTAATATATTAGTGCACAGAAGATGTACACCAACAAGTTCACACAGATAGTACGGTCTTAACAAGCCATGAGAGCTCTCCCGGCTCTGCAATGTGGACAGACTCGGAGGCATTCCAACATGTCTGCTTGATTTCTGTGACAGGTATCCACTTCTACACTTTTTATCTCAAACCCCATAAATCCTTCTTCACTTTGTTGAATGATAGAGATGGAGGAAATTGTGATTGGTTGTATGTAGTAACAGTCAAAAGTGGTATTTATCTCCTACGAGCCAGGTTTCTTTCTCTCATTTCCTGTCCTTAACCTCTCATCATTCTAAGAAATGGCAGCAGATTCTTGCCCTCTCGGCCGTAAAAAAGTCACTTGACTCCGTTCAGAGCCAACACAGTAGCCCCAATCAAGCCTATGACATTATTTGCTCATTTTCACACTGACATCATATTATCAAAATGAAATAAAAAATTCCTTGAAAAAGACTCGGCTAAAAAACATCATGATCATCTTACACAACCATTGGTACTGACAGTATTCACCAAGTACCTACTGCAAACTAATCCTGAATCAGACATGTGTAATCAACTTATCTAGTAAATCACAGACAAAAAAGATCAAAAATAAATCTTAGAAAGCACTTGCCAGAACAAATCAATCATGAAACGCATTTCATTATAACAATTAGTCTCATAGTATGACTTGATAAGGTATCATGTACATGTTTGATGATAAAGATATAGTGCTGATACATTATCCTATTAAGATATCGACCAAGTGAACAGGTGATTCTGTATTACTGCATTTGTGCAAACTGCTCCACGAGCTCGGCAGCTGAGAACAGAACACCGAGTTGAACAAAACAATATAACCGACACCAAACTACATGGTAAGGTGATAGCAGTTGGTGCTTTGTGAATACTGTCAGTACTTGTTCCTAGAGTTTAAATACGGGGAGGGATGAAGTTAAAACTAGGATTAAAATACAAAGTCTGCTCCAGCCATGTCAACGGCCCATCGGAATTTGTCTCGTTGAGTTTTGTTGTACACCTTCTCGATAGGCACATCCCATTTCTTGGTCCTGTCATGAGAAAAAGGAGAGAATTATGTGTAAATAATCGTGGCTTCTACTATCCTAGGCCCTGTTTCATAAAACTTCTTATCAATAACAAGTTACGATACCTGTTATAAGCTACTGAAATCATGGCATTTGATTGGCTGAGAACAAGTTTGTCATAGAAATGTAACATTTCATGATTTGTATTGATAACAAGCTTTATGAAACAGGACCCTAGAGTACCATCATTAGAAGACCACAGGTAACATAAAAACACAATTCCTTACCCAGTGCTACATTCTTCACTACAAACACACACAAAATATTAGCATCTTCATCACCACCATCTTCATAATCATCCCTTTTATCTTGCCTGCCCTAGTTATTAACCATTTAGTAAGGAAAACCATAGGCATCACACTTTTGAACGATCCTTTATATTTCAAAGATAACCATGTGCCTTGGTAGCCCACGAGCACCACCACTAAAATGTTTCTTTGCATCATCATCAAGACATTAATCTACATTTGCCACTCTCCACCTAGGTGAAGTAAATAATTACCCCGGTTGTAGCTGATATGATACTCTGTATTTAGTGCAGTAGAGTATATTCATACAGAAGCTACGCATTATAAATGGACCTATTATTATCATTATCATCTCAGAAGTTTTCTACCACCATCATCCCAGAACCATCTATACACAGAGTTTGGCCAACCTGGTTCGGGTTGGACACAATATGGCGACTACTGCTGTGTTGGGCAAGCACAAAACAAAAGAATATATGCCATGTTGTGACCCAGTGAAACCAAGTTGGCCAAACTCTGTGTATATATGGCTCTGCATCATCCACATGTAGGACTCTTCCTCTCATTATTTACCATGCCACCGATATCCTAGGATCCAAGTAGTTGAGCTTGGAGGTTCCCAAGGCGATCTCCTTGTTCTCCTCCTTGTCTGTAGCTTTCATCTCCAGCTTGGCAAGCTGCTCCACCAGACGCTCTACCTGCTTCGCTTTCTTCTCCATAGCCCTGTCAAACCGAATCACAAAAATTGTTAGATTATATCAAGCATTAAAGATACTATGTCCCTTATTGGATGTAAGCTACTGCCAAAAATAAAATTACTGAAATGCACTGGGTAAAGATACAAAATGTGTTACAAGAAAAAGAAAAAAAAGCACAAGTTCATTTAGGGAAAGACTTTGGAAAGTAATCAATTCTTTGTTAACTTTAGCATCCAATATTTCAGCACACAGTGTTTGGCAGAACGGATATGCCAGACGAGTCAAAATACTAGAGTATGACCATTGAACTTTAGCTCTTACATTGTACCGATGATGTTCTTTTTTTTCTAGACAAAACTCTTTTAAACAAATTTTACATGAGCTATACTTGATTGGTAACATAGCAGGCCCAAAGGTAGGGTGACTATTCTAAGATTAAATCAGAGAATTGTTGATTCAAGTATTGAAATTCTTTTGGCAAAGGAAGCTTGCACCCTTTATCTAAGCCTACTCACAATTTCAACTTCTCATTGCGGCTGTTCTTGTACTCGCTCTTGATGGCCTTGAGCCCCTTCTTAGCTTCCTTGATGTCGAGATGCTTCTTGTCAATCTTCTCCTGGAGGTTCTCCATCTGCTTGTCGAAGGTCTTGGGGGCAGCGCGCTGATGGTTACACAGGACTGCCACGGCACGGTTGGCACGGTTGTAGGAGAGCATCTTAGCAGTGACAGAGTCATCAGCTGAGATGGAAGAAAGGGAGAAAATTATGAACTAATCGGTCGGTTGGTGTTCAGAAAAGTGTGCTAATTTTAGTCCAGGTTTAAACCTCAACTAAACAGATAGTATTATCCCACTCAAGTAGTGAGTGCCGAATATCAACTTCTTTGACCTTGTGACCTTTTACCTCTTCCACCCAAAATCTAATCAGTTCACTCTTGCATGCTCATACATACTCCATCCGAGTTTAGTTAAATCCGTACAATGGTTCTCGAGATATCACCAACATTTTTTTAAAACAAAAAGCGGGACGGATGGACGGACAGACAACCCAAGAACATAATGCCTCCGGCACTACCTTCAATGGCATAAAAATGTGACCCTTCAAAGTTTATCTGTAACTATTTGTGGGCAAAAGAGGGAGTTAGGAGGAGTCCATACCATCTGTAAGCTCGACCAGTTGGTTCTGCAGAGTGGAGGATGCGTTATACGTCCTGAAGACCTTGGCAGTGAGACCCTCCATCAGCTCCTGCAGGTACTTGTTGAGGATACTGGTGTTGAGACGATCAAACAGGTTGTCCTCTCCCTTCTTGTTCTCTGTGAACAGCTTCAGATTCTTGAAGACCTGTCACATGGAAGAAGGAAAGGGCGTTTTTTTCTAGATTGCTGAAACTCTTTTAGATATCAAGATCTATCTAAAGCCTCGGTCACAAATGCCATCACGAACTGCTACGAACATCGTACCAACGATTTTCAGACAATGGAAATTTGGAAAGACAATGGAAAAACAGGGAGATTTGTACAAAATTATTGTTCGTATGAACCTTTGTGACCGTAGCTTTAAGCTCAACAGTTTACCACTAATAACAAAAGAATTTTGTGTGGTCTTGTAAATACATACGGTCTATTGCAAAATTATTACACATATCTGGAAGTTTCATAAAAAGGCTTACAAATATTAGGGGGAATACACTTCATCAAGACGGGAGATCATAGCAGAACATAGAATTATGATATCAAAGTAGAAACAAAGCATGATATATTGAATGGGCCTACAAAGTTGAAGTTCTACTGCTCAAAGGATTTCTGAAATTCTTGCTACTGAATCATTCACACATTCATGTTTGGACATTTGGCATCGCAAAGAACACTTGAAGAAAATTGGCATTAAATACCAAAACAAAACAAAAATGAGAAAAGAAGCTACTCACCCTCTTCTCCACAGGGACAGAGTTCTCGTACCTGATCGAATCTTTACCCAAGAAATCAAACTTGACCACAAATTCCATGCCATCCTGCTCCTCATACAGCTGAATGTGCTCCACTCTCAATGAACAGCAACCAACAGTATCGGCCGTCTCTCCTTCCTCTTTCTCATTACCAGCTCTCAATGCAAGCTGATGTTATTGGAGAGGGAAAAAAAGAAGATAAGTGAAAATATAGACATAACATACATAACTTTACTAACTTAAGAGATGTTTTCTACACAGCTAGAGAGATGAATCACCGTTATTAGACCATGTGGATAGCCGGGTGTAGACCATATGGGAATAGACTGATTGGGTGGTAGACGAACTGGTTGTAGACCAAACGTCAATTCACCTGCCTGTTGTGGCTTTGACGTGCTAGGGAAATGTGCAAGTCTACCAGCAAACATCGTAAATATTTAATAACATCTGATATTTATAAAACTTACATGATACATGAAGTCAACTTGTAGCCTTTCAAACATAAAATTTTCTTCTTTTTATCGAGCATTTATATTATGCAAACCTGAGATTACCAATTTTTTTTCCTCCATTGCATTCTACAGAATATTGCAGTGCATCATTACTCCCATAGCAGTGGCTAAGTGTTTGGGTTTACCTTGTCGATGAAGTACAAGGCAACGGCACGCTGTCTGACCCTCATTTCCTTACTCTTCCAGTCCTCTCGATACTCGTTTCGGATCCTGTCCACCGATTCTTTGAGCTTCCTTGCCGTTTCATATTTGGCCCAATCCTTCTCACCCTGTCAATGAAAAGTAAAATTTTGATCACAGTAAGTGACTTGGCCAATTTAGAAATTTTGTGAAATTACTTCTTCTGTCTGTAAGCAAATAAGCGTGATTGTGAGATAGAGCCAAAGAAAGGTACTACTCTTTATTACAAAAACAAAAAAAGTGTTGCAAAATTTTTAACTGAGTATTTCTTAGGATTAAATGCTACAAAAGCAATTAACAGCAACAGGGTCCAACAGCCACAAGTCCTATCCCGAAAACTAGGTCGACAAATGCTGATGCCTAACCAATGACATCCAAATCATGACATGGGTCTTGAACATTGGACCTTCCAGTTCTAAGACCACTGCTCTGTCAACCTAGACATACTCCCTCCAAGTGATATATTGTCATTTGAGAGCCATTAGGGCGTTAACTATGTGTAAGAGGATATGAGGATATTTATGGGAGGGGGAGGGGGCAATGACAGCTAGAGTACGTGGCTACACCACTTAGTGTTTTCCTCTATCAACCTAGACACACCGATTCTCAAAAGATATACAATGAGTTAAGAGCCAAAAAAGCATTTACTCTGTATCCATCTCAGCAATTGATAATACAAAGTTAAGTTTACAGATACACCAAAGAAGAGCCTCTTACCTTTATTCTTGAGCTGGGATTCAACATGACATACTTGATAGCTCCTTGGATATTCTCAGTCCATGAAGCTAGCCAGGTCACTGAGTTCTCATGGATTACCTTCTTCCATTTGTGACCTTCAGGCGGAATCGGCCATTTTGAGTCCCTGTGAAACAAAGAAGAAGAAATTAGTTTTTCTTTCAGTAAAAAGAGATAGAAGTAGTTATTGATCTCATATTTAGTTTCCATCAAAACGTCTTTCAATAAACCCTTAGTGTGTATTTGTGTACCATGTCGAAAGGCCTGCTGGAGACCCAACAACTAGACTGTTTGAATTAGACAACTTCTGACCATACACATACACAAACGACAATATATAATTCAAACAAGCTAAAAAAAAAAACAGTCCTTCAAAACCATTCATTATGGCCAATTAATCAATTTACACCAAGGCAAGAGGGCATCCAAAAGAAACCCATTTCCTGTGGTGGAAAGGATGCTCTATAACTTCATTTTTTTAACTCACATCGTTCAACAGAACCTTATTTTCAATTACCACACCCAACTTTGAAATCCTGGGTACAAGCCTGGACTAAGGGTAAACCAATACCTATCGAGAACCCCTAGTACACTCACTTGCTACAGTTGATGATGACATCTTCAGGTCCTATCCTCTTCTTGAGCTGGCCTTGTTTGGGATGCTCCCCGCGACCTCGGAACAAACTCGGGGGCTCCACCCTGAAGTTGCCGATCTTCTCCTTGTGACCGTCAAAGGAGCAGAAGCCATACTCCTTCTGGATCTCCTCATTCTTCCTCTTGTTTTCCTGCAAGAGAAGAATAAGAAATAAATATGATATCATATCAACACTCGCTAACTACAAATCCAATAGAGTACTGAAGCTGTGACGTCATAAAAATATATTTTTGGAATTTCTCAATTTTTTCTTCATTTTCCAAAAGAGCATCAAAAATAATGTCCATATGTCGAAAACCAATTGAATTTGTTAAGTATTGGCTGAGATATGACCAACTGAATGAATAGATTTCCTATAGGAACTCAGTGTTATATTGCTCTGGCTCGTAATGTTATGAACCAGAGCAATATAACACTGAGCTTCCAAAGGAAATCTATTTATTCAGATGGTCATATCTCAGCCAATACTTAACCTATTCAATTGTACATTATTTTTGATGCTCTTTCGGAAAATGAAGAAAAAATTGAGAAATTCCACAAATAGATTTGTGACGACGTCACACTTCACCACTCTATAGGTATTTGCATGACAACTTCTTTCTTGAATGTCCATTCCAAAAGTCAAGGAAAGACGGAGGACAATCAGGGTCTAAATGAGTGCCAAATCCATGGGTCAAAGATCAATGAAGAAGAAAAACTATCAACTAGGACTTTAGACTTCCAAAGGTGTGGGTGTCAGGGTTGGCATATTTCCCGCTTCGGATTTCCAGTATTTACCGCTTTTTACCAGGAAATATCGGAAAATATATATTTCCACTCACTTGTTCATAGGGATTGTCCAATTTTGAACATAATAACAATGGTGGTGAGTATGGTTGCTCTGGTGTGTACTATTTGTGTATGTATGTTGTACATCTATGTGTGTATGTGTGTTGTACATGTGCGTGTGTTTGGGTGTGTACATGTATGCAGTGTGGATTTTATAAATCTGTTTGTGTGTTTCTACTATGAGTGTTGTGCTGCTAATTATTTCAGAACAACATTTTCAGTTGTTAAGGTTAAAAAAAAATTAAATTATTAATAAATAAAGAATTAAAATCATATTTCCCGTTTTTTACATATATACCCAACGCCCATCTTATTTACCAGACGGTATTTACCGCCCAACCCTGGTGGGTGTGGTTGCTGTTTCAGTAATGTGTTCATAAAAGGCAGCTCTGACAAATGTTAGCGTAAACAACATTGCTGTTTGAGAATTGGAAAAGTCAACATTTTATATCCTGACCCTACCAACAACAAAAATTTATTTGAAGCCCATCAATTTCTTTTGCCTTGAACGAGGCTTTAGCACTGTGTTTATGCATCGAGATACCTAGTTCATACACTGAAGCAGAACTGTACCACTCACTTGTTTCTCTTCTTTGCTCATAGCTTTCCTCTCCTCTGATTTCCTCTGATAATAGGCATGAATTTGCTTGAAGTTGCACTTTTTCATATCCTTGATAATGGCTTTCTCCTCATGGGTCATCACCTAGGGTGCAATATAACAAAAAAAATGGTAAAGCATTTGTAAATGAACGTCATTGAATGCACAAGGCAACATCAATATACTGCATTCATCATTTTGACTAATTATGGGAAAATTTGATATATCAAAGCAGATATCAAACAAAATAATGGTTATCTGACTTTTTCATATTCTATAAATTGCTGATTACCAAAAATCTTTTGGAAACAAAATATCTCGAGTGGTCATATCCGAAATGTTTTAAGTAACAAGATTGTTAAAAGGATTTTCACTAGAATCACAAATTTTAGATAGTAATACCAGCTTCCAGTGTAATTGTCATGAAAGAGGTCTGCGTAGCATCTCAATCATGAATCTCATGGAGGTGATCATGCGAGTTCTATGATTTCCCCTATGACCATGCTCAAGTGTCATAACTATCTCTCTCAATATGCTATGACCATGCTCAAGTGTCATGACTATATCTCTCAATAAGCTATGACCATGCTCAAGTGTCATAACTATCTCTCTCAATACGCTATGACCATGCTCAAGTGTCATAACTATATCTCTCAATATGCTATGACCATGCTCAAGTGTCATAACTGTCTCTCTTAATATGCTACGACCATGCTCATGTGTCACAACTATCTCTCTCAATATGCTATGACCATGCTTATGTGTCGTAACTATCTCTCTCAATATGCTATGACCATGCTTATGTGTCATAACTATCTCTCTCTCAATATGCTATGACCATGCTCAAGTGTCGTAACTATCTCTCTCAATATGCTATGACCATGCTCAAGTGTCATAACTAATCTCTCTCAATATGCTATGGGTATCATACCTTCTTCCAGTCCCTATAAAAGTTGTTATTAAAGACATCTTTGGTAGTGTAGTCATGTTCAATCATCCTGGCATAGAATCCGGCCACTTCCTCAGCCTCTTCACTAAGTTTCATCTCCTCTCCTAAAAAACAAAACGAGCGATTTGAAGTACAGCAATGTTAAGGATCTCCACATCTAATAAACCTCTGCCCCAAGATAACAGATCATATCATAACAAAGTAGATTATTCATTAGTCTGGGAAAGAGGGCAAAAGATGTTTTACGTACATTTTTGCTTTCCATTACCTCCCTGGTATACAGTGTTACATGTATATGACACTACTTTGGGATAATATAGAGTTTTTAAACCTAACGTCTTCACAAACACTTTGCTTTTGTACAGGTGTGCATTGAGAAGCACTGTTAAACGGTACAAACAGATGACAGATTCTACAACACATATCTAGAGGGAGATAAAAATACATGGCCACTATAGACAGCTGGCCACTATAGACAGGTGGCCACTACGACAGGTTTGACTGTACATCTAAGCACCTCCTGCTGATTTACTACACCTCCCTCCAATAGACCGGTTTGCTAACATATTCAAATTCATGGATGTATCTTTCCTGGGGACCTAGTGACAAGTTATTCCATTGACCTGTTATCAATGAATGAACCACAACACTTGGAATCTAGTCTGCATACATAATTCTTGCTATGTTGGCAAACCTCAGGCAAGCTTTCTCATTGTCAAGAACAACCTTTGTTTAAAAGGTATGCATACAATTATAATAAGTTAGTAAAACAGTCTATTGAACCATGTCAACTACTAAAACAAAGTCAATTATGAAAAGAAAGAAAGAAAAACAATAACAAAACATTTTGTTCTTATTTAACACTTCAAAAGAAGTTTGGAAGACAAATGATGACAAATAATTATCATAATTTGTCTTCTCAACTTCTCTTATTTACCATCATAGAAGAATTTAACACTGCTAGGCAGGGGTTCATATGGAGGGGCGAACAAGGGTCCTGTGTGCTCCAGGAACATCCATTTGACTCCCTCAGGATGTGGGGTCTCCTTCCACCTGTAAGGATAAGACACAGTTGGTCAGTCAAAAAATAGTCCGATCTTATATAGTGCTTTTCAGGACCGCAGGCCCTCTCAAAGCACTTTACAGATATATATTATTACCCCGGTCATTAGATTTAGGCCTACCTGCACACAATGTATGCACATGCTCCACTCCCTGCGGAGCATTTCAGCAAGGCGTCATTTTTACAAGCGCACACTTGCATCCTGCCGGATACCCATTTAACACCTGGGTGGAGAGTGGCAAATAAAGATCAATGTCTTGCCAAAGGACATTAGTGCCGCGGCGGGACTTGAACCACGGACCTTGTGATCCACAGTCCGGTGACATATCCACTTGACCACGACAAAATGGTTTTCTTAAGTTGATGGGAAAACAAGTCGGATTTTAACTCTACTAGCCTAGAAAGAGTCCTAAATCTGTTTCATTTCACTTACCATTCCCAAACCTCTTGTTTTTCTTCCTCTTTCTTCTTCCTTCCTCCTCCCTTTTCCTTCTTCACCTCTACCTTTGCTCCTCGACCCGTCTTCGCTTTGGAACGACTAGTATCCTTCTTATCCTTCTTGTCTTTCTTGGTGTCCTTTGATTTCTTCTTCGATTTTGTTTTTTCCTCCTTCTTTTGCTTGGCCTGTAAAAAAACAAGCAAATAAACAAAGAGCATTAAAGCCCCACTGCACTAGTTTGACCAGGAGGGATTAGACCTTCCTGCATGGTCACTGACAGGTGGTTATCTCATCAAATCAGCTCTCAATTAACATAAGAAAAAGGGGATCATGGGGGACCAATGGTCACCGATTAGGCATTGTTTGCTATATAGAGGGCGCAATTAGCTTTAAGTAGTGCAGTGGGGCTTTAAAGAAGTAAAAGCAAGAGCTCAAGAAATTGTGGAGGCACAACTTTTCATAAACGGCTAAGAAATATTCTGGAGGGATCATGAAATCAAACGATGGGTAAAATTGTAAATACACATGCAAACTCTATTTTTTGTTTGAGACGTTCAATTCTTCAGGTTTCAAATCAGGGACTCTGTTCCGGTCTGAGTGATTGCTTCATTAACTAGCATAATATATGTATTCTACAAAAAATCCATGGACAATTACTGTAAACTGCTTACAAGAGACAAAATTGTTCATTAGGAGTATAGTCCAAAAGGAAAGGTCACGTAAAACCTTAAAGTGACTCGGTACCATTGTTGAAGGTTGATGCAAAAACTGTAATTTCTGTATGAAATGTTACTTATTATATTCCTTCTACTGTACTAACCCTTTAACATGCAAAAAATCCTGAACAAATTCTCAAACCACAAAGATATTTATGGTTTTTTTTTTAAGGCATCACTGTACGACAGACATCCTCAAACAGTATATTCTCCCAACATTTTTGAATTTTCCCAACTGTTTTTCCATGAATATAGGACATAAGACAGGCTTTAAAAAATCTTTCAACACTTAAATGTCTGGAATGGTATATAGAGCCAATTCATTGCATTGCATTGATTTACATTCACCTAAAATGTAATCAAATTGTAATAATATAGATTGGGAGAATTAAGGAATTGATCAGATCAGTTTGTCCCAATTGTTCTCATTAATAATAGTTTGTTCCTCTAATTGTACATCTAGCATTGAAGTCACAACCTTAGCACCATTTTCTCTCATCTAAACAATGTTACTGATCAAATCCTACATACCAAAGGTTTGTAATCATCCTCCTCATCCTCTTCCCCTGCACTGTAGTCCTCCTCGCTCTCATGGTGTTTCCTCTTCTTGCTGGAGCTCTTCTTGACAGGCTCCTCGTGCTTCACCTTCTTAGCTGACCCTTTCCTGAAAATAAATGTTTAGGAGAGCAGATTATGAAGAAGAAAAATTACCTCTGATGCTTTAACAGTACTGGTAACGGAAATGAATCATCAATTTCTAAGACAAATGTATCCATGCCCACATGCATTGCCAACTGTCTATTGATCAATTTCAACCAGACATACTATGGAAGTAGACCTAGGTTGTTTCTGTTAGAGGGAAATAAATGCAAACTTATCAGAAATAAACGATGGCTTTTGGGATATAAAGGAATTCAAATATAATATAAATCAAGAATTTCAATCAAACATAAAGTTGTAATTCACCAAAAAGAACATAGGACTAAGGAATATTCCTGTATAATTTGTCCTTTACATAGTCCATTTGAATTGGCATCCTACAAGTACCGAGCATGTTTAAATCACTAGATATTAGTTATATATGCGGTCATTACCAACACTTGGTCATCAATGATCACCTTACCTTTCAGACAGGGGGACATCATCCTCCTCATCATCTTCCTCCTCATCATTTTCAGCATAACGTGGCCTCTTGGTTGATCTCCTTGACTCCGACTTGACGTTGTCATCAAACCGCTGGTTCTGTGTGATAGAAGAGAAGAAAAAAAAAGTTGTATTTATTAGGATTTAGGAAGTGAATCTTAAATTCTGTTTAGATCAGCTTCAATTGTCAATGGAGTATTTATTAGTAATGTTTCATTACAAACAAAAATCAGAAGATATAATTAAAAAAGATGATTTAAAAATAAAAATCTTGAAGTGCAAATGATAATGATTTTTTGCCTCCCAAACACACAAAAAGGGCATAAGTACATACTGAGCTTATGGATATTGGTTATTAATAAGATTTGCACAGGTGTTACACAAATGCATACATTTGATACCGAAGGCACTCAAACAGTGCTTATCAGTATAATCTGCAGAGTAGAACATGTCCATTGACAGAGTGAACTGAAACTTTGACCTGGACTGTGCATGCAGGAATGCCACCGGGTGCTGCTTATTGCATTTCAACTTTACATGAACTACATGAAGTGTTGATTGGCATGATAACTCAACTCTATGCTGTCAATAAATTTTGCAGACATGTACATGTATGGATGCACACAAGGCAACTTTGTAATTCCCTAGAAAATAAATATATTAGAAAATGTATAAGTCACAAAGCAATTTAAAATTTTGAATTCAAAGGCTTGCTTTAAACCTGCACAACTGAAGTTGTTTGGTATAGGGCTTAACTTACTATCCAAGTCTCAGTAAATGGAACATATATCTCTCATTTACATATTCATATTTGTTACTAGTAAATGTTAATTATAACAAAATAAAAGAAATGAGGGGACAAATCTTTTTATCTAGAAATACCATTTTATTTTTTTAGACATTCTAGAACAATAAAATGTCAAATTAATAAAGCTTCCAAACTTACCAAAGGTACATCATCATCATCATCATCTCCTCCTTCTTCCTCACTCAAAGACTCTTTTTTCAAAGATTTGACAGGGCTGCTAGAACAAAAATTTAGAAGATAATGCAGGAAATACTTTCATCAATGGCAACTTCTTACTGTCAATAATAAACCATTTTAGCTTCTCAAGTTCCTTTCCATCTTGAAATACATAAGGCTTAGATACAGAAGAAGGTTAATCAGATTCATAGCTTCTTGAAATAACTTCTCTTATTAAATGCCATGAAACAAAAGAAGACTGATAACCCAAAAGACTTTAAAAACCAACTTGCTTCCCAAAATTCTACTTCATGTCGACCTGACAACAGCTGTTTCTCATACTGTGTAGAGCTACTTTTCTTTGCAACATACCTGTTAGATTTTCAAAGAGATTCAACACCTACCTGGCTTCTTTCTTGCTGTGCTTTTCAGGTGTCCTACTCTCTTCTTTAATCCGAGGTGGACTGGCCATTTCTTCTTTAACCTCTGGCTTCTCCTTCTTGGGCTCAACCTTAGGCTTGGATGAATTAGAATGTTTGGAGGCTTCATGCTTCGAAGAAGAGTGCTCTTTGTGTTTGGAGTTGATGTCTTTGGATGAGGACGATTTCTCTTTAGGGCGTATACTGGAACTACTGGGCTTCGGTGGCTCTTTATGCTTCCCGTCTTCTTTCCGGCTAATGCTATCATTGTGTGACAGCTTGTGCGGTGGTTTCTCCGGCCTGGCTGAATTCGACGAGGGTTTCGGTGGCGGGGATCCGCCCTTCGGCTTGCTGGAATGTGAACTGTTATTCTGCTTCGGGGCCATGGACGACGTTGGGGGCTTCATCTTAAACTTGCGCCCATCGGGCATAACCTTGATCTTGCTCCCGTCGGGCATTGTTTTAATCTTGGTGCCATCGCTGAGCAAGATGACCTTGACGGCCCCGCCTTCTTTAGACTTGGAGCTTGGCTTGGCATTTGGATCTCTATGCTTTGAGCTGGAGGTGTTGTGACTATTGGTTAGGGGTTTCTTGGCTGGGCTCCCGCTAGAATGGTTGTCTATATGGACATAGAAGATTCACACCAACAAAAATAACACTAAATTAACACAAATTCAAGTAATATTGTAACAAATCAGACTGGATTGGCTTGAAGGGCACCTCTTCTTTGAACCACTCACTGCCTGCTTCCAAATTACATTGTCAGGATCAGATTTAGATTTGTGAACTGGTTCATACATTTGAAATTTAAAGTTGGAATATATCATTTTGACTCTCAAGAACATTTTTTTAAAGGATTAAACATGTACCATGCCATACATAATGTAAATCCTTGCAATCACAAAAAATAAATGTTTTTACTATGATCAAGCTAACCTAGATCAAGCCATGGTAAACCAAGTCTGTATACAAAATTACATATTATATTAAACAGAAATACATTGCATGATACTAATTTCTGTTTACTTTCTCCACAGTGTAAATATTCTATAAATGTCAAAGAAAATAGCATAGATCCATAAACATTTTTTTCTGGTATCCAGTTTTTTTAAACAATCAACAGAGAAAATAAAGAGTAACTTCATTGTTAAGTGTTCTCTTTTTACTTACCAGATCTTATTTTGTCAACTTTCTGTAATGAGAAACAAAGATCAAGGAAATTAATTAAATTATAACTATTAAAATTTGTTCTTCTTAAAAAAATGAACAAAGAACAAAATATGTATGTTCCCCGCCAAAAAAAAAAAAAAAAAAAAAAAAAAATTATATAAATTTATAAAATAACTCAATAAATAAATATAACAAATAAATAAAATATTAAAAAATTAATAGAGAAATTAAAAATATTTAAAAACTTGTTTCTGTCATAAATAAAAGCACAGTAATATGAAAGAAATGAGTAAAAGTTGTATCAAAATCTGATATCTGTATGCAATAATGTATTATTATAGAACAATTTTTATCCACTCCAGATCTAGCCTAATTCTAAAGTAAAGACTAACCAAAAACAATTTGAACATGCTCTTCTTATCTAGAGTAGAGTATTGCCATAATGCCACATGCCATTGACTTGCCTATGAACATCAAGCTAGCAGATAAATTTCTTCTGGCTAGATCTATTTATAATTTAGATTTCCATTCATTTCCTAATCAATTTACACAATTCAACAAGCTAATCTGAATCACTCAATCAGTTAGGAAATCAACTCCTAGCTCCAATCAAAGACAAAAAATCATTCACATCCTCAGATCATAATTCAACTGAAATCAACTGAAATTAAACAAATTATTATCTTTCCCATATTGCAGGAATGCCACTTTAATTCTACGTCATACAACGCAGTCACTGCAGTTCATGGAAATCATGTGAATAAAGAACCTTCTCAAAGTGACGTAGGGGCCGGGTCAGACACCGGCATACAGATTAGAGCAGTCACGTTGCTCATGCCGACTCTTCACTACACTGCATGCACACCACACACACATGCCCATACACGTACAAAGCATATGGAGCAGGCGGAAAAATAACTAAGTACGGAGCCATCCACACAGAACCTGCGTGCAATGTCTATGGCGAACGCAAAAATAACTAAGTACCGAGCCCGATTACATGCATTGCAATGGCGAGGCGCTTTTTTCACCCTCCAACAAAAACTAACACATGTGTGATGGAGGGGAGGCAGCCAAAATTACACACTGATTCCACGCAAAAACCAACTCATTCCACCTTGGCGAACATTCTAATTCACGCTATGGCATCAATTCCGTAAAATGGTGACAAAATACATGAACTTACCGAACTCATTTTGATGATTCTTTGTCTCTGCGATTTCCACGTTATGGCGGATGAGAGGCACAGAAAAATGGTAGAGTACCGAAATTTCTACATTGCGCATGCGCGTGTTAATGTGAATTGCCCGGATGATCCGGCCAGATTGTTGTAATGTACTAAGGATAGGGAAGTAACTCGTTTCAACTTGCTTTGTTCATATGTTTGTTTTCGTTTTATAAGATAAAATGTCAGCTATGATGACGGTGTCCAAACATTGTATTGCGGGTTGCAACGTCACTTCCCGAAACAAAATTAATTTAGAAAAAATCAAAAGAGTGAAGAAGAAAAATATGGATGACCGAACTATATAGACTAGACCCTATATAAGTGTAAATGCGTAAGGATGTCGAGGCTGACAGTAACCGGTATATACAGTGAGAATTTGTTCCGATTTCATAGAAACAAATCTATCATGCTTCGCCCCCCCCCCCCACTTCTTTATCTCTCTCGATCTCTTTCTCTCTCTACTTTTATCTATTCAATTTCCCGTTCAATTTATCTATCGCTATGATATTTACATGCCGGGTTTACATGCATGTCATTCTCTCGCTCAGCTCTCTCTTTCTCTCTCTCTCTCTCTCTCTCTCTCTCTATGCTACTCGATCACCTTGTCCTTCTATTCTCTTTCTTCAGTTGTTCAAGAAAGCTTTTATCTCTAAATATTCAATCTATCTTTTATATTCTAAATTAACTTTTTTACAATGTCAGTCCCTTTTAATAATGCCGGTAAGAATACTCTTCAACTTGACCTTTCTTTATAATTCTCTCACATCTTCTTTTCCGCTTCTCGCAATCCGTCGCAACTAAATTAATCTAAAAAAATGAAAAATGTACAATGATCATCATCATGGATTATAGCCTGACTCTATATCAAAAGAGGGAAGGAAGCAACTTGATGACCGGAACGAATTTGTTTTACTCCGGTATAGGTGTAAATGCATGGGCCATAACTATATCATCTCTTCTTATCTCTGTCGAGGCTTACAGTTATATACAGCAGGCGCGGATCCAGGATTTCTTAGGGGGGGGGGCCCAAATTTGAAATTATGCGAGCCAAATATTGGTACATTATGGTGACCAACAGTGACGTAATGCGGGGGGGGGGGTCGGTGCAAGTGGGGCGAGTTTCCCCTTCCCAGGCTTTGACGTTTCATTATATTATTAGAGAAAGAAGACGATTCGGTGTACCGTTCTCGAAAATAATTCTCGTCTAAATTTAGTTTTTCCCTCCCGCGCGAAGCGCGAAAAATTTTACGATTTATTAAATTATTAGAGAAAGAAAACGATTCGTTGTAGAGTTCTCGACTCTTAATCCTTGTCTAAATTCAGCCCCTCTTCCCCTTCCTGCGCGAAGCGCTGAAGCTTTGACGTTTTATTAAACTATTAAAGAAAGAAGACGATTCGTTGTACCGTTCTCGACCCTTTATCCTCGTCTGATTTCAGTCCCCCCCCCCCCCCTCCCGCGCGAAGCGCGGAAGCTTTTACGTTTCGTTAAATCATTAGAGAAAGAAAACGATTCGTTGTACAGTTTTCGACTCTTAATCCTTGTCTAAATTAAGCCCCCCCCCTCCCGCGCGGAGCGCGGAAGCTTGTACGTTTCATTAAATCACTAGATAAAGAAGACGATTCGTTGTACCGTTCTCGACGCTTTATCCTCGTCTGAATTAATTCCCCCCTCCCCATCCTGCGCGAAGCGCGGAAGCTTCTACGTTTCATTAAATCATTAGAGAAAAAATACGATTCGTTGTACAGTAAGTTCTCGACTCTTAATCCTCGTCTTAATTGAGGTTCCCCCCACCCGCGCGAAGCGCGGAAGCTTTTATATTTTATTAAATCATTAGAGAAAGAAAACGATTCGTTGTACAGTTCTCGACTCTTAATCCTTGTCTAAATTCAGTTCCTCCCCCTCCCCCTCCTGCGCTAAGCGCGGAAGCTTCTACGTTTCATTAAATCCTTAGAGAAAAAATACGATTCGTTGAAGAGTTCTCGACCCTTTATCCTCGTCTGATTTCAGTCCCAACCCCCCGCCCCCTCCCCCCCCTCCCGCGCGAAGCGCGGAAGCTTTTACGTTTCGTTAAATCATTAAAGAAAGAAGACGATTCGTTGTACAGTTCTCGACTCTTAATCCTCGTCTGAATTCAGGTTCCCCCCTACCGCGCGTGGCGCGGAAGCTTTTAATCTTCATTTAATCATTAGAGAAGAAGACGATTCGTTGTACAGTTCTCGACTCTTAATCCTTGTCCAAATTCAGTTCCTCCCCCTCCCCCTCCTGCGCGAAGCGCGGAAGCTTTGACGTTTTATTAAACTATTAAAGAAAGAAGACGATTCGTTGTACCGTTCTCGACTCTTAATCCTCGTCTGAATTGAGGTTCCCCCCACCCGCGCGAAGCGCGGAAGCTTTTATATTTTATTAAATCATTAGAGAAAGAAAACGATTCGTTGTACAGTTCTCGACTCTTAATCCTTGTCTAAATTCAGTTCCTCCCCCTCCCCCTCCTGCGCGAAGCGCGGAAGCTTTGACGTTTTATTAAACTATTAAAGAAAGAAGACGATTCGTTGTACCGTTCTCGACTCTTAATCCTCGTCTGAATTAAGTCCCCCCCCCCCCCTCCCGCGCGAAGCAGTTCTCGACTCTTAATCCTTGTCTAAATTCAGTACCTCCCCCTCGCCCTCCTGCGCGAAGCGCGTAAGCTTTTACGTTTCATTAAATCATTAGAGGAAGAAAACGATTTGTTGTACAGTTCTCGACTCTTAATCCTTGTCTAAAATTAGTCCCCCCCCCCCTCCCCCTCCTGCGCGAAGCGCGGAAGCTTCTACGTTTCATTAAATCATTAGAGAAAGAAGACGATTCGTTGTACAGTTCTCGACTCTTAATCCTCGTCTGAATTCAGGTTCCCCCCTACCGCGCGTGGCGCGGAAGCTTTTAATCTTCATTTAATCATTAGAGAAGAAGACGATTCGTTGTACAGTTCTCGACTCTTAATCCTTGTCCAAATTCAGTTCCTCCCCCTCCCCCTCCTGCGCGAAGCGCGGAAGCTTTGACGTTTTATTAAACTATTAAAGAAAGAAGACGATTCGTTGTACCGTTCTCGACTCTTAATCCTCGTCTGAATTGAGGTTCCCCCCACCCGCGCGAAGCGCGGAAGCTTTTATATTTTATTAAATCATTAGAGAAAGAAAACGATTCGTTGTACAGTTCTCGACTCTTAATCCTTGTCTAAATTCAGTTCCTCCCCCTCCCCCTCCTGCGCGAAGCGCGGAAGCTTTGACGTTTTATTAAACTATTAAAGAAAGAAGACGATTCGTTGTACCGTTCTCGACTCTTAATCCTCGTCTGAATTAAGTCCCCCCCCCCCCCTCCCGCGCGAAGCAGTTCTCGACTCTTAATCCTTGTCTAAATTCAGTACCTCCCCCTCGCCCTCCTGCGCGAAGCGCGTAAGCTTTTACGTTTCATTAAATCATTAGAGGAAGAAAACGATTTGTTGTACAGTTCTCGACTCTTAATCCTTGTCTAAAATTAGTCCCCCCCCCCCTCCCCCTCCTGCGCGAAGCGCGGAAGCTTCTACGTTTCATTAAATCATTAGAGAAAGAAGACGATTCGTTGTACAGTTCTCGACTCTTAATCCTCGTCTGAATTCAGGTTCCCCCCTACCGCGCGTGGCGCGGAAGCTTTTAATCTTCATTTAATCATTAGAGAAGAAGACGATTCGTTGTACAGTTCTCGACTCTTAATTCTTGTCCAAATTCAGTACCTCCCCCTCCCCACCTGCGCGAAGCGCGGAATCTTTGACGTTTTATTAAACTATTAAAGAAAGAAGACGATTCGTTGTACCGTTCTCGACTCTTAATCCTCGTCTGAATTCAGTCCCCCCCCCCCCCTCCCGCGCGAAGCACGGAAGCTTTTAATCTTCATTTAATCATTAGAGAAGAAGACGATTCTTTGTACCGTTCTCGAAAATAATCCTCATCGGAATTTAGTTCCCCCTCCATCCCGCGCGAAGCGCAGAAGCTTTTACGTTTTATTAAATCTTTAAAGATTCGTATCTCCGTTCTCGCCTCTGAATGCTCGTCTGAATTCAGTCCCCCCCCCCCCCCCCCCCTCCTGCGCGATGCTTTGACGTTTTATTATTAGAGAAAGAAAACGATGCGTTGTACCGTTCTCGATACTCTTAATCCTTGTCTAAATTTCAAAGATGTTCTTTGTCTGCTCCATTTTCTTCCTATGTCCTCTTCCGATTGGGGGACCGCCCCCCACCCCCCCCCCCCCCCTGGCTACGCGCCTGCAGACAGATAAACACATCTTGATACCTTGTCCGACCCCGCAAGCTCAGGGGTTTAAGGCAATAAATTACGATCAGATAAGCATTCAGGGTCCCGCCTTAGGGCCCCTGGTGGGGTCGAGGCGGCGGAGCCGGCCCCGGAAGCTCAGGGGTTTTAGGCGTTTAATTAAGGTCAGATGAGCATATTTTTGTGTATACCTTATTATTTTGTGACACTGGCAAGTCACTATTTGGCGTGGGGTCCAGGGGGCGGAGCCCCAAAAATCAGGGGTTTTAGGCATTAAATAATTTATCGTCAGATGATCATCTAAGGGCCCGCCGTATGGAATCCAGGGGGCAAAGCCCCCGGAAGATTAGGGATTTTAGGCATTTAATCACGGTCAGATGAGCATATTTTGATGCCTTATTATTTTGTTAACACTGGCAGGTAACTATTCTTACTTTCTTGCTCTCATTCTGTTTTATTTCTCTTTAATATACTTTTTCAAGAAAAGTGGGGGGGGGGGGGGGGGGGGGGGGGGGGGGGGGGCTCGAGGCTCTCGATCCCCGCCCTACCTCGGGCCCTTACATGTAGGAATCTCAAGAATCATATTTTTTGCCTGGTTTTATATTGAGGAATTTGTCATTTTCCAAAAAACACATACAAACGTATAATTTACTAAAAAGTGAGGAAAAATTTCGGAAATTATGTCATTTCAGCATTATTTGTAATCCACCGTTGTGGAATTAGAAATAAACGACGTTTGAATTTGATTTTCCCCAAACACCCCTTCCCCCCCCCTCTATCAGTACGCCAGTATCTCCTCTTTTCCTTTTTTCTTTCCCTTTCCTTCCTTCTTTCTTATTTTTTTTATTGGGGGGGGGGGGGGGGGGCTAACAGCCTGGGAGGCAAGGCCCTTTCGGTCCCCGATCTTCTTCTTCCCCCTTTTCTTTTCTTCTTTCTCTTCTTTCTTTCCCTTTCTCCCTTCTTTTCCTTTCTTCTCTCTCTTTTTTTTTTTTTTTTTTTGGCGGGGGGGGGGGGGGGCCAAGGCCCGCTCGGCCCCCCCCCTGGATCCGCGCCTGATATACAGTGAGAAATTGATCAGATTTTTTTTAGAAACGTGTATAAACTTATGCTTCGTGTCCCCCTCCCCCCTCTACTTTATCTTGCCTATTTATCTTTTTAAAAAAACAGAAAATGCAAAAAATTTGCAATAATTTATTGCATTTTACCCCCGGTCCCCAACATAAAAAAAAATCCTCTGGACTGCCATACATTACTGGCTCAAGGCATGGGCACACAGAAGATTTTTTTATGTTGGGAACCGCGGAACCGGAACAATAAATTATTGAAAATTACTGCATTTTCTGTGTTTTTTTTAATTTATGGAAACTGCCCCCTACCCTAGCCCCCGCTGCGTACAGTCATGGTTCAGTTACAAAGCAATGGCCTCGTAACTGTGAGGCCGCAGGATCAAAACCGTGTCGATGTGCTATATTAGTGCCCTTTTGTGGGGCATTAATCCTCATTACTGTCATTTATGACTTAAGGGCATAGGTCCCCTAGTTGATAAGCATAGTAGCATACATATGCTTTTAAAGCACACATTCGCAAATTATTGTTCAATAAAATCTGAGAATGTATACTATTATCTAGATCTATTATTTTTAAATCATTTTTAAAATAATTCCATAAATTGGGATAAAAAAAAATATTCCACCTTTATGAGCGACAGTGTATTTCACCCCATGCGATTTTGTGCCCCCCCCCCCCAGTAAGTGAATTCCTGGATCTCTTTCTCTAGCTGTTCAAGAAAGCTTTCATCTCTAAATATTATCTCCTTAATCTAAATGAACTTGTTTTACAATGTCGGTCTAGTTTAATTGCATGTAGGAATATTATTAACTTGACCTTTTTTACATTAAATTCTCTTACATCTTCTTTTAAGCTTCTCCCAGTCCATCGCAAGCCCCCCCCCCCCCACCCCTCCCTCTCTCTCTCTCTCTCTACCTTTTCACATCATTATATCTCCCTCTTTCATTCAAGAATGTACATCTACACGTTTGACCAAGGAGTAAGGAGAGCTCTTATAACTCCCTGGTTTAACTCTCCTCCCTGGTTTAACCAAGGCTACTTTTTTTAATTTGTTTCATCTCCTGCCCATCTCTCTCCCCAAAATAATATTTGTTGTCTCTCTTTCTCTCTTCCCCTCCCCTCTGTATGTCTCTCTGTCTGTGTCTCGTTCTCTCTCTCTCTCTCTCTCTCATATGCACACTAAAGGTTGACAAATCAGCATGCATACAATGATTTCATTCTGAAAAACATATAATGCAGTAAATGCACCATCTTCTTACTGTATTAGAAAGAACAATCACAAATATACCAAGTCTCCTCAAACCACTTTTCAGACCTCTGGCTTCTTACATTCTTCCAGTATTGTTCATGGGTCAAGAAATGTGCAATTTCAGTGTAATGGACATGACATTCAGAATACTTATGGGTATTTAAATCAGTTTTAAACAAAACTTAGAGACCTGAAACATATTTTAGTCAGTGATACAGACACATTTGACTATCAGTCACATACATTGCAAATTTCACAGTATTCCACTGAATGGTTAAAGAGAAAAATCTACATTTTGTAACCATAACAAAACATGACACAAACTGGACATGGATTTCTTTACTCACTTTTAACAGTTTGAAAAATCAGTGATGTTGAGGTTCAATGTATCGAATTTTGATGTGAACAGAATATTATTATTATACACTGTCCTTTAAACATAGATGTACCATAACATACAATTTTGTCCACTTTTTATAACCCCTATAGCTTTTCTTTAACATGTTCAATGTGCCATGGAAAGCTCTTATCAGTAACCTTTGACACCTTAACCATAACTTACTTCCAAGGAATCAAATCTGAAATGATTTTTCATGAATAATTAGATCCAAAGATTGAATGGTTTGATTAAAAACATATTTTGTTAAAAAGAAAATCATACCTAAACATACTTCACTCCAACTGATATACAACTCATTTCGAAGAGCTTGTATGAGCTCTTTTGTTTGATACTAAATTTGTCATGATGGAACACTCATTTCTGGAGTTATTGTCAATTTTATGATTTTTGGCTAGTAAACATTTTCCACGGAATTGCCCAAAACACAATGAAACCTTTTTTCAATTCAATTCATATTTATTTCATTTCCAACAGAAAGATAAACAAAGGTATTACATTTTTTCATACATAATTCATTTTTTCTGGTAACTATGCAAATACACTTTGCACATAACAAAATTATTACAAGAAATTCTTAATGTTTTAGGAAATGGGGGGATCCACTAAAAAGCAGTTGTTCACCTGATGGATCCAAAAAACTTTTTAAAAGCCAATTCAATCCTGAGAAATGCATTGATGGGTTTCCAAATAAATGTATGAAGGAAGACAAAATAAAAAACATCAAAGCTCTCATTGCATATGATGATGAGGTCAACAGGTGCCACAATGGTGAAGCAATGTTACAGGTAACAGGGGCGGATCTAGCTTTTTGCCAAGGGGGGGGGGGGGGGTTTGAGAAAAGAAAATTCCCAAAATCGCGCCGTTTTACTGTTTTACTTTTTTTTCTTTTTCACTTGGCCGCCCAAGGGGGGGGGGGGGGGGTTTAAACCGCCGCAACACCCCCTAGATCCGCCCCTGGGTAATACAAAGTCCAGGTATGTGGTCATGAATGTTGTTCAAATGAACATATTGGAAGCATAATTATGCAATCCTACAATATTCAGTGATCATTGTCGCGGTTGTAATCAAGTCTTAAGTGAAGAAATTATGAATAATAAACTCTTTATGTTGTATAGCTCCCTCTCAAGTTTGATATTATTTTAGCTTCAAAACAATGTTTCTTGACAAAATTATATATCAGCCTACTGCATATGCCGAGATTTTCATGGTCGCAGCTACCATTGTATGGCCGTAGGTGCTATCTAAAATTTATCAAGAGCACTGATGAATTTGATTATATAATTTCTTGTTTAAGAGCCCAATTTTTTTAAAGTTGTTTATTCTAACACTCGGTTTCACAATGGAACCGCAAATTTTAAATTTCATAATCCAATTCTTATATTTCAAAATCTTTGTATTACCTTTAAGTATAGGCTCCTCAAATTAAATCAGTATTTTATACCATCCGTATGTCTGCTCCATAAACCTACATTTTTTCCATCTAGGTGTACAAATGCACACCTCTCTCAGGCGAGTCCAAGCTATTTTGTCCCATATGTTATGACAACTACGTGATCAAAATCAATACAGCTGTTTACTATACTGAGTTAACAGCACCAGGACACCTTGGAATAAAGCACATATCATGTAAAATGACATTTTCAATCTTAATTGTATTCACAATTCCATGGTACTTAGTAGCAAATTGGACAGTTAATACTGTGGGCTTGTCTGAATTTGCACCCCTCATGATTTTGTTCAATTCAATGTATTTATTTGTCGAATGTAAGTTCAACATGGATACTTGTTTCACTCACATGGAAAATAAAGGCTCAGACATACTTTACAAAGAACACTCAATATGGTGATAACAAAATAATAATCATACATAATATTGATTTTCGTTTGGTTACATATGGCTCATTTAAATTCCTTAAATTACATAATTTAGCTGTCTTCATGCATATTTATAAATAAAAATTATTCACCACTATACATATAGAAAATTCAGCTTTTAAACTGAATTGGAAGTAAAACCAGAATATGATAAACAAGATATTCAAATCCTGTCTGCAATAGTTTGGCCAGGGGGATTAGACCTCCCTGCAAGGTCACTGACAGGTGGTTATCTCATCAAATCAGCTCTCAATTAACATAAGAACTAGGGGATCATGGGGGACCAACAGGCAATGATTATGAATTGTTTACTATATAGAGGGCGCAAGTAGGCATAAGTAGTGCAGTGGGGCTTTAAGAAAATACTATAACAATTCAAACTATAGCTGATGATGAGCTGAATTCTACTTCCAATGGTTGACTAGAGTAGCATGCCAACAAAGACTCTCAGATGACATTTAAACATATTTCCAAAAGTTTGAGTAGAGCCTAGCTCTGTCAGTCTCTGGTAGAGTAGCTACAATACAGGGGCGTTTAACTGTGGTTTCTGGATAGTCTCCTAGCTCAGCCCGTCAGTTATGCATTTTGACTGAAAAGGGTTTTGGGCCTGCAAACAAGTAGGCCTAATAGAGACTGACATGCAAATATCAATGTAGTTATAAATATAGTTAGCACAATATTAAAATTTGGTGTCATCTATTCCCGCTGCCGTTGCTTAAGTCCCAAAGTGGTGCACTATCTTCCCCTTCCAAGGACTGTGTCTGGTCACTCGGGGCACTAGGGGGCGCCGTATAGATTGTGACTTTCCTCTGAGGCTTTGTGATCTCTAAGTCTATTCTCTGAACTGTCCAGCTTGACAAGGAGAAAAGGATAAGATTGGCAAAGTTTCCTGTTAAAGTGGTAGGATGAAGTATTCCACAAGTTTCTATCATCTCAAGAATAAAGAGCATGGGAATGAAATTAGTGTTTATTTGATAATGTAGTTGAACTTATTGGGACGTGGGGAGGGATGCACATTTTGACAATTCATGAAAACAGGTAGATCCTTTATCATTACCCCATGAATGTTATTCATGCAGTAAAATGTTAATTAAATTTCAGTTAAATGAGAACTGTTTTCATGAGCAATTGAGCAAGATTCATGCAATATGCTGATAAATGCAAAGTGTTAAATATTGTTGTCAATTTGATTCAGTTCAAATTTGATTTTATATAGAATATATGGCAAAGATCTGAAGACTAACCTTGTCATATTTAGAGTAAATTTGTTTTTTTTTAAACATAAAAACAAGCTTATAAAACTAAAAAATACCTCAACACTGTTCCATAAAAGATAATGTAGTATAAGTATAGCAATTTACTGAACAGATTTGTATTTGTATTGGTACAGTTGTTAGTACATATAGATTGTATTTTTTGCAGATGCATGCGTATATGAAACAAGTTCAATTGAAATAATGATCACAAAACTAAACAAGAAAATGGTGGTAAGGTAAAAATATTAAAAAAGAAAACATGAAATGAATTGTATAAGGGATTTCAGACCTATACACAATTTGGTGAATACAAAGTAGTGTTGGACAAAAAGAATTTGACAGAATAGAATCTCAAGAAGAAACAAAAGAGATACTTACTCATCCTGCGTGTTTGGTCTTGATGACCATGTGTACATCACACCAGACCTTATTGAACCCCTCAGTGGAATGGCAAGCTAAATGGAAAAGGGGAAGAAGTGATTTTTAATAATACTGATGAACTTTGAATGAAATATAGCTTCAGGGTAGGAATGTATGCAGTGTCATTTAATAGTGTGTGATTATGTTTTTTTCCTCAACTTTTTTTTATAGCACTGCATTTACAATACATACTGGTACTTCCCTGTTCACAAAGTCTCTGTGCTTCCATCTTTAGCAACCCACCCTCCTCTAACCCCCTCCCCCCCCCCATCTTCTCAAAAGCTCCCCCTCTCATTCCCTCTCTCTTCATCTCTCTCTCTCTCTCTCTCTCTCCCGCTCTCTGTATTACACTTTCTATACTCGACATGTGCATCCCCCAAACTAAAATGTTTCAACCTTTTCTTGCAATAATAGATAGAACAAATTTAAAATCAAGTGGTGCGGGCCTGCATTGAAACAAACTTAACACACATTCAAAACAGAGTTGGCTAGAAATAGAGCACAATATGCATATGCTAGGAAATAGTTTTTATATAAGCAGAAGGACGCACAACCAACTACTATGTGCTTTGTCCGGACTGAATATATAAATCTTTTGAAATGTATTTCCAGTGCATATAATTTCAGAATCTTTTACACAAAAAATCCCCCAAACATCCTTCTCATACCATAAGAATTAAACCCATAATTGATCTCCTTTCTCTTAACTTACATTTGCCTGTAGAGCTGAGATAGCAATGAAAGTGTTTCCAAGATTAACAAATTTTGTCTTTATAGGCAAGCCTAGCACATCAGTAGCACCTTTGTGGTTGCTGAGGATATCCACTGACTTGGAATAGTACGATCCTGATGCTACATTATCTGCACATAACAAGGGAAAAGAAAATTATTATAGATATTGACGTCCTTACGGTCCTTGACTATGCAATGCTACATTTATTAGAAGGCATGGGGCAGTGGCACATGCCATGAGTTTAATAAACTCTATAATGGTGCATTATAATTATAATTAGAGCAAAATTTGGCAGCAATTATCACAATATTGAAACATGACATCATGATACAATAAATATTACACTTTCAACACAAAGCACAAGTCATTTTGATAAGAAAAAATAACCTCCAATCTTAAAGGAGTACAGTACATGTATGGAGCATCACAGAGAGTGGGCAACTGGTAGATCAATGAAAACAATCTTCATGATTTTCATCAAGGTTCCTAGAATTACATAAAAAATTGAAACAGATTCTGATACATGTACTATGTTTCACTAATGGGGATTCAAAATTTCAGGATCATCATTTCAACCTCTTTCAAGTTTAAAACGGCTTCTTCCAATGGAAATGATGTTTGGACACAAGACAATATAAAGTAGAACCTCGTTATAACAAGGACCTTGAGACCATGGAAATAACCTTGTTATATCTTGTTATGTCAGTTTTAAAAAAACAAAAGAATACAAACAGCTGGGACAAGAAAAATCACCTTGTTATATTTTTATCAGTTAAACAGAAACGTAGTTATATCAAAGCTCTTTATAACGAGGTTCCACTGTACTGGTGACTGATCACTTTCTTTTGGGCCAATGACATTACTTTATTTTTCTAAAATTCTGTGTCATTACCTGGACTGGAAACCCTGTTATCGATTATAATACAGGATTGAGGAAGTACTGTTATACTACCTTGTATTGCCTTGTAGAAATACCCAGCTCCACCTAATGAAATAATTCCTCCCACCACAGCTATCTGCTTCAGAGCTGAAGTACTCACTGGCATCTTGTCCAGGCTACTGCTCCCTGACACTGCCTTAAAAATGTTTCAATCTGTATCATGAATTAATTTGGATGATTAATTAGTTATCGTAGGACATTGCAAATATTTTTTCTCATCAGTTTACAAGTAATTTTATAATAATGCGAAATATTTTAATCTGTATGCTAAATTAATTCAAAATATTGAATCATTGAATACAAGTCCAATGAATTTTCTTAAAAGACATTGATATATTTTCTCAACATTGAACATATAATTAGATGCTGACTTAAAACAAAATGTTTGAATCTGTATGGAAAAGCTACAAATCGCTAAACATTTTAGAGTCAGTCTATTTCCTTGTCCTCCAAAATTGTAAAGATTGTGTTGTATGTTCTCATGTAACAGTGACTGTTCAGTGTCTCTTTTCCATTCTTAGGGAGAAAAATATGAAGCTAGTATGTCTGAAATAACATTTGTTTTTTGTGATACTTCAGCTTTAGAAAATTGATTATCAAAGTAGGCAGTTCAGTTTAGACCTTCGCGATGGGGACAACTTCTTATTCACGTACGCAGGTGCGCATTTCAGCTCCCTATACGAATCCACATACATCAGGGTGAGCGCACTTTCGGCCACACTTTCGTGAGCTTTCGTGGTTCTGCCGAAAAAAAACACTCAGTTTATTTCGGATTTCCCTGCCTTCTGATTGGTTAAAACAATAAAATATGACGTCATTTCTCTTGGACAATTATCGATGCACATCGGAAGTGAGTTGTACGTTGAATAACCATCGTAGTAGATGGTTTTGCTCAAATGTGCCGACAATGTGATGAAATTCAGATGGAAGGAGTTTTTCAACTAACTTACAACTCCGTAATTAACAAAATTAAACATCTTACCTTCTTTCCTGAAAGTTTCATATAATGATGATGAGTAGATCTTATGGTAGATATGATAATATGATTGCAGTTTTTGAAAATTGCACGAACTGATTTTGACGATGCGACGCGTGATGCATGTACATGGTGAGTACGTGAATGAAACAGCTGTGTGAGTGATGTCGAGACCATTTCGTAGTCTTAGAATTCAGACCCGTTTGTGACTTGATTGACTTGTTTTTTTCAATTTTTGTTTATTGTATGTTGTATTTTATTGATAATTGTGATATTTATTTTAATATTTGGAATAAATATTGTAATAATCTAACATGAATTGGTTATATTTTGGGGTAAAGTAACGATATTTTTTTGAAAAAACTGTTCATTTACTGCAAGATTGCTGCAAGTATAGACTACATAGACGATTCGTCACCTCATCCTTGTGTGTGTGTGTGTGTGTGTGGGTGCGTGCGTGTGTGTGAGAGAGAGAGAGAGAGAGAGAGACTAGGAGAGAAAGACCGAGAGAGAAAGACCGAGAAAGAAAGAAAGAAATAGAGAGAGAGAGAAAGAGAGAAAAAAAAGAAAGAGAGAGAGAGAGGGAGAAAGCGTGCGTGTGTGTATGTGTGTGTGTGAGAGAGAGAGAGAGAGAGAGAGAGAGAAAGAAATAAATAAATAGACAAGATCATTTGGTAAAAGTTTAGATTCAAAGGGTTTTTATTTACCTTTTATAACAATATGATGACAAAAACATGGAAATTTGCATAAATTTGCATAAATTTGCATATTTTAATACGGTGCTGTTTAAAGATATTAAATTTCATATTTGCCAAACATCACTGAATATATTTGCCAAATTTCAGCGAGTTTGGTCATAGCATTGAAGAGATATGACTATTATGAGGCTTAACAGATCACAAACTTCTGAAAACAATGGTGCCACTGCTTAAACACAGGTTTAATTGACTTCAATACAATTATAATAGGTTTGACCTTTTGATCTTTTTTCCTCATCAATATGGTTCTGAAGATTATTTTAAAAATCCGTATCTCTGGAACCGTTGGTCAAAATTGAAGGATTCAAAGTGCATTATGTAAATAAAAATGTGATCTTTAAAATGATATAGAAATCACCCCCTATCTCCTACAAAAAAAAAAATCACCTGAACTGCCTAATCAAAGCCAGAGGGCAAGTAGATCTAATCTGTTTTAGAACACTGCCCCAAGTTGACAAAAAATAAATAAATGAATAATCAAGCAACCACTAATAGAAGAAAAGTATTCATGAAATTTGGAGATTGGAAAACAAATTAGGTCTAATGTTAGACTTAGAAAAGTTGAGATGATTAATAATATTATAAATTTTAGTTTGGCAAATAAGTCATGATGTTTGGACATGCAGAGGGAGAAGATAGATAATTAGTAACAGACGAACATAATCTGAAGCACACATGACAAAACTGCCCAACAACACACAAATTAGACAGATTTCGGTATAGAATCTACACACAATTACAATTTGATAATAAAATGCAACACAGAAAATCAACATACACCGTTATTCACATGTGGGGCAACAGTCTACACCCGAAACTCAATCGTGGAATATATATATTACAATAGCGCAATAGACATTACACCAATGCTTGAATTAGTTTGAAATTATCAATATTTGTTTAATGATGATTCAGTACAAATGGGATGATAATAGTATCATGCCAAATATGAAACAAAAATAAAGATATTTACATTCACTTTTCCAGGTAGCGGACGAAGATCTGGAATTCTTTGACATCAAACGTAGCTGGCGCATGTTATGCATTGCAACAAAGAGATTCGATCATACACAGTATGTCCTCCGTAGGAGGACTAGAGGGCCAACTAAAATCGTGACCTTTGACATTCCATAGGTTTTGCATTGGATGCATTATGGGGGTTTTGTCCGATTTGAACGACGGTTTTGGAGGGTCAATGAATATTCATGAGCAATGACGTAAAAAATACGCCAACTACTGTTTGTTGATTGGCCATCGACAAAATGTTTTATGTATTAGGTCATGCATAAAACATTTTTTGCATTCCCAGAATTCCCTACGATTTGAGCACGAAAATGGCGGTTGTATGAACTGCAACTTTCAAGTTATTCAATTACGAACAATGAAACATTTTTCTTTTAAGTGAATTTCTATTATAATAGAAGTTTGTCAAGTACATCTCAGTGAAGCAGAAAATCTTCAGGCGAACATTGACATCGAAGTGATACCCTATGATATCAAGAAAAGTAAGTAAAGATCCATTTTGTGTGAAGGTCTCTGAAACGATTGTGATGTGTTCGTCATTGCATTTGCAGTGAGGGGCTCTCCGCATTGTCACAACGTATTACCCGGTTAACCCCCTACCCCATCCTCTTTTCTTTCTTCTGACCAAAGAATATTAACTGATTGAATGAACTCTAATATAAGTCATCGACGGTAATATTTTTTAGAAACAATCAGGATTTTACCGTAGGTTATTTCATTAGAGCACATCTCATAATTTTAAGTTCAGTTCATAGCTTGATTACCGATAGTAATCGGTCGTAGATGTGGACCTGTTGTAGACTGCGCAAATGGCTCATTGCTAGTCCAAGCCGACGAGATCTCGTCGAGCGGTTTATGATTTTCAATGCGCCGGTGCTAGCCGGCTGTAACACTCCACCAAGAAGCGACTGCGTTTCCTGAGCTGGCGTGGCTATAACTTTACAGTGTGTTACTGTAAAGCCTAGATATCTAGACCTCTAGGCTAGTATACATAGCATAGTCTAGCCTGAATTTTTCTGTCTCTTTCGTTTGTTAGCCTCTGATTTGGGTAGGGTCGGCTCCTCTCTTTAGCCGACCCTACCCAAATCAGAGGCTAACGAACGAAAGAGACAAAAAAAATCGGGCTAAGGCTAAGCAGAGCCTAGGGCTAGGCTAGGTCTACCGTCTAGATCTAGATCTAGTCTAGATCTAGCACTTAACTAAGTATAAACAGCATTTAACCCCGCATCTACTAGATCTAGGCCTAGATCTAGGGCAAGATTCTAGGCCTAGGCCTAGATCTAATGCATTCTAATAAAAAAAAAAAGACTAAATAAATGCCTGGTTTAGGTGGGTCAATGTGGAAGTTATGGAGGGGGGGGGGGGGGGTGCACAATCATTCTGTGCCCCCTTATTCAGATGTGGCATAGGGACGGGTCTAGATCTAGGTCTAAAGCTCCCTAGTCTAGAGTCTACTAATAATATTAAAAATAGGCAATTAGATCTAGATCTATAGCTTGTGTTATGCCATAGCCTAGCAAAGACTTCCATAGCCATGGGTCTAGGCTCGTTTTGCTCCACTACTACTGTACTAGACTAGTCCTGCGCATGTGTCATTATTGTGATCCAGGTCCAGATTCAGCTTAGTTTGAATGTAGATCTAGGCTAGATCTACCAACAACAACAAAAACAAAACAAAAAAGGTATCTCCTCCCCCCCCCCCCCCTCCCACTTCCCCTGATTTCGCTCTTAGTTATGTCATTGTGCCTTGTTTGAAATAATTGGTTTATTTTCAGGATTTTATGCCACCCCTTTTATGTTGGTGAGAATTCTGGATCCAACCCTACATATGACATGGATATTTCTTTCTCTAAAGGACATGAACAAAGTTATACACTGATAACTAATGCATGCATTTGATATTAGCAGGAACCTTACTAAGTTTCTGTTTTCTTTTAATAATTGTAGATCCTATGGAACAAAGAAGCAGATAATGATCACAGAAGTGCAACAAAGAGCACCAGGACCTGATCATCAAATGTTATGGTGTAGATCTAATCAGGAACAAGACACCTAAGTTGAACTCTGGCAAGGTATGTTTGTATGAAGTTCGAAAATATTCAGGCTGTATAATCTAAGCCCATGCGAACACCGCACTCGACTTGGACTATATAGGCCCTACAAAGATTTGGGGAACTGTCATCTTGTGTTGCATTATATCTTGTAATTCTCATTTATTCTCTAGCTTTATTTAGGTGACAAACTATGGTGTTGCTACAGTTTATTCTCTCAGCATATTAAAAGACATACTCAAAGGCATTTTTTCCTAAATATTACATTATATCTAACAAACTTTTGTTCACAAAAGTCTAGCAAATAATAACTTAAAATAAATTTTAAATTACTTTTAAAATAATTGGAAATACATCTAAACCTTTACTCTTCTCTTAAAAAAAGGCCCTATCAGATAGACATAAGTTTATCATTTTTTAGTAAAATTAAAATGCAAGACCTAAAAAAAAGTGGGGAGGTACTATTTTTGAAAATCCAATATAATGCAGCAGTTTTAATCTTATTTGATTTCTCCTCTCTTTTTGTTTTTATTATTCAGGTTGTCCCATGCAGAAGGTTTGATATTTGGACTAGGGACTTGTACAAAAGAAGCCTGGGTATACCCAGGCTTCTTTTGCCTGGGTATACCCAGGCTTCTTTTGTACAACTACAAGTCCCTAGTCCACCCTCATCTTGAGAACTGTTCCGGTGTCTGGGATCCCTACAACATCTCAGATGTCCAGGACGCTACTTCACAATGGGGACCACAAGAGAAGCAGCAGATGATCAGCACCTTTTAGTTGCCTACTATATCTACAACTACAAGGCACCCTGCAAGAAGACTGGGAATGGTGCACAAGATAGTCAATGGTCTCTCCGCTCTCCCTTCAGTGAAAATTTTCCCAGTGCACTACTTATAGCTACTTGCGCCCTCTATATAGCAAACAATGCCTAATCGGTGCCTGTTGGTCCCCCATGATCCTCTTTTTCTTATATTAATTGAGAGCTGATTTGATGAGATAACCACCTGTCAGTGACCTTGCAGGGTGGTCTTATCCCCCTGGCCAAACTAGTACAGACGGGCTTTAACAAATCACGAGCAGGAAGTACCATGACATGACCCTCCAGTTGCACCTAGCCAGAAACGACATAGGTAGACAAGTTTGTATTTGCCCAACACTCTGTCCCAAAGTTAATGGAACTGACTTCCAGCAAATATAGTGCATGCTGACAGTCCAGAGAACTGCCAGGGACTACTTCTGAGGCATCTACTCTCCTTATCCCAACAATCTGTCTTCCTCACACCACTTGTAATCTTTAGTATCAGTTCATCTTCGTGATAGGCTACAACGCCTTTTGAAGATTACCAGAAGAAAAAGAAGAAGATATATAGAGGATCATGAAAGTAATTATTTGTTCTTTTAAATGCGTGTACATGTAACATAGTTTTTTGATATTTAATCTTAAGTCAAGTTCTGACAAAAATGTGAGGGATATGCTGAACTGGATAGTAAATTGAAGGGGGGGGGGATAAAATGATGTAGTTCAATAGTAAGACTGTATTAATATAATTAATATTAATAATAATAACAATATTAAAAATAGTAACAATAATGACAATGATCATGATAATAGCAGTAATAATAATGATAATACAGGTAGTAGTAAAAACAACAACAATAATGTCCAATGTAAGATAAAGTACTCATAAAACTCAGTATATACCTGTGCTTTACATAATAAAATAGCATGTTGATATTATTGAATATTTTTTTCTTCAAAATCTACAGTAAATTTTTACAACTGAAAGATTTGAATTCAAGAGACAGCACCCCCCCCCCATCCATTTGTCATCCTTTTGTTGATGTCATGTTGGATTTAAAAAGACTTTAAAGAAACAAAATATGTTGATAAATGAGTTCGTAAATGTTAATAAATCAGTTAATACTGCTGAATTCTGTTCTTTTCATTTTCTTATTTTGTGAAATATATGTGATGATGCTGGTGATTATGATGATGTAGGCACTCTGTAATGATAATGCTGTATGACTGAGGTGAGATGGGGGCTGATGCAGTCTTGTGTAGAATTGAGTATGGTGTTCGACCTTTTGATGTTTGTTTTTATCTTGCATCAGCGAGATAGATTTAACCATCTTTCCTAATGAGAGAGAAAGCGGAAATGTAACAAGAGAGTGGGCAAGACTAATGTATAAATGCAGTATAAAAAAATGGTTTACAATAAAGATGAGGGGGGGGGGGGTTAAATAAAGAATAAGTCGATGCCGAAATGATGAAAGCATAGGTAATTGGGGTAATAGAGCCTATGGAAATGTCACTATTAGAAGGGGTCCCTGTATTTAAAATGTCAATGTTGGGGGGGGGGATTTAAAAAAAAATCAGTGGCGACGAATGCAAGAATGAAAAGAACGAGACAAAATTGAAATTTCATTGGGGATGGGGCACATTATGAAGATCATTGAAGTCGAGGTGAGAATGATTCAGTAATTGGACACTAAAAATATGAAAATATCACTTGTTAAGTGGGCTAAATGATCAGTGCAATTTGTCTGATTTAAAAAATATTTAAGTTAATAAACGAACAAAAAAAAGAGGTAAAAAATGAATTGAGTGAAATGGGGTCATTATTTTTGCCTTTTAACTGAACTGAATTTTTTTAAATGTACTTTCCATCCTGGTGACAGTGAAGTTTGTGGCCCCAACTAAGTCAACCATTTAAAAGTCTTCCCCCCCCCCCCCCCCTCCCCACACACCTCCCCAACTCTGACCTTTGTTCTACATTTATCCGGCCCAATTAGGATTCTGTCGATATAGTAACGCATGCGCATTGTCTTTTTTTCATTGCGATAATATGCTAATAAGTGGAAAAGAGCTCATGAATATTCAAAATTTTAATTAAAATATTTTGCGCGCTGCGCGCAGTCCAAAATCCCCATTTCGCTGGTGCACTAAAAATTTGTCGTCTTCATAGGCTAATACACGATAAATGGAAGCAGTGTGCACTTTTGACCCTCCAAAATCTCCCCATGGCTAGACGGATGCAGAAGCGGAGTTGCACCCCCCTGCATTGCAATTTTGACTTTCATCCAATCAGTGTGAGTTTCTTTTTGCATTGCATTCGATCGCGAAGAAGACCTTTCACATGAAGATGGGATTCTGCCAAAAGTCTTGGTTGTAACGACGACGATGACTTCGTTGGCATTGATGATGGCGGTGGTAGTGTGGTTTTTCAAATACACCAAAAGTGCCCCTGTTTTCTGATAGATGCCCGTTCCACATTCTTATAAGTGCCCCTTACCACCTCTGATAAGTGCCCCCTTTGCATCTGATAATTGCACCTATTCAAATCTGAGAGGTGCCCCTTCTACTTTGCCGAGTGCCCCCTTTCATTTTGTTAGAAATGCCCCTTCCGCCTCCATTAGGTGTCCCTATTATTTTGGACAAGTGCCTCTTTTCTTTCTAACATGTGCCCCCCTTTTTTCGGCATAAGCACTCCCAATCTTTTTTAATTATAAAGCTCCTTCCCTTCTCATAAATGCTCCTTTTCACATCTGATAAACGCCCCTTATGAAATCTGATAGGTGCCCCTGTTCTGCGACAAATGCCCCTTTTCCATGCTCATAAATGCCCTTTTTCATCTCTGGTGATTGCCCCTTATCAGGAGCGAGAAGTGCCCCGTTTTCATCTTTGATAATTGCCCCTTTCTTCATTTTAATTAAAACCGTTCCCTATATGCTAGTTTTCACCTCTGATAAATGCCCATTATGATAATAAAAACTGATAGGTGCCCAACAAATTGATGAAATAAACAATGATTTCATTCATTTTCTGATTGTAGTATTGCCAGGAGATAAAATAAACTTGTTTACATTTTTGTAAAGGCCATTCAAATTTACTTAATTTCGAACACATGCTGTTACCATATTTTTTAAAGATTATTTCAGAACCAATACTGTTCTATCACATTACTTGGACCGCCCACTAGTATATGAAAAAAGTGTTTCAAACAATAGTTTAAAATATGACAAGACTGGAATGAGAACTTCCTGACACAACATGAGTACTTTAAAATGTAGTTGGAGGGGAATACCATCTCAGTTTCAATACGTTTCAACATAAGCACAAACAAATAAGTGAGATAAAAATCACATTTCACTTGAATGCTCTACATGTCACTCTTTTATATGAAGAAATGTGCATCAAATAATGATATAAAACATGGCAAGGCTGTAATGAGAACACTTTGATATAAATAACTTTGGTCAACAGAAAAACTATATTGCAATCAAGTACAAAAATGAAAGAGATGTAAAATTACACTTGTAACTTTGGCATGTGAACAATTATGCATCAATCAAACAATATAACATGACAAGAATGGAATGGGAGTTGAATCCACCCTGATGCAGAATTGAGTAATGAAAAGTGTAGTTGGAAAAACATCATCTCAGTTTCAATACCTCATTAAAATCAAGCACAAAAAAAGTAATGAATGACATAAAAATAACATTTTACCTGGAATGCTCTACAATGTCACTCTTTCATATGAAAAAATGTGCATCAAACAATAATTAAAAAAAACATGGCAAGACTGGAATCGAGTCATGTACACCATAACAGACACATCGTCTCAGTTTAAATACGACATCAGAATCAAGTAAAGAAAATTGAATGAGATGAAAATCACAGTGGACAGTGGGCATGGCAAGACTGGAATGAGATCTAATTACACACTTACCCTATAGAAAAATCACTAATGTGATTAATACCAACAAACAAAAATCAAACTTTGTTTGGCGGGGGTATAACTGCACAGTGTAATTTCTAGAAGTCAGTGATAACTCAAGATATTACTTTAAATTTGCACTGAATTGTTTGGCTACAAAATAGTGTGTCTAGTTAACAACAATTCACAAACTTGCTAACGTTTTGAAAAAGGTGGCATTATTAATAACAATAATGATGATAGTGTAAGCTTTTAGAGCGCACACAACGTCCAAGGATGCTCAAGGCGCTAGCTCAGCGACAGTTCTCTGTAATACACGTACAAGTAAAGAAATTGTTTATTTGATAATCGATTTACACTATCAGAAACTCAAAAAAACAATTGTAACATTTTTAACCCCATTTCAATCCTCAGCTCTGCCCGGTGGGGCCGGGTGCCCTCCAGCTGCTCCGTTCACTGACAATCCGAGGGACTAGCCCAGTCAGCACATGATTCACAGAAGCTCTAGCATCTCAGGCCACCAGGCCCCACATGGGTAGCTAATGAGAATAAGGGTGATAACTAATTAAGTTCAGATGTATATACAAATAAAATATTAATTATGGATTTAGTAAAGTAAAAATCCAGACCATTTTTGTCACAGTTGATTGGTAAATATGTATCTTCAAGTTATAATAGTGACGAAACCTTTAATCTTCATGATAACAGCCGCACTTTGCAGAAAGCATTCCATTTCGGAATTCCTAAAACACTTCGGCATCATGGGCGTGAATATAAATGACCCTTGTATTGAAGCACTTCCCTTCAGAAAATACAACTTCCCTGTTATTACAAGCCAACATATTAAAACAATATCAATATAGAATACACTAACTCTGTCCTCTTTTACGAAATTACGATGGCTTTCAAGAAACAGAAGACATTCCTCAATTTCATCATCACTAAAATAAAAGTGATCGTTCAGTTCTTCAATCACAATTCCTTCCTCCGCCATTTTAGCTGCCCAGAAGCGAGTATCATCAGAAATTCCAAGTAATGTGTATTTCTCATCAATGTTGTTCTTCCCCCTCATACACGCCATCGCCTATTGGCATTGGATATGGATCACCTATGTTTTCTATAAGTTCATTCCTTGACATTGCTTTGACTTGGTTGTCGAGAGCAGCAATGTGGCAATCTAAGGTGAATGGATCATCAATGTTCTGCTCCACTTCTGTAACTCTTTCACTTTTCTCTTGCGTTTGGTTGTTATGGCATTAATAATCATAAAAATAGTAATTAGCTCTTATATAGCACATTTAATTACCAAAAGTAATACCAATGCGCTTTACAAACATTTCAAAATCAAGATACGAATGCAGAAGACAATAGAAATAAAGACATATAATTACATATTGTATTATTTATATATATAAATTCATAAATTACAAGTAAGTAGGCTTACAGTATATATTAGAAAAATCGATAGTAGCTTCTATTAAAGGTGAAACATGTGATATAATAAATGAAAATTATTATTGTGCTGAGGAAGGCCCAATACAAAACTATAAATAAAATAAGTAGATAAATAAACATCCCGCTTGTTGGGAGACTCATTGGAAAACTCTTCCTGGCATTATGCAAATATGTTACCAACCAGTGCAAAATCAAAATGAAATGTTGAACAAATATGTCTTTATAGTTCTTTCTGGAATACATCTATGTTTGGCTGAGCACGGAGAGTGCCAGGAAAAAAGTTCCAATGGGTCGGTGCGGCACATTCTTTAACTAGACATACATTTTATGCTCTAGACTATAATAGTGTGTTTCTGCAATATGTCCTAGCAGGAGTGTTTGAACATTTCTCAGGTCTGCCATTGCGGGGCTCAAAACCCTTGTAGAGTTCCCAAGCAAGCTAGATATTATCATTATTTTTACTTTAAACATGTTAGCCACTGCCATCAAAACTATTTCATCGCCCCATACCCTGTCTCTGCTCATATCTGCTAGATAAGCATCCCAGTCTCTGTCCAACAGCCAGTCTTCCATGAGACTTCCATCCGGTGTGTGTCTGTGCTTCTTAAGGTACTCTATGACCTGTTTTCTAAATTGCTGATGTGTCATATGAAATCCTGTGACCATTTCTACTTGTGCTGTTAATGCATGAAACATGCAGTTTCCATCAGCTGGGGTTCGTGGTTCTTGAAAATCTAGGCCGGCGTTTAAAAGGTTATCACGTAAATATTGTTCACTGTTGACTCGTGATGGTTTGAGAGCAAGACGCAAGTCTTTTCCCAAGTCGGAGCTCACTCTCCTAATATCATTTGGAGAGGATAAGTTATATTTCGTTGTTAATATCTTTGTGGACCTAATGGTACCATAGAAATCATCATCACCATCAACATCACCATCATCATCAACATCATCATCATCATCATCATCATCAACTGTTGATGATGATGATGATGATGATGATGATGATGGTGATGTTGATGATGATGATGATGATGATGATACTAGGTCATCATCATCATCATCATCATCATTATCAGAATTCATGTCTTCGGGCTTCGGTGCCTTTGTATGCTTCCCGTCTTCTTTCCTGCTAATGCTTTCTTTGTGTGACGGCTTGTGCAGTAGTTTCTCAGGCCTGGCGGTATGCGGGGCTGAGGACGACGTTGGGGTCCTCCACTTAAACTTGCGCCCATCGGGCATAACCTTGATGATGCTCCCATCAATCATTATTCGAATCTTGGTGCCATCGATGAGCAAGATGACCTTGACAGCGCCACCTTCTTTAGACTTGGAGCTTGGTGCCTCTTTACGCTTCCTGTCTTCTTTTCTGCTATTGCTTTCATTGTGTGACGGCTTGTGCAGTGGTTTTTCTGGCCTGGCAGAATTTGGGGCTGAGGACGACATTAGGGGCATCTTCTTAAACTTGCGCCCTTCGGGCATAATCTTGATCTGGCTCCCGTCCGGCATTGTTTTAATCTTGGTGCCATCGCTGAGCAAGATGACCTTGACGGCACCACTTTCTTTAGACTTGGAGCTTGGTGCTTTTTTACGCTTCCCGTCTTCTTTCCTGCTATTGCTTTCATTGTGTGACGGCTTGTGCAGTGGTGTTTCTGGCGTGGTTGAATTCGGGGCTGAGGACAACATTGGGGGCTTCATCTTAAACTTGCGCCCATCGGGCATAATCTTGATCTTGCTCCCGTCAGGCATTGTTTTAATCTTGGTTCCATCGTTGAGCAAGATGACCTTGACGGCCCCACCTTCTTTAGATTTGGAGATTGGTGGCTCTTTACGCTTCCCGTCTTCTTTTCTGCTAATGCTTTCATTGTGTGACGGCTTGAGCAGTGGTGTTTCTGGCGTGGTTGAATTCGGGGCTAAGGACGACATTGGGGGCTTCATCTTAAACTTGCGCCCATCGGGCATAATCTTGATCTTGCTCCCGTCAGGCATTGTTTTAATCTTGGTTCCATCTTTGATCAAGATGACCTTGACGGCCCCACCTTCTTTAGACTTGGATCTTGGCATTTGGATCTCTATGCTTTGGGCTGGAGGTGTTGTGACTATTGGTTAGAGGTTTCTTGGCTGGGCTACCGCCATAGAATGGTTATCTATATGGGTATTGAAGATTCAAAAGGAAGAAAATAACACTAAGTTAACACAACTTCAAGTTATATTAGTCTTGTTCAGACGGGGTTTTGCGAGTCGGCGTAAGTTAATCCCTGCAGCAGTTAATACCTCATGTAAATTTCACTTACACCCAGGCGCGTACGCAGGATTTTTTCAAGGGGGGGGGGGGGGTTAATATTTTTAAATCGGGCCGAAAATTTCGCAACGACTCAGCCAGCCGCTGAATAAGCGGGGGGTAAGAACACACTGTTTTGTTTGTTTTGGTCCCAAATTTTAAAAAACTGTGTGGTAATTTTATTAATCAGGTTAAGAATATAAAATAATTAAAATGGGACTTACATCTATGTGAAGTTATTAAGAAAGTAGGAAAGATGGTAAGCTTTTTGGGAAGGCTGAGACACATTTTAAATGAATCTTTTCTCAATCCAATTTATCAATCAACAATAGTCGTTCCTCATTTTGATTATGCTGACATTATATAACAATCCTCCCCAAAAAGCTATTTGGACCAACTCCAAAACTTTAAAATAAGGCTGGTAGGATAATCCTTTAGATAAATCCTCAAAATCATACTTCAGCATATCAGATTCACGATATATTAAAGACCAGTATTGGAAACGCCCCAATTTCAAAAAATGAAATGGAAGCTCTCATTACCAATCATGTGAAAGAATATGTTTTGACTAATACATGATGATAAAAAAAAAGAAATGTCGATAACTGAGTCTTGCCCAAACCTAAAACTAATTATTGTAAACGAACATTCTTTTATCGCGGATCTAAATTTTATAAACAATTACCGATTAATTTACGTGGACCGAACACACTCAATTTATTTCGGAATGGCCTTAATGAATGGAAACTAGATTTTTATGTAAAAATGTTGGTGCTAACGGGGATGGGGGGGGGGGGGTAATAGTCGTATTCATAATGTAATATAGAGAGTTTTGGAGGGGGTTTTGGATAGTGCGTATGTAATATCTTCGTAATATTTCGTGTGTTTATTTCTATGTTAAATTATCTATTTCTAGACCTCTGGGAAGAACAGAGCCATTTTAATATTGGCTCTGAATAAAGCATTCTAGCCGTTTTTAATTCTTAATTTGTATTATATTTGTAAATTGTAGTACTTGAATCTGTATACGAAAAATAAATCCAAACCAAACCAAGTCCACAGATATCTATGGGGAAACGTGCAACTGAACAGGAAGCCAGATGTTTGTGTGTGTGTGTGTGTGTGTGAGAGAGAGAGAGAGAGAGAGAGAGAGAGAGAGAGAGAGAAAAGAGAGAGAGAGAGGGGGAGGGAGAAATGGGGAAAAGAAAAGGGAAAGGAAAACCTAAAAATAAATGTAGGGAAGGAAAAAAAGAAAAGAAAAAGAATTTTAGGTCCTAAAAGAGCACTTGAAATGTCATAGATAAGAATAAGAGCAGTAACCATGCAGTTTGAAGGCATTTGCGGTCTGAAAACAGAACTCAACTATTCCTTTAAGCTTAAATTGTCATACCTCAGTATGCTTCTGTATTATTTACAATTACAAATGTACAATGATCGTAATCTCCCAGTGTTTACTACCGTGATGTTTATGATCATAGTTACTATGTAAACTGTTGAACCATGCAGAAATAAATAGAATAAACAAACATAATAAACATGCTGTTCACGTTATTACCTGTATTTAAATTAAACACATTTATAAATACCTTGGATGTTCTCTCGACCAATTAGTTCAGCTCTAAATGCAAGAAGTTTCATTGAGTTTTCTAATTTTAGAAAGCGGCAATTTTCCCATTCATGATCCAGATCATAAAAGTGGCCGAGGTACAGTATAACCAAACTATAGTGTGCAAAGAGTAGGGCATGTCGTGATTTTAAACGCATGCGAAGGTCGAGTTTACACTGACTGCCTTGGGTTTTCCCCAATGATATTCTGCTTCACCATAATAATACCAACACAATATGGTTCTTTTAAGTGAACAAAGTTTTATGTGTTCATACACTGACTGCCTTGGGTTTTCCCCAATGATATTCTGCTTCACCATAATAATACCAACACAATATGGTTCTTTTAAGTGAACAAAGTTTTATGTGTTCATATTTTATGTTTGGATTGTCCTGCTTCCCTCAACCAGAAGTGTAAACACAATATCAAGGTCCTATTTAAGAAATAAGAAGTGTTTCTTCTCACGCTTCTTGATTTTAGTTCCAGTTAGTCAAAATACATACTGTATATTTTGCCATCACCCTCACTTTAACTGCAATATAATCAACTGTCGATTTCGTATTGTTATAATTAACATGTGTTAGTACATCATGTCGTGCTCTATACTAGTTTGTTTCTCCCTATTAGGGTTTCTTTCTTCACCATTTGATGGGGTTCACGAACTTGACGCCCCTGTCCCCGTACCCCCTTATCTACGCCATACCGGCGCTCCCAACTGTGGAAGCTAATAAAGTATCCATTTATATAGTCTTTTGGCAAACAAGGATACTGTACAACATAATTATTAAGGTCATAATACCATTTCTCATAATTTATCTGGTGAACCAGACATCGACATTCAGACAATAGAGTAATGTCTGAGAGCAGTAAAGTAACGAGAGCACATAATTATTGGTCACATCGATATTCCTGGTTCAAATTGAATGCATTTTGTTTTCGAAGTAGTTCATACGTCCCCTATAATACGTTCATGCAATTGCAATCCCATGTGATTCATAATATGAATGCATGCATTATTACCACTGAACAAAGAAATCGGGGTACATTTAGGGCCCACACGCTGTATCCTGATACAGAATATTGTTTTTAATTCCTGTTATGTTTATATTTAGATGAAGAATGAAATCACATATAGTCTTTATTGTTATTGGAATATTTGTTGGTCTATTCTATTTAAGAAACAGCTTGTTTATACTTCGATGGGAACTTTTGATATTGTAATCAAATCATTTTGGATAGAGACATTTCAACTTCCTCTAATATGATATATGTTTGCACAAATGTACCATGTAAACAACAATATGCATATATATTTTATGCAAAATGTGAACAATAGCCTTACCAAACGATTCACAAAATTTGCTGAAACAGCTGCAGACTCTTACTGAGCATGCTTACAGCTCTGGTGGGGAAATCAATATTATTCCACTGAAAAACTATTACCAACATGTACTAATAATAAGAAAAGAAGTAGAACAAAAATTACGTCATATTAAAGAGGTATACATAATTATATTCTACACATCATGAGGACAAGTGGCTTGTATAGTGAGGAGAAAGAAAGGGAGAGAGAGAGAGAGAGAGAGAAATTCAAACTCGGTGGTATACCACCATGCTGCATCAATTTTTTTGTTATTTCGATCTTTTCGGGCACATGATGAACCATGGCTAATCAATTAAATTATATTCTGATTTATTTTTATTTTTCTAGGTAAGATAACATAATAAAATCTTGAATTATTTATTCATAAGTCTTATTACACCAGCCTCCGCCTCCTCCCCAGAAACAAATGAATTCTCCACCAACTAATATTTCCGTTTAAAAGATGAATCCGTTTGTGACATGGCACACGCAGGCATATAGAAATTAAACGAACCCTACAACACAATCTAAATATCAGATACGATAAAATAATGAAAGAGACTTACAGTAAACGAATGACTACCCAGGTCGAAACTTGTCAATAATCATTACGGCATACCGGTTTGATCTCCACCACACTGTACCAACGCAAATGTTCAAATATTCAAATGTAGCGCTAGACAGTATACATTCACATTACGATGACGTCAAATTGAAAGGCAACTGCGAGACTCTGGAACTATCCGTTACCTTAGCGGACGGAAATCGGGAATTCTCTCACAGCAAACGTAGCTGGGGCATGGTCACTTGCAGGTAGCTAGCTATGAAATTAGGAATTGCAATTGCAAGAAGACCTTTATTCATGTAACGATGATAATGATGACTTCCATTATAAGATTCTTAGTGGTAAAATGTATAGATCACCGTGATTACCAAATAAAAATACATACGACTGATGACTTATATATTAAAAAAGGCTGATATAGTGGTCTCGACCCTGGTTTACATAGTCGCTAAAAGAAAAACAAAAGAAGCTGAGGAGAAAAGCGGCAAATATCATAAACCATCACCTGGACTACGGCTTTCTCGAAGCACACTGTATTACTTCATTCTAGTCTGCTCACATGGGCCCGAATTCTCAAAGGTGGTTTGTCGACAAACCTTGGTTTTCGTACGTCATAATGACGCGTTTTACGCGTTTTTTTACAAACCTGGTTTGTAAAGAACAAAAGGAGGTTTGGCGAAACAAAAGAAGGTTTGAGCTCAAACCTTGCTTTGTGAATTCGGGCCATGGTGAGTGAAAATGTGCTTTGTATCATAATAGATATAATGATACAAAACAAAAGACATACACTTACTCATTTCATTGTATGCCTTAAAAAAAAAACGATTTCCTTCATTTTTTATAGCTGTGATAATTTCTTTATTTCTAATAATATACATTATAGGTTGGTCGCCCATATAGGTTCCTTTCCTGAGGTCGCCATCTCGTTTCAAGCTTTAGCTTAAGATGGCGGTCTCCTGCATTTTTTTCAATTTTAAAGTGATTTGCCAACTATGTGGATTATGTGTAAAGTTATAATTATTTGATTTGTTTATATTATATGATTATATTATATTTTGATTTTTGTTAACAATATATATGTACCTAGTTTGTAAATTACTTTTTATTATGTTAAAAATTGCAGAAATGAAATCAAACAAACAATATTCAAATCATTATTTTGACCTATCGGGATCTAAATTCTCGGTAGATTTTGTATTAGGCGCGTGAATTCAATGTGCATGGCTGATCGTCAACAACACGGAGTTAAGCCTTTTGTCAACTCTGTTTGTTGCTACGGCAGGCAGCCAGTGAAAATGAACTCGTTTAACCGAAATTATGGAAATGCAAACATTAATTTAAACAAACAGAACTTTGTTAGTCCTTGCTCAATTTTCCTGATTGAGATGTCAAATGAAAGGGCAGATTAAAATTGAAATTTCTCGAAATGTAATTTTCTTTTTGAAATTCGGATACCTCCCGCCAAACGACTTTTTGGTTTCCCCTCTTCAAATTGTTTTTAATCACTCATGCGTGAAATATGCATCATATGAGTTGCATCAAATGAAAGAGAATATAAGCTTTACAAATAGCCTATGTGTCATTTATTAATTATTGTGATTAAGTTATGATAAAACATCGATAATTCTCGGTTTCGTTTTTGCTGGGACGCACTGTATATCGATATCTGATTTATACTCATTTGAACCATACTGATCAATAAGAAGAAGAAGGAGAAGGATAAGAAGAAGAAGAAGAAGAAGAAAAAGAAGAAGAAGAGAAAGAAGAAGAAGAAGAAGAAAAAGAAGAAAAAGAAGAAGGAGAAGGAGAAGAAGAAGAAGAAGATGAAGAAGAAGAAGAAGAGAAAGAAGAAGAAGAAGAAAAAGAAGAAGACGAAGGAGAAGGAGAATAAGATGAAGAAGAAGAGGAACAAGAAGAAGGAGAAGGGGAAAGATGAAGAAGAAGAAGAAAAAGGAGGAGAAAAAGAAGAAGAAGAAGTCAACGCAAAGCGTAGCATTCCCTCGCAGGGTACAAATGGCATAACAAGTCAGAACAAGTACCTTCATTGGACTATACTATTATATTACTAGGCAAGGAAGTTAACCACATTTTCACATATATGATTAGGTTTTTTTTTTTAATGAGCTATGACCTTTCACCTTTGACCTACATACTCAGAAATCGAACTTAGGCTGTACATGTATTTTGATAACATGTACCTTCATATTTCATTAAAATTCGTCAAACAATACTCAAGTTATTGAATGGAAACCAGATTCGCATATTTAATGAGCTATGACCTTTGACCTACATACTCCGAAATAGAACTTAGGCTGTGTTTGGATACCATGAACCTTCATATCAAATTTCATTAAAATCTGTCTAACAATACTAAAGTTATGGATCGGAAACCAGATTCGCAAATTTAATGAGCTATGACCTATACTCGGAAATTGAACTTAGGCTGTATTTTGATACCATGTACCTTCATATCGAATTTCCGTCAAACATTACTAAAATTATCGATCGGAAACCAGATGTGTATTTGTTCGCATATTTAATGAGCTATGACCTTTGACCTACGTACTCCGAAATCTTTTGTTACGAACGGACGCACGCACGTAAGGACGGACGGCAGCGTTACTATATCCCCTCCGACTTCGTCGGCGAGGGGATAAAAAGCGGGATAAAAAGAAGAAGAAAGAGAAGATAATGGCTACGGTCAGTTGAAAGCAAATTATATTTTAAGTTAGATTTGCGTTTGACCAAAACTTTTAAGAAAAAAACTCCTGCTCTCATAGTGAGTGAAGAAGGTCATTAAAACTATGCCTCATTCTAAAATTGATCACTTCTGACATAAAAGCGGAACTGCACTACATGTAGCTACTTGCGCCCTCTATATAACCAACAATGCCTAAGCGGTACCCGTTGATCCCCAGCATGGTCTCCTTAATCTCTCCTGGCCAAACTAGTGCAGATAGGCTTTAAGATATATACAAAATTTGTGATGTTAGCCATTATGGATTTTTTCCTTCTCACGGTTCACCACCTACACACTCTTTAACATCAAAACCATCACTAATTAACCTAAAGATATCAGCATTATCATCACCTTCACCAGTCATCATCATCATCATTGCCATCATCTTCACCACCATCATCATTATTACCATCATCATCATCTTCACCATCATCATCATCATTATTACCATCATCATTTTCACCATCATCATCATCACCATTATTATCATCATCTTCACCATCATCATCACCATTATTACCATCATCATCTTTACCATCATCATCATCACCATTATTACCATCATCATCATCTTCACCATCATCTTCACCATCATCATCACCATCATCACCATTACCATTATCATCACCTTAACCAGTCATCATCATCACCATAATCATCACCATTATCACCATCATCATCACCATTAGCATAGTCAGGGCAATCTTCAATATTACCATCCCCTCATCTCCATCATCTTCATCACCATAATAATAATCATTATCAACCTCATTACCAACATCACTATTACCATCACCATCATCATTATCATCAATATAATCATTATCATCATCATCATCACTATTACCATCACCATCATCATTATCATCAATTTAATCACCATCACCATCATCATCTTCATTATCATCAATATAATCATCACCACCATCACCATTATTACTGGCATCATCACCATCATCATCACTAACATCATCATCATTATCCTACTCATCCTCCTCCTCATCACCATTAATATCACCACCAGGGTTATAAGAACCACCACACACACTCTAAATACTTTCGACATCATCTTCTAAATAAAACAAAATACACAAGAACATTCTTACATTCCACCTTTTTACTTTATTAACCTGCTAGTAATAGACAAGTGCACTTCTATTAAGTTCCAACATTTTTTTTCCTTCAATCAAACAATTCAAACATTTTTTTTTCTTCTTATACTTAATTAGGCATCGAGTTTTAATACAAAATACATATAACTCTTCAAGTCCATCTGTACATGGGTGAGATAACCACGATCGGATCGCATCTTCCCGCATCCGATCCTGACCCGGCTCTCACTCCTTCATAAGTCATAAATAGTAGATGCAAGAAAAATACGGAAACAGAAGAAGAAAAATAACAGCTCATGATGGAATTCAACTACAAGACATTGAAGAGAAAAAGCTGTATAAGTTTGCACATCTTACATTACAAATAAAATTACAATCCTTATTTATCAATTTTTTTTTGTCATGGTTATTTACAAACATTCAGGGCGTGGAGAACACTGATAGATACTTAGGCACTGGTTTGAGGGTCACAACAAATAACATCAGGATATGTACTTTTCCCTCTCGTTTTCTTCCTCAAAATGGAAAAATAACATGATTTTTAGTTACATTGAAATACATGGGTACAGTATCCGGCTGATATCTCAATTTCTGCACCATAATTCTTTTGGGGGATATCAAAACTTTGTAAATGCATGACAATAATCTTTGCTCTTTGATGGAGAGAACATATTCCTGTTGGTAATATACAATGTTAATTATATTCTAAACATGATGTTGATTTTTCATTCATTATGATGCAAATGTTTTATTGTACATCTAAGGAAATAGTTACACATTATTCTTCTATAAAACATGAATCCCTCTTGAAAGGTTGGGGGTTGAAAGAGATTAGATGAGAAGGAAGCTCAGAAATAGAAATGGAGCATACACGAATCTGAGAGATAGAGAGAGAAGTGAGAGTGGGAGAAAGAGGGAGTTCAGAAATAGTAGAGAGAGAGAGAGAGAAAAGGAGAAAGAGGGAGGGGGGGGGGGGGTGAAACCATTGCACATTTAATGATGTACTATACTACTATAACACATCATTCTTCCCATTGATTGCAGAAGACGGCAGAAAGCTTAAAGGTATAGACCAGTTTTGGAAACGCCCCCCTCTCAAAAAATGAAATGGAAGCTCTTATTACCAGTCATGTGAAAGAATATTTTTTGACTAATACGTGATGATACAAATTTTGCAGGGAAACTGCCTACTAATTGATAAATTTGGTAAATTATCATATCTATCCGGTCTGGATAGATATCGCGTAGTCCCATTTACACCTTTCTGTGTACAGTGCTTGTAACTTTACCAAGACTGGGCCAAATTTCATTTTCATGATTCCAGAACCTTGCAGTTGACACCAATACTTATATGTTGGATGATCAACCTTTTCTGATTGAATCCACCACGTTTCTTTCACAATGCAATCGCATGACCAGAACTGCTCTTTACCTTCAAGCATTTCCATCTCATAAGTCTGAGAATTCAATAAGACCTATGTCATTTCACTGCATAAATCAAGTAGGCCTTTTAAAATATAATTCCAAATCCTTGTTCTCCATTAAAACACTTGATACAGGCCCTTCAGGCAGCTCAGTTTTGTAAGAGATAATGGATTACAGTACATAAGACAATTAATATCTGTATCTTTTCTTATTTCTTTCCTGCTGCTAAGACAAAAGATATATATATATCAGCAAAAATGAACAATAGAAATATATTAACATGACAATACATGTATACAATACTGGAATGTATCATGGATGAAAATAAGCTATAAACTAATTCAATGATCGCACGCATATCGCGCAAGGTACATAATAATTTCCCCCTCTGTAGGGAGTGACAAATTTACACAAGATGCCCTGTCAAAAGGGCACAGGCCTAAGCACGGGAACAGGGTTTTGAACCCACGACCTAATGAGTCAAGTACACAAACCACTGTGCAACTGTTTGGGACCCTATTTATTCCAGACAGGATTTGAACCTACGACCTAATGCTTTAAGGTTGAGCGTACAAACCACTGAGCCACCATACTGATGTTTGGGACCCTATCCAGTCAGCAAATAACATGTTATGAAAGAAGCTGAAAAAATAATCACTCTTGTCTAAAAATTAATTCAGGCAAGCCAACACTAATCTAATCGAAATCAAAAATAACATTCCAACTGAGGGAGGTAATATTTGTGTAAAATACTGGGAACAAAATCTCTATATACAGTTATGAACATTTGCTGGGCAACACATCTCTACAAATTTCCTTTTTTGTTCAAAATATTTCACTCATAAATAAACTCCCATTTTATTCTTGCTTCCTGTACCATTATTGGACTCTGTTTATAGAATACCTTTTTTATTCTGGCTTCCTATACCATCATTGGACTCTACCTTTTGTTGGGCTTGCAAGTGACTGATATTAACTTTATGCCTACTGTATAACACTATCATTATCATTCACAAATTCATGGACTTTCACTCAATATGAGTGTTCCCTTACACAATCATGTAGGCTCCCTCACTTAAATTTGATACTGCCTCATGTCATTTTGACAACTGTTTGCCTTTATTTCAAGCAAGGGTTGAACTAAAAATGATTACTAAAGCAAAATATTACACCTAGGTTAAAGTGAGATTACAGACATTATTAATACCTTTCATGATAACAAGTTACAATTTAACAGGAATTGGGCATATGTTCCACAAAAAGGAATAACGTGGTGCCAATTTGTTGGACAGGGTCACAAACCACACAAATATATTGTAAATATACAATACATCATAGGTCCACTTGTTTTCTTTTCAGTTGTTTTCTCTTCTTCTAGACTTCAGATTACAATTTTTAATATTTTTTGTACCAGTGCTCTCCACCCCTATTTACTAAGTGGTTCAATCCAGCTCATAAATACATTTACATGTGAGCATAGGGCATGTCCATTTGTCTCCCAGGGGGGTGTTGTCCGTGGTACCAGCCGTACGATGCGCGGAGGGGGTCTGGGCAGCCTATTTGACCGTATGAGGGACCATTCCGCAGCTTACATTGTTCGTCACCACCCACCCAGTGAAAACGTCCCTAGAGAGAGAAAAAGAGAAAGAGAGAGAAGAAAATAATTTAGAAAACATCTATAAACAATTAATACAGTTTGGTTAGCTTGTTAACAAAACCCATTCACTTTCATACGTGATGCCAAAATGCCAAAATGATACCATGATACGTGATGCTTACAATGTGGAGGTTATGTTTAAAAGAAAAAGGCACAATGCAATTGATAACAAAAGAAAATGGGCATTTAGCCATTCAGAACCGTAATCATTCTTATTATTAATGTCACAGTCAGGCCATCGGCTACATATTGTGGTATGTTAAGTTACATAGGCTATAAAGTATGGCTGTGTAGTAAGATATTTGCCATTGGCTATGAAAGTTGTAAGTAATGGAAATGAACTGAATATACAGCTACGTAATATTGAATGGGTTTTAGAAGAAAATGAGATAAGCTCCATTACTTTAAAATGCAGCTACTCATTTCTTACAGATGATGACATACATTTATCTTTTGATTCTCCTTTTCATAAACAAGTAAGTTTCTTCAAATAGTGACAAATGTCAATATTTTGTGTTTTTAAATTACGGTACGGAATGCTCTAGAAACACATGAATTCCCTTGAAATAATGAAGAATTAGTAATCTTAAATAGCTTGCAAACAATGTGATTGTTGATTATAAAAATGGTGTTAAAGATACAAAATAGTTGAGCATGCAATGCAATATAGCACATCAAACACAATGCAACTACACTGAAAAGTTATTTACATGACATGCAAACATATATGAAGCATTAAAAGGTTTGAATTTTGAATATTTGAAAATAACCATCCCATAGGATTATTAAAAGGGGAAATGAATTGGAAAATTTAAATGAAGAAGACAAGCAATAAGTAGAATGGAGATAAAAGAAAGGAGAAAGACATTCAACGAAGAAAAGAGTTGTGGATAAGGAAATTAAGTAAAGAAAAAGAAAAAAACAAACAAACAATGAAAGTGAACATTGTAAAGGTAAAGATTCAGGAAAGAGGTGGGGGAGACAAAAGAAGTAACTGAAGAATATTACCATTAAAAGAATAAAGGAAGGAATAAGAGAAAAGGAAGAAGAAATAAGAAAAAGATAAAGTAGAGGTAGGAGAATAGGAGTAGTAAAGGGGAATGACAAGGAAATGAAGAGAAAGGAGAAGAAGACCAATGAGAAAGAAAACAAGGAGAAAAAGAGGAATAAGAAGAATACACTGAAAAGAATAAGGAGAATATCAAGAATGGGAAGAGATACAATAAATTGAAGCAGAAAATAGGAGGAGAAGAAAATAGAGAAGAAAGAAAATAGATCCTAAAGTACAAAAGAAGTACAATTGGTGAAGGAAAGAAAGGAAATAAGAATGGAAAACGGGTGGGGAGGAAAAAGAAGATGGAAGCGCCTCAAAGAAGATCGAAGAAGAGGAACAGGAGGAAAAAATCTGGCCACCCTTTCTTTCTTTATTCCCAATAATGAATGAAAGAAGAAATAGCAACCTATCGATAGACAGTGGGAGTATTGCCAATTTGATGTTTCCAAGATGCCAAGGTGCGGAAATGATTACTGCTTCTCATCATTAAACACATGTTATGAAACCAGGCGATGATAAGACAAGAACCGAGCAAGAATGTTAAGTTTCCTTTCTTTAAAAAAATAAATAAACCCAAACTACCATGATGACAAATACAAGTATGAATATGTTAGTCACTTGAAGATGATTTAGAATTGTACATGTCTAGCGCCCTCTATGTTAAGGGGAAACTTTTTTGTGCTTGTGAGAGTGATTGCATTCCAAGGTGAAGTTTATACCAAAGTTGATTTCAACAATGTTTCCTAATATGGATGTGTGTTAATATGCATGATGGGTAATTGCACAATGTCGCTCTCAAATTTCATACTGAGTAAACTTTATGATGCCAAAAGTAACATTTCTCATAATTTTTTATAATCAGAATTTTGCACATAAAATATTCAAAGCCCCCTCGGTGCATGCAACACCAATTTCTATTCTTTTTGTCTGTTCTTGTTTTTGTTATTTATTTGTTTGCTAATGAACAGGCTCATAAAGAATAAAGTCACACCAATAAAGAGTATCAAAAGAAATATTGGAATTTTATGTCCATATCTTCAATCTACATTTTGAAAATAAAAAAAAGAATTGTGGATGAGATTTAAATTGTTTAAAAAAAAAACTCTTTTATCCACAATGAGAGCCTAATTTAGGCGGTTAGTGTGCTGCAAATCCCCAAACTGTGATTGTGATGCGTTAGTTTTGAATTAAGTTCTAGCTTGTTACTCTCTGGAATGACAAAGAGAGAGAGAGAGAGAGAGAGGCAAGGATTTATCAATATACCTGCAGTGATCTACTACACACTGCGAACTGCAATATTCGTTATCCCAATCAGGGCTTTCTATAGGCAGTCGGTTACACCCGCTACGAGTACACAGCACTTGCCGCGTGTCGCTTACGACCGTCGTTGGCGACTGGCGAAACAAATGGCAGGGTAAAATAAGATGGGAGGCAAAAGGGGAGCAAAGAAGAGAGGATAAAAAAAAGAGAGAACAAAAGAGATTTTTATATAATCATCCCATTTGATATTAGCTTTCAACAGTCAATTGAGTTGCGTACCGGTAATCTATATACTACACATGACAAACTTTAAAAGAACTGTATTCATAGTTTTGAAATGATGCAATGCATGGCTATTTTTGTTAATTGATTCTTGGTTGCTATATTCTGAGAACAATCAGCCATTTTTATTTGGGATTACTGTTAAAAGGATTTGTAGATCATTTCACATTTAATTTCAGAGTTGTGAGGAGAAAACTGAAAGATACATCACAAATTTAAGGGCAAATATTTTTTTTCTCATTTTCATAGATATCAAGACTATCAAGGACGTAATACACAATGACACAAGAAATCATAATTGCATGCAAGACAAATAATCTACACATTGATCAAGACTGTCGCTATCAAAGCACTGTTCATGTATCATCAACTTATGTAGGGATTGAGAAATGATTGTGCTAAGAATCTCTTTCTTGAGATTCATCTTTAAGTACCAAGAAACAGACAAATTGTTTGGAAATTGGTACTTAAACTTGTCCGTTGGAATATAAGCAGTTTGATTGGTTATACAAAAAAGAAATAAAGACATAAAGCTGTAATCTTTAGGTAAAAAGGGTAACAATAAGATATGAATGCTGTCATTGTAACAGAAGATATTATTGAAATTGCTGATAATTTTCGAAAACAGTAAATAGTTATTTGAATACTTTGCTGTGGGTAGCCTGACATTTTTACAGCATATGAATTTCATGGGAAATTCAATTCTCATTTTACAGTGACTACCTGGAAAAAACATGGACAGGCTCTTTCGTTTTCATAAAATTAATCCCTAGATCGTGATCCTTAAGTTGATGATGCATGAAGACATGTAACAGCACAAATGGCATTTTATTGCCTTTTTAAAAACAGAAAATAAAAGACAATTTATCAATGAATGAATAGAAAGTTGTCTCACCATCGGTTTGACAACTCTCTGGACATTCTGCATGGGTTGTACCATGGCTGCCGGCTGGCCGTACGGACTCGCTGCGGTGGTCATGCTACCGCCTCCCGGTGCATTGGATAGGGGTGGCTTGGGCGCAATGACCCTGGGCGCAACATTGGGATGGAGCTGGCCCACGGCGCCGGCTATGTTGGCACCATGAGGGGGAGAAACGGAGACAGGACCGGACAGTCTCTGCTGCTTACTAGGGGACTGTTCCTCAGGGTCCATTTGGTCTACGGCAGCCTGGAGAAGGAAATAGGAAATGAAAAAAGAAAGATTTAGAGCTCGGGATTCACTATTTCCGTTTCCATATAAAAGACTACTATCAACCCACTGAATTAAAGTACAATTTTGGTATGACAAGCATTTCCATTGATCCAAGCAAGATTTGTCTTTAGCCGCAGTATTCATCACATGAAAACAAGATCTATACATCAATGTCTTGTTCTTGTAAGGAGAAACCCCTATCCTACTTAATATCCACTTAAAGACCAACACAGCCAAAAGGGTAGCATTCTCATGTAGGATAACATCTCACTACTATATCAATTTCTTATAATAATATTCCTCCAAAATACTGGTGCAATAGAAGAGACCGGGGGGGGGGGGGGGGGTTCAAAAAGACTAAGATCGACTTTAAGTTGGACTTAACTATGGCAGGCCATTCATGCCACTGGTTGCTCTCACCATTATGATCTTTAGATAATATTTTTCCTTCGATAATGAATTATCGAAAAATGTAAATTCTGTAGATTTGTACGTCCCTTGAGAGACCAATGCCAGTAAATGGTGAGAGCCAACAGTGGCATGAATGGCCTGCCATAGTTGAGTCAAACTTAAAGTCAATCTTAGTCTTTGTGAAACACCCCCCAGGTATAATCCTTTTGCGCATAATTAAGAACATGTGGGCCTGATTAGCATGTGACCATGACACAGCTTTGAGAAGTCATGGCCTGATTAGAAGCTAATCAAAAACAGCTTGATATGGGGGGCAGGTGGTGACCCCAATACCACTACCAGTGAAACCACTGGGGAACGTACGAGACCCTTCTGCATCCCCAAACATTCAAACCCTTGTGTCGAATGCGATCTCCTGGCAACCAATAGTGAGAAACACAATTCTTGGTTGAACAATAACATTTTGGTCCTTTTCTTTTCCTTAAGACAATGATACTTACATAAATGTGTTTTGGTTCCCTACCCCCTCCCACCTGTAGATAAGCAGTGCCATAAGTTGCATTTCATCGACTAACAAGTTCTTATGCTTTCTAAAAAGAAAGGGGGGAAACCCATTACAGAATCACCCATCCACCTCCCCCTCCAATTTAGTCTCCAAAGGCCATCAGTATGGTGCATTACATAGACTGAAATACTTCAACTAAATCTATTCCTGACTTTCTAAATATCTTGCCAAGGGGGGGGGGGGGGGGGAGGGGGGAACCACTTGAGAATTAACCTCTATACCCCCCTCAATTATGGACCCGCAGTGCCGTCAGTATATATTTCCTTTTCATTGACTGAACTTCTAAACTCGTTGTTTTGACGATATTAAACAAAATTGTGACAGGGACTGAAGACCCCAAGGGGATCCGTCCCTACCCCTCCCCCTCCATTTCGACCCTCCAATGCCTGCCATCACAGTACAGTTGCGTGTCAATCACGCGGGGTACCGTACGATTTCTTGCAGAGCAAACGAACGTATCTTTACTCAGCGGGAGTCAAGTTACGATCAATGCACTTGTAAGAAGGTCTCTGTGTCTTAGTGCTTGTGCAAGTTGGCGGGCAAACAGTTAGTCTGTGCCAATCTCCACAAATCTATCGCAAGGGAGGGATGTCTCGGGATCATCAGAGAGAAAAGAAGACTCAATGAACATGCCTGCAGACAGTAGCCTATGGAAATCCCATTAAAAGGCTTCAAACTAACTGATATGTTATGGGGGTAACTCTAAGGAAATTCACTATTTCATTTGACTTTTTGGAACTCTGAAGAGACATAAGGTTTTTGAAAAACATGTTGAAATTGGAAGGAAGGTAATTTTTAAATAATTTATAAAACTACTATCTCGTTATTAACATATAGGGGTAGTTGTACTGAAATTCAAAATTCTAATTCATTTTCCTGTTAAACCTATTAATCTGTTAATCCTCTTAATGCAAAAGAATGTAGATGAGGTTAATTATACAAAGTACATCTGTAAAATGTGAATCAAACATTTCTCCAAAATTTTAATAATAAATCTATTACAATGCTTAGTTATAATCCTATACTTTTATTGATCCTCTTTTTGCAGAGTCCTTGATGGAATAAAAACTTCAAAATAACAACTTGTACGTAGTTTCAGGATAAATATGACCTCTCTGAGTTGAAAACAAGCAGGTTAACTAGGTTGCCAATATTTCGAAGATTTGGAAAACAAAAGATTCATGAATGAAAAGTAAGGACAAATTTTAAAAAATCTAAACTTAAAAACAAAGACAACCTGAACATTTTTCTGGATAAAAATGGCTTTTCTGAGCTCAGTGCAAACAATTCTAGAAAGTAAGCCAAGATTTAACAAATGTGGCATCAAATTGGTTAATGGATGAAAAATAGGGACAAACTGAAGAATAAACAAATCTACTCTGATATAAATTGCTTCTGCATACAGAAGTGTAATGAAATGGAAATATAAAAACACCATGTCTTTCCAATCTATTTCTAAATTTCAAATATGTTTACATTTTATTTTCTCTGAAGGTTCCCCACCTGCATGACTGTACAAACAGCTAGTCTTGAATCAATACTGCTAGACTAGGCTCCAGGCTAAAAAGATGTTTCTTTATCTTTCAGAAAGGGGGGAGGGGGTCTTACAGCTAATTGTGAGTTTTACAGGTAAATACATTGTGTTGGGCATTGTTATTAAATTTTATAACTACCGGTAGGTAATTTTAATTGTGCAATTAGTTGGTCGAAAACCAAATCTATAAACCATTAAACAAGGATTGAATAGAAGGATTATTGTTATTATTCAGTTTGGTGTAATCCCCTTTGTGGGGGAGGGGGTGTGTAGGGGGTCGGGGGGGGGGGTAAGGCAGATGAGATGGGGTGGATATGTGTGATGAGTTATTGACCCAGTATAATCATTTTCTGATCCTAACAATAAGGATTAAATCAATATTATCCTGGATAGTTGAGGGAGGGGGAGGAAAGGGGAGCAAGGGGATAGGGAGATTAATTGGAGGGGAGATTAATGGGAGGGATAAATGTGGATTCCAAAATGCATGGCAGTAGATGAAAACAAAACAACATGTAGGCCTATACTGCTAAGAGCTGAATATACTTCAGATCAAAATAAACAAAGCCATCTCATGGAAAATATTTGATCTTGTGTCATTAAACCTCTTAATGTCATAGCTTGATCAACCATTGGTATAAGATATAGTCAAACTGATAGGGCGAAAATAAGCAGATATATGCTTCTGCCACTGGGCTCAAATGCGATAACCATAGGTATGTATGCTGTCAAGTTATATTCTAATGCATAGGCCTGGCTGTCACTATAAATATTGGCATAGTGCAAAACCTCTGCATGAAAATATCACAGAGACAGGCCATTATCACTATCCAAGCACTGAATTTGTCTCATGCCAATTCATCATTTGTATTCATATACCATCAGCATCTAGGCCGGTCGACATATATTACGATCACAAACTAGATTTACATAACCATGCCATAAGTACATATCAATATTCCTATCCTCGTCGTAGGATGGAGGAAGGGTGTGTAGGAAATAAACGGCCTAATTCCGATCATTCCCCCGATGGGAGAAGAAGAAGAAATAATAATAATAACAGCGCAACGATGCTGAAAACATAAGGAATAAGCTGCCAACACTTAGAGGACTTGTTAGGGGGGCGCAAATTGAGTTATACTGGCACGAAGATCCCGCACAAATTATCGATTGCTCCACTAGTCTCTGGCAGTATCTAGTCCTGACCCAGTTGGATTGTTTGTGCTGTGTGTTATTCTTCACTCTAGAGATTGGCGAGTGAGATAGAGTAAATGTTAGCATAGCTGATTACTCCGAGGATGGTGGAAGAGGGGGAGGGGGTAGGGGGAGGAGGGGTGGGGTCGGGGGAAGAGGAGGGCAGGTGTATCGGGGATGACAGTCCGTGTATGAGGGGGTGGTGATGATGGCGTTTTAAGATGGGGTAAGGTGGGAGATAGAAGGGGAGATGGAAGCAAGGTGGTAATCCGGCACATTTCATCGGGAGGGGGAGAAGGGGAGGGGTGAGGTCGGGGGAAGAGGAGGGCAGGTGTATTGGGGATGACAGTCCGTGTATGAGGGGGTGGTGATGATGGCGTTTTAAGATGGGGTAAGGTGGGAGATGAGGGCAAGGTGGTAATCCAGGACATTTCATCGGGAGGGGGGAGGGGGGAGGGGGGAGGGGCGATATAGGAGGTTGAATTAGAACAAGGTTTACGGGGCAAAGAGTCTAATGGGGTATAGGTCCTTGTCATGCTGGTGTCGTGTGTATCATATTCCATTCAGAAGAAAGGCAGGGGTTGGGTAGAATCAATCCTACACCAAATGTTAGTGGTGGAGGGTACCGGTAGTTGGAGGAGGGGGTGGGGGGGGGGTAGGTATATGGAGAAGAACAGTGTGATTGCATGTAATAATGATTGCAGTATTTACAGAAAGGAGATGGCATGAAGGGCAGAGAATAGACTTGAGGGAGAGGGGTAAGAGGGGACTGCTGGTTGTGGTACCAGTGAAACAGTGACTGAGACCATGATAGTTTAATTAAAGGAATAGTTGAGTGTTGGTCAATACTCACATTAGCGAACGAAACTATGATCTAAACATAAAAAACATACAATAAATGTCTAAGAATGCATCATTGAAGATATAAATCCGAAATATTACATTAGAGTGAATTTATATGCAAAAAACCTGTTCGACTGCAAATGATTTTATTTATCAAAAATTTTACTTTCGAGGCGTGTTCAGTGTAATTGTATAGCGCCACCTCTCGGTCAAGCGGCAGCACACCGTGAATTTTCGCCAAGACGACGATCGGATATGGGCGTGCAAGTAATATCCGAACCATGTCTATAGCGCGCTGACTGATTTATATTGTACACATTATGGTATGCGAGGCCTGCACATAATTTAATTGCATGGTCTGTGGTACTGGTAGCGCTATTGTTTTTGAGCGCGATATGCGAATAGTAGTGCGAGTACGCTCGACCTAGTAGT